TCAAACATAACTTATTTCTTTAGAATCGTATTTAGAAGGTCACTGAAGAATATGTACCTCAATAAAGCTATCTATTTCCAGAGGGCAGTTTTTTCAGCCCATGAGTCGAGCCAAAAAACAGGGACAACTTTGCCGCAACGAATAAAGATGCCGACTCCAAACTAACTATTTTATCATTGTTCAAACAAAGTACTTTTGAGTTTTCTCAGCTTTCGCTGCCGTCCAATTACTAATGGCAGCTAGGTAACCTTTTTCACTTGTACATTACTGCTTTAGTAAAAAGTGTACATTGTTTTCCTTAATTGTCTGATATTTATTATTTTGGGGTCAAAATTAATCGACATTAATCGTGCGGCACATCAGTGTGGTGTTTGAAAATCTCTGCTCTACGCTACCAAGGGTTTCACCTATTTTTCACTGTTGAGAGCTCAGTTATGAAGAAATTCGCTTTCGCCTGTGTTGCTCTGTTCTGCTGGACTGTTATAGCCGGTAAGATTTTTTCACTTTTGACTTTCTCTGGTTTAAACGCTTAAAAATATGTAGAGACACTGATGTCACCCGATGCTGTTATAAGGATGCAATTTTACAAGGGGAAAATTACAGTCAAATTAAATGCGTAAGTATGAGAGGCGTTATAAAACAATTTTTCCACTGCCATGTAGTTGTTGTGTTAGTGGTTCTTAGCAAAGAAGTTTTAGAGTTTATACGCATGCAATTTAAATTTCTTTCGAGGTTTATTGAGGAACTTTCGACTCCAATTCTTTGCCGGTTTTTAACAGTTGATAACTTGGTGACTGTAGCGCCTCCAGCTCACGCAAAGCTGCACTGCATACGTTTTGGGTCTGACGTTCTGTGCCAAGTGAAATGTAATGATGGCTACGTTTCTGATCCTGAAAGACCCCATGCTAACTCTTATATCAGGCGCGAGGGCAAGTGGAAAACGCACCCAGAAGGAATGAAATTTCCTTGGGCCGACTGTGTATTGGGTTAGTATAATTTTACACAAATATTGGAATCGCAGTATTGAATCGTTGGTTTACCGACTTGATGGTGTTGGGGCACAAAACAAAGAAAGAAATGCGATGATGCAGATGATTTACAATGAATACATGAAGCTGATCACTTTGCTTCCTCATGGTTTCATCAGACTGGTGTACAGATGACATTATATAAGTTGGTCAATAAATTATGTCTTTTTTGTGCGAAGCTAGCCTCAAAATACTTCTGACGCGTGACAATCTCAATAAACGTTTTTAAAACAACGTGTTGCCACGAGCGTCCTAAAGCTAAGTGATAGAGCGTCCAAAGTAATGATGGGAAGTTTGAAGGTTCTGCTCCTTTTGGGAGCAATCGGAGTTTTTTTATTCGAGTATGGCTGGTTCCATTCCCTTGAAACCAGTCCGAATAACATCATCTCTCACTATTAAAAATAACCTATTTCCTTTTATAAAGCATTATTCCAGAGCTTTACAGTAAGTTTAAAATCGGAAGTTGTTTAGGATACATTGGCTACAAGTTTTAACGATTAACGACAACGTTTTTTCGTGATTGAAACTAACTGACGGTTATTTTTTTCGTTTGTTTTCTTTCCCTCTGTAGCATCCCAATAGAAATCGACCAGAAATGGCTTCACTGCTGAGGATTTCATTTTATTTCTTTTAGTTATTCGGAGCAGTTTAAGTATTATAGATGATAATATGGGAGTTTGCAAAAGAAAACCCAAGTAAAATACATTAAAAGAAATAGCGCCGGCAAATTTATAATTTATTTCTTTTCTCTTTGTTTCCTGATTTATTCTAATGTTCGCAATACACGTCATTTTGAGCCAGAGACCAAGACACAAGACGCCATTATCAATTCTATTTTACTACGGTTCCATTCCCTTGAAGCCTGTCAATAAACCGGATAACATTTTCTTGTAATAGCAAGTAAAATTAATTGTCATTGCTCCTGGTGGGGCTATTTAACGATGGATTCTAAGGGAACCAAATTGGCCATGTCTTTTGAAGATGAATAAGATAAGATTGATAAAATTTAAAAAAAAAAAAAGCCACAATAAAAATTGAAAAATGTTTTTTCTTTAAAGAGATGGAACCTCTTAAAATGATAACTATTTAGCTGTCAGCCCAGCGGATCCCAACCATCAGGTTCACGAGTCGTCTTTCAATTGGTAAATTTAAACGTGTCGGGGAGTACAATGAAGTTGCTAATGCTTCAGAGCAATTCAGGCTGAAACCGCTGGGAAAAACGCAGTCTGTCTAAAATGTAAAAAAAAGAAAGCTTCTTTCCTACTTCACACAGTCGTTTTAATGTTCCCACAGCGGTCAGGAATTTAGTGCTTAAAGGCTATCGGAAGAAAGCTGCTTGTCTTTCAAAAGCTTTTTTGCCTAAATAGTTTGTCAAGCTTTTCATGTGAAGCACGAAGAATTCTTTGAATATGTTTAATTCCATGATCTGAAAGTGCACTCTCCAAACTGATAACATTCTTTCTTTGTTGGTCAGTTCCACAACTTTGTCCATGTATCGAGCTACTATCTGTTCAGCGGATGAGGATTGTTCTTTACTTTCTTTTTCCTGAGGGCAAGTAGAACTTACACACTGTTTACTTCTAAGAGTTAAAGAGTTCCCTGCAAGCTTGCTTCCATTACTTGATAAGGAAGTTTCAATGCGTTTAGTCACCGAATGACGCAGATAAGAACTCACAGGAAAGGCCTGATACAAAGCAAGGATTATTCTGTTTTTTGCTAAGACTGCTCTTCATTGATGAAATCTTTTATGGATATGACAAAAGTTGTTATTGAATCTTTGGTTTCAAAAGTCCAGTCGCTTGAAGCGCAAGAAACACAAGTTGCATTTTTAGGTTATCTTTAGACAGTTGGTTAATTGCTGATCACTGCTTTCTAAAGTGAAACTGAATGTTAATTTGCCAGTACTAAATATTTCGGCATTTAAGGCTGATAAGCGGACGGACATCACATTCATTAACAATTTCTAAAGCTTCTTGAGCACAAAAGAGTCTCACAACTGAAAGAAAGTAATTGTTTTAGTTATATGTCCCATCTGACGTTACTATCAGTTTTATAATAGCAGGTATTATGTGGAAACAAATTGGCTCAGTCAAAGACATGCAGCTATATTTTAATATCAATTTCTCTTGGACTCATTTGCATAGGTTTCATTGCCTTTACCTTTGACAATTAAGGCGAAACAGGTGTTCGCAGTTCCACTTATTATGAAAGATGCGAAAACGCAGTTCACAAAAACAGACCCTACTAAAAAATTTCTTCAGCGACCGTAAAACGTTTGAAGGTAAAATGGAGGAAGGGTTTAAAGTGGTAAGTTTAGAGTTTTTAGCTCAGGGTGTTTAGCGGTCCCTTTGTATTCAGGAGGGAGCAGCACTAACCGCGCAAAACACGTTCTTATATTGCATGGATGTGTTTGTGAGTGATTTCTGCTGTTTTTAAGTTTGAAAATTGCCTGTTTTAGCTAAGACATCGATCCTTACAATTACATTTGTGATTTCCTCCGTAATTCATAAATATGAAAATGTAAATTTAGAATTTTAAACCATAGCTTCCTCTGCATTCTGTAAGGAGACTGGTAAAAAACAATCCAAAAATACAGGCTATAGAAGGGAACTTTCATAGCTTAAGCCCCATGCTGAATTTGTGCAAAAATTACGATTAACGTCCTTCACTTTTTTCTGTAAATGCTGAAGGCGCCAAGTACATCACCAAGTGTGACACAACGAAATTTTCAATTGTTAACATATCTGAGCAACTTTAACGAACCAGTAAGTTTAACTGCAAATCTAATCTGAGTAGTTATGTAGAAACAGGCTGGAAATTCAAACTGAGCATTTTTGTCGGAGTGTGTAATTTTTGGAAATTGAGATGACAGTCGGAAGCTACGCAGTTTACTCTGTAAAATTTGGTATCGGATTGATTTGAAGGTAATTTCCTTTTTATTCTGAATTTTTTAAATGTAAAGTTTTCTTGATACCCTGACATGAAAAACCTTTGACGAAATCTGGATTTATAGAGTCATGCTCTATTGATAAGTACAACATTTCAGTCGCATTTTTTAATTAGCGAGAGAAAATTCCCCGCAGTTTAAAAATCTCGCCAGAGGTTTGTTTACAAAGTGAAGGATTATTCTATGGTTTCGTTTCTTAAAAATAGCTTTCGCTCCGAGGAGATATTTTAAAGGCATCCTTAAACGCGAGAATCATCGTGCGCAGTAGTTAGTTTGGCAAAATGCACGTCAAAGAATCGTTTCTGAACACTCAAGAAGAAAGGCATCTGGTCACTATCAGTACGCGTAGCTCTTTGTTTATTGCCGAGTAGGGCAAAAACTAATACGATATTCTAGCGCTTTGAGTCTTAAAATTAAAATACTCGTTACCGATTAGTCTCACACTTTCCTGAGTGTGTCGTGAACAATCGTCAATATTTCCATGTGAAAAAGAAATGTGTTAAACTTTAGAAATAGGTAGTCTTAACACTTACGTGGAAAGATCGGAGGCTAAAAAGTGTGCTTTTTTCTCTCTATTTTGTCATTTTTTCATGGCAAACTATTCAAGTTCAAAAAGAGAGGCATTAAACTTCTAGGGCTACTGCTTCCCCTTTAATCTGTTGCTCTCGTAACATTCCTATTCTAGATTTGACATCATCTGTTCATGGTATCTGATTTCAATTTTAAAAAATTGTTTTCCTTCGAGTGAATGTAACACTCATTCTGCCTTCCCACTCAGTTTAGCGTTCTTTTTAATCAAAAACTGTACATCTTAATTTTCTTGTCTGAATGACTTCGTGCATGCACTGTTAGTTATTAAATACTCCATCTTTTTGACAAATATCGATCTACTGAACCGATTTTCAAATCAACGGGTTGATTATAGAAGTGCAATTCAATCGAAAGCAGGTGGAAGGAGATAGACTGTCAGTAGCTAGGTCACTCAATTTTCTCTCTTTCATATTTTAGTTTGAATAATTACACAAATGGCAGTCAATAAAGCGGCTGGCTTATTTCGTTCATGCTGGCGATACGACGTTACCACATCGGCTGGCCGTCGCATGCAGTCGCTGAAGATCATCGGTGTGGCGATGATAGCCGTGCTCGGCCTTCTCATCTTCGTCGCTGAGGATGTCCGCCAGGCACACAAGAGTATTAATTTAGCAAGCGAAATGGAAGATAAATTGCAATCAAGTCTTCAGGTGGCATATCTTATTCATCGCTTGCAAATAGAGCGTGGCCTTACTGTATTGTGCCTCAGTTCCCGGAGTTCAGGAAAAATAACGCAAAGCGTTTACGACAAAATGAACAATGCCCGAAAAGAAACGGACAAGGCTCTGGAAGAAACGGAGTGGCCATTCTTGCACCTATCCATTGCACCTTTCCTTGCCAGTGCCGACCGTTTTCACGAACATTTGAAGGTTCATAGGAATTATGTTGGGGAGAACTGTACAAGCGGCGAACCGAACGGTCAAATTAAGTTCTATACTCATCCAATCAACTTGATGCTTGATTGGTTCTTTGACACGATCAAAAATACCTCCCAGGAGATCAACGTGGATATGATTGGATACTACATGTTCCTTACCGGGAAGGATAAAATTGGCATAGAACGAGCGCTTGGTGGATCCTTTTTCGCAAAGGGACAATTCAACAACACAAACCTTGTGTATTATGCAAACCACAGTATACTCGGAGGAGAATACTTGAAGTCGAGTGGAATGTTAATGCCCGAGATTAGTATGGAGTTAGATCAAAATGTAAACGACGACCTGGTAGCTTCGATTGAGAAAAACCGAAGTGTAATTTTCACAAACAAAGCCAGCAATGGGTCAGCACAAAAAGGCGAAGATTGGTTCGATCTCATGACGAAGTACCTTAACAAGTTGTTCAAGGTACAAAATAATGCAGGTGACATCCTCAGAAAACGCCTGGAAGACACAAAGAAATCTAAAAAGTCAGACTTGGCCATGCGATTGTCGTTTCTTATTTTTGCGTTCCTTTTGATTCCCTTCCTGGTAATTTCCGTTTACCGAATGACCGGGACGATTCAAAACTACACATTCAAGCTGGCACAAAAGACCTTGGAGCTACAAGAAGAGAAAAGGCGAGCAGATACACTCCTTTACCAAATGTTTCCTCATTCTGTCGCTGAGATGCTTAAGAAAAAGCAGCAAGTTCCAGCCGAGTACTTTAAAAGTGTCACAATATTCTTTAGTGACATCGTCGGCTTTACGGAGATGTGTTCTGTCATGACTCCTTTACAGGTACGAGTTTAAATAATCATTTTAACGCTCAATAGAATTTGGGAGATTTTTCTCCTTCTAAGGAAGGGTGCTTCCATTACTGAATGGGCAGAAAAGACTTTGTAAGGAGGGAAGCTACTTCTGTATGGCTACAATCCCTCAAAAAAACTACGAGATGAAAGTCTCTTATTGCTCTTAGGATAAAGCAAATCTAGATACAATGCTTAGCTTGCTAGAACCGAGTACTGACGAGGGTCCATACTGACGAAAAATTATATATCGATTTAGGTAACAGGCATGCTAGACGCCGTGTATGGTGTTTTTGATGAGCGCATCAATACTTATGACGTATATAAAGTGGAGACCATTGGTGATGCATACATGGTGGCATCTGGGCTTCCCGAACGGAATGGCATTCAACACGTTGACCAAATAGCTCGCATGGCGCTTGATTTGCTTACGGCAGTGGATGAAATGGAGCTGCCACAGTTCTTTACAGGAAAAATCACAGTGCGGATTGGAATAAATACTGGTAAGTACAGGTTAAAATATGTTTCGTTTTGGTAAATATACAGAAACTTACAGTTAAAATGATTTCCTAGAAAATAGAGATAATGCATAGGTGCGCGTAGAGATGGAATTTATCTTCGAGTGTTAAACTCGATAGCTCACAAGTGAGCGCAGCGAACGAGTGAGATGTCGAGTCGAACACGAGAAGAGATAGTTCATGTCTACAAGCAACCAAGTATTGTTTATTTATCATAAACGCGCAAAAGCCCCTTGCTGACAAGAAAAGTCGACTTTGTTAATGAATGAAAAGGATCGACAATCGCCGAATTAAAATCGAAAAGTGCGCTGGCTCACTCAAGATGAAAACATGCGTTGAATCACTACAAAAACAAAATTCTGAGTTATTGACTTGGTCCTTACCGACAGAAGAAATCTTTCAGGTACGCGGCTAAAATTGGCTTATGACAAATCTGCTAGTCGTCGATTTTTTTCCTTAACCAAAGCCACTGAATGCATAACTTTCGGTTTTTTTCTTTAAGTATTTCGGCTTTCTTCCCCTTCTAGGAAAGTTTAAACGTCACTCTCTGTAAGCGATACGGGCTTTTCAGTGTTTTAGGAGCCAAAATCCGAAAAAATCCGACAAACGACCTTAGTCATCAACCTGACCGAGTGGCGCGAAAGGCGAGTGACGTGTCCTGTTTCAAAAACTACAATGAAAAAGATAGGGAGCTGTGCTTGCTTAAGAGATATGATAAGTCAATCTTTCCCCATTTATGCCTGTACTGGTACTTATCACGCGGGTCATTTCATCGGTTCACGTTACTTTTTTTGGAATCAAGTGTTTTTACGTAAAACTTGATAGGTAGGAAGTCTCGAGTGTGTAGAATAAGTAACACACAATTAATTTTGTGAACAATCACGCGATCAAAACATCTCTCGAATCGTTGCTTTTAAGTTCATAATTTGCATCCTCGAGCCTCGTGCATGATTTTAGCCATATCTTTTTTCCCTCTAGTAATTTTTAAATTTACCTAATTAAAAGGGGATAATATGCACACCAAACTCATGCGATAAAAAATATAGGCCACCGTGCTCGTTCAAGAGCAAAAAAATATTTTACTTGTTTACTCCGTTCATTGATTGAAAAACAATACCATGATCTCGGAAAGTGCGCGCTATTACTCTCCTAATGATGTGATTTTGATGCGCAGCACAGGATGTGCAGAGCAATGCTGAGAAAGCCGCTTTATTTCTCATTGGCTGCTCGGAAGTAATTAATAGCACTGTTTGCTGTGTTTATGCTATACACAAATGGCTAACATCGTGTCGTATCGAATGCTTCCGTCTAGGACCATGCGTCGCTGGTGTTGTTGGCACCAAAATGCCTCGATATTGTTTGTTTGGTGATACGGTGAACACTGCTTCACGAATGCAAACCACGGGAGAACGTAAGTAACTCGAATCAGTGGCGGAATAAAGTGAGGAAAGTAAGGAATGGCGCTTTTCTTCACACACTTTTTTTTTTTATCAAACTGCTGATTTAAGTAAAGTTGTCATGAATTAGTTGCTTTTCAGTACGTGAGCCTCTGTCGCGCAATGAACTTGTATCACATCTTTTTCGTTCTCTACCTGAGCATGCGCAGGCTGGGTGGAATAGCATCTATTCGTAGTGGACATGCAGCATCAAGTCTTCAGTTCTCAGGCTGAAAGCTAATTCGATAACATTCATTTGGAATAACTGAGATGACAAATTTGACGAATCAAGGAAGGAGTTTTGTCACGAGCGTGGGACAAAAACAGGTTCTGAGTCTTCATAAGAAAAAGAACCTTAGACTTTCGGATGTCACGCATCGATTCTCTACCACTGAGTTACAGACTGAGACTGAGTTAAGCAAATATTAGGCTCATGTGCAACTGGCTGTTGTTACACTTAGGTGCAGTCAACGAGGCTCGTTGTCTTATCATTCAGTTGAACTTTTTAACAATGATTCGTTAAATGCAGATCACTCGTGTGAGTGTTGTAGTTTACAGGAATTTGGAGGACTTTGTCGAGAGTTTGGAGAGCGCCAATATGTTAGTTTATGTATCCAAAAGAATTAGGCTGCAGCTGCAATTTTCTTTCTTTAGGTTAAGAGTGAGTTACCTCTTGGCTTGTTCATTTTCTTTTCTTAGCTCAAAAAATACATATAACAGAATACACCAAAGACATTTTGGACCAGCTTGGGTGCTACGAAGCCGAATTCAGGACCTATTTAGAGGTTAAGGTACATGTAACTTTGTTGCTCTTGTAGGCCTCACCACTTAAAAAATGGTTTATCCTAGGAAGGTTTAATGTTTCCTATACAAACTATTTTCATTAGTTCAAAATACCCGTGAACCAAGCGCTAAAACCATATCTTGAATTAGAATATCAGTTAATCAATACCCTGATAACAGAAGCTTTTTCAATTTCATAAGTAATTCTTAGTTTACATTTCTACTTTTTCTGGCGCAGGGCAAGGGAAAGATGCGTACATACTGGCTGAAGGCTGTCGCAGAGGATATTACCCAGTAAACGCCGACTTATTTTTCTCTGTCGTATGAATGCAATATTCATGTTTAAATCTGTTAAAAACTTTCCTAGAAGGTAGGACTCTCCAATTTTGTAACGGGCACTGTACTAGGGGATACATTCAGTTTTGATCTACAGCTACATTCATGAGGTACGAAAACAGATGTGAATGTTTCTCGCATGTTCATTTTCGCAGCCAGTATAGCTGGTAAAGTTTTATTTCGTCAGCTCCACATTTCTCTAATTTTTAAGAAAATCGTTTGAAATTGACTAAATTTCGTGAACAGTTTTAAAAGGCAATGTTGCTTGTAATATTTAAATGCTTCACTCCATAGCTAATACGAAGAAAAAATTCAAACGTTTCAGCAATTTGAGATCTAACTAACACTTCTAAATTATACCCAGTATACTTTTATAATGCACGGCTCCTTAGCGGGAACTTACGGACGAGAGCGTATTCTTGCAATTGTAAGAGACTGAAGTCTGTTATCTTAAAAAGAAAACGGAAATGTCGACCCGTACCTATTAAAAAAATTAACTAAGTATGAATAGAGAGTCATTAAAATAGCTTTTTGATGTGTAAGTTTTACCCTTAATGCTGCTCTACGTGGTTGATATAAAACAGAGAGCAATACCATACCTCACCTTGTTAAGCATTTCTTAATAGTCAATTTGAATACACAACCTCACTACAACTTATTTCGTCGTACTATTCCACTTTCCGTATTCATTCATTTACTATGGATTCAATATCTTTTAATAGAGAGTAGCATTCAAAATAAAATTGACTCAAAAATAAACAGTTGATTCCATTGGTAAACGTATCACGTGACTTTATCATGTAAGTTAGATTTTGAACATGGTTTGCACCATCGATACATGCGATAAACAATAATATCTGGATGAACCATTCAAAAAACTTTTATCTTCACCAGCCTAAATAAAGGTAAGGAAATGGTAGTATTCGCAGGTGGGAGATCGATTAATCTGTAGAGTTGGAAAAAATCGTAACCACTCCTCTGCAAAACTTCGATAGAATGGCAGTACATGGGCCAAATTGCCAAATCCTGGATGTCAAACCGCGTTGTTGGAGAAGGTAAAAAAAATATTCTTGATAATCGTTAAAATGTGCCGAACCAAATACCACTCATATCCATCAGCTGTTCAGAACTGCTAAAAAGAAGAGACTTCATCTCGTATACTTACAAGGCAAACATAAGAACAACAAAAGAAAAGTGCTAAGGGAATTGACCTATCTGAAATTGCCTTGTCCGAAGTTCAAACATGGACTGCAAACGGCGAACGGGAGTCGGGCTCCGTGACTCCTAACAGCTTACGTTAACACTTATTTGGCAATAAACGTGGATCTAAAAACTCTCTAATAGCTTATCCTTTTTATGTGCCTTTGCTTCGTTGTTAAAACGTCTACTAACTCCAATTGCTACTAAAATTTCAACTAATATTACCACGCACTTATATTTCGATTTAGTTTTGTTTCTAAGGGAGGTTCCTCAATCACGTAATCAGGCGAATAAGCGCGCGCATTCTGAAAACATTGTACTGCTTTTTAATAAATGGACCAGGTAAAGAGGTAAAATATCTTTAGCTCTTTAACGAGCACGGTGACATATTTTATCGCATAATTTTGTTGCACAAATCATCCCCTTTAAATTTGAGACATTAAAAAAAAGATCATCGAAGGGAAAAAACGATGTCGATAAAAGCGTGCACAAAGCCCGTTACTTGAGGATGCAAATTATGACCTTCTAAGTTACGACTCGAGGAACATTTTGAGTCGAAGTCGTTAAAAAATGCGTGATTTTTTCTCAAATTATATATTAAATTGTTACATACGCTCAAAAGTTTCTACGTATCAAGTTTTTTCAAATATTATTTTAAAAACTTTTGTTTCCAGCTATCTCAAAATGTATCGTGAACCAATGAAATGAAGCGCGTAATCAGTGCCAGTTCAGACATCAATGGGGTAAGTTTGGCCCGTTATATCTCCTAAACAAGCACGGTGACCTATCTTTTTTATTATTAATTTCAAAACAGACATTGGTAGGCACGTTTTAAAAAAAAATTGTTCGATAACTTTTTTTTCTGAGGAATCACCTTAACCTTGGGAGCTGACATTACACTTGTGCTCTATGGGAGATCGAGCAGGCACATCTGACCTTATACTAAACAATCGAAAGCACGACGGTTAATCTTGAGATAATCTCCAAGTTTAAGAAAACTCTCACAGATGTGAACTTTGCAGTGATGAAAAGTTCAAAAGTTTCATGCAAATAAAGCACTGAAAATTTTGAAAATAGAGAAACACGCGTTCTAAAAGTATCAACAAGAAACCCAGAGATATCTTTCCCTAGGAAAAGTACACCAAGATTGTTGATTTTAACTGCGCAACAAGCTTATGAACAAGAATTGATTGTCAATTAAGATTCCTCTTTCGGTTGGAATCTGATTAGCACCCATCAGTGCGATTTATTTACAAATCGCACCATCTTTTGCTACAATATACGGAACGGATATGCACGAAGAACAACTTCCTCATATCCAGCACCAAATTGTTTGAACTAAGAAACACTGTTCATCAAATTACGTGTAGCAACTGCAGTCAACACTTCATCGGAAGCACGACACGTTTCATTCAAGATCGTATACTGAAGAGAACACATGGACAATGAAAACTCCTCCGTAAAGAACATCTCAAAGTGCCAAAACAAAGTCCACAAAGGCATCGAAACGATCGAGACAATTATACGGTTCGAAGCATTCTACATACGAAAATACAAACCTACCCTTAACTCTCGAAAATGTAGCGAATTCGCGGACCTTTTGTTCGAATGAATATTTTGTCATATCTGGAAAGACTCATTGTGTATTGACACTCGCTTATGAGATCATTTTTATCTTTACGCTCATAAGACACTCGCTCATAAGATCATTTTATCCGTTTTTATTCATATTTGTACCTTATTATTTATCATGTATTTTTCACCTGGTATTCTTTTGCTTTTCACACGTTTTCACTCTACTGTTGTATTTAAGCCTTATGCAGAAATTTTTTCTCATCCCTGATGATGCCGTGGATCGGCGAAAGCTTGGATTTTAAAAAAGATAAAAGATAACATCAATTTTATAGTGATTTAAGGCCTCATTTGAACTTTGGAACCTTTGTCTGACCAAACTGCAATCCACTTAGTTTCATTACCATAATTAACCAATTTGGATGCTATGCCCACCAAAGGTGTTTTAAGGGGAATTTAGGGCGTGGTCTCGTCAAGAGCTTATGAAGGAGATCGCATACAAAATTCAAGAGTCGTGAACTACTTTACCTCAGGAACGATCCGCGTGAATGCATGGTCCTGAGTTAAAGCTGGTAAAAGAGCTGGACGCATACATTAAATTGAATTAAACCTAACAGAACGCGGAAAGAGCGGTAAAGATTTTTTTTATTTTCAAATTTTTTTGTTGACTAAAATTTGTCTAAAATTTTCTGTGGGATGTTTAACAAATGTTCACTTGAGTAGATATAGACTTGACCAGAGAATTGTCTCTCTGAAAGGAGAGTCTCAAAGGAATTAAACTTCAGCCGTCAAACAGTCTAATTTCACCGTCCACCTTCGATAAAAATAAATTATAACTGTCAATTGTCAAAAGAGTAGCTTAAGGGCAATTATCAAAAAGTTCCAAGGTCTTTGAGATCTTGTCAAAAAAAAAAAACCAAAGGATAAAAATAATTTGGACTCAATATCCTAAAATCAAATCGTCAAAATCAGAAAAGAAAAATGATCAATCGTAAACCGTCGAAGCAACCCTTTGTTGAGACCCCTAAGAAAAATATTATTCTTATGGGACCCCCGTTATGTTGATTACTTAGCGAAATACTCACAAGGTTTCTCGGGCTAATAATGCGCACGAAAAAATTTCGCGCCTCTGATTGGCTGAAAACGAATGTATTCTCTTGTAATACGAGTACAAATTACTAATAGCGCGCACGCTTTCAAAATTTCGATGGTCATAACTTCCTGTGATGTTTTTTCATGAACATTATTAACAAGTAATAATATGATTCTCTTGTCCCACGGGCTCGTGTAATTTTGTTGTCTACGAAAAATTTCTCGTGCTTATCAACACCAAATTGCATCCGAAATCATGTTCTTACCACTACTAATAATACACATGCAAAACTTTCAGCTTGCTCATCGGCTGAGTACACGTCAATTAACTTCGAACAGTGCAGAAAATCAAAATTGAGTGCAGAAAGTTGAAAATAAATTGATTGAGAGGTAAGTCACCAAAGCACAACAAAACAAAATGGCGGACAGGTGTGACGAAAGTAACAACCTTTTATTAAGTGTTCGAGGGAGAATGTTAAAAACAAAAACACCCAATAAAGTAAAAACTGCTGGCTTTAAGTCTGACTTCCAGTTACGGATATGGAAGTGTGAACCGGAGGCCCTGAATAGAATTCTTGAGGAGTTTTAGTAAACAGTTTATCCGAAAGACGGGGAAGATTACGAGCGTCATAGCTTTCGTGAAATGGTTATTGTTGTCGATGACACCCAAGTGCAAAAAAAGAATACAAACGCTCAATTATTCTCGAAAGAAAGGTTTTAAAAGTTTGAAGAAAATTCTTGGCGAAAAAGCCCGACTACTCCGGCAACAAGGCAAAGGCCTAAATGGTAACCTATGAAAGGAATCAAAGACAACTCATACGGAAAACAGTCATCTTTTTGCGTGCATCTGATATCATTAACTAGTGATCACATATTTTTTCCTGTGCAATTTGGAATAAGTCAGCATCAGTAAATCTTTCAAAGACTACAAATTGCTTTTGCCCTACGGGCCTTTGAAAAATTTACTCCAACTGATTTATCCCAATTGCACGCGAAATCATGTGATTGCTTGTAGTAATTTTAATTGCAAATCAAAATTTCAATTCAGCCTTTTATTCAGTTACTCTTCCACTTATTAAGGCACCTATGACAAGGATGCAGAAATTCGATAAACAGTCATCAGCTACATAGGATATTCATGCATCGCTATCGCAGCTGTAGAAGAGAGCTTCAATATCAGTTCATGCTGGTGAAATAGACCCATTTCAAGCGTGACGTCACATCACGTGACATTGCGAACTGGAGGACAAGCTTTAGTTTGTTTACAGCATGGCGGCGAAAGCGACTACGAAGCGTGGGTTGTTACCCGGTTATTTTGAAAATCTACAGGAGAAAGAATATGCGTAAAGCTAGCGATTGCCCCTAATTTCCAGGGATTTTAAATACCTGGGAAAAATTGAGTTCCTGTTGCAGAGAGAAATTGAAACAGAGAATGTTCGTAGGCTCAGAGAACTCAAGCCTGCACTGGTCAGGTTCGTCTGCCCCCTCCCCTGCCATTTTTGTTAGCTACTTTGGTTGATTTCGTCTTTGGTATTCCTTAGCTACTGCACTATTCAAAGACTTATTTCAAAATAAAAACGCCTTTAACGACCAAGTATTATCGGACCTAGTCTTGTTTTATACATTTTACACATGTGCCCTCAACTTCGGGTTAGGATAACAAATAATTTTTGGAGAAAGCATGTCCACATAACAAACAAGCATAATCAGAACTATCACCAGTGACACTTTTGCAGACTTAAAAAAAAATAATGAAATTATTGATGAGAACAAAAATAAAAGCGTTAGGTGTTAAAACAGCATCATTTATGATATAAACATTATGTGAGTTATTGGTGTTTTTGAGTAGATATTCTGAGAGGAAACAATCGCAATTCTCAGTGCGAATAATTTCATTCTCTACCACTGGGTAAAGTATAACCTGGAATTTCATCAGAACATTCTGATGGACAAAACTCAAAATTTCTTTACTTGCGTCTAAATATTTCGACTCTGACCAAATTCATTCCAGAAAGGGACTTCCAGAAAGAGAATGCAACAATCCTCTCAGTCATGTCGAGGTCCTCCGTTAAATGTTGTTGTTGAACTCCACCCCTTTGTGTCCCATTTCTTTATCTTCAGAAGAGTTACCTCGTCCTCTAACACTAATTCGTGAAAATGCGGAACGAGCTCCTAAGCAACTTTGCTGGCTTTCTGTGCTGACTTTTCGGCTCTTATCCGAGCAGATACTAACTTTTCTCACACGAGTCGTGGAAATATCGCTGGAGCGTCTCCTGAACACTTCGTCTACACCTGGGCCCTGAAGGACAAGACGGCGTAGAAGCACTGCAATTGTTCTTCGCATGTCGGGATTTCGGTAAGAGTACAAGAACGGGTTTACTGCACTTGAACAGTAGTGCATCCATTTGACGAATTGCAGCAGGCGGGCGAAAATGATCGGTGAAGGAAGGGAATCTGGGTCAAACGTAGCAATCATGGTCACGACGAAAAGGGGCAGCCATGCGATGATAAATAGCATTGTTATGAGAGCTACGGTTAAAGACAGCCGAATCTGTAATGAGAAAGTTGAGATAAACAAATGGAGTGAGGGAATATTTGATATGAAATGTAGTGGATTCGTTTCACCTTAAGGTATCATTTTTTTAAAATACGGGTGTCCGACTCGAGGTACTTTTGGATGAGACACCAGAATATTACATAACGCGATACAGATTGAACGAGGTGCACCCAGCATCCACTCTAGGAGTTGGAGCGGGCCTCTGATTGAACACTGTTTTAGAATTCCATCTCTTAAACACAAAATATAGTTCCCATTATTTTCTTTTGATGTCAAAGAATCATAAAAGAGTGGGGTTGTTACCTACTGTCAACATAGGTATTAAGTCTGGCAAACAGAAACCTAGAAGATGAAAAAGGAACAAGACTCACCTCTTTTTCCAAACTAGTCTTGTGGGCCTTTCTTTGGCTTAAATTTCCCTTGCTCTTGGCAGCCACTAAAATGCTACTGTAGGCAGTGATAATCACCATCACTGGAATAAAGAAACACACACTTGCGGTCAGAATTGTATATGGCGTTTGCCACTCGGTACCATACTGTAACGGTTGCAGAGAAGCTAATAGAGCCGAGAACAGCCAAACCGATGCGACTGCGATATGGAAGGTTTTCCTTGGGAGCTGGCGATGCCTGAATGGTCTAAGAATGGCATGAGATCTCTCGATACTAATTCCAGTGAGCTGAAGGATGGACGCAGTTCCGATGAATATGTCGGCTGTTATGTATACCTGGTAAATGTGGCTATCTATCTGACGACCGTGGTAATCTGAGAAAGTTATTTTCATCCAAAATGGAAGCGAAACCATACCAACAAGAAAGTCTGCCATTGCCAACCCTATGACTAAGGTGTGCGTCACCGCTTTTCGAAGCCATTTGTTTGAAACGTACGCAGAAACGACGAGGCCATTTCCAGATAGACTTACAACCATAAGAAAGGCATACATTGCTAAAGATGAGTACAGCTCCGATAGAGAACGTTTCCGATGTACGTTTGCTGATGGGTCGGTTGGAGACAACGTGGACAAGCCTGTCTCCAATCCTTTAATGTAAGTGTTGTTCGATAGCATTGTATCGCAAATGTTTTCCTTGTATTTTCCTTCTTCTTTCTAATTTTCAGTGTATTTTCAGTGTTTCCAGGCGTTTTAGAGAAGACGTGGTTACTGCAGAAGCATAATATGATCCATTACTTCAAAGCTGTTTGCTTCATATTTAAGACAGTTCTGCAGACAAAGGAGGAAGTAAACAATGTGTTAATTACATGGCAAAATTGATCTTTTTTTACAAGACAGCAAAATTAAAAGAGCCCTCTCTTCATATCTTCACTCACGGTGATTGTTGTGATCGTCGTTAATTATAGGGGGAGGTCTATGACTTAATCTCCCCATGGCTGGCTGAGCATGAATGGAATGTACTTCATGGCTTTGAAACTGTGTAAAGGCGTCTGAAGTTCTCGATGCAGTGATGATAAAACCTGGAGCGTTAAGGATCTTTATCTTGATACCATGAAATATTTTTACCATGCCATCAAACGTCGGACGATTCAATTGTTTTATGATTAGACATTACGCAACCACAAGCCCATAATTATCTTTTACCACGATGCCGAGGGACTGACTTGACATTCATCGGACCTACTGTTTCATTCTTGATAAGATCTGTCTAATTCATTTTTGTTTAACAGCAAAGAAAATAGGTAATAAGATCCTTACTTCTGAGATTAAGCGATGAAAACACTATAGATCTGAAAATTTCTTAATTACATAAAACTGTGTGATGTAGAATTTTTCAATTCTGACTTTTTCTCGAAAAGCTCACAAACACAGTCTAACTTTCTGATACGATATATCTATCGTCAGCAGTTAACCTATGTAAATTGTTAGAAAATTTTCTGCTCGTGACATTTCAGAACAAACACGCCTCAAAATGTCGTAAGCATTCTAGCTATAGTGTAGGCGCAGCACCTCTGATCCTGCGTAAAAGCAGTGTCCCTCTTGGACCATTTTTATCTTGTCAACCAATTCAGTTTCTTGATCGGCTCGGAATACACATCGAACAGCGCACAAATTTTCTATCAACATATACGATGGAAACGAAAATATAAAAAGTTTGAAGATGTTATGGAGTGAGTTTGCCATCAAGAGAGTAATCGAAAAACAGCCTGACAAGTCCTTTTCGAGCCGCCAAGTTTCCGATTTTCTGAGTAGTTTAGTCCGTCTACTATCGCAGCTCAGATAATTGAGTAATTTTCTCCCACGCCGCTCCGGTGCACAATCACACGCCTTTCTTTTAACGCCATCATAAAAAAAAAACAAAGGACTGTTTTGTGAAATATTTTCTCTTGTCCAGAATAAACTACAGATAATTACACAAACACAATGTCTAGGATACTACGTTAATCGCGGTAGTTAGTATTTCTATCGCGTACTTCAAGCCTTTAGGATGTTTTAAATGTCACGTGTTTGATCAACTATGTAGAGCCATAAATAAACATCTGTCATCAAATTAATTGATGAAACTTCAATAATAGCCGGGATGAATATCTCTGAAGCAAGTATGGTGAACCAAGGTCACCTTAAAAATCTCTTATTCGCTGATTTGTCGCTTTCCATGACAACGTTAATTATGATATTTGCGTTTTGTCTTCAGTCTGGTAAGTAGCCTTTTGTGACATTTAAGTTCCCGACCTTGACCTGGGTGGGAACTGACAACGTTTATTACGATATTTTGCGTTTCATTTTCAGTCTGGTAAGTAGCCCTTTGTGACATTTGAGTTCACGACCTTGACCTGGGGTGGGATCTGATTGAATAGATAATTGACTTTTTTTTAAATGACATTTCCGGGGAGTAGGACGTTGCTTTTGTATTTAGAAAGTGAAAATTGATTTTCTCTTAATTGATGACGCAATATCGCATTTGACGATTCAATGGTAGTTAAACTCAAGGTTTATTGAAAGAGATTTCTGTTAAGAACGTGATTGTGACTCACCATTAGCGCTGAATTCTGAAAGTTTTCATTTGGGCACCAGAAAGCGCTGAAAAAAGAAAGTAACAACACGAAGTGATCGATCGAAAGTTGGAACGTGTAAACTTGAAACCTATATAATTGTAAGTAAGGGATCCGCACTTCTACAAGACGAGAAGCTGAAGCAAACACGAAATTATGTTAGGTACGACTGATTCCACTGAGGTATATGATAATACCGAGGGTGTCAACCAATAAATACCATTTTGTGTATCAATTTCTTAACAAGGACCTTTTGGTTTCTTCTCCTTGTAGTTTAGGGTCTATCTTTGATTCTGTGCAAATTTGATACATAGAGGTTTGAACTGGTTTTATTTTTGTTTGGTAAGAAGACACGTCGAGAAGGCAACAACTCCAAAGTAACATGAGAGAAGATGATATTTGTTGGTGCAAAGTCTATCAGTCCTAATACACGATAGCTGCGGGAGACTATTACACTTTCCCAAGCAACTTCTAGTATTGCTACCCGCAAGCCTCCCTTCCTTTCCGAATGAGGTGATCTGGTGCCGTTTGTATTCCTCTGAGGATAGAGGTAACACTGTTGATATTGAAGTGTCTCGCCCAGCATAGCATCATGAGCGTCCCCGACCACTAATCAATATCAATTGGACTATTTAATGGAGAGTTCAATACACTGACCACCAGGACAAGGTGTTCCTACATCTTGCAACCAACATTACGGCGAGCTCAGGCTTAACCAAATTGTTCTAGTAATATGGGGTAGTTAAAAGCTGACGTGCTCTTATTAGATAAAGATTAGGTCTGCGTTTACCAAGACTGACTTGTAAAGCTGCTACAGCTAATCCTAGTTTGCCTCACTCACCGCTGTGCAGGAATAATGATCCAGTAATGGGAAAAAATCTGATCTTTCGTGAGAAACTGTAAGAAATAAGATTTCCATGAATTTTATAGAAAGCGTCTATAAAGCATTGAGAAGGACTGGCCACATCGAACAATTTCTTGATTTCATCAGTAACCAAGGACTGCGCATTCTCCACTTATTTCGCAGCGAATTTATTGTCTGAACGTTGCTACATAAAGCTGGAAATATGTTTGACCCCAACACAAAACAGGCATTTGAAATTTGTTTTAGGATAGGTTCAAAGCTCCACTTGAGTGAAATTTGCTTTTGACATTTTTAGCCTACAATGTGGAATAATAGAGTCTCACTGCTATTACAACTTTCAAGGGCCACTTCTGAAAACAAATCTAGAAATTGACATGTTTTGGAATGAAAAACGGTTACGGCGGCACAACCCCAACCACAAATCCTAAGAGTCCCTCCTCCCCCTTTGGGTAAAGTGAATCTTTGATGAATGATGAAAGGTGAATGTAATCCTTGATTTCAGCAGGTTCTTAATCTGATTTAATGGAGATATTATTCAAAGTTAACGTGGACTTTTACTTCTTTACTGAAGAAAGGACTTGCACTTCGAATTGACGGTTGAATAAATCATGGATTTTTTTAATTGAACAAATAAATCATGAGTCGGGTATATCCCATGCGGTTGTAAACGTTTTACACGCTTTTCTAAACCACGTGTCTGGCATTCTTCGTTTCAGCCTCAAGGTTGGTTACCCCGAGCATTGTGTCAAGTTTTTCCGAAAGTTCGTAAGTTTGGGCCAAACTCACTTCACGTCTTTGAATGCACTAATGTTGAATTGAATATCTTCTTATCTTCGATATCTTTGGCAAATATCGATTGCCTAATTCTCATATCTGTGCTTGGTTTGTGTGTCCCGCATGCAACGCAATCGAAAACGATCAATACGCGCTCCAGGTAAATCTTAAATTCACTATTTCTCTCTGACATTCTACCTGACATACTTTCAAGCAAAGTCTAATGTATAGACTAATCCCAACTGTTATCACCTTCAGCAATTCAGAGAGGCAGAATGTAAGAAAATTAGATATGACCACACACCTTCCAAAGGTTTTGGTTCGACGAAAAAGAAACAATAAATTTCCTTGGTTTGAGAAAACATTAAAGCTGTTTTTATCGCTGAAGCCGTGAAAAACCTTCCCGTGCAAATGCTGCGTTGTCGGCCATTGTCGCAAGACATATTTGTCGCTATTCTCCCGAGAGATACAACCCTTTCGAACCAAAATAAATTTATTACAAAGAAGTAAACAAGACTCCAAATTCAGTCAATATAATATTAGTTCTCACCTGTCCAGATATCACAAATACAGCTGTCTTGTCAGTTGAAAGGATTGCACATGTTTACCATTGAAAATCAACTTTTGCAGAGGACAGAAACACTCAACTTGTTCGCACGTTAAAAATTCGTTTCATTTGGGCAGGAAGCCATAAACTTCACATGACTGCGTCTTTTATCCTTTTAATCTTCTAGTATAATATATTCAAATAAATGGCAGCTGTATGCATCATTGAACTTCTTCTCCTACTCTCTTGTAATGAACTTTCTGCTCTATCTGTAAAATTTGAAATTCAAAAAAGAAATTGTACACGTGTGTCATCTTCAACGTTTGAAGTTCAGTTTTTTTCAGTATGAAATATACTTACATGTTAAATTGTATCTGATCTACTTCATTTACTCTTCAAATTTCAACATGAAAAATGATTTTTCAGAGAGATGTTTCATATTTTTGTGTTCTCTTAAAAAAAAATGATATAAAATGATAGAGCGTTGACCGAATTCCCTATACCCACAGCAGCTGTGGACGTAATTTACTGCAGGCTCGGAGTGATCATTGCATTACTGCGCATGCTCACGCGTGCAATAATATCGGAGCGCTCATGAATGTCATGCGTGCCGCTCTGCATGCTTGTAAGAATGCTGCTACTTTTTCGTTTGTAATACGAACTTTGTACAGATTTAATGATTGTGCTTTTCCAATTTGTTTTTTGCCAAATCTGGGACAGTTTTTTTTAATATTCATTGTCAAGCAGGTAAAAATGCCCCTTTTACTTTTTTACGTAAACTGACATAAGGCAGAGAATTGAATTTGTCTTTTTCATAAAAAATATCGTCCTTAGGTTCAGGAAATTGAGATTAGCCTTGGGACCTGTCGACAGACTGGTCCACCCCATAAACCATTGCTCTCTAAGTAAAACCAAAACACTTTCACTGACCAGTTGTTATCCTCGGTAGAGAGGCCCACACGGTTACTCATTTACAGGAACAGGAGGACACATCCTGAACTATCTCGAAAATCATATCAACACTGATGATTAACGACTTTTTTCCGTATTTTGATAAGAAAAGACTTTTCCTCAGCCAGCAAGTATAATTAAATCAGGTTGATCGAAGGGAGAGGGGGAAGAGTTTTGTTAAGGTGATAACATTATTTCGAATGTAGTTCGGAGTTAATGAGCGCGAGTAAATTTTTCAAACACAACTAAATTGCATGATCCGTAGCGCAAGTGCAATTCATAGAGAACTCAAGACAGACGAAATTTTGACATTGCGCGCGCGCTATATAGGGTTTGCACTCGTTTTACAACTTTGCGCTCGTGATACAACTTTGAATTCTTGTCACAACTTTGCACTCTTGTCACATGTAATGTACTCATTTTCAACCAATTAAGGGCGCTTATTTTTTTTTTATATATGTTATTACAACAGTTACAGGCATAGGGAGTGTTTTGCAAAATAAATCCATTTTTTCCCACATTCCCAAGTAAAAGTATAAATTACTCCAAAAGACTCTTTGTCAAAGAATTCTTAAAAGGCTGATTTTCACACATCGTATGGTGGCACTTCCAACCCCTAACCGTAAAACCTAAATCCCAAACCCAGAATCCTGACCCTGTCTCTAACCTTATCCCGAAAATCCTGACACTAAACCTAACCCTAGCCCTAATCCCAACCCTCACCCTAAAACCTTAACCCTAACCTGAGCATAAGCGCATAAAAGATCGCGCTCTACAGTTACATGAGTTACTTTGCCTGGTGAAAGAACAGGAGTCGAAGTAACACCAATGACAGAAAATTAGGGCGAAAGAGTGACAACACAGTTAGTTTTCCAATCCCCTTCACTTGCCTGGAAAAGAAGACCAGTACACCTCAATTATACGAAACCGGCCCGCTCATGTTGTCATGATTTACCGTTGCCGGACGAATAGGGATCAACTGCAGTTCTTGGTAGGAAAAACCCTCAAAGACTGACAACGCAGTTTTTAGACCCACCTTGCTCCCCTGGAACTTGACCAGAGGACTTAAACTGCAAACTCGTGTCTAGTTGCCCGTAGTCTTGTGTCTAGAGAGGTAAAGAAAGCAAGCATGACAGGGCCCCACCCCTCCTCCTTCCCTCTTAAAAAAATATTTTCCATAGGTGCATTACATCTTATCGTCATTACTGTTATCCTTTATCAGTTTCACAGTTTATTTGGGACCCAGAAGGTTATTTGAAGGCACTGGTCAAGAGGTGAGACAAAACCAGCCTTTGGGGGGAGTGATTAATCAAATTGTTGATTACAATCGCACCAAAGTCGGACTTACACAGATCGCTCTGACGAAGGGCTAACGCTCGAAACGTCAGCTTTTTTACCCTTTACTGTGGCTAATTTACGTTTTCAACTCAGTTGTTAACACTAAATTACCTTACACAGATCAGTTTTAATCAGTTGTGTTAGGCTCAAAGTCATCATCATCATCATATTATTATTTTCCTTTTTACCAATAAATAATCTACAGCATTACAATTAATAGAACGCGAGAAGACCCAGGAAGCCACGGGACTTATGGGAGAGGCCACTTCACTTACAACAATATATTAAAAAAAGAATAAGTGATGTTAATGTGTGGCTTGGCCAATTCAGTGATTATTAAAATAAAAAACAATTTGCATTTTGTCTAAAGCAAAGACGATTTGACCAACGAGTGACTGAACTAGAGAGTTTTTGGACCTTGTTAGAGAATTGTAATTTGCTTGAGTCACTGAAAATATTCTGAAATTATGTACGTAAGAGTAACAAGATGAATCATTTACCTACATTTCGTTTTTGTATTTTATTTATTCGTGCTTTACATACAATTCAATATATTCTCAGAATACCCACATAACATACTGTTTACTTGCAAAACTAATGTGCATGACAAACGCTAATGACACCAGTACCTGACTAACACGCATAACTCGTAAAAAAATCATTTATGTAAATACCACAAGTGATTGCTTACTTCAAGGGGGCAATACTTCATATCGCAATATATCGTTTCCTGTTTTAAAGTAACTGGTGAAATGACGAAGGCCACTTTTCCTATTCCTTAACGTTTTTCTTGGAATGTTTCAATGAATAGTTTCAGAGCCTTCCGAAGAAAACCTCACATATGTAGACATTGATGTCCACTACAGGAATACATTAATGTCTATCATATGAGTACATTAATGTCCGTCATATGATACATTAATGTCCATCATATGTATACGTTAAAGCCCGTCCCTTAGTTGCCACTAGTTTATGCCTTCATTTGCGCCGTGCAATGCCCCCTTTTGCCCGAATCGTAATTGAATCTGGTAGAGGTTACCGCGCTTGTCCAAATTATTCGGTAGTCCTTCTCAGATGATTTTTTAAAAAATTTGTGGAAGACTTGAAAGTGTTAAGATTCCCTACCATCTTCATGAACTGGCGTAACTTAAGAGATTTTAAATATATTGAATAATGTAGTCAGTGCATCATTTTGAGAATAGCTGTAAGTCTGACACCCTTGTTGAGAATGCCTACTGCCTTTTTATCACAGCGAATCAAAACTATTCAACAAGGATCTACTCATGTTCGTCGAGGGATCAGTGTCACTTATTGGTGATTTATCTGCCGAAGTTTTCTCTTGCTCATATATTGGTCATTAAGCTAATTAAAGATACTTTGTTTGTCTATTACTAAGTAAGGTAGAATAAAGGTTAAACATTTTTGTTAACATAAAAGTGACCTAACAATGAAGAAAAAAACTTCTGGATAAACTTTTTCCAACAATAGGACTTCTACACATCAAGCACCTGAATGGATATATGGAGTCTTTCGTTTAAGAAGAAACTCTCAAAGCTCTCAATAAAAAGTAAAGTATTCCCGTATAACGATTACATGTGATTTCTTCATCCAATGCGTCTCCTCAAGGAAATCATCTCGGTTTGCAGAAGGTAAGGTTTTACTCACATGGACCAGGGGCTTGTGACGTGCTCCTGATGTTGGCGGATGACAAATTTCTAGGACCAGAGTCCTTGACTGTGACCTCGTTGCCCGTAGTAACGATTACTGGGGCAACTTGGGATGCACAACCGAGCATTCGCTTCACTGCACTCTTAAAGTTCGGCAGTCGGAAGGCGTAAAGAAAGGGATTGATGAGAGAATTGATTGTAATGAAAACAAAGTGGAAATCTCTCAGCCAGTGAATCAGCTCACAGCTGCATCCCTGGCAAAGATTCATGAAATAGATCATGATGCACGAAGGTATGTAACAGGACAGAAAGATGCCAAGCATGATCAGATAGGTTTTAGTGAGCTTATTTTCCATCTCTATGGCTCGTTGACGAGCCTTATTTAGCTCTGTTTGACCGTCGGTCAAATTGTCGATTTGGGTGATTTGGTTTTTGGCGTACTGAAAGATACGCACATAAGAGAAAATGAAGATAAAAATAGTGCAAAACATCGTAATGTTGGCAAAGACAAAAGCGTAGGCCACAAAGCCGACAAAGAAGAAAATGGAGGTGGAACAACATGAAAGGATCCAAACCAGGGAGACAGCTGTGGCTACACGCCCATAATTGGCGTTGGCTCTGTACCACAGAGGCTTTGTTATCGCTAAGTAGCGATCGACAGTAAGTGCTGCAAGACTCAGCAGAGACGCCGTGCAACACAGAAAATACACAGATTGAGAGAACCATGACATGCTGATGGACAAGCCTCGAGACTCTCTGTAGTGCGTGTTAATGGACAACGGCTCTACCAGCGCACCCACGATAAGGTCTGTGACGGCAAGATTTGCCACCAGAAGCGTAAACGGGTTTCGAAGATTTTTGTTGGGATCGAATAGAACTGCCAAGATGACCATCAAGTTTCCTGGGACGGTTGCTATCATGAAAACGATAGCTAACACCATTGTCGTTATGGAAACCTCAGTTGGAGCCCAGACACCGACACAGTGACTCGCTCCAAGCCCCATCGCAAACGTTCTTTAGCCTGTAATTAACCACATTAATCGCAATGTTATCTGAAAATGTTCAGCACTAAGAAGCTTTGCAAAATTACACAAAAACCATTCAGGCAGCCTAAAGTAGAAGACCTTTTGAGTTAACATGAGTTGTTCTAAGTAAAAAAAATTCTAAAATAAAATTATTTTAACAGGAGAAATTAACATGAACATTTTGAAGGTTAGTGGTGTATTACAGAGACAAAGCCTTATTGTTGAACTCGCCTTTGCAGATCTTGATAACGTGGATTTCCTGTACTTTTCCATTATTGGAACCCTCCAGTTTTATGATCTGGCAGGCAATTTACATGAACTTTGTGGAATATTTGCCGAATAATCCAATAATATTAAATCAGAAATGATAAAATTCATTGAACTTTGAAATCATTTACCACTGCGTAAAATTCAGACGTGATGATTTAAAAGCTTTTCAAGTGAGTTTCAACAACCCAAAAGAGGTTAATGTGACGGTAAAGAATGCCATAAGTCGGCACTTTCTATATGCATGAAATGACAATTCGGTGATAAATGTTTCATGAATGTTTTAAAAACGGCGGAGGCACTTCTGCGATTAAGGAGATTTTCGAGTGTGTTCCAAATATCCATAAAGTGGTCTATTACACCAATAAACTGATAAAAAGCGCGGTCGGCTGCCTTGACAGAAGTTACGGTACAATGAGTGATAGATTTTTGATAAATTATAGGAGAGAGTAACTCTATATTGCAATTGATAATTTCAAGTTAAACACATTTATATACAATGAATTTTTCTCAAATCTTTCGGTTATTTTTGAGAAAATAAAGATTCTAAAAAACTTACCTCTGTAGTAATAGTGACTGGTGTCTCAAGAACAACTATTTGAAAACAACGGGGCACCCAGTTATTCGGATTTCTTGAGGGTAGTATTGAGTAGTTGTCAGTTATCAGTTATCAGTGGTCCTCTTCTACATTTTAGCTTAAAATGTAGATCTGAAGCGATAATAAATTTTTTTAGAAGTAAAAAGGGAAGCAAGATAAATGGCAGGGAGAAGTTTGACCAAGTTTGCAACTGACTGGTCAGTAACCCTTCTCAGTATGATAACGTCATCAAAGGGAATTTCTAGCTCGCGGTTAGTGTTGAGCGAAAAAGTAACGACGTCTTATCATAGCGATAAACAGTCCAAGTCCCTTCTGAGGATTTGAATCTCAGAGCTTCGGTTTCCATGTTCCGACGCTATAACATTGGGGGACCAAGACTCTAAGCTTCTTTTCTCTTCTATGATTTTTATGGAAAATATTTAGTTCTTAGTTATTGGTTCACTTTAAGAACCTTAAAACACCCCAGTATAGACGATACGATACATTTAATGAGAAGAGTAAATCATGTTTAAAGTGATCTTCTATTCGGTCTGAAATGATTCCAAACTGCAAAAAATTGACACGTAGTGTGAAGTGGTTCTTGTGTTGTTCATTTTGGTATTCCGATTTATACCGTGTAGCCAAACAGGGCTGTTTCAGCCTCTTTTAAGATTTTCAGGTAGAAAAGTGTACTTCAAACGCTTTCTTAATAGTGTGAAGTGTCTTTCGATATATATATTGGTGCTCATTCTTTCCAGAAAGTGTTGGTTGCCTCTTAAACCTTAGTTTTGAAAATAGTTCTCCTTAGAACGATTTTACCAAATTGATTTTGCTAATGCCCCCTTTTATTGAGCTTTGTATCTCATATTATTTCACCATTTTTAACGACAATTCCCCTTTTTCGGACATTAAAAAAATTAGTGGAGCGTGTCAGCCCAGAATTGCAAAACTATGGAATAGTTAACGATTTATGAAACTTTTGTTTTCTGTGGTAACAGCAATCTTGGTATCAAGACATTTCATCAACTAACCTTGGTTCTGGCTTCGTTCCCTCCTCCAGCAGATAGCCTTGCAATTGCCACTTTTCGCCTCATTTCCACAGTTTAAACATTGAAAGGATTTCCTTAGAATCGGGTACGGACCAATGACTATTTTGTTTGATGTTCTTTGCCCAGCGACCAAGTAAACTGACTTTTGTTCCATAATGAAGTAAACTTGAATAAGAATATCGTGCATCATCTGAAGGAAATGTTATATCCGCAATTTTGTTCTTAATGAGTTCCTTAGATAAGTGAATAAATAGCAAGGAATTAGTACACAAATGAAGACGATTGTGAAAATCTTGTCTTTGGCACCTTTCTCTCCACTGTCTTCCCTCAATTCAAAGCCGCGAAAAGTTTAGCGGTGGAAAGTGTCCTGTGTATTGTTGGGATAAAATAATCTCAATCATGATCTTAAAATTTGTCTCTCAGTTACCTTTCCTGGGGAAGTTTGTTTTTGTACCACGACTGTAAAGGGGCAACTTTGAACTTAATTGTTATCAACTTATCACGAAATTCAAAGAGCCTAAATTATTGATTCATTAATGATCAACCATTTGCATAATGCGCAGAGGGCAGTATAATAATGTCATGTTTATCTTCATCTATATAACTATATTTACAGAAATGTCATCAGGCTAAGTTGAAAAAAAAATTCGAAAATTGGAAATCGTTAAGTGGTAATAAATTTGTGGATGAAAGGGGAGCGAAAAAGATGAGCGTAAATTAACAGACAGCTGCATACATCCTTATGACCAGCCTTTTATTGTGCTAAAAGCTGATTCCCATTAAAATCACAATCATGAACATAACTAAGTAAATTGTGCAAAAGATCTAACGTAACGCATCAAAATCGCGTTTTGTTTGGATTTACAAGATCAAAACGGAAGCAACTAATGAAACATACGTCCCTGAAATGTATGCTTAGCTTACCCATCTGATTGCTGTAGTTGCTTTCTTTAACCAGCCGCAGTCCCCCGTGCGATGAATATTTGTTCAAACACTCTCATCGTAAGGACTAATCGAGTATCAAAATAAATGTATTTTTAAACTTTTTGAGTTGAAGGGTGAGATGAGTACATGGATTTAGCACCTGCTTTGAATGCAATTATTTTATTTTCCGATTAAAAGGAAAACAAGGATAAGTGAAAATTAAGTGCCTTTCGGAAGAACAATCACAGATGAAATAATCAAATATTTTTTTCGGCAAACGGCAAAATGTGAAACCAAGCACTCGGAATTTCGGTAAAAATCGTGTTTATTTAGCCCGTAAAATTACTTTCAGAAATATTCGACAAAGATGTGTGATGAGGATCCTAAACAAAGCAAACTTGAGGCAAAACTAAAGAATTTCTCAGTCATAAATCAAAACTAATAATTGTTGCTATTTCACGTGTTCTTCTTCTTCTTTATAGCAAAATATCGTAACTCTGAATAAATTAAAATTAACCCGTTTAAAAAAAAAACACCAACAAAACAGCTGTTTACAAATTTTAGCTAGCGTGGTTTTTTCCAATAGCTGGCAATATTTTTTTTCAGTCTCAGACCAAAGCCAAAGAAAAGAACAACATAGAAAGACAGATCGATTCAGAAATGTTTGATGTGAAGAAGCAAATTTAAAAAAAACTCATTAAGAGTTATTTTCACTAGGATCTTCGGTATTTTCCTATGAAACTGTGGGAGAAATTAGAAATAACGATATGCGTACTTTTTGGTTTATACAAAATTAAAGCAATTAGTTTCGTTGTTATTTAATTTTTTCCCATAACATACTGCTAAGGCAGATGGCAAAATGTGGCACGAATGATTTTAATTGCCTCTTTTGATGTGAAAGCACTGAACGTTGAATCCGAGGCGCAGACTGAGCTGTGAATAAATTTACGGCACTGAGCAGGGGTCCTCCTCGTCTGACTTTGAGTTTCTAAGCCCTAAGAATCAGAAACTGTAAAAGTTTAACTGGCACGAGAAAATTCAATAAATTTTGATGAGAATAATATGGTTTTTTATCGTTTTGATTTTAACTGGCGATACAATTCCAAGTGCTTATTGAAGCATTTCTACTTTGTAAACCTTTCTTCATCCTTTTCATGATAAGAATAATGCTAACGACACGTTAGGTATCAGTGACTGAGGTCTCATAGTTCTACCTCGACAGGCCAGGTTGAAATACGGTTCATTTGGAATGAGTAGCACACTTGGTGGTTTAAGTTTCCGTATGAATAGCATAGTGCAACCACAATAACAAACTCCAATGTAATACTTCCAAATGCAAGGTTTTGTCTATAATGCACAAGAAAAGGCGTTCACTTCAAGTCTATTTTAAAGGCCTCGAAATTTATTTCGCGTGCATAAGGAAAAGGTTTTGGGTGTAGTTCTTCGAACCAGCTTACTTGTCACTCTCATTTGCTTATTATCTCGACAAAAGCTCACAAACTCAGGGCCGTAGCCAGACTTCAGAACAAAACGAGGCAAGTTTCGAGCGCCGAAGGCGCGAGTCGCGAGGGGGGTTTAGGGGCATGCCCCCCCGGAAAATTTTGAAAACTAGAAGCTCAGAAATGTTCTTTAAGCATTTTCCGTGGAATTTTTCTTCAGAAAAGTCAATCTTGTCAAGTCAAGGCGAGGCAATTGCCTCGTTTAGCCTCATGCTAGCTACGGCTCTGAAACTTCTCGGTCTGCTGAAGAGATCATGTCCCATGTTAACTAAAGTGTCAATGAGAATGTCCCTATATTTAGCGGTAGTTTAACCCCTACCTCTGTTATGCTACCAAGTACTAGGCTCTTACCCAGAAGTCAATAAATTTAATATTGAGCAGGTTCAGAGGCGAGCCACCAGATGGATTTTTGAGTTTAAAGCCTCGCCAGATGTCTTGAAGAGAAGAGGTTGCTTGCTTACGAGAGAGAATCGTGGATTCTGATTAATTTTATAGGGCAGTTTAAAGCCATAGTTGTATTGACGTTATTAGTTAACTAATCAGTAAAAATCATACATGTGCGCGCCCCGGCTAGTCTTCTTGCTACCCCCTTACTGTCCCGGCCTTAAGACCAGCACTTTTAAAGCTTTAATTATATTCAAGAGACAATAGAAAATCAGTTTATTTTTCTCTTGTAATATTTTATTCGTATTGTAAAACTATGGAATATCTCTCACACTCACGTTCACTCCACCTGGAAAAATTGTGAGAGTGTGACCCACATACCTCTCGCACGCGGCCAGTGTGTCGTGATGTGGAAGAGTTTTACTCAGGGGAGAAAATTGAGACGCAAGTAAGCATTGAGGCAATTTCGACACTGCCGATTGTCTCAAACATTGTCCTGTTAAATGAAACACGCTACAAAACCATGTAATATCTCCGCTATCAAAAGTAAATCAATTCTTCAGCGTTTTAGGGTTGTAAAGAATAGACTAGCCTCTCAAGAAAGTGTTCATATGTTCTCAGAATTGGAAGATAGATGACACTATTTTGGAAACAATTCACTAAGCTGGTCTCACATGCACTTCATGGCGAGAACCTCAATACGTGGTTTATGGGCAATTAATGCCTTGTTCGACGCAAAAATGATTTTCTGAGTCAATAATGTTTTCCAGCCCTTGTCATTCACCCAGAACGCTTCAAAATTAAATGGAAGTGGAATTGAACTCCAAATAGGTTACATTTGCGACTCAAAATGGCAGCACCATGATCAACTTTTACGTCTTTACCACATTGGAAGACAATTTTTGGAAAGGTGGGTTACTCTATTGAATCTCATCTCCGTGTATGTTTCATACTTTTTTTGGCAGAGTTTATATCTCCTTTAAGCAGGATCCAAAGACAAAGATACTTGCTATTTCCTTCGCAAAACAATGTCAACACTTTGCTTTGTCTATTGTGTAAACCACATACGCCGAATGTGAGGATGGTGCATGATTTAAAAAACGAAACTAGATAGAGCTGAAGGAAGGAGTTTGAGGTAAACAGGACAAGGGAAGAAACCCTTCTGTGGTGGTCAAACGAGTCTCACAAAACGTTTTAAATGGTGTAGTCAACTGCTTGAATACAAGATTTAAAAAAACCTGTCCATTTAACAAATGACAGTTTTGGATCATGATTTTTTGTACGAAGAATTTGGTAGTTTTGACCCTAAAAAGAGCGAAAACTATTTACGCTTCTCATTTAAAGCATATGATTAGCGTGTGGACTCTAATGCACAATAACGTTAATTTTCTCAGATCACAATTAGAGCAATTTTCAAGTAATAAACTATGTTGAACAGGAATAGCCAGAATGCGTGCCAAGTCGTCATCTGATTGAGCTACTTATTGTCTTCGGAAAGCGTTATTAAGATTTGAGCATTATCATTTAACCCTGAATACTCAGAAAGGCCGTTCACATGGTGACAGAGAAAGAAAGGACGCAGAGTATGACATTAACGTTGTATGCATTAACTTTTAAATGTGATTGACAAGCGAGCCAGTATAAAGACAACTCAAGCTCTGTTTCTCTCGCAGTTTGCTGCACATTTATTCAAACTCACAGCTTAAGAAATCTCTGATCCACAATGTCGTTGGAAACTAAATTCTGGGGTAAACGTCCTTTCTGGGGCTTATCCTTCGATTTTGATCCGCAATGGTATCTGACGGATGAGCAAAAGGAAATTCAAAGGAGGTTGATTGAGCTTTGCAGGACAACCCTACGACCTAATGCGGTGAGTTTTGCACTAAATTAGCACGCCAGGCTACGTAAAAAAATGCCCAAAAATTCCTACAAACTCTGTGAACTCCGGCATTTTTACAAAATGTCATTGAAAAAATGTGCCTCAGTAAACGTTCTTTTAATGCTATTCTGACTGTATTAAAAATAACACACGAATCAAATTTTGTTAAAGAAAACGATATTATATGTCCTTTAATTTGTTTTTAATGGTATTTTGACAAGTTACAAACTTAAATTTTTTTCCTTTTTTCAATGTCCTAAACACCATGCGTGCTGCTGTCTAGTAAAACAGCGATAAAAGTGTTAATTACTTATTGCTACAATCTCATCAACGTAACGACCAGCAAACTGCAAGTGCTTAGAAAGATTTAACATCCCAGCTGCTAGACACCATCTGAACTGTTGCCCCAAAAAATTTAACTGAAAAAAAATTCAATTCAGAGCCTCGGGCAAATTTCAGATCACCTAAATACTGCTGCAAATGAAAAAGAACAAAAGTAAGACACTTAAAATGACTCCTTGTAGTTTTCTCTACACATTGTATTTCATCCCTAAACTTCTTTTCAATTACCAATTTCGCGGCCTTCACAATAAGTAAAGCAATTAGCGATCTTCATAAAAAGGGCGTTCATTGAAAACACATTACCAAGGTAAGATTTGATAAAAGCTCGGACAATAGGTGGTAGAAATGTATTGTCACCTAACAACTCAATAAAGTGTCCAGTTGTCACGAAAAGAACAATTTTGCATGTTTATCGACGAAGAAAAAAAAGTAAATTTTAGGTTCAGTAATGAAATGAAAAAGGTTTTTTTATCGTTTTGTCACGAGTGTGGGAAAAGAAAAAACAAGCCTGCAAGTTTTTCGACGGTTCAGTGACGTCGGTGAACATTTTTAGCACAGCCTGTTTGAGTTGTTTAGATTGCACAAGCATCAAAGTTGTTTGTCGTACAACTCATCGCTACATATCATTCGTGAAATAGCTTAAAATTAGTAAAGGAAGGCTCCACTGACTCTTTACAGACCACTTCCCTTTCTGTTGGGGTCTGTCGGGTGTTTTCAAGGAAAATTAGGTTCCTTATACCACTCTGCATAGTTCCACATGAGAACTATCTTTATCTGAATAAGATGACTTCACACTATTCCACTGCGCAACCTTACAGTGCATAATGTCATGCTTAACATGCGAACTCTGAGTTCCGGTCACCAAACTTGCTATTCTGTTTCGTGCTGCCGTCGACCATTGTCATAACGGACACGTTAAGGTAGAAACAGATATAACAGATCAAAATCCCTGATCAAACTTAAGGAAAAAGACCTTTTGGACTCCTTGAAATATCACAAGTTTTTTTTTTCCGGTAGGTCTGTAACATGATTGACAGTAGCATAAAGCAACTGCATAACAAAAATTATTTGATGGTGCAAATTTGGCATGATATGCTGCCGCCTGGTTAGCTCATGTGGATGAGCGCCGGACTACTGTACGGGAGGTCTGGGTACAAGACCCAAACCAGACCCACACTCAGGGTCTTTAAATAACTGAGGAGAATGTGCTGCCTTTGCTATGATATCTGCAAGCGATTAAACATTCTAGTCTTCTCGGATGAGGACGAAAAGCCATGGGCCCCGTCTCCTGCATCTTCTCGGTACTAGTTAGTAGGGGACGTTAAAGAACCCACACACTTATCGCAAAGAGTAGGGAACGTAGTTCTCGGTGTAATGGTCTGCCCTAGAAGAACCTTTGCGAACCTGACCGAATCTGAGTATGTAAGCCTTGCAGAGAGGGAATGCTCGTAATATGGTAAATAAATCAAAATAATAAATATATCAATACTATCACTTTTTTGTAGTTGGTATCGGATCAGTGCTACGAATATCCTCACAAAAACATGAAAGCTCTTGCCTCGCAAGGCCTTTTGGGACTAATTATACCCAAGGAATTTGGTGGCATGGGTCAGAATCACGTGTGCATGGCTATGGTTGTGGAGACGATAGCCAGATATGGCTGCCCTAGCACTGCCATGGTGTGTGGTGAGTATCATCAGTGTCAGCAAGAACCCGAAGATATGTTTCGATTCTGCCACTGCAAATTGTACATTGAATTTACATGAAAGGTGTCTCGCAGAAAAATTTAAAAATTGTAGACAGTTTTGTGACTTCGGTGGTCAAACCTTTGTAAATGTCACTTTTGTGCATCTTCAACATATCCATTCTTGCGATATATATTATGTTTTAATCTAACACGAAATATTATTTCCAAAAAGGCAGAACTTAAAGGGAGATATGTTTGATTTATTATTTTACTAATATAGTTCCTCGAGTGGATTTCAAATCCAAAAGAAAGTTTCTTTGCGTATCTTAACAAGAGAAAAGGGGGCATCATTTATTAATTTTTGTGGATAGAATTGAGGATGCAGTTTTCGCAAAACCGTAAGCAGTAGCTGGGGACTTCCCCGCGTTGATGGCAAAAAGATTCCATTGGGCAAACATTGATTGGTGCAATTTTAATCCAGGAATTTTTTTGTCGACCAATAGTGTTTGTTCTCTTACAGTTATGCATTACATTGCCGTGGGCTCTTTATTGTTTCGTCATCACAACAATGCTCTGATCCAGGACCTTCTTCGGCGAGTAAACGAGGAGACGTTGATCGGAACAATTTCTTACAGCGATCCAGCCACTGGTTTGCATTTTTGTTTTTCTTCGTTTAAAATGTCTGTCCTACTTTAACGTAATAATCCTCTAAAAGATTGCAAGTTCACAAACGATCTTTTTCAAATTTCTCAATATTAACTTTGATCATAAATGGATCCATGATGAACAGTTTAACTTTCAAATGAATAAAGGGGTAAGTTTCTAAAGAAACTGTGGTGCTGCGTCGGTGGGAGAGTATAGCAGATAATTTAGTGTTAACAATTGGGTTGAAAACGTAAACTAGCCACCGTAACGGGTAAAAAAGCTGACGTTACGAGCGTTAGCCCTTCGTCAGAGCGATTGAATCGCATCGCTCTGACGAAGGGCTAACGCTCGTAACGTCAGCTTTTTTACCCTTTACGGTGGCTAATTTACGTTTTCAACCCAGTTGTTAACACTAAATTATCAGTTTAACTTTCAAGTTATTATTACATTTTCAACACTTTTAGTGTAATAAACATAAAATATTATTCAGCGTGAAGATAAAATTTACTTTGATTTCCTTGTGTCATCTTACGAACGTTTTTGTCACTAGGAGGTCACTTCTGGTACCCAATGTCTTCTCGGACTCAAATGACCGCGGATGGAAGAATTAAGATATTGAAGTGTGGATCCTGGGCAACAAGCGCCGGACTTGCAGATTTCTATGTGATTACTACAATCAGTCCACAGTTTGACGGCGATTTCTCCCATTTGTCGAGCTTTCTTCTTTACAAGGTATGTATAATACAAGTGAAATTTAGGGTTGGAACGGCAAAAATTTCAAAACATTGAGATCATCGGTCAAATTCTTGACACAACTATGCATTCATGAAAAACATTTGCGACGGTAGACTTTGATTGGCGGATGATAAGCCTCGCTTTCATAGCATCTCTTCATCTGCAAAATTGTAGACTTATTTTATAATTTTAGCCCTAAGTTTTCCTTTGGAGTAAATGACGCCTTCAATCGAAGTCTATCCTTACACATCCTGTGAACGGTACAATGATCCCTTAATAAATACTGAATATTCTGAGTCCCCTTCCATTTGACGAAAGCCAAAAAATAGTAGTCTAACTTAGAAGAAAAAAGAAACTAAGAAAGAAGTAATCCATGAAGTACATTGGAGGTAAGCTGTAGTCCGCAGTTTGTAGTTTTTCTTTTTGGGGGAATTGAAGTTATCCGGCAGAAGAAATGAATAAAAAAGGTAAAAAATGTTGAAAATTCAACGAGATTATTGAGGAATATCAAAGAATATTACCCTGAACATTGTCGTATCCGTCAACTTTTCAGGATGAAGTGCGCGCCGACAACGATGACTGGAAGTCGCTTGGGATGCATGGCAATCAGTCAAGACCAATGGTTTGTGAGGCCACAGTCGACGAAGATCGGCTTATTGGACCATATGGTAAGCTTCTCTTTAATGGAGAAGTCTGTGTTATGGTCAGCTCGTACGTTAACCTACAATTGTTAAGGAAGACCAGACATTCCCTGTCGCTCAACGCTTAAGAAACCGGGGCTAATTGCAAACTCAACTTGAGCACTTTACGTAACTCTTTTTTCCGCGCAATGATTAGGAAACTTTGCTTAAGTTCATGTAAAAAGTGAACGAACACTCTTGCAACACGTTAGTATCTAGAAAGAGAAACAACCTATTTCATTAATATTTATCAAGAGAGAATATTCATCCTCTTTCGCATTCATCATTGTACAGTATTAGAAAATAGTTTGCCTTTGACGGGTCTTATTTCAGGCGATGGAAAGGCAGCCATTGATGAAGTTGGGTCGCCCAGGTTCTTGCTGCTGACAGCGGCCTGCTGGAATGGTATTGCTATGGGAGCTATGGATATAGCTCGGCATCACGTGACCACAAAAGAACATGCTGATGTTGGAATGCGCATTGCTGATTACCCGACGATCCAAGTAAGTGAAAGAATTAATGTGCCATTGACCCCCCAATTTTTTTTTTTTTTTCCGACAAAAACTAAATCTCCCTGTCTTACTAATGACAAATTCGAAAAAATTAATTTCGCGTCTATTTTAGTTTTTCTTTTTTTTTAGAATTTTCAAAGATCCCAAAATTGTCCTCGTTCATGGTAGGGAAAATGGGGCGAGTTGGCTTATGACCTTATCCCCGAAACCGGTTGATATTATTCATTTCATTCAGTGAGAAAGCAGTCACACCTTAGAGAGAACTAGAGAATTTAGCCCAAAAGGCTGTAGCGATACTGATTCCTGAGAAGATGGTTCGTCTTCATACCATCATAATTGGGGTGACTCCTTAAATATTGCCCTCGAGCGGAGTTGGTTTTGAAAAAAGCCATCACTGTGTTCTTGAGGTTAAGTAATGCCAAACGACATTGTGTTACAAAAGGGAATATTTTCTTCTGTAAGCTACTTTCTTTGTTTTTTAAGACTTTCTCGTCGAGTAAAATCAACTTCAGAGATATATTTGTCCAAAATTTCAACTGGGTATTCTCTATTATTAAAGCGTATTTTGAAAATCTGTTCGTTTTTACCAAGGTTGGAGCGTGAGAAATTTGTTCTTAGGAAGCGTAGCGCTTCTCCTTTTAGGAACCCCATTTGTTTACACCTGAAGGATCACGCCAATAGAAATTCGTGTATTGGAAGGTCTCTGTCTCTTGGTAATGTGTTTGTACGTCAAAGGTCAATTACCTATCTCTCGCCTTTGACACCTTTGAGTCCGAGAATGTTATTTCTGTGGCAAATCTAATTTCTGAGGCATCTGTCAGTTGTTCATTTGAAGGGTTTATGATGTGATGCTCGCGTGACCTTTGTCTATGTTTTCTTTAGCGATTTTAATCTTTAATCGCTTTTTTTTCTATTTTGGCTACGTTTCACCCTTGTTGTTTGGCAGAAAATGCACCTGTACAGGATTCAACTTGTCTATTGCCTGTTTGGGCTCTCAAATTTGCAGAAAGCTTGTCGACCTCGTTCAGTTTGACCAGCACCTCTGCACGGTCACGCTCTGCTTTCTATCTAATCAAGGTTAGGTATCTGATTTAAAACCCTCAAGTTCGCCTTACTTTGTATCTTAGGCTTTTTTCGGCATGTGCCCTTCTCGAGATGAGCTCGTAAGATTCCAATAGACTTCTTTCTCAATAGTGTTGAGGATCTATTAACTCCATTTCACCGAGGCTTCGCTTTCGGGGTGCAATCAATTTCCTCTATCTCCGTGTCATATTCCGATAGATTTGAAGCTTCGGATGCTTCGGAGTCATATAGTCACTGTTTGAGTTTGAGTCTCTGGATGCCATGGCTTTCTTTAGGTCCTTTCTGGAAGGTCCTCGATAATTAAAAAGGGAAATTCTCAAAGGAATTTCTTGTCTTAGCAACGTGTCTTAAGTTTTTCATTGCAGCTTTGTAGCGCAGTTCCCGGGATGACGTAACAACCTTCCTTGACCCCAGGTTCTAAGATGCGAGGTCGTGAACATGTAAAAATTGAGCTTTAACTGCTGCAGAATTGCGAATTTTTATTCGATTGCAGTAACTCTTTGGATGTGATGATCAGTTAAACAAGGAAATTTCTTTTGTGGAAAAAAAAGATTTAGTGTTAGTGGCACATTAATCATTTTTGGGTTCGAGAAACTGAGTTGTTTTCTTAAATTCTCACCATTTTGATTAACATCATAACAGGCGGCAGGAATTTATGTTTATTCAAATTTAGGGTAAAAAAAAAGGGAAAAATGTTAACATGCTCTTCTGGAATGGAACATTTGACACGGTTTCATCGCCTGATGATCACTTTTGAGCGTCTACTTTCATTAAACCTGCGCTTCCGAGCGACACAGAATATAAACAAACTTTTAATTTCAATCTTCATTAAGGATTACTTTGGAGACGCAGTGAGTGGTACCAATGCATGTCGGATAATGGCATTCTCCGTAGCTCAGCTAATGGACCACGTCACTGACAACAATGACTGGAATATTTATAAGGACCCCAAAGCTTCACTGCGGTAAGTCAAACGGTTCCCTGATCTTAACCCTTTAACTCCCAAGATCTCTTCAGCAATTCTCCTTACTGTCTGCCACATACTCCTTATGACGTTAGTTTAGAGGATTTGGTATTGGATCAATCCCTATTAATATTTTTCTTTATTCTCATCACTTGTCTGCTTGATATTGTATTGATATTGTAAGGAGAAATTCTATCTCGGTCACTCATGGGAGTTAAAGGGATAAAGAAGTCAGTGAGCTTCACTCGGGTTGACAATTATTTATTTGAAAATAAAAAAAAAAAGCATTTTATCATGCGTGCTCAAACTTCATTTTGAAAATGAAAACATCAATTTTATAGCTATACGTATACTGAGAAAGCGGACGTACTGGTGGCCTTTCCTTTTTTCTTCAACGAAAGAAATCGAGAATCGGTTTAGTATGTTTGATACGCGCCGACGAATCATAACGTTGGTGAGGTTAGCAAGACAACGGCAAACAGCAAAAACTAATTCTGGTTTCATTCCCCTTTCTTATAATTCGTAAATAAATAGTCTCCAGGAAAACAAAGTGTAAAGAAAGATGTTTATTCATCTCGAGCGTGGGATAAGTAAAAAATGATGAGTTCCCATCAGAGATCGAACCACAGACCTGATGATTCTGTAATCCGAAGCTCTGCCGCTGAGTGAAAGAGACGTTTCGGTGATCTCGGCCATTGTACCAGTATATTGCCCACAGAAATGTGTCAAGGGGTTATGCTGGGGTTGTGAACATTGCCAATGACGTAATTGTTTATGGGTGTGTCATGGAGAAACACGACAAATTTCTTTTTGCGGTGTTAGATAGATGGAGTGAGGTGAGGTTAACAATTGATGGTGACAAGTGCGAATTCAGAATGTCAAAATTAACTTTCTTTGGTCATGAGCTGACAAGCAACGGCCTAAATCCGTATAAAGAGAAGCTTGCAGCTATATATATCTGAGACGCGAGACCTCCTAAAGCAGCGAGTGAAGGACGATCGTTTATGGGTCTTGTTCAGTACTCTGAAAAGTTTATGCCAGACGTGACGGCAAAGGCAAAACCTGTCCAAGAGTTTACGAGAAAGGAAACTGTATTTCACTGGGATAAAGAGCAGCAATTTGCCTTTGAAGAACTAAAGCGTCTCATTACACAAGCGGAGACTTTGGCTTACTTCAAAAATTTTGAATGTTTCAATTGCTCGGTTTTCATTCGTCTCGACACCCTGTGAATGAAGGTGCACGCAGAAAACACAGACACGCCAAATAAATCGCTGATCATTCGCTCGAAAAACCCTGTCGCAAAAAATCTCAGAGCAATAAGGACTTGCTGCATTCATGGGTGTCAGTGGCAGACCTCTTCTTGTTTGATGTGTAAGATCTTGCTCTAAAATTTTCACGAGGTCAGCAACTGAATCCTTACTGAAGCGGAAGCGAATTCGAAAATCTTCGCTGTAATACTCTATAGGATTATATCGGTCCCCAAGGTGCCGATTTTTACGAGACTGTGAATGATACTGATTGGCGTACTTCCTTAACGGCCTGTAACGTAGTGATCCGTCCATTTTTATAATGACTGCCGATGAAAGTGCTCCAGGAACAGTGTCCAAACCTACCTTCGAGCAGGTCTAAGTCGTTATTGTTCCTTAGTCGGTGGTTAAACATGGTCTAAACACATGCATTTATGGACGATCAGTTCTTAAATAATTGGTTTCCACAGTTTAAACGTGAGTAAGACGGTGACTTTCATAAACGCTGTTTAAACCTCGTTTATAAATAATTGGCCCTCACCTTCTTCATTTTTATCATCAGTCACTTCGCATAAGCATCACATATCGACATCCCTTTCCTCCCAGGATGTAGGAATTTTGTCGCCATGGAATTGGTCAATAGGTGTAGTTAGCCATGTGTCTCTTTTAGCTAAGTGGTATAGTAGGTTGAACTCCTATTGAGAGCATTCAAAGCGTTTTCTCTCCAAGTATGCCTGTGTCATTTATTGAATAACATCAAGAGATTATGATCTCTTGACAACACATTCATTCACCTTTTTTTTTTTTACCTTGTTTTGAGGTGAGTGATAATCGATAGATTTACTGTTTCAGGATCGGTTCTCTACATCCGTGTTGGTCCTGGCAGCTGAAATATGAGTGCGCTAAGAACGTGAACAACACCACAGACAAAATGATGCAAGCTTGCGGAGGAGCTGGGTTCAAACGAGATCTTGGTATTTATATAAACAGAATTTATATTGAGTGTCGTGAAACCAAAACTAAAGTAATCATGATTAAAATCGCATTGATAGAATCAAACAACCTTTTAAATCAGAAAATACCACAAGTAGTCTCAGAGAACTAAACGTAAAAACAAGCAAACTGCCCAAAGCGCTGAAAGGCAAGAGTTGCCAAGTTGCAATTAGTTTCTGCCTCGACGTTTTCCAGGCCTATGAGCAAGATTACTCCTGACTCTCGATTACAAATTGATCGAGATCTGTTCATTTGGAATCTAATAACTGCTCAAGTGCAGTCGTCTTCGTAGTCAGTCGACTGTCTTTTTACTTTGCACAAAAATCGTTCGACTGTCACGTGCGATCTTCAAGTTGTCAACTTAGTTTATTTCGCCTAACTGAGGATTAATTAGTTTATTAATTGATAGGTTAACTGGGACTAGTTAATTTTGCAGTTACGTTACATCGGTCTGGTAGAGACTGCTGCCAAAAAAGTATCATCTCTCTGAACAAATTATGTTGGTGTCTTTCTTCATCAGGTGTTGAACGCTTGTTGCGAGATGGTCGCGCGGGGTGGGTGATGGGCCCAAGCAATGAAGTGATAAAACAGTTCGTTGGTAAATCTTCTCTGTTTGGTGTGGAATGTTTGGACATTTGGTAAGACATAATTACATCTGTACACCATCTATTCGATTGAAACGAAAGCACCGATGATGACTTTTGACACCCACAGCAAAGATATATAATACCATTCGGTTGTAGCGAGCGATTCGTAATTGCGCTTGTTTGTCATCTTGAATTCTTAAAGCAGAGGAAACCTGAGGAAAGGATTTAAATACGAGTCATGTAAAGGGCTTGGTAGAAGAAAACATGACATATCGAAAAACTATCATAAGTGTTTAGCGCTAACACGACTTCCGTGATAATAAGGCCGCAATGCCGGCCAATTCAGTCGATATAAAGTAACTTAGAACCTTATAGAATTGTTCACGAAGAGTACATAGCTGGACTTATTTGTGAGTACCCTTGGTGGCCTGGGAAACCTTTTTAGCTTTTTCCATCCCACCGGAACAAACTAGCATTGGCCTGTCAGTTCTCTGTGACCGTTGCACACACGTGGAAACATGTGTGCTGTCTTCCACACTTCAGTAGTTGCAGTTCCTCGCGCTGGGAAGAGTATTTCACAAAAAAGATCCGATGCCTACTTATTGTATGTAGACACACTTTCAATTTTATGGATTTAAGGGAATTAATCATATAATATAAATCTACTCTCCCCTGATCCGCCTCGATCTTCTCCGATCTATTCTCGAAATTAGTGTTGCGAACGCAGTGACAACTTAGGTCAGTCTGAATCCAAGCTTTCTTTTGAATTAGTCTGACACCAGGCTTGAACGGCCAGGATAAGTTGAGCCGGTTGAACGTATGAATGATATGATAAAGGAAACCTGAATTAAACATTGCGCTATTGCCTTTGATCTTAGGTCTCAATCAGCCAATAGACGTACCCTGAATGCCGAGTTGCTAAAACTAAAGGACGAAGAAAAGTTGGAAATCGCCCAGCAGTTGATGCGTGAGGTTGAAATGAACGGACCAGTTGAGAAGAGTGACTCATCATCTTACCAGGACACAGAATTTGATAACCCATTCAATACTCGGCCATCGGTCAGTAGAGGCCCCATCACTGATGTAAATGGAACAGAACACTTAGCCGCTCTGAGCCCCGACTGTTTTTTCCCCTTAAAGCTCCTGTCCGTGATACCAATGGGAGATAAGCAAGCAGAATTTCAGTTCGCTCTACCCCAAGCATCTCAACATACTGGTTGTCTACCGGGCCAGTATGTCCAAGTCAGAGTACCTCTAGACAAGGACGGCGAGAAGTACTGTCAGCGGTATTTTTCGCCAGTAAACGCCACCACAGATTTTGGCCGAATAGACCTGGTCATGAAGTTTGAGAGTCATGGTCAATTATCACAGAGATTTAAGGCACTTACTCCAGGTAAAAAAAGGAAAGTCAAAACGTAAGGTTCTTGATTACTCGACAACTTCAAGTAAGGAGATTTAAACATAATAAATAAAGTAGGAAAAAATCTGTTAGAACTTCAGTGACATAATGCAAGCCTATTGCAGTATTTAACTTTAAAAAAAGAAAAAGTAGTTGTCATGAATTTCTTGATTTCTCCACACAGACTGTACTTTCTTTATTAACATGCGTTTCTCTCTGTTTGGTATCTACGTCATATTCTTTGGGGAGTAACTTTGCTGTTGAATTCATGTGATAATTGTTACTGTTTGAGAAGTCACTGCTATTGCTCCTTTCAATTTTCAGGCAATAAGTCCATCGTAAAACAAAAAAAACTGTTTCTAACTTAGGCTTTAGTTCTTGGCAAAAAATGGCCCTGTTAATTTTAATGTAAAGAGATTACATGGGGCGAATAAAGGTTTTCTAGTATTGGCTATTACAAGACGTTCGGCTGAATTGAACGCGGTTTTTTTAAAATACGAGGTTTGATTTATCGGCTAAGCTATGTTAAAATAGCCGACTCCTTATTATTCAAACAGAGAGCTGTTGTGTGAGATGCATCATTGCCTTAACAATTTAGAATGTTATTTGGGCAACGTGTCATGAGCTTCCTGAACCAGGTTAATCGTGTGGTCTGAGCAATAGTCATCAGAGGAATCGCTAAGGACCCTGAAGACTACTCCTGAGTTAGAGTTATTTACTGTAATCAAGATTTTATTTCCAGAACAATATGTCATTTCCTTCAGTGCGTAGTCAATCCAAGATGGTGTTATCCAGCGGATTCTAACTACTCTGTCATGGCCCCAATTGTTCATAAAAGTCATATTCACTTGATAGTAAGTCCTATAACTGGTCGGTTTTCAGGTCGCCGGGAAGCATGTCGCTATTTTGCCCCCCCCTCCCGGTATTGGGGTTGGTGGAAGGGAGGAATGGGAAAGCCCAGACTCAGTGAAAGTTTAAAAGTAAAAGTTTAGGAAATATCATCCACGGGTTTATTTACACTGTCTCGGGTTTGCCTTCATGATTTTTGCATTTTTGATATTTAGGTGACCTGGTGGAGTTCCGAGGCCCTTGTGGGGGTTTTGAGTACGAGTCAAATTCAGTCAAACATATTAGTCTTGTGGCCAGCGGTTCAGGTGCCACTCCGTGTATTCAAATTGTGCGTGACATCATGGCAGACCCTGGAGATCAGACTTCCGTGTCCATGTTGTACTCCGCGGAAACTGAGTCAGAGTTCATGTTCAAGAGTGAGTTAGATGACCACAGTGCACGTGATGAGCGTTTTCGAGTGTTCTACACACTCTCTAAAGGTGCAGGGCAAGAGACTTGGCAGGGCGGAGAGGGGCATATCGACAAGGACATGATCAGTAATCACCTGGTAGGTCCTCAAGTATTGGAGCACAAAGTACTATTATGCGGTGGACCCACCATGATTGTATCAGTAATGCGGATCTTGTTTCAGATGGGATATTCCAGCCACCAGATATTTGTTTACGGTCCGTTCGGCGCAGAGCTGGTCAGGGCAGTATTTGGAAGAAATGCTAGGTTGTCTTCCCATCGCTTTGAGCGTTAGACGAGCAAAGTTTAGTTCAAAACAAACTTCATTTTCATAGTTATGACTGACGCTCAGCTTTGGCAACAAGTAATCGAGAGAGGAAATTCCGCGTGGTTTTATATGGAATCTATCAACCTCGCTAGAAAACATGTATTCATTATTGAAAATAAAGATCATCTTCAACAACATTTCCCACGTGTGATTTAACGGGGAAGACATGGCTTTCAAGATTTCTTGTCAAGCTTAATGCTTGGCAAGAAATCTGGGCTAGAGATGCCAGCGAGCGTAAACTTTTTATTGGAAGTTTTACTGATGGTCAGGTGCTCCTCTTCAGCACTGTTAAAGAATGGTGAAGAGGAGCGCTCGACCATCAGTTACACACGAAGGAGAAATAATTAATTTTATTGTATCATCAAGACACAAAGGAAACACTAAATAAATAATTGGCGTTCAGACATGGCTTCCCAAGCAGTAAGACTACGCATAGTATTCATTACATTATCTTTAATGAATGGTGATGATCTTTCAGAGAAAATGCTCCCTTGAGATCCTAAAACGTTTGGAAAAAAGAAGAAACGATCGAACTCGAGTTTTGGAACGTTGCAGGAGTTGCAATTTTTTGAAGAGAGGCAAAAGCATAGAATGTGACTGGGGTTATTTGAACATTCTGATGAAAAACAGTTGAAAGAAAACTTTTTTAGATATTTACATAATATAAATATGTCTGAAAATAAACACACATGGCGTATTTCTTTGTTTATAAGCCGCAAACTATACTTGAGAGTAAAATTACCATAATGACAAAGAAAGCATCAAGGCGTCTCCAACTCATGCTAATCAGCTTGCAAATGAAGGCTTGTTACTGGTCGCGGTCAAATACACGCGACTCTGCTGATTTACACATCACTTTCAAGCGCGTCTGCAGCAAAGTCGTTAAAGACTCCTTGACGTTTCCTCGCCACAGAACTGCGTTTTTCTTTAGAGGTAGGTGTTAGTATTTTCATGATGGAGTTTGATGAATAATTCTGATAAGCCTTGCTTAGTTAAGGTACGAACAAAAATGCGAGGCATATTCCTGTATTAGCACACTGAGTACAGCAAAAGTTTGTTCGGTTTCTTTTGATACAACGACGTTTCGTGTAAAGATCGTAAATCAAAGCCGCTTGATAACAGAAAGGATGCACTACCTAACAGTTTCTTGGTTATTATTGTCACTTTGGTGGTAAAAATTTCATTTGCAAGTTGTAAGGGAGGGAAATATTTTGCTTTTGGAATACTCCGCACCCACGCCAACAGCACACATCATATTAGCCTCTTCAAAAGTGCAAGGTACTTTCCAGAAACACTGCAGGACATAACGTTCGAAATGGTATCTGAGAGGAAATGAGACAAAGAAACGCGTTGTCACCAAAACAAGCTGTTTCTTCACTCAGTGATAAGTAACTTTGAGGATGAGCGTCTGATTAAAAAAAATATTTATTCTTTCCTTTGTGATAATATCGTGACGTGTAACGCTAAGGCTATTTTAAGCACTTGATGTCCTTGCCTTGTATTACTTTTATCCTTTATGTTGATGCTTCACCTGGGAAACCTAAACTTAAGCCAGAAAATGTGTCAAAGTGCTTTGAGTGATTTATCATGAATTTTTCGAGAAGCACTTGTTTTTTCGACTAATATTTACTCGCTATTTGGAGGGTTTCTTAAAATATTCATGAACACTTAGTTATAAAATGAAACTCACCGTGATGCCAGAGTATTTTCATATTTCTTCATTCGATCGGGTCTCGCAGTTTTCGTTTCATTCCTTCGAAAACACAGTTACAGTGGAATGTAGAATTATTTTACACGGATGGCTTTTGTACCGTCTTCTTCGCGATCCTTTGTAGAAACACCTTAAACAACAAAACCGCAAAGCTAGAATTTTCCATTTTCATTTTCACAGGAAAGGATAAACAATAATGAGTAATTAAGAAATGTAGTTCCTTGTTGCAAAGCGAAGTTATCACGTAAAATAGTATTTTAAAGATAATTTTAACCTTCTTAAGAATGGCAGTTTACTTTTCAGGCAATTTAACATCACTTTCAAAACAGTTTTGAATATTTGTACGAGAACCCAAATATAAAAAATGTTCTCTTAAGAAGTCGTAAAGAATTCCATTTCTTAGGGAACTGTTTCAGTCGAGAAAATGTATTTATTTTGAAGGAAAACACAATAACTCGGTTGTATGGCGAATCCATAGAAATTATAGATTGTCATTTCTACGATGATAACAGTTAACCAGATTGTCAAAAATTTTAAGTTCCATCTAGTCTGACCATGTATTTTCTTCCTCTCGAATGATTTTATCGTGATCAATATCTAATTTCCAGACGATTCTATTAATCAAAATAATATTTGACCAATTTATGAACGGTAACACGGGTGTCAAAGCCACCGAAATTGAGTTAAAGAGCGAAACATATGTACACTTATGTTTCTTGCAGAATTCCATAATTTTGTAACCTGAGTTTTGCCTTTGTCGTGTAATGAAAAGTGTTACGATATTCGTAACGCTCTATTTTATTGCGGTAAATATTTGCACGCTTGACATGTCTGCATGCCTTGCGGTTCCAGCTGTTTGTTCTGCCTGGTTACCAAGCAAGGGAGTGTCATGCTTCTCCAATCTCCATAATTTTAATCGAAGAGTTCACTTGGGCAGGTACATTTGAATTTGCTCGCTTTGTTTGTTTAAATACCCAGTTTTGTTTTATGAAGGAGTAATGTCTGAAATGAGGGTATCTAGTCTCTATACCATGCACTTTGGATGCTTCATTTGCTCTTCATTGTGTCGAGTCCACGTGCAGTTTACACTCTTCGACACTAAGTAACGTTAGCAGTTCAGTAAATGTTCGCATCGTAGTTTACCAGTCGTTTACAGACACTTTGTGTGATAAACGATGTTTTTAATCGTTCAATTCATGTATAATGCCTTAATGCTTCGTCATGAGAATGGTTTTTTCCTTCGGAAGGTTTGTCAGAGCCATTGATACACAACCACGACATGGATGCTCCTCCTGCAATGCAAAAACTTAGGGATGCTTGTAAAAAGAGAGGGCCAGGTGGAGCTAAAGGACTTGGAAGGTTAGTTTGTATACCAATATATTTAGCTCATAGCATGGTTCTCTATTTAGCACTATTGGTAGGACAAATCACAAGTGTTCAGTGCTGTAAAACTACAACAAGCAATAAGTTGAACACTTGTTCAACCTTCAGCCTTGATCCTAACCGTTAAAATCAATGTAGTGTTGATAATAATTTTTCTCGTAGAATCACGCCTCACCTACCACCAACAAAAGAGTGTAGTAATTCTCTGATGGCTGTATTAGTAATTCTTCCCGATGGGAAATAAACATAGGAAACCTTGTGGTGAAAAGAATGGAGTTAAATTAGCAACAACAATGTCTCAATTAGATCTGCTGCCTTGCGGGCCACATACCAAAGTATCTCCCATGTCAGTATATTAACAGATGAGAAATTAGTGAGGGTACCACCAGAACCCAGCCAAATTGAACACCTAAATGAGACCAGTTGTCTTGTGTAATTGGTAATCAGCAGCCTGATCTGAACAGTTATGTAGACAAATTGTTTAAAACTGACCAGTTCTTAATGGCAGTTGTTGCTTTTTTGGAGCAACAAATTGTGTGAGTTGTTCTGTGCATATACTAGTACTTTTTAATATGAAAAGTAAAATTGGACAGTTAAACAGCCAATGGAAATTAACTGCCTGACTAATGCTTACCAATCAAAATCAAGAGGTCTCCAGTGAGCAGCTTGAAAACACAAAAACATATATTAAACTAACTTTTGGATGATGTGTGAAAGACTGTTGCTGTCCTGACATAAGAATATTTCTTCTCTGGGTCTCTGGCACTTTGTTTTTGACAGAACTAGTTGGTAATTGGCCATGGTGTCCTACAATGTAGATGTAATTGTGCTCATGTAACTGGCCTTGAACTGTGTGCTCAGTTCATTTGAAATTAATTGCTTGCTCCCTGAATTGTACTTCACTCACCATTGTTATCATTACTAATAGGATGGTGTATATGCTATGTTTGTGATTGGACACTGCAATTGGATAGGTTACATGTTAGGCCTGTTTTATTTGCACAGTGCATGTCATTTGTGTGGACTGCGATCAAGATCGCTGAGTTAATTTCCTCTAGTAAAAGTCATTGCTTAAGTTGTTATTTACTTGTGAGTTTGGCTTATTGGTATTTTTGCCATAGATTTCCTCATACTTTTGCCTAATTGGTAACAGATTTTTGTTATCCAATTTGGTCTGTAATCCTGCTTATCATCAAGAAATCAGTCTCCTTCCCTGACCCTTTAATGCCCATGGGTGTCCAAGAGAGAATTTCTCTTTGCAATATCAATGCAATGTCAAGTAGATAAGTAATGGGGATTGAGATAAAGATCCAATATGGAATTATTAATTGATCCAATACCAAATTCTTTGAACTTGGATCATAAGAATTGTGTGAAAGATGGTAAGGAAAATTACTAATTTAATCAAAGGAGCTGAAGGGTTAATCACAAGCATCATTACGGATTTAGCTGATCTTCACTTTATCTTGATGCTGTTTTTACAATTTTTGCTTCATGAAAAAAATTAGGGAACTGCTTCTTGATTAGAGCTATTCATTTTTTAATTGCTTTTTTTTTTGTTTTTTATTCAGAGCTTTTAGAATCTTTGATGATGACTACAGCAATTCTCTGAACTTTGACGAGTTTGTAACCGGTCTACGTGACTATAAAGTCCAACTGACAGATGAGGTGAAACAATTTGAGTGAAAGCTGAAGTCCATGTTAGATAGTATATCCCAACAAAACTGAACAACACTGCAACTCTGCAAGACCCAGATTTTCACTTAAGTGAAAATGAACACCTACATTTGGGAGTCTTTTTCAAGATTATGGGAACAGATGAGTTGTTGAGAACAGTAGTAAAATATATTTTTAATCTGGTCTTTTCTCTCCATTTCTCAAGGGGAGATCACAAATATTGCAAAAACTAGTTTACCTCCAGTGAAATTACACACAGTTTAACCTGTGTTAAGCTGCATCATATAAAGTGGCCACCCCGTATTAAGCAGTCATGTTTTCAAAGCCCTGAAGTTTTTTTCCTCCTCCTTACTGTAATTTTACCTCTATTAAGTGGTTGTGGTCACCCTTTACTGAGTTCCCAGTGCCTGTTTGTATTGTCCTTCAACTGTATTGAATGGTCACTCAAAGCAGAACCACAGAAAGAAAACTAAGAATAATCTTTCAAGCAAACTTGTATCTTTATTTATTGTATCTCTCAAAATCAATGCAAGTAGTATTTTTTAGTAAGGTTTTTGGTTTTGTATAATTAGTTGTTCATTGAAACATGAAATGGCATTTTAATTTTTTTTTAAATACCCCTATTCTGTGGAACCTGCATGAAGGGATCACCATGCCATTCCCCATGGGTGACTTCTTAATGCAGGTTTGACTGTAAAAAGGTAGAAAATGGATTAAAGGTGCAAGGTTATACATATATGTTGAACAGTGTGCTTATGTGCATCCTTTTAATGTTGTATCAATAGGAATTTCAGGAACTGTTTAACTATTTTGATAAAGATAAGGGAGGGCAAGTTGACATTAATGAATTCATCAATGCATTCAGGGTAAGTTTCAAATGTTACAAATCTTTCTTCATGCTATATGATTGATCTCTTGAAGTTCTATTTGGAAAGCTTTTTGTTTGTCAGTATTCAAGTATTATTTGCATCTGGTGTGTAACTTTTGTTTTGTACGTGTAAAGGATATTTTGCACTAAATATTAACTGCTGCAGAAAGAAATGTATTTGTATGTGATAAATTATAGTTATCAGATATACAGACATTTGGAAATGAATTTTAAACATTCAAAGAAACCATGATGTGTGAAAAGAAAGATTCATTTTCTTTGCTTAATTTGTGAGGCCAATTAAAACCATTAACCTTGATCTTGAGAGATTTTGCCATGATGCTATTGCAGCCAGACTGAACCACTTATCGACACAATTTTGTCATTAAACAGAAATGTCAGACTAGATCAGTCAGTGCTTAAACTGTTCCAACCACTCTTCTAGTTTGTTTTTGGAAAAAGTGTCAAACAAGATCCCTATGAAGGCTTTTCTTTTTTTGTTACATTAACCAGCAAGACTAGTAAGTTTCAGCGGTTGATAAGTAACCCATTTGTTTGCGAAGACCAGTTACATGATGATAACTGGGAGCTAGCTTTTCTAAATCTTTCTTAATATAAGAGAAAATCTTAAGACCAGACTAGTACATGCAGAGGGTTTTGCTTCTGGTTCCATCCCTAGAGTACACACAGACGCATAGCTTTCTGTATGTACCAATAATTTCACAGACATAATTTATCCTTAGGAGCAGAATATTCATCCAACACAATATAAAACCTGCCAAATATTTGGAGGCAAGATTCCTGGGAAAATTGAAAAAATTTGAAAATGCAGGCTCATGAGACTTTGTCTTGCAAAATGATCTCCACGCATGCTCCAGGAACAAACCTCTGGTGTGTATGGGTCTTAAGTCTCTAAGAGGATGTGAACCTCAGAACTTCAGGACTAAGATCAGATCTTTACCCCTTTGCTACTGCCTGACTGATATAGGAATGTACATATGAAAATACATCTCTGTAGTATAGTGGTAATCAGAGCATTTAATAATAAGGCTGAATTCCACAAGAGGGTTTGGATTTTCTTGTAGTGTTTGGCTCAACACAAAATAATGCACATCTCAATGACCAGACTCAAAATTTACCTTCCATTGTTGATAATTTGTATTGAAACCTTTGTTTTAATTCTTATTCTTTGACTTTCTTTCATTTTAGAAACCTTTATCAGGGAGCAGACTCAAAGTGGTTGACCTGGCATTCAAGAAGGCTGACAGAACTGGAGATGGTGTGATCGATTGTAAAGATATGGAGAGGTAAGCTGTTTTTAATTCATTAGGAGTGCTGTGTGTGACATTGATGCAGCAGTGTCTCACCGAGGGGTACTAATTGCACTCATAGTTCATTCTTAAGAAGGAAACTGTGATAAGCTTAAGCCACTGGGCAAAACAAGCGGGAAGTTGGGAGAATGTGAGATAAGTGTAGGAAACCACGACGCAAAGCGGAGTGGTTTCCAGCTTATCAGAAACCATTTTACATTTCTTTTATAAAATAACTAATGAAAGAGGAACAAAAACCATGTTTACGTACTCTCATGTAAATGATTTTATGGCCAATCAGAGCATATGTACTATTTGAATTATTTTATAAAAAACAATGTAGGTGCAAGGGACATCTGGAACAATCTTGGAGAAAGAGGCATTTTTTTTTAATGAAAATGATGAAGCAATTAGTAAATATAATTCTATGCCGATGTTGTGCTTCTATAACCTTTAGCTCATGAAACTTGAGCAAAAAGACGATACATTGTGCTACATGACCACAAAGCACTAGTTTTTAAAGTGGCAAGTGTTGCTGCAAATTTAATCCCGAAAATGTTTGAAGCTTGTAGGGTTGATGCCTTTTTTGCATTGATCAGAGTACCAATTACAGCATATCCACCGTTAACCCTTTGACCCCTAAGGGTGATCAGCATCTTTTTTCTTCCCTAGGATATTTTCCCTGAATCAAACGTAAAGGTTACAAGAATAAACAAAATGACCACCAACTTAAGAGGGTCTGGATTGTGAATCAAATTCTCCTTGTCAGCCCCTCAGGAAATGTATAGACAACAGTATGGAGAATATGCATACTGATGTTAGGGTGTAAAAAGTTAATTACCCATCATCAATGGCCATCTATGAAAATTGTTGTTGCATGCTACCAACTCCTGTTACTGACACCCTTTTTGCTTCCCAAGGATAACTGCAAAAGTTACTGACAGACGCATTTTATCCATTGACGAATTAGGTTGAAAATATTTGAAGTTAGAACTTAATATGAATGTTTCAAATAGATGGCTATTTTAGGCAGTTTTTGTAAGTGGCCCCACTAAGACACCATTCAGTGTCACAAGGTTTGTGGCAGTGTTTACCTGCTACCCACTATTTCTTACAACTCTGTTAATCCTTTAACTCCCACGAGTGACCAAGACAGAATTTCTCCTTACAACATCAATACAATATCAAGCAGACAAGTGATGAGAATATAGAAAAATATCTATTTGGGGATAATTGCTTGATCCATTACTTAATTCTCTGAACTAACATTGTAAGAATTGTATGGTTGACAGTAAGGAGAATGAAACATTTGATCTGGGAGTTTAAGGGTTAAGTAAATATTAATTCTTAGGCCAGAGTATAGAATGCTATCAAAAAGATTGTATTATGATAGCACCTTTCTTGTATGCATTTATCCAGTTTTATGGCAATGAACCCTTTTTACTTCAAAGATCTCATTAGTAATTCTCCATACTGCCTGCAATACAATTCTTATGATGTTGGTGCTGAGAATTTCATACTGGATCAACTAGTAATCCTCTGATTGATATTTTTCTTTATTCTCATCACTTGTCTGTTGGATATTGTATTGGTGAGGAGAATTTCTCTCAGTCACTTGAGGAGTTTAAGGATTAAATAAGTGTCAGTAATATTAACTCAACTCTTGTGTCATATAGGTATTACAATGTTCAAGAACATCCCAAATACAAAAATGGCGAAATGACTAAAAAGGAGGTATTTGAGGAGTTCCTTGAAAGATTTGAGCCAGATCAAAAAGATGGAAAGGTTGGTAAATGTTTTTTAAAATTGATCTCCCCTGTTAAGCCCTCTCTCTATATATAATGTACATGTATTTTACAGATAGATTCCAAGTGCTGTGTGTCTGCTCATTAATTGATCCCAAATGAGGTCAAAATGTGATTACAACAAAATAAAAGGGCATAGTTGGCAAAATGTTGGTAATTTTGACATCATGCATGTGTCTGTAAGGACAAGTCAAAATGAGGTACACTTGCCTAAGAATAAAAAGTGATTTTGATTTCAAGGGCCACGTTTTAAAGCAGAGACATTATGTATTTGAAAATGATCTATTTCATTCTCTATTCCTATGGAATTGTACTCATTATTTTGAAGACTGTTAAAAAAATTCAGGTTTATGATGAAAATTGAGCTGCCAGGCTAGCTAACAGTAGAAAAGAACCCACAATAAGTACAGGCACTTGATGCTGAGGGTATTACACCAGAGAGGGTTGACTGTGTGTACCCATGGCTGTTAATTGCCATGGTTGTTTTCTGTACTCTAGTAATGGCCTGTTTTCTTTTTTCTGTAGGTCACAAGGGCAGAGTTTTTGGAGTACTATGCTTGCCTTGGAGCAAACATTGAAAATGATGCCTACTTTGACCTGATGGTCAGAAGTGCATGGAAATTATAGTTAATTTCATCCTGGTCTATTGTTTCTTACTCATAGTTTCATTTATGCAGATTGTGGTTGACCTTGCCGGTCAGTCTTAAAAATGACTTAAAGAGCAAGTAAGAGATATGAAATGTGATGCAACTCTCAAACAGATGTAAAATTGTAGTGGACATTTGAATTTAGATTGAAAACAGCTACAATTTGCAGTATGGTGAGGTGCATCAGTCCATTAGTGCTCACAAGTCAACTGAGAATTTTTTTGTTATCATTGTCGTTGGGGATCCATTTGAAACACTTAATGTATCATTGTAGGGACTAGTTGTAGAGTAGACTTGTGCTCTGTAGGGATTTAGGACTTGATTAAGTTTGTGTTCTTAGTTAGGAATTTAATGCACTAATCACATTTTGGCAGTCTGTGAAACTAGGGGTGTTTGATACTTTTTAAGTTATTTGTTGTAAGAAATTTGCATTGCAGTTAAGGATTACATACAAGTAACTTGCTACTGAAATGTACTTAGCATTTTTAAGAGCAAGACTGTATATTTTTTTTTTATTTCATTTAATACTGTAAAATTTCAGTGTTTACTGCTAATGTAAATGAAACTTGACACTTTCTTACTATTTTAATATTTTTAAGGAGCTGATAGATCTAAACAGTTCATTACATACAGAAAGAGTAATTATTATAATGATTTTTAGTAATTATTGTTTTTATAATGTAACATGAATTGTGATGTTTCAATTGGTATGAAATAAACCTGACCTTACTTAAACTAAAGTGAATTAAATGACAGTTTGAATACAATTGAACCTGTATTGAGTGTTCACCCTTTATTGAGTAATTGTTTGTGAAAGTTCCAAAACTTTTTTTCTTTTAAGTACTGTAATTTTTGCTTCTCTAAAGTGGTCACCTCTCCTAATCTGTTGTGGTCACCCTTGACTGAGTCCAAACAGAGTCTTCGTTCTGTTTGTATTGTCTTCTACCTGTAATGAACAGTCACTTAAAGCAGAACTACAACCAAGGCCTAGGATTGTAGTCTGTTTACCAACATCCTATGTATCCTAAATCATAGCAACAAGATTGTAAGGTGATTGGGGTTGGGCCAGGTAAAATAGACTTTTGAGCTCAGAGCTCAACCTCATTTCTTTAAACAAAAAGGCTGTGAATTGACTAACATTGTTGTGTCTATATTAAAAAAAAAATCAATTTTGATTGGTTCCCTAGTCTCTCCCTTAATCAAGGAGAGGTTAAGTACAATATGTTCATGGATGCATTCAGGGGTACTTCTGGACCCAAAGCCCTTTCCTTCAGAGTAAGGCAAAGCAAGCTATCCTTCTGAAAATGAGTTCTACTTGAGTAGGAATCTTCAAAATGATTTCGTATGAAATGCTTCACATACATCTACTGTAGTAATGAGCTTACTGAGTAACTGGAACTTGCTTCCCAGCTTAAACCTGGTTTTCTTCAACTTGCCAAGTCAAGTCAAAACAAGTAAAAGTAAGTTGTTTTCATTCCACTATTAACTGAGAAAGATGCTGCAACTGTACAGTGAAGAACTAGTAAAGCAGAATTCTTAAATTCTTAAAACTGGTCAAACAAATCCAGATTTCTCCGACTGCCCAATCTAAGTTTAATTCTGTATATAATATTTCAGGTAATATAGACTGGGAAAATATTTATCTATTGCCGGGTCGAGTCACTCTTGACACCAGAACGAGAGCCTTTCAATACAAAATCTTAAATCGTATTCTCTACACCAATAAAATCCTATATAAAATGAATTTGGTTCCTTCTCCGATGTGTACCTTTTGTGGAGATCGCGAAGAAACTCTTGAGCATCTTCTAATCAGCTGTACCTACACTAAAAACTTTTGGCTTTCGGTTATTTCTTGGTTAAATACTTACAATATGAAAATTGATAAGCTTGATGAGGTAACAATCCTTTTTGGTATTTCCGATAATAACCCTGGGAATTGTTTGTTAAATCACATAATCATTCTTGGAAAATATACCATTTATTCATGTTGTTGTAAAAATATCAAGCCGTCTGTATCCTTACTGAAGGCTAAAACATCTGAAACTCGGAAATTTGAATTTTTGATTGCAAAAAAGAATAAAAAAGAATCTATTCATTATAAAAAATGGGAAAACATGTTATTGTAACTCAATAGATGAGTATCGGGTATTAACAGTTATAGACGCAGTTGTATATACAGTCGTTCTACCAAAAAAGGAATTTGATGTAGAAGTATTTGTACAAATTAGGCTTATATCATTATATAACCACAACATAAATTAAATCTAGCCGACTGTGAATGTAATGTAATGTAGTATTTCGTAATTAGTGTTAGTGAGTAGCGTAAGCGTTAGTGTAATTAACTTTGTATTTGTTTGTATTACTCTGGTATTTGTGCTTTAAGTGAAAATTTAAAAAAATGTTAAAAAAAAAAAAAAAAAAAAAAATCAACCTCAAAACTATGTTATGGTCTACTTAGAACCAACAAGAAGTCAATTTCGGATTGATCAGAGCCTATTTAGTAGTATTTTTTCTAATTTTCCTCATCCTTAAACTTTTGTACAATTTACACAACCTCGAGAATGAAAAAAGTTGAGTAATTGATGTGCCTCTCCATTTAAAACAAAGTTTGGAGAAAAAGCTCACCTTTGCAGTTTTCTAGAGTTAACCATAATGTCCACAACCTGGAATTTAATTAGTCCTTCAAGATAGTTTAAAACAGCTTTGTAATTTTTAAAATCAATTCTTTGATAAATTAATACTACCTAGCTTTTTAACATGTTTCCTTGAAATGGTGTCTTAAAATGTCCAGTGATTCCCAACTAAGTAATGATCATTTATGATGTACTGGGTTACCAAAACTACACTACAGCATCTTATTAACACCCTTGATTTTAACTTCCTGTGTCTGCCATTAACAAAAAGCCAGTATTTTAAATCACTACTTTCAATTTCCAGATTAATCTTTGTGCAAAGTGTTATGAGTAATTGTTGTTGTAAATGTAAGCTTCTAGAAATCTCCAGACTGCTTAGTCATGCTGACTTGCGTACCATAGAACTTTCTAGAACATTTCATCAAGTCATGCAGTTATTACATAATACTGAGATAAAGTCTGTAGTGGGCTCAAGTTTATCGAAGATAAGTACTGTACTGTCTTTAGGAGTCGCTCCTTATTAAGAAAATAAGAAAAAAACCTTAAAAAAAAAACTTGAGTTTCAGTCTGGAGCGGTCTTGATTTATCAAAAAACACTTGTATTGCACCCTGAGGAGGTCAAGGGGTGTAGAATTTGGCCCTCAATGGGAGGGGTTTGGAATGTCCCATTTGAGACCATTTTATTCATGGCAGAGCTATAACATATTTAAAAACACCCCAGTATAAAGCAGGTAATATAATAGCTAAGGCAGTCCCGGTTTGACAGCTTGATGTTAAGAAATGCATGGAAACCATTCCATTCTCTACTGATGCAGGAAGTCTTTCAGCACTTCATTCACTTTGGTGGAATCTAGAGGAATTTTAAACGATTCTTTAGTTTTCAAAACGTCTTCCTCTGTGAACACTTTCCCACTTTTCAAATAAGGAAGAATTTTTTCCTCAAACTCTTCCGCTGTACATTCAGGGTGAAACTGGACTCCAAGTATGTTATCAGCAAATAACACCATTTCGTGTTCACAAGTGTTGGAACTAGCGATGGTCTTAGCATTTGGGGGAAGTTCTGTCACGCATTCGCTGTGTGACTCCAGCAAATCTAAAGAACCTTTCTCGAACAGTTTAGATACAATTGAATTTGTATCGCTGCTGCTGTGGGCTGCCATCACCCTCTCGGTTTGTAAAACGAATTTTCCCAAAGGATTCTTGGCTACAACTCCACCTAGAGCTTTGGCAACGAGTTGATGGCCGAAGCAGAGACCAACTAAACGCTTCGAAGGCGATTTTTCCGCCAAAGTAGCTACAAATTTCTCGGTTTTTCGAACCCATTCTTTATCGTCATGAACTGAATAGTGGCTTCCTGTGATGATGAAACCATTATATTTATCGAGATCTTCAGCTGTGGGAACTTCTCCACCGCAAACATTGAACCCACGCCATTCCTCATCATCTTCACGATGGTAAAGTTCAACATGACGTTTGAGCATCACGTCTCTTCCTCCCCACTTCTCTGCATCCTCACAGATCAAAACCGCAAATCGTTTCTGTTCCATTGCTTCAGAATTCACTGCTTTGTTCAAGAGCAATGTAATTTATCCTCACGTGACGCAAAACACCGGTTGTTACAACCGAGTGCGTGATTGTCGTCGATAGCAAGTTATGTACGTCACAAAGTTGTCACGCAGTCTTCGCATACGATTACGTATTATTTAGATCACCTGATGGGAGGGAATATGATTACTGGGCTCCTGTTGATGGGAAATTTCCTCTTAGATTTTGCCAACTCGGGTTATTAGTCTAAATATTCAAAGTATTCAGGCATGAACAGAGGAATTTGGTCACAAATAAATGAAATAAACCATATTTTCACCTGTGGATGATAGCAAAGAATGAAGTGATCCTCAAAAGTGAAGTTCAAATTCGATGTCAAAATGTAGCCTTTGACATAGTTGACTGTGATAATATTCCCTCCCAAAACCCATGCCTGTAGCTCTGTTGGTAGCATCTTACTCCTATCCCTAAGACACAGGTCTGAACCAACTGTAAGTCTGAATTTTCCAGGGTTTTTTCCCTCAAACAGTTTCTTCTTTTAAAGATTGCCAATGACAATCATTTCCCTTAGTACTTATTTGGAAATTGTTAGTATTTATATTTGACCACTCCCAGGTATGTCTATTCAGGCCAGTTATTCGGAATTAACATACATTAGTAAAAATTCCCATACAGTAGGAGGCATGCCAGTTGATTATTTACAGACCCCAGGAAAGGAGTCACAACTAGAGCAACCAAGAACAGATGCAATGAGTGACATAGTTTGGGTCCAAACCACCAAAAATGTGTAGAATCTGTGCAAGTATCACGACAAGGATAATTTCCCACACCTCTGTCACTGTCTTAGCTTGATTGCCAATAGTTAGTAAGAGCTTGACACAGGCTATAAATCATTCAAAACAAGCCTTAATTCTCCCAGAGACTGTCTGAAAAGTAATTTTGTTGGAACAAGACTCAGGATTTACAAAAATCTAACCATAAGTAACATAGAATTAATATATAAATAGAAGAATAATAAAACAAAGTAACATAGAATTAATATATAAATAGAAGAATAATAAAACAAACCATGCTGATGAGAAACATTTAAGGTTGATACTTTATTAAAATAGAGGCTTGATGTCCCATGAATATCCATTAGAAAAATACCTAACACCTAATTGAATTCTGAGGATTGTTAATATTTGTCAGCTCAATACCCAAACTTTCACCCTTGCACTATTTTGAGTTTTTGCAGTGTGAAATGACATTACTAGTCTACAGTTAATAACCTACAACGGCACTGATTGAATTATTGGCACTTTGCCCAGTTTTGCAAAAATTATATTGTTGCTTAAAGAAAAAACAAACACACTCATACCCTTAAGAATACTCTATCACCACTTTTAAAATTGTTGACATTCTTAGTGAGCACTAAACTCCTAGTCTTCTCTTGCAAAAAAGTGAAGGGCAAACCAGTAACACTGGAGAAGACTCATAATTATCAACATAAAAATTATCAATACAAGGATAATCAAAATACTGTCACTCAGACTAGCATTGTTAGTTTAAAATTAATATCACCAGTTATTCCAAGTACCCTAACATACTCTACTACAGCACCTTAACCCCTTATTTAAAAGTACATGTTCAACCTTTTGCTCCCTGATGATTTGATCAAGTCTTGCTTTTTAGCCCCTGGTTAGAGTATTAAAAACGTGTGGAGAAATTTTACATACACTCCTGATATTTCAAATACCTTAGTCCCCTTAAAGGTAAAAGTGTTTTCTTTTATTGCTTAAACAGAGAAAAAAAAAAGAAAAAAATGGCTAACTATGCAACCATTTTCCTCGGTTTGTAGAGTCTGTCATCGAAATTTTAAGAATCCTCTTTCGAGAGGAACTTCTTCAAGGCAGCCGCCATCTTAGATGAATCTAGAGGTAGAAGAAGGGACTCTTCGCAAAGTTTCTTTCCATTCTCGTCGAGTTTACCGCCACGGAATAAGTCAGGGATCAGATGATCTTTATAATCTTGCACAGTAAATTCTGGATGCGCTTGAATCCCGAAGATGTTTTCTGTAAATTGAATCATCTCATGATGGCAAGTTGCTGATTCCGCCAGATTTGTAGCTCCGGGGGGTAGGGTCGCTACACATTCACCATGGCACTCCAGCAAGCGAAGAGGGCCATCAAGGCCTTCGATTAGTTCTTTTATTGCTTTATTTCCTCGAAAATTCCTATCTGTTTTGACTTCTTCGCTCTGCAGGACGAATTTCTGCGATGGATTCGCCGTGACTTGACCACCCAGAGCGGCTCCAATTAACTGATGGCCGAAGCACACACCTATGATACGAGACTTGGATGAATTCGCCGAAGAAGAAATAAATTCCTTCAAATCGTTGATCCACTTGATATCATCGTTCGCAGAATGGGGACTTCCTGTGATAAAGAAGCCGTCAAATGTTTCTAAATCCCCTTTGGAAGGTACCTCGCCTTCAATAGCTGCGAAAATACGCCAATCCTCCGCCTCAGATTTGCTTTTGAAGATGTCGACATAGCGCTTTCCTATCGATGAAGCGCCACCCCATTTTTCGTGGTTATCGCAAACTATAACACCATAGCGAGTCCCATGACAGCTTCCTGTGTTTGATGTCATTTTGAATCGTCGTCTAACAGCGGTAGTAATCGTTCTGTGCTTAAACGAACGCACAAACAACGGAAATGAAGAAAGTGGGCTGATTTTCATACAACTTGAAAATTTTATAAACGCCGAATACAATCCATAGACGCGCCAAGTTTTGTTTTTTACCCGAGGCTAATACAATTTAGGCGATGAAAGAAAATAAAATAGCAAAGCGACGACAATTTAACAATGAAATGAGTACGTACAATTCATTTGTGAAATGACTGAAGATTGTAGATCTTCGCACGGCATAAACAAAAGAATAAATGATAATTTTCAATCAATGTTCAGGCCCTACGCATCTGTCAAAGTTTTAATAGCAAAACTTCTGGCTTTTTTCCGCTTTAAATTCAAATTGTTCTTGTTTTTAAGTGTTGAAATAATCCTTTTTGCCACAGATCAGACATAATTCATCCCCTTCGTAGATTTCAAGCGTGCGAATTCAGCTGCAATTTCCGATTTTCCGGTCCTTTGTAATGCCGCCGACAATCTCATCATCCCACCCTACCCTATTACATTTTATAAACATCTTCAAAACTTGCTTTTTTGCTTTAAGAATGAACCGCCTGAAACTCAAATCCATTAAATTACACGAAATTGTACCTTAGAATACTTTTCTTCACCATAAACCCCATAGATTAAGAGAATACCAATCTGTGATGAAAGTAAATTGCTTAGCCTTCCCTGGTGAGATAGTTGTATTGAAGCTAGAGGGTGTTGAATTTAATGCGAAATTGTGCGGAGTCTAACCACGTGGAACATAAATAAGTTTTACCGCCATCTCTGACAGTTCAGTTCACATTCGAATTTTTGACGTTCGGTCGAGTCCACGAGACGATTGAGTTCATTTGGTGACCCTGTAATTTATTCCTTATCTTTCCAAGAGTTCCTCTCTTGCTTTAAAACTTTTCTTGATGTTGGACAAGATGAATGATAGCACAGTTCCCGTGCAGATGAACGGCGAATCCCTGGAAAACGGCACAGATCACAACATGAAGACAAATTTGATCATCAACTACCTACCGCCTTCGATGAGCGAGGGCGAACTCAAAAACTTATTCGGTGAATTCGGAACCGTGTCGAGTTGTAAACTCGTACGGGACAGAGTATCTGGCAACAGCCTTGGTTACGCGTTCGTTAACTATGAGGAACCTGATCAGGCGGCTAAAGCGGTCAGGGAATTAAATCGGCTGCGAGTTCAGACCAAGAATATCAAAGTGAGTTATGCTCGACCCTCATCAGAGGACATAAAAAATGCCAATCTGTACATTAGTGGACTACCAAAGGCAATGAACGAGGAACAGCTAGAGGCACTCTTTCATAAATATGGCGAGATTATAACATCAAAAGTTCTCAAAGATGAAAACTCCGTGAGTCGTGGTGCTGGATTCGTCCGGTTTGACAAGCGCTCTCAAGCGCAAGCTGCGATCGACGCATTGAATGGCGCGCAGATTCCGGGTGTAAGTCCCTCGGAATCTTCTAAACTGACCGTGAAGTTTGCCAATCCTCCGAGCAACAAGCCTCAGATTCCGTTTGCCTTTCAGTCACCAATCGGTCTTACTCCGCCGCAAATTCGTGGAAATGCAAGATCACCGTTCAGCGCTAGCGGGGTAGGGCCTCTGTACCACCAAGGCGCGAATTTTCGCTACTCGCCGCTCACGTTTCTTCAAAGCCCAAACAACAACACCTTTACTCCGAACGCTCTTGTCCCCGGCAGTTACTGTGTTTTCGTTTATGGCTTGCCGTCAGACAAGGACGACGGAGGAACTACTAAAGTTGACCCAGAGAAGCTATTGTACAAACTATTCGCCAAATACGGTGCAATTACTGACGTGCGCGTGAAGAAAGGCCAGAATTTTGGCTTCGTTAACATGCAAAACTATGATGATGCACAACAAGCGATTGCCGGTCTGAACGGACACCGAATCGCTGGACACGAGGATAAACCTCCTCTTCAAGTATCGTTTAAGACCCCGAACGTCAAGAAGCAATAAAAATGAGAGCACTTTGACAAACTTGAATCATTCGCCGAACATTCACACAGCCAGAGTGCCAACAAAGATGGCGAGTCAAACTAGTCTCGCCCTTCCTTCCGCCCCACGTCAAGCTTGCTATCAAAGCTTTGATTTTTTCCTTTTTCATATTTTGCCCCTAGTTTTTCGTTTGATCTTTTAATCATAGCCTAGGTTAAGGGAAGCGATATTTGCCGTTTGGCAAGGAGCTTTCTTCCGTTAAAAATAGTTGGAAAATTTAGATTTTACTTTGACTTTGTGTGTTAATTAGAAAGGTAAATAGAGTACGTCTATATGAGGTATACTGGAATTCTTAGAGATCAACCAAATTTTTGACCAATTCTTGATAATATTTTAGGCAGGATCTTAATTTAAGTGCACTGTTTGTTTGGTAATTCGAGCTATTTTCTCGTTAGAAACTTCTTAGTTTTTGTGAGACCATGTTCGTAGGTGTTTTGACAGTTCGGCATAATAGCACCGGTCGTCGATCTCTTTGGTTGAATCCTTATTTACTTTGCTGTATTTTTGATTTGTCGTTGCGATCGCTCTTTCCGTTTTGGATCGAGCATTTCTACGATCACTTCTGTTTTGTTTTCATTAAATTTTTCTTCTATTTTTTCGTGTTGATGATTTTGTTTTATTTTTGTTGTGTTGTCTCCAATATTTCTTCTCTGTTTGATCTCAACGATTTATTCATTTTGCCCTCTGAGTGCCATTATTCGAGTTAGCCGAGAAGAACTGATAACTTTACTAATTTCATTTGTTCAAAATTTTGTTGATTGGGAAAAATGCAGAAGATAACATTATAGAATTCGTGTGAGAAAAGGTCGTTGCTTTCGCTTATGTGTCGAAAATATTATTGTTAGATTCCTTGGGGACTCGTATTTATTTAACTTTTTTCTCTTGCCATTTTCCCTCTTTTCGTCTGTCTATCATGCACAAGAAAACTTTAAATGTTTAGAACTTGCTAAAGTAAATCCACTCAAACATTTTTCTAGTTTACTCAAGTGTTACTGTAGCAAGCCATTGGAGTTCAATTTACTCTCAGTTTTATATTTATTTTGCTCAGTTTTCTAATTGATGCTGTAGAATTTGTAGAAGGATGTGAAGGGAGTTAGGGTTTTCATTTGAGTGGGCTAGCAAACATTGGTCAAAGGAAGAAATCGTCGAAAGCCTGGTTGGAAAGGATCCAAGCAAAGGAATATGAACGAGGTAATCATCTCTTTAAAAATTGATGAACACTCTGCCACAAGGTTTATCACTAAGATCATCAAAGATTAAGAATGCTATGCATGATTACTTTATTTTTTCATGTTGAGATTTCACGTTTTCTAAATGTGAAATTTTCCTGCAAGGCTAATTGTTGTCGTTTTCTCTTAGTGGGTCAGATCTTGAGCAGGAAATCTTTTACTCCCAAACAGCTGCTTCCACAAAGTGGTTCATTTCACCAAATTGTATACAGGTGTTATGAACTGACTCAAAAAAAAGAAAAAAAATTAAAAATGAAATTAATCATGAATCAGTTTTGACAAGCTGGCAGTGGGCTGGGTGGGGAAAATATGTAATGTGATTGGCTGGAGAGAGTTCATTTCATTAAAATTAATCTGCTATTGTATGTGAAATGCCTGCTAACAAAATTGATTTGGGGGAGAGAAAATAAATATTTAAGTCAATGTTTCTGTAAATTTTCCACCCTGTAAGTAAAGCACATTTTTACTGAAAAAATCATTATGAAACATTTCATTTACCATTTGTACAGATTTCTTGTTGCACAAAAAGAAATCCATTAGTGGCTACCTATGGAGTTTTTTTATCAGAAAAAAATACTCCATTTAACTGGTTTTCTTTCTAATAACCACCACATAGTCATGTCTATTTTGCTTGTAACCACCTGAGCTGATAGAAAGCAGAAATATTTGTGAGTGGTAGCTTGTAAATCAACAACAGATATAGAATGTGTACATTTTTATTTTTGCAGTATTGCAGAAAGGTCATAAATTTTTTTTTTATGAAATGATAATGAAAGGGATCACTGGCAATTTTTATAGAACTTCAGATCCATCAGATCCAATAAGAAAATTCCACTTAATTGGGGAGACATTTCTACATGAAATTAAATTTACATGATTGGTGACTTTTTTTTCCTTTGATCAGTATATATTAAGTATATCTTAAGACTTTGCTTCCAGAGAAAGGTTGTGGTGAGGTGATGTTGATCTTCATTTTATGCATGAGTGTTTTCCCCAAAGCTTTGCAGTTCACATTTCATATCCATGTTACAAATAGATTTCTGTATTTTAAGCATGATAATTATATGCGTAATACAAATTGCCAAAGTTGAATTAATGCTCAAGTTTAAATTTAAAAATTTTACTGAATGAAATGCAAGTTGAAACCCAATAACCAGGTCACCATGGCTATTAAATAATATATTTCTAAAACCTCTTTGCAATTCCTTCATCCAAAGCAATTCACAGCTATCTATAAAGATTCTTTTTTCTTTTTGTTACTGTTAGATCAGTAGCTTCTGAGACTCTTTGGTGAAGGCAGTTGTTGGAATGCAGGATTTTGGATTGTAAACAATTTATTGGCAGCTCAGGTATAGGGATTCACTGTTTGGTCTAGACTTCTTCCAATCAATAAAATGGTTCCAGGAGAAGGAAATGGACATTGGGAACACAGCTGGTGTTTCATTAATTAGTGGGCTCATATCCCCTGATTTGCAGAGTCAATAAGTGCACCACATCTACACAAAGCAATATATGTAGTTTTCTGAAAATAGCAAATGCATGTTTGATGCAATATGTGATAGTCAGGATTATTGTCATGTTCCTCAGCAGGTTGTCTGATAAAAATATAAATGAAGAAAGAAATGATAATTTTCATTTATATTCAAATCCTGTTTTAGTTAAGTTTTTCATCACATGTATTTCTTTAGTGAGTGGAGGATGTTTGGTCTCTGAAAAAAAGTACAAGCATTTTGAATTTAATTGATTCAGATCAAAGGAAAAGTGTGTCTTTTAGGGAAATTTGAAGGTAATCAAATAATTCTGTACACCATCTTAAAGTGGACATGTTTGGGAACACAGACAGCAGTCTGTTATCCTTAGATAAGATAAATTAACTGAATATTCATGGTTGTACGTTATGAGAAAAAAATTGCCTTCTCTTTTGTTATTTTGTTGAACTTAAGCAGCACATAGGTTTGGTTTAGCAACAGCAACAATTTTGCTATGAAACCCTTTAAAATTATCCAAAACCTTGTTACAATGTTTGTATTTTAATCAAAGGAGATTCAGCAGGTTATTGTAATGTATTTCTGCAGAAAATTTCCCCTCCCAGTAATCCATCTTACAATTTTTGTTTTGAGCACAAGAATGAACTCTTGCTGAGCAATATTTTATATATAACCTAAACCTACTAACAAATTACTGAGGCATTTTCTATGGCAGAAAATTTCTTGGTCTTTCATAATGGAATATTTTCAAGGTTAGTTTTCATTTTACCAAAGCAAACTAAAGCTTTATATTCATGCTCTTACTATTTTCTTAGGGGAGTCTACCATAATTGTAAAAAACAAACATCTGCTTTAAAGGTGAATGTAAATTTCCTTTGCATTGTAATCATACACTCAGATATATTTTCAAGAGCAAATAAAAATATATATATATATATATAGAGTCTACGATTCACAGGAAAAATTGCTTTCTCTATTTCCCTGCTGTCGGTAGAAGTGGAGCAATTTCCTGGAGTATGTTTTGAGTATGAAAACTGTATAGGCAGACAAAATCAAAAGAGAAATCAACTGTCTGCAGATACAGGTTACTCTGTATTTCTTCAAGCTAATTGACCTTCTGTGAAATTATTGTTATGAAAATTTCAATGTAAAAATGTAATTGCTTGTGGAATAATAATGATGGCACCTTATGTGTGAAGCTTTTCACGAGTCCTTTGAATTTATCCTTGGGATTAGTGCATTAAAGAGACCACAGTAAATTAATTCCTAAGATGTTCTTGCTTTGAATATTCAGTGTTAAAATCTGTCTGCTATAACTTACTTTCCTGTTCCAAAGTTTTTAAATTAAATATTCATATGGTTTAAAGTTTCCATTCTTTACATTGCAAAGTTTTAAATTACAGGAATAAAATATTTAGAAGGAAGATTTTGATGATAGCTTTCACTAACAGCAATTGCTAAACCCCCTCATTTTGTTGTGATAAACATCAGCTTTTATGATTATAAAAATAACAGAAAAATATCCTAAATTTGGGATAAATTGGGAACATCATCTTTTGTGAGTTCTGTGGTAGATTCGATAGGGAAGTTTAAAAGTCAGAAACAAAATATTGTGATACCATTCTGAGCAGCTGAATTGAGATTTCCATATTGTGAACAGTTTCCTCAGTTTAAAATGAGCAAAACATAAAAATATGAATTTTTTTTATATTATTTATATAGAACATAGAAAGGGTTGTTGAATCTTACATGTTGAAATGTTTCATATTTACCATTGTTCAACTGCTACCCAGTGTATTTAAAGAATTGGTTTCTAGGCATACATTCTCAGTATTAGAGATATTTTACAAGCTTAACTACAGATTAAGATAAGAAACCATTTGCATAAAGTTTTGACATTTATTTGTGTGCTCAACATAATATACATTGATTGCTAGTGAGGATTTATGGATTTTATCAACTGATAGCTTACAATCTGAAAAGAATAAGTACTATACATTTCTGATTTTTGTGATTGTGAGAGTTTCATTTTCTGAACTGTCTGTGTAAACTGGACAAGAATTGAAGCATAGTGTTTGATGATGAATTTTTTTTTTCTGTGATAGTTGATATTAAACGAAATGACAGCTGCTTTAAATAAAGCTGTCAGAGATCAATTATGTCAGACGTGAAACGAACTAAGTATATTCTGCTTAGGATAATATCACAAATTTAGAGACCACCAGCTCTACTTTCACCTGACATTAAAAATTTCAGGATTTTTCATGAAAAAGGCTAAAAAATTTCAGAAGTAATTTTGAAATGAAAGCTTTCTCATTATTTAGTTGATGTTTTCTCAATGCAATACCAAAAGCAAAGTACAATAGAAGTGGATATGAAACAGCCAGACATAACACTCCAGTAATGATGAAGTGGAAATGTTAAAGGACTTGGATCTTGTTCTGCTGAACTATGAATATTGAAAAAGGAACACCTTAAAAGAAGAAACCATTTTGGAAGTTCATTCCACATGTCATTGCAGTTGTACCCAGAGGAAGTAACATTATCATAAAGATAATACCTTTGAATAATCTTTACCCTGGGATATTAGTAAACAAGGAAAAATCCTCTGAGAGCCTTTACTAGAAATCCACTTAGCCTGTGTCACAGCATAATTAAATAATCACCCAATTCCATGGCTTAGGAAGTTCTGTGCTTTTTTTATAATCACCTGGGGTCATGTATAAACTTGTTTGAGATATTTCTAGTTTCATCTGTAAGGGGGTACTCACACCCTGCAGCAGAAACAGGAAAAGATACATACCCTAACAAAAACAACCCCTATGCTGAAATTGGCTTCTTTTTTTTGTGCATCAATTCTAAGGAAAATGGAAGGATATAATGCAAACAACATTTAGCTAAAAGCATGTGGGAGGAATGTAATTTCCCAGGGAACCATTAGGCTTGACACAGAATGCCACTGAATGGATAAAAATCCCAATAAATGCATTTACCTTATGTATATTTTATCCCACAGCTATGAAATATTATTGCTTTGAAATAAAACTATCAATCAATACGCTAAGTGCTTGTCTTGAAATCTGCATATTTGTCTTATGTAATTATCTTGGAATAAACCTCAAGGTAAATTCCAATTAACAATAGGAAAATATTCCTTTATGGAGAAGAGAAATTTTTTTCATTTTGTCTTAAATCTAGAGGTTAAATTGAAAAGATTGTAGATATAATGTTTTCCATTTTTAGCATCATAGTCATTATGCTTGTGGTTTTAAAGTATTTTCACATGGAAAAGTTTCCACCATGAGAGAATCTGTTTTTTTTGTCCTGCCTGGGTCTAATCAGCTCCTTTATTCTCATTAACTGTTGACTTGATTTTTTGGGAAAAACATCAGAGAGAATGTAGAAATCTCTTTTGTAAGAAGACGGTCAGCATTAAGCTCCTTGTAGGATTTTGTGTCCAGATTTTTGGTAAAATTAAGTTAATCTCTCTGAGAATTTCATCTTCTCAAGCTTAAAAGAAGGTGAAACATTCACAAGTGACAAAAATACAGCATGTCCATTGCTCAGAAATATTATTAGATTTGCATGTTACAAAGAGAAATTACACCAAGATTTAGGAATTTCAAATCTGAGAGCTTTGAAAAAGCTTAAACGTCTAGGAAGCTGAGGCAATAATAATAAATAACAGTTGCCATAATTGCATGACATTGTTTGATAAAAGCAAAAATATCAATAACTCCTTTGACTGATTGCACAGTTCATTTGTCTGACACATTGCATAACAATAGTAATCATGGAAACAAGTTTTCAATAACTGATAGTTCTTTTTGAAAGGAGAACAGAAGATCACAATTTTGTATTTACATTGCTTGAAGCAAACACTTAAGTCTTAAAAAGAAAGTCAAACATGCTTGCATGATTCTAGGCTGTAAAAACTTTAGAGTTGATATTAATGTTTGTTCTGTCAGTTGACACCAGGAAAAGTAAAAAAATTCATTACCTATTTCCTCTTGCCCCAGAATTTGATCAGTGAATAGCTAATTGTCTTTTCTTAACAAGTAATGATTTTTCATTCATTTTCAGGTAAAAAAGAGAAATGACACAGTACATTAGAGGTTATCAACACATGCATTGAAGTTCTGAAAAACCAAATCAGACATAAAAATTAGTTAAGCCTTAAAAAAAATTTTGATCAAGTTTTCATACCTGAGTTCTGTAATTGCAAGGGGAAAAAACCCTTCTGGTAAAGGTAATGGTGGAAATGAAATTATACAATTTATAGTCACTTTTTTTCTCAGGTGTTTAATTAATTAAAAAATAAAAATCTAAAGCTTCTTTTAAGGTTTGAAATTCATAAGTGTCCCTTTTACTGTTATTTATTATGAATTCAATTTCTCGCTACAGTAAAATTTCAAGAAATAATGGCTGCAAGAACCTTTGTTTTCTCATCCTTTGAGCCAAAAGAAAAGGAGACTATTTGTTCTATATACTTATCGTTTGTGGGTGAATTTTGAAGTCTTTTTTGTAAATCATAATCAATTTACCAGTACCAGTATGTTCTGGAAGGGTAAAAGGTTTATGAAGAGGTTTAGTCAAAATTCTGTTTGATATTATTGTTGATTAAGATTCATAGGATTTCTTTCTGTCTATACATAAGGATGTGATTGCATTCAAAGCACTGAAAAACACATCTGTATTGTACACTGGGCCTGTACTGAGGGACATACAGGGTAATTTCTAAGTGAAACCATTATTAAAAGTTCCAGTGAGACATTTTGCAATAAATTCTACATACAAGATGATTGTCTACAATATTAACACAAAATTCCCCTCACTCCATCAACAACTGTTTAAATTCTACTGCCAATTTAAGACTAGGCACTTGACAAACAGAATCAACATTGGTAAGAAGGAGGGAGGGAGGGGGCAAATTTCCAATGTCATCATACCAAAACGAAATACTCTCCATTAAAATTTGGGTTTTATTGACCAGTTTGCTAGGAGAGCCCATCACACTTGTATACCAGGATCCTGCCAAACCCAGTGAGGTTGAGTAAAATCCAATCTCACCATGGTTTCGTATAGAGTATTACCAAGAGTTGGAATGCTGGGGTGGGGGAATCTAAATTGTAACTACAGATCCCTTGTGTCATGTGAGCTTTTTTGTAATTTCTCAGGCCCATACCATACTTGGTGGATTTTGTAATCTCTGTCAAAGGAGATTACTACTAAGGGTTCCATACACCCAAAATGAAATACGAACCCCCAATATTTTGATAGCTTTGTCCAAACAGGTAGAAAGTGTCTGTCCACATTACAGATGTGTTTGCACCAAGGCCTCTTGAACTAAAAACAATATTTCAAAAAACTTGCAAGGAAATGGCATTGGGTTGAAAGGAAGGATGGGTGTCAAATCTTTGGAGCATAGATTAATTCCCACAAGCCCCATAACTATCATAATATTAATCAGATGAATGTTAAGATCTTGTGGGAATGAGCTAGGCTTAGGAAAGCTCCTTGACTGGTTGTGGGCATCTTGGAGGGTCAACAGTTACAAATGACTGAAACTGAGACATCCATTGGTGAGATTGCAATGAAGGAGCATATGCCATTTGGATGCGATTATTCCATGCCAGATTTTGCATACTCATTACAACATTGAAAATCTAAGACAATCATAGGAATGAGTTCAATCATTTTCTTATGGTGATGACTGAAGCTATCATATGCACTCTGGTCAAGATGATTTTCAGTGTTCCCAAACTGACAGAGGAGACAAAACACCCCTTATAATTATGAATCTCTATCTCATATTCTCACCTTCTCATATGAGGTCTAATCGTTGGAGAAACATTCCACAACAACTGTGCCTTGACTCTTGGTACATTTCTAGTACCTGTTTATTCAGTATTCAGGTTCAAATCTTGCAGACCTTGATTTAAAATTCCTACTTGCCACCAAATGCCAAAGATAGATGTTTCTGCCCCACAATTTAGATACAGGAATGCAATGATTCATAAGAAAATTTAGACTGAACAAAAATCAGTACTGTGGTACTTCTCCCAAGCATCACGACCATTTTTAGTACCAGTAAGCTGTATTCTACTTGGTAATAACTTTCAATACAAAAGTTATCCTGTACATTATGAATTAATTATTGTTCCTTTGCTACAAAGAAAAAATTCAACTTCAATCTCTTTACCTTCTTTATGAAATATGCTGTGATGAGAATTTTTTCAAAAATTTCAAAAAAAATCACTATATAAAAGTTATCATTCTATAAAAGTTACCATAAAAACATTTTCAGATTTGATTTTAAATCATGTGCCATTGTCCATTGACAAACACACACCTGTTATAGGATATCTTCCCCTGTTTTCTAGAACACCTCTTGGTGCACAAATCCATGGGTCATCTGTTTTATTTTGCCAAGCATTCAACTTGCCATGTAATTCCATGATGACATCCTGATAGGCAGGTTTACCATACAGGTTTGTCAGCTCCTCTGGGTCATTTTTGAGATCATATAGTTCCCACTGAGGTCGATAATAATACTGATCAAGTGTGAGAAACCATCTAGTTGGCTTACCCTCCTCTGTGCGATTCAGAAGATCTTGATAAGTTGGTGAGACAAAAAAGTCTTGATCAATAGGAAATGGCATCTTATAGTTGAGGTTATGTATCAGTTTGAAGGTTGTGTTTCGAATAACTCTCATTGGATAATACATTGTCACTTCATGTAAGTTGTGGCTGGCAAAGACTGTATCCCAACCAGATTGTGGTTCTTCTTTTAATACAGGTAACACTGACTTCCCTGTTAACTGTACTGGATTGGGTCCCAGAAGCTTGTATGTGGGGTAATCAAGTCCAAACCAATCCAGGACTGTAGGAACTATATCAAGTAGACTAACCATAGCATCACTCTCCTGGCCCCAGCGTTCAGGGGTGTAAGGTGATGATACAAGGTAGGGCTCTGCCATGCCTGGATCAAACAGATTTGTTCGACCAGTTGGGAATGGTATGCCATTGTCAGAGCTGTATATGACTAAGGTGTTGTCTTCAAAGCCTGCCTGCCGAAGTTCCTCCAAGATAAGCCCTATGCCCTGATCAAGGCGACTGATTGTTGTGTACTGGTTAGCAATGTCCTGTCTTGCTGCTGGTGTGTCTTGTATAAAATATGGCACAATCACATCCTCAGGGGAGTAGTGTATTGGCTTCCAGTCAGGAATAAGCCCCATGCCTGTTTCACCATTTCCAAACTTCTCACAAAAGCTTCCTGTTCACATTATGAAAATAATCATCCAATTAATAGATATTAGCAAATAAGTATCTTCAATGAACACAAAAACACAACATAAGGGTTTTTTTCTATGAGATATAGACTGAGATAGAGTAGTCATAGGTAGGGTATGCTGGTTTGATTTTGAGCATAATAGTGAGGCAAAAGAATCAAGCGTTTATGCCTGTTATCCATGCTTATAAACCCTCTATTGAGGATTAGTTATAATAACTTAGTAGCTATTCATTTAAGCTCACCATATTCAGGATTGGTGTGTCCACATCGATGGGGGTCATGAAAGCCAATGTATAAAAAGAATGGGCGCGAGTCATTCAGAGATCCTTGGAAAAACTTCTGTGTCAGTTCTTTAATGTAGGTGATGTTGCGGCCAACTTGAAGTATAGAGTGATGGTCTTCTGTGTATGCAAATTCAAATGGATACACCTATAGAGAGAGGAAAGAAATAAAGAAACCAATATTTATCAAAAAGAAAAGGCACTATATTTTGCTGTAAGTTTGATTCAACACATATGCAATGTTCACAAAAATGCCTTGAAAGAAAACTGGAGCACTGGCCTTACCAAAGATTTTAGCAATAGAGGAGTTTCCAAGGTTACGAAACTTATATTATTACATTATTGCAAATTAAGTCAAGAGGAGTTCCAAGAATTCAAAACAGTTATGCAAACCCAAACACAGTTACATAACTTTCAAGAATTCTTCTGACCTCCTTCATGTTTAATTGAGGCTACATAAACTCTAGATATGTTTTCTACTACTTCTACATAATAATTCAGATATATGAAAGATGAAGTTATTCAGTAAATGATACAAGCTCATTTTGAGAAAAAAGAACTCAGAGAGCTCCCAACTTAAACCAAACCTACAATCTACTGATTGGTATTTCTTTTTCTTCCAGTATACATGTGTGACATTTACTGAATAGCATCATCTTTCACTTTAATCATCAAGAGTAAAATTTACCATCTTCACTTATTTCAGATATCTTTGAAAAGTGCTTGAATCTAACAAATCACAACAATGTATAAATACTCTCAACTAAACACACACCTATCAATCAAAGGGAGGCTTTCTAGTACGGTATGAGTTATTTTTTTAGGATGTCTTTTTACCTCCTCAAGCAGGAAAATATACTATATGCCATCTTAAATCCTACGTTTTCCCTTTTTTTACCAGTAACTTACTGTTTCAGGTCCAACATGCTTCTTTCCAATAATTCCAGTTCTCACATTTGCCTTTTGCAGGAGCAATGGTAAACTTCTGACTGCATCAAACGAATTAAAGTGATGAACATCATGGTGAAGACCATACATACCATTCTGATGCTGAGGAAGACCTTCAACAAAACATCATCAAAAGTTGTTTGACAGTTCAAATATAAAGCTCACTGAGGTGCCAATGAAATTATGAAGCATTTGTTATTAAAGTTGTTGTAAAGTATATTTTTGTGCATGTAAGTGAGTGAAATCACCATTGTACAAGTAAATTACTCATTACAAATTTTCGTGATTATTCTTAAGCTGTTTACACATAAAGTCCAACACACAGCTCCATCCATTTTCATAAATTCAAGGTAAGCAGGCAGTAGATAACCCTTTCACTCCCTCAAAATTTCCTGGGTTCTCTCAAGTCAGTTATTACAAAACATTTGCCACAAATGATTATTTACTTTTAAGTGTTAAATGTTAAAATATCAGTGTGTGGTTAATCCATTATAAAGGTCAAATTGTTAATCTGTAGCCTTAATGACAGCATCTTTCACATTTTGATTATGGTTTTAAGGTATACTTCAGTGTTACCTTGCATTGTTTTTAAATTTATGTTTTTTGATGCAGTTAGTGTTTTCCCCCCTCCCCACCCTTCTTTTTGACCCTTGTCCATCTCCTGCCATCACCACATTATGCTTGAAGGCCATGGCATTTGATTCATTTTCAACAAATGTGAAGCTTATTAGGTTAAATAATATGCAAATTATGTGGAGTGGAAGTATAAATATGTATGTATTATAGATAATTTTTCCCATATATATATTATTACGTGAAATTTTGTAATCTAAAAACAAACAAAACTCATCAGACTTGATCATTAGAAAATCTTTAAAATTTACCTGTTAGAATAGCTGACCTGCTTGGAGAGCAGCTACTGACTGAAGTGAAAGCTTTTCTAAAAATTACACTGCGCTTCCCCAAAGCGTTTAAATTTGGAGTTTTGCAGACCGTGTTGTCGTACACCTGCGTTTCGAAGCCTGCATCGTCTCCAATAATTACCAGGACATTCTTTCGTTCATTTGAATTCGCTATCCTGGGAATCCAGGCTAATAACACTAGACAAATAGCTGCGTGAGGTGGGCGTAATAATATTCCAATGTCTGCCATTTTGCAGTGTTGTTTGTCACGAGATGTTGGTTCCAGATTCCTTGCAATTAGTTCGCAAGTAACGCCTTGTGGTTCTGCGTTGCGTGGGGCCCAAAGCGTTCCATGCGGAACGTATTTCCGACGTGAGAGTGAAACCAGCATGGGAAAGATAAAGGTAAAGAATGATGTCTTTTGTTAAGATTTATATTACATTCTGGTTTATGAGCATTGATCAATTCGAAATTTAAAAATCCATCGTACAAAGAGTTCCCGTTAGTTAGCCGTTGTAACATGAACATTTTACACTTTTCAAGATTGTCTTGTTAATAATCAGCCCACACGAACAACTTAGCGCTTCTTTCCATAAATTTGTAAAATTAAAAAAAGTATTAAAGGTTGGATGTAGATCAGATGAATTAAGCTCAAAAGTTTTCATTATGCTCAATTAAATTCCAAAGAAATATTAGCTTTTAAGAGCCCCTCAACCTCAATTTCCCCTCCCCCACCCCCCTCAATCCTACCTCCAACAGGTAAAACTTGCTAATGATAAAAGGCTTACCAAAGTTAATTAAGAACACAACATTTTATGGGAATAAATTCCTGAAGTGCATGTAAGAAAAGCAGGCTCACTCTTTACAATTACTCAGGCTACAGAATTAATCTTCTGTTGAACTGTCTGTAACATTAGGGAATTTTTGAATAGTGGTATTATGCACAATGCTCTGACTATAGTATTCTGCCCTAAATTATGCCTGTATAATTTATCTGACCCTGTTTGGATGTCTAATGGAGGTGTAATAGAGTATGAAGTCTGACGAATCTAATCTGACCAGTTTAGAAAGGAAATAGGTATTTCTTTATTTGTAAAACTTTTTTATTTTTTGATGATATAGATTGGAATCATTGGTGGCACTGGCCTGAGTGATCCTGATATTTTAAAAGAAGGAAAAGGAAAACAAGTTTCAACACCATTTGGAGAGGTAAGTTTGTGATGTGTAATGTGTTCCAGTATGATTTATTGAGCAACACAATATGAAGGCTTAGAGTGAGGTATTTTTAATGATCAAGTAGGTGGCAAATATTGTTGGAAAATAAAGCTTACTCAATCACACAAAAATCAAGAAGTAAAATTCCACTATAGTGAATGGGGGTCTTTGCATTATGGCTCTCTTGATAAATAATTGTAGAAATGCATCATGTTGTATGATGTAGGTATTTTGAGAAAGTATCTTCCTTACATGGTGCAAAATTGAGAAAGGAATGTGTAATTTATGTCTGGGATAAAAAGCACTGGTAGAACAGAGTTATGAATTACCTAATGTGGCAAATTCAGATGTAGCCTTCTTCTTCCATTTTCAATTTTCTTATAATGAAGACATATTCTTTTGGATCAGCCAAGTCCTCTGGAGAAAATTCAACTTAATAATTTGAGTGAGATTTTTACCTCTTGTTTTGCTCTGCACATAATGCCAGCTTGAAGATGTGTGCTATTCTGCTAGTCTCCAGTTCTTCGTAGTTGGCATTTTCCTGACTATACTTGTAGGGTCATATTGTCTTAACAGTTTATTGCAGACAGTAAAACCCATCTTAACCAACCTGATATATCCTTCAATTGTAATTTTTTCTGTCCAGCCCCAAGTTTTGTTTGGTTTATGTTCTTCATAACATCTGCACTTTATTAATTGGCTTTACACTCTAACATCATTATGCATAATCTCCTTATTGTTCTCTCATATACATTTCCTAAGGTGCTGACAAAGACCTTAATATATGATTCAGGGGTGATATTGTAAGGAGAAATTAGTTGCTAATCACTCTTAGGGGTCAAAGGGTTTAGTTGGAAAAATCAGAGGACATAACAGCAACTGTAATGTTGTATTTGTTATATTCATCTGGGTTTTATTTTACTTGGACATGATTTAGTTATGTTCAGTGGAGTCTTGTTAATAAGAGCACTTCACGATATGACATTTTATCTATGATGTAATCTCATCAGTGAAATCCTGAAAATATCTAGAAAACAGCCTATTATTTTGTCCAAAGTTTCATGGTCCAGTAGTGGTTTTAGCAAATAACAGTGTTCTATGTAACAGATCCTGTGGTCTTGATCATTGATATATTATGTTAAAATATTTTAAGCCCTCAGATGCCTTAGTTGTTGGTAAAATATCTGGAGTGGAGTGTGTTTTGTTAGCAAGGTAAGTACATCATTTATTAAAATGAATTGCTATAGCTATGACATTATCACCATTATCCACAGGGACATTCCCATCATTATTAGTTATTTTAAATACTTAGAATCTGACCACTATGTTATTATGACACACACACAAAAAACACAATTTCATCTTACTTTAATCATAAGGTGCATATTAAGACTTTTGAAAATCATTTATTTTTTTGTTACTTTTGTGTTTCATAATTTAGTGCACATTAGCAATGTGCAAGTATCCTGTTAGGTTCAATTTTGTCTTGTTCTTCATCTTTCTTTCCACTTCAAAGCCTGACTTCTGTTTTTAAGCTTTAACTTTCTGTAATGGTGTGGGCCTATTGTAATAATCAACCTGTTAAGACTGGTTCCTTATTGATTTGTTTGGCTTGTCTCTCAACTTTGTGTGGCAGGCATGGTAAGAAACACACAGTCATGCCAACAAATATCAACTATCGGGCAAACATTTGGGCTCTGAAGGAGGAGGGCTGCACTCATGTTGTTGTCACTACAGCATGTGGATCTTTAAGAGAGGAATATAAACCTGGAGATCTGGTGTTTCCAGATCAGTTCATTGATCGGACCACTAAAAGAGTTTCTACATTTTATGATGGTAAAGAAGGTAGCCCATCTGGAATCTGTCACATGCCCATGCATGAACCTTATTGTCGTCATGTTAGAGAGGTTTGTGTTATGTTTATCTTTTTTGGGTGATGGAGCTGAATGATGTCTGCCCATGTCACAAATACAACTATGAAACATGTTGCTCTCAAACTGCATTTTTATATTGCATGGACTCAAAACATTCTCATCAAGGATTCTATCTTCTTCACTGTCTTCAAGAGTAAATTTAAAGAGATTAAGAGTCATATTCTTTCCATAACTTTGGGTTCTCAATTGGTGTCAAAGAGAATTTTAGTAAGGATGATTTTCAATATTTTGTAAAGTTTGTGGCCACTTTTTCAGAAAAGAACTGATCCAAATTTTGAATTCCAGAAATAACCAGAATATTTTTAAAAGTAATACTCTACATAATTTCAATCATATGTATTTATCTCAGAGAACTGGTGCAGGTTTTTATTTTAATTAGATGGTGGGTCCATATCAGTTTTTTTTCTTGTTATTTCATGGACATATTTTTTTATTTCTTCTGTTGATATACCAATATAATAAGTGATTATCTCTGCCTCTGCAATGCAGTCAAAACAAGTTCTTTTCTGTTTGTTATTTTGTTGGGTTTTTTTGATATGTCTTGTGACCACTCATAACTAGAACACCTTACAGTCATACTCATATTTGATTAGTAAATGCTGGAGAGAGAGTTTAATTATTTAAAAGACTTTGAAATTAGCCTGTTTTATCTTTCCTTTTGAACAATTAATGTACCTCTAACATGCTTTTCAGATTCTTGGTGAAGTTGCCAAAGAGTTGAATGTAAGTCATCACAGCTCAGGAACCAATGTTGTTGTTGAAGGTCCTCGCTTCTCATCTAAAGCTGAAAGCAAAATGTTTCAAATGTGGGGAGGAGACATCATTAATATGACAGCTGTTCCAGAAGTAGTCCTGGCTAATGAAGCTGGTCTTTGTTATGCTGCTATTGCTATGGTTACTGACTATGACTGTTGGAGAGATGATCATGAACCAGTAAGTATTCTGTCTATGTGTAACTAATGCAGGTAATTCTTCTTTGAATTCGATACTAACTCAGAGTGGCTAATGTACAATCCAGGAGCGTGTGAATAATACATTCTTGGACTGAATATTGCACCCTGGACTCTGGATTAAGACCACCTGGGTCCTTGAATTGGGTTCTTGGACAAGAGGCTTTTCTCTTACAGCGTCACTTCTCCTAGATTATAATAGTATACCCAAAAACTGTCAGGAAAGCTTGTTAAATTGTTTGAGGTTTTTATTGTGGAAAGGGGACAAGTGGCAATCAAACTTACTTCAATAAAGGGGCAATCCTTGAAATATATGCTTTTCAAAATTCATCACTCTGTTTTACGTATTGATATCAATAAGGTGATAACAAAGTAATAATTGGAGGAGTTATTACCCTGTAGTTGGGTTAGTTACCCTGTAATTATTTAACTCCTGCCCTGTAGTTGCTCCTTGCTTTGAAATGGATAAGCTTTAACTGTTAAAAATTTAAATTTGGCACAGAGAAAGCATTAAAAGTCAGGCTGACAGCCGCAATTTTTCTCTTAGCTAACCTTTGGCTTGTCTTCACTGACAAAGATTGTATACAGGTAACCTTGGTGCAAATCCTGGGGGCTAAACCAAATTCTCAGAGTAATTTTAAGGTCACTTGCCCTCTTTTCCCCTGAGAAGTAAGATGATCAGGCTACCAGTGAGTGATACTATTGAAAGTTAGTCAGGACATGAGACATTTTTGAGCCCACATAGTTGCATGAGTTTCATTGTGGCTCAGTGTTGAGAGTGTTAGCCCTTTAACCCCAGAAGTGGCTAAAATGCAACTGTTCCTTGCAATTCCAATATTTTTCTTGCAAACAGGTTGTGAGAAGAGATAAGATTATCAGCAAGAGGATGCTGTGTTGATGAAACACAAAAAGTCATGTCTAATTTCCTAGGAACTGTATGGCAGTCAGTAGGGAGAAATACTAGTTGGATCTTGGAACCTAATAGGGTCAAAGGGTGTTGGGCATTGCCATACATATGCTGACACACTGAACCATATTTCTTTGAAGTCAAATATTATTGAATGTATTAACATTTTCTTGGTCATGAATGATGTTTTAGGTAAGTGTGGAATCAGTAATGGCAATCTTTAAATCCAATGTGGAAAATGTCAAAAAGCTTCTGTTAGCAGTAATTCCTCGCATTGCTGCAAAAGAATGGGATGACATCATTGAACAACGACAGGTACTTTAAATCTTACATTCTGCAATTAATATTTTCAATGAGAATGGACTTAAGCTTTTTCTTAAAAGGTTTGAGAGGGAAAAGCTTTACCCCACAAGCTCTTGTTTTTCTTATGCCTGGTTCTCTTTTGTTTAGTGCAGGAGAAACACAAAGGCTTAAGGGTAAACCTTAGGTGGCAAGTGATTTGTAGAAAAAACAATTCATACATTTCCAGTACACTCAATTTTACACTGAGACTCCAAATTTAGCTTTCAAAAATTTAAAATTCTAGCTCATACATTTGTTTTTGTGTTTGATTTTGTCTTGAAGGCTGCAACCACAAGCAACACTATGCAACATGGAACCTGATCTTCCCAAAAGGATGTAGCAAAAACAATGTTGGATCTTGAGGATTTTTCAAGTTGACATTGGGAAATAAGGGAAACAGAAACCCTTTTACATGGGCTTCTTTAAGAAAATGTGAAGTAGAAGTGTATGGAATGTTTCGAAAGTATGGCATGTATATTTATGTCTAAGTTTACAACTGGAATTATAATAAATATGTTGTTTTACTGGTGTTGTCATTCAAACCATTGTAAAGTCAGATCTAGAAAGGCTGAAGGACTCATCAGCTGCAAGGTTGTTGCATAAAATAACCGATAATGTCAAAGAAAATGTGCAAGATTCCTAACACTAAATGAGATTCTAGTCCTTATTGCTTTCATTTGTGATGAAGAGTCAATCATTTATAGGTAATAATTTTTTCCTTTGTTGTTCTTTTTAGGCACACCTAATAACTGGTACATAATAATTTAATTAATATCCACATTTGAAAATGGTTATGGGGGGGAGTGAGAGGGTGAGTGTGAGAAAATAAGGGATTGAAACTATTGTGAACTTGGAGGAGGGGTCTTTAAGTAGCTGAAGGGCTAGTTAGGGAAGACCTAAGGAAAAAAAAGAAACGACAGCTAAACAAACAAACAAAACAAACAACATATTAAACAATAAAAAGTATGCTGTAATCAAAATACAATGATGTCTGCCCTTATAATGCTATCTGCTTTTGTAATATTTCACACTAAAGAGAAACAACAATGGAGTGGGTAATCATTGATAACCATGAGTAGCTATAATGTGCAAACAAAGCCCCAAATTGATCATGATTGCCATTAAGAAAAAAAATAAAGAAAATGGGACCTTAAGTTGTCAAAGGTGAAACATCAGTATAACTAAAATAAACCTACTTTACAACAGAAAATACCAATAAAAAAGAAAAAAAAAGTAAATTCTAAGAAAAAAGGGGGGTCACATCCTAATTGGCTATTTTAAAATTTACCCATATTTTCTTAAGGTTGAAATTTTAGGCTAGAGAGGTCATTTAGGCCAAGGTCATTCAAAGTGATGAAAATAAATTTATTGTTAAAGGGTTACTCCAAGGAATGATTAAATCATGCAAACAGATACTCTTGGATGGTCATTTTGAATCTTAATTAAGGTTAATAGGACAAATTGCAACAAGTATACAGCATAACAAAATTACAGGAAATTACTAAATGGATAGAAATGTACTTCAATGCACATCTTATTTTTTGTCTTTATGAAGGAAGTAACATTTTGTATAGTTGATGCTCTTTTATTAACCCTCTTTTTGTAAATCTTCTATCTTGAGCACTGTTAGTCCTCATAACTTATGGATGGACAGATACTCAGAGAATCGTTTATCAGCCCTGTAGCACATGTTACATGCCTGCTCTATCGGGTGGTTGGGACAGAGAGTCAGGTACCTCTTTAGCTACACAGGTTGTGTGATGATAGTCTAGAGAACTGTTTCTTTCATCTTTTGCAAATTATGCATACATTTACATGAAAATGAGAGGAAATGTGAAAGAAGCAAAGCAAAAGAGGTCTACTGGCCAACAGATAACCAACAGGCCACTGAATCTTCTGGGATATTTGGTGGTAGGTCGTTGGCGTTTTTCCTCCCAAAAATGACGGACAACCCTTTGAACGTAGTCGCCATCGGAAAGGAGAAGAAAATTATAATCAAGAGCCATATCCCAACTCATATAGGGGAAGTTTTTCTGCAAAATGTGTTCAGTACTTGCAGAAAGATTAGGGATTGTAAACTCAAGAGGGACAAGACTAATTGAGTTAACCTTGGCTACGGCTTTTGTGAACTACAACACCGAGGCTACAGCTGTGAGAGCAGCAGCATATTGATCACCTTCCTTTAGTTATTTAATTATTCCTTCTTGTCTTGTAATAAGGATTTCTTCATTTATTGCGTCGCAAATATTTCATTAAGAACCAATCCTCTAAAGTTCGACTTCCTAGGGGGGTTACAGAAGGAGGGGAGGTGGGAGTGTTGTAGCTTCGAATAGATCTGCGCATTATCACAGAATTTTGAATAGCCCTCTTGCACGCTTTGCATACCTGTTATATCGACCGGTTAGGACCGGGTACAAGCATGTGCGCGGAGAGTCGAATGTATGGTTGAGAACTGTGAATGTTTGAATATCTACGTTCAGGTACTTGGCATTTCTTCTCTTTAAAATGACGGAAATCCCTACAAACGGAGTCGTCGACGCGAAAGAAAAGAAAAATGTAATCGTGAACTATATCCCACCTCATATAACGGAAGCTTATTTGCAGAACATGTTCATTACTTGTGGAAAGATTATAGGTTGTAAACTCATGAGGGACAAGACTAACGGAGTTAGCCTTGGCTATGCTTTTGTGAACTACAACACTGAGGCTGAAGCGGCGAGAGCCATAGAAATGTTTGACGGACATCAACTTGACAACAAGAAAATAAGAGTAAGTTATGCCCGGCCATCTTCAGAGGAGATTAAAAATGCGAACTTGTACATCAGTGGATTACCTAAAGCTATCGGTGAGGGCGACCTAAAAACGTGGTTTGCTGTTTATGGAACAATCATTTCTTCGAAAATTTTGTTGTTAGAAAGCGGTGAAAGTCGTGGTGTAGGATTTATTCGCTATGACAAAAGGGCAGAAGCCCAGGCAGCCATTGATGCACTGAATGGTGTCACCGTGGCACCTGGCTCTACCCTTGCTGTGAAGTTTGCAAACCCTCCCAAAGGTATTTCTTCAGCCCAGTTACAGTCTGTCTCAATGTTACCTGCGAACGAAGTTTTAAGACCAGAACTGAATCTCGGAGGAGTCGGTCCCATTCATCATGGGACGACAAACAATCGGTTCTCTCCACTAGGAGCCGTTCGTAATGCTTCAAACTATTTCACAAATCAAACGAACAATCAAAATCATCAGAGTCCTGCACATCAAAATGCTAAAAACAATTGTCACTGCATATTCGTATATGGTTTGCCAACTTCAGAGGAGGACATCGCCAATGAATTGTTGCTCTACAAACTTTTTTCCCCACACGGAGCCATTTTTTCGGTGTCTGTCAAGAAGGGCACCGGATATGCCTTTGTCAATATGATAAGGTACGATGAGGCCTTACGAGCGGTTACGAACTTAAATGGATACTTCGTTCAACAACATAATACACATCTTCAAGTGTCTTTTAAAAAATGCAAACCTTGAACTGTTTTACACCATGAGCAGTTAATGTGAACGTGAATACGAGCAGAGCATGTATTTGTGTTATTGTTGTAGATATTTGTATCCAGAGTTAAAATATGGAGAGCTAGCTCGGTGATTTGGTGCCTTGAAAGTACAGTCCTCACCAGTGCATAAGCACTATCATGGCCTTTTTTTTACAAGCGCACAAGCACCTCATATGTGCTTCAATTGCCAGTTGGGACTGGGCTTTAGCAGTGAAAATCAGCCCACACTAAAACCAAGAGGGCCATTTTCACAATTTTTTATGATCAGCCCTGTCATGCTAGCTGGCAGTTGATAGGCCTCTTAAAACTTATTTTTTTATTGATGAAATATGGCAGCATATATTAAACTTTTAGGGCCAGTAATTTAAACAAAGTTTAGCCATTGTTTTACAAAACTACATTTTAAACTATCATGTATAAAGCTGAATCTTTTGTCTGCACATTCATTTTTGTGAACAGTGTTAAGAGGGCCCAAAGTTATAAGTGGAAGAAAACAACCTTCTCATAGAGAATATGCAAGGCCCCCAACTTGTGTAAAACAGTGGTTTGGATTATACCTCACGTAAATAACTGGCCCTTAAGGTTCTAACTTGGAGTTTATTTGAGAGTTTGTTTATTCAGAAATCATATTTTAAGACAACAATTATCATCTACCATTTGTAAATACAGATAACCTCTAACTACTTTTATTAACAATCTCACCAGTCAGCTCTATATGAGAGCCTTCTTCCCCCTCCCCCCCCAGTGTAATTGGTAGTTACAAATCTAATGTCCCACTCAAAATGAACATTCAACGACATGAAACCCAGTTGACCAATGAATTATCCATTATTAAAAAAAGTTACAAATGTTAAAAAATTCAAATTCCTGTATTTTTTAGCACGTTGAGGATATTCTCCGTTATGATTGATGAATTTCATGAAGCACAATCTTCTTGATGAGCTAGTGTCAATCAGACTTTAAGGTCACAAGAACAAAGGAAATGATCACGAACTATTTAGAAGCTCTTGATTGCAAAACAAATTCTCCTTGTCAGTGGCACCTCAGGAAATGCATAGGGAACAGTATGGAGAAGACAAATGTTTGGGTGTAAAGTGAACTATTTTTTTGTTCAATATAGTTTTAGTATGTTCCTCCGATAAGTAATTTTGTTGCAGGAGTGGCATTGTTGAATTGTTCCATCATTACCTCAAAACCAGCTCTCACTTGGTCTTCTTGTTCAATGGAGTCATTCAGCAACAGATGCGTATCCAGGAGTCCTGTTGGTGTGCCTGCTTCGATTTCACAAACAGCATCTTCTTTGTCATTTTAGTGTTGGGAAAATGATAGACATGATCAATGTAATTTAGTCATTGGCTCTTGATCACATTTCTGTGTCTGTCATTTTTTGCCACATGCAGGATATTGGTGAAGGTATATCTGTCTCTCCTTAGCATCTAAAGGGGTTGGGAGTCTTTTCCATCCACCTTCCATTTGCCTCAACAGCTCTATCCATTTGTGTCAATCTTGTTAGAGTGGTTGTGATGTAGTATTGAAACCCAGGAGCCATTATTTTTGTTTTTGGAAGAGAAAGAGGTATTTAAGTCACCAAATGAGATATGTTTGAAGCTTGGGACTATAGTTATATCCTTTATTCTGCTTTGGCAATATTAGCAATAAAGAAGAGACAGTTCTGGATGTAGCCATGATTTTGACATGGGTTGTTTTCCAGAATCTTTTTTTCTACCATTTTCTGTGTATCATTATGCTGTCAAAATGGAGAGATACTTATACTACTGTCTATGAATAAATACTACATGACCAGTGTCTCATTCTTGCAGTCTGAGTTTCAGGCCAGCTTGTAGCTGTCATAGCACTACAGCTTCTGTGTACAAAAACCTGCCTACCTAAGCAGCAACCAAAACTGATTGTACTCAGACTATTATTTTAAAGTATTACCTTATTGAAGCATTGGATTTTGATAGAGATATGTGCACTTACTGATAGTAACAGCTGTGATTCTTACAAACAAAACTTGTTCTAAATTAATGGTTTTCAACCTAAAAATGGCAGTCGGTCATGTACTCTAATCATTCTGATGTTGGCTATTATCACAATGCACTGTAGTTTAAAAATAAGAGTGAGGTGATTTATTGTTGCGCAGAGGAAACTTTCAAAAACACCACTGGAACTTCATTGGTTGGTTAGATGTGGGTTATGAAGTCAAAGAATTGAAATTTCCCCCCAACTTTTTTCATCATCTTTATGTAATTAACTGGTCTTGTACTTAGACCTCCCTTGGCTCAGCTTTGGAAGATAATTGGGAGCTGGGACATAGTTCGTAGGAGATAAATTATTTCATTTTTTAACCATCTTTAAAAGCCCGTGCTTGTCACGCTCCTAACAAACGCACGTAGAACAAACCAGAATCAGAAATCTAGTGCATTGGCGAAACAGTGACAACTTGACCTCCCACTCAAGATTGCCATTAAACCTTGCACTGACGGTGTCCATATAATATTTATAATACTTCCTGTTGAGCTGTTCACCTCTAATCGTTGCAAATTTCTTATTTTCAAACCAGTTTATTTTATTTGTACTTTGAAACGTCAAGTTGCCCCAAACTAGCCGCTAAATTGTTAGTTTCGTAAACTGCAATATTGGCCAGGGTTCGTTGATCATTTCAATAGTTTGTTTCTTTTGAGCGTATTTCAAGCCATTGACAATCTCTTTGCTAACTACGTGGGGTATTAGGTTCCATCTTTGAATCAGGTTTGCACCTGATTTTGAAGAACATCTCACGTTTAGATCTTGGCTGAACTAGGCCGGAATTCATGATAAATCATTGCTGCGGGAGCAAGGAGATCAATGTTTTCCAGTTTAGCCTCGGAAACATGTGTTTCGGAGACAAATTCTACAAACCAGTAAAAGGTAGAAAATAATTTGATTTTGCTTCCGAATTATATGTTTGCTTGTTTAATTATCATTTTAGCAATGTTGATTAGCCTCCATTGCCACTCATTAAAAATGAGATCAACATTATGGCTTGTAGAAAAATATAAGAATGAAAAAACCAAATGGAAACAAAAAGTAAATGAGTTAGAATGACACTAAAATTCCCTACGAGCTTCGGAATAAGGCAGATCAGCAATTTCATCCCCAAGAATATAACAATCGTCGTGGTTGAGTTATCTCCTTTACGAGATTTGTCCGGTTTCTTAAAAATTTATTTTAACGAAAGAAAAAAGAATATTTCCCGGCATCTTTTAATCTCAGGACCATGTTTCTTGACCGATTGTGTTAGATCGTCCCGTTAATTTGAGCAGGCGTCATATAAATTGACCCCTCCTTTGTTAGACGGTAAAAAGCATTTGTTGTAATTTTCTACTTTAACGACCAAATGCTTTAAGAAGTGGTACAGTTACTTGCCAACGGCCTTAATTAATGCGTCGACCTGATTAAAATCATTGTTGGCAAAATGTCGGAAGCTCTGTTCTACTGTGACTGGAACAACCGCACCGCGCTTTGAGCTCGTTGACCCTCCTCATTGCTTCCCAAACAGTTTGAAGAAATTCCGGTCATCTAAAAAAAGAGAATAATGTTTGGAAATATCTGTATCATCTGACGGCGGAGTTTTTCTTGTGTAGTGGTTGATGAGTATATTTTCCCCGATTGACAGTCACCCCAAAGCGAAGGCACATAGCACCTTTAATTAACTTCTATTCTCCTACATGTGAAAACATAAACATACAATCGCTGTAATTGCCAACATGTTTGCCTAAGGAATTAATTTCCTAAAACATTCACAATGTTGCACGTTTGCCGAGGGACTTATCTATTAACCTGACGTAATTACGGCGTTCGGCAAGACAAAGCCCAGCCAACTTAATTCTCTCGTCATTAAGCTCTATTTTGTCATGATGAATTGGTTTAGAAATGTGAAAGAGAACGGTTAATGAGGGCTTCCGAGGCAAACAAAGCCTATTCACAGTTTCATTTACCGGGGAAAGATTATATTTTGCTGTCGCTGATGAGTGGATTTGCGAAAGCGGAGTCCTATCTTTAAATCTGTTGCCATTAATCTTACTTGCCCCATTTATAATTTTCAACCCTTTTTATGATTTTCCATACTATTTTTGTCCTTATTTCAACGGTTTGTTCCAAATTTTTACATTCAAAAGAGATTCATTTGATAAACACCAAGGTTATTGATTAAAGAGAAAATGGAGTTTAAGCCAATAGGTTTTGGCATAATTACTTCATCAAGGCTCTAAGAGCTGAAAGCCTGGTTAATTATCAGCGAGCTCGCTTGCAATCAAACATTATTGTTATTTGGCTTTCGAGGGAGAACATTTGCTTTGGGCCCTAAAAAAAGACTATCACTTTTTTGTCCTTTTATCATCGCAGACGCCAGTGTTGGCCACTGGAAGCAGTTTCCGTCACTGTTTTGAAGCTAATTAAGCTGTATTCATCAGGACGGGAAGCTTTCATTCTACTGACAACCGAATTTACCTCCACTGGTGACTTCGAAGAACACTCAATCCGAATAACAACCACAGAAATGATGAGAAAGCGCACTTTTGAAAACTCCGACGTTTCTCGGCTATCTCCCTCGCTTTATCCGCTAGACGATCTACGAAAAACCGAATTACTCATTCTTCAACCAGCTTGCAAACTTCAAGATCTACAGATACAAGACACGATTGAAGAAGTCCTCAGAACGAACTTGCAAGGTGTTTGTTACACAGCATGGGATAGCGACGCACGATGTGATGCTTTGAGTCAGATTATTAAGCAAAAACTTCGAACCATTCAACACCAATTTGCCTATTTTAACGTGGTTGTTTTGATTGGTCAGGCAAACGATACCGGGATAGAAAAAGCTTCACATAAGGTATGGAAACCTGAATATGACAGTTTTGCATCTGCGTGGTTCAGAAATGAATCACTGTTTGCAGTTGGAACAGTGTTTGCTACTTATGCCACACGAAACTTTTAATCTCTCGGAGCCTACATCGAAGACAGAGCTAGGAACTAGAATTTATGATATGTGATCATTGCTGATTCGGTTCGATGGTTCGAGTTTTTGAGTCGCGCACACTACTGATAGACGGAAACATCTTAATAACCAATAATGTGTATTATAGTGTACAAGTTGAAGTGACTTCCAAAACCCACTGACGTCTTCATTTTTAATGAAAACAGAGAAATTTAGAAATAAATTATCGCTTTTTTTACCTAACTCTGAAGCGTTATTTCTTCAATGCAAAATTTTTTTGTACATGAACACAGTCAAGCATATCAGCATATCATTTCCTTTTGTCGGAAATCTAAAAGTTAACAAGAAAGAAATGTAAATTTATCCCTTAACAAGCAAGAGTCAGTTGACGTCTTCATTCTGGTCGCTTTACGCTCTCTTGTATATAGCAAGTTAAAATATGTCTAGAATTAAGTAAAATGAAATAAAAAGAAAACAGAATAAATCTTTCAAGTCATTAAATTCAAGGAAAGTTTTAAAATATGTTAGATAGTTTTTCTTGTTTACAGAGAATTTTTAAAGGAAAATGCAAATTACTGGTGAGTGGGTAAATCACCAGTCAGTCGGTGACGTGAACAGAAAGGAGTGTTGATTAAGGAACAGGAAATGAATACGATGAAGCAGGTTCTGTTAATGTACAATAATCGTAAATAAAATACAGTATTTGAAAAGAACCTTCCATTTAGTAAACCACAAAATGTCTCAAGTTTTCTGATTAGTTTAAATTTCTTTTTATCAGGATGCATCTCAGAACCAGATTTAAATTCATTGCCAGATTTTTGAACTACCCTCTACTGTTCCACTCTCGTAATTTTGTTCAGTTGAATGTCCTGATTGAATGTCAAATCCACAGTTGACCATGGAGTGGAGGGGGGGGGGAGTTGTCGCGATAATGGACCTTGATGTAACAAGCTTTGCACCGAAAAGATCTCTGGAGTTTCATTTTAAGTTCTTTTTTGTCATCACAATACGCTCAGGGAATCGATATTTGGCGAAAAGTTTATTGAAAATCTCAATGTGTATCAAACAAATACCCACAGCCTGTTTTCCGCTAAAGCATACTTTCGAATAAGCAAGAAGTTTGTGGCTTGCTGACGGAATCCTTAGAGGTCATTACAGACCGATCGACGAAGGAGTTGATCTTTCCTCAGGCCATCTGTCTCAATGATATACTGTTTCCACCGATGTTGTACCAATAGGAAGAGAAAAAGGTGGAGACGAGAAAGGAAATTAGGGTTTCGGAGGCTAAAGGTGTTTTTTTCAGCGTTATAAAGTAACATTTAGATACTACGTGTGCTCTCATCAAATGGCAGGTGTGTTGGAAAAAACACAGTGTTTGCAGTGTCACCTAAACACTCGAGGGCTGGGAGAACTGAGTCCTCTATCGCGTTCGTAGCCTATACAGCTTGTCAGGAATTCTTGGCCAAAGTAACTGCAGAATACGCAGTTTTTCGATGAGTTTTTCAGCCGGACAGAGGCGAGCGCCAAGCCTCCATTCGCATGAAAAACGCAAAAAAAAAAATACTCCTTTTCTGCAGGCTGTGGCCCAAAGTCTTACGACATGTTTTAGAGAGGTGTGAAGGAAGGCTCACCAATATCTACTGACGTACAGGCATGAATTGGTTTTTTAAGGATTTATGTTAACTACTGCTTAAGTAGTGTTCATTACTGCGAAGATCACTCACTTAATATAAACTGTCGTGCATTTGTTCTGCGTTTTTGCAGATTAACCAGGGGTAGAAATTGTTCCTCAGTGTTGCACTAGGTAAAAGAGTCATGGAGGTTTGAGAGCACGATGACGTTTTTTTTAGAGATCATCATACACCGATGAAAGTAGGTAACGTTATAGGGCATGATAGGAATTATTGTCTTTAGATAGAAATAGTAGAGATGGTAAGTTTTGAGCTCGGTGAAGAATTAAGAAAGATGTTTTTTCGTCTTGTCACGAGCGTGGGACAAAGAAAAAATTCTGAGTCCACATGAGGAATCGAACCTCAGACCTTCGGATGACCTTTGAATGTTGTCTTGTTTTTAAACAGCAACATTTCTGTTTATCTCAGATCCCAATTCAAGTGTAGTTCTGCAAAAAACGACCTATTACGCGTTATTCACAAGTGTTCGGTGTCTTTCATGTATGGAACACATCAATCAATTCTAATCTCTATTCTGTTGGTAAATAACACCAGTGCACATAACAACTTGTTTGTTGTTTTGTGTTTAGCTTACATTCAGGCTTTTTAAAACATATGCGTCGCACATTCAACTTCTTTTCTATACAGCTCTCTTGGGATCTAATTGAAGCCACTTAAATTCCCAAAGAATCTTTTTCTTAAGAATAGTTTACAGAGTACAAATCCAACAAACAGGTAGTTGATATTCGAACATCAAACTCGGCCCAGAATACACAATGAACTGGTTGATCCACCCTTCATTTCTGTTATGATGGAGAATGTAAAAAAGAACTCTTTGACAACCAAGAATCCTCGGAAAAAGGCCACTTTCTTTTTGACTTCGGACGAAAGAACATTCACGGAACCTAGCAACGAACTGAAGGAAACCAGTGAACAAGATAGAGCTAAGGGTAAATTTGCTTCAGTAGCGCGCACTGTTTTACTGGCAAACCGAGCTTTCCCACAGACACGAAAACCTACTCGAGTCAATTCTGTCTTGGTTCACAATCAGTCAGAAACGCAATCGGTAAAATTTGCAACCACTGCTCCAGCTCCAGCTAATTCTGTTGACGACACCATGTCGGCCTTTTACGGAGAGAGATTATTGAGGGAAAACACATACAAAATGGAACCTGATGACTTGTTCTTGAGTGGAAAGGCTCGTGTTATCATTCACAATGTGTTGGAAGAACATTTAAAAAGTAAGATGTACACTGCTGATGACAGCAAGAGATGGTCAGTCGAGATTAGCGAGGAAATTAAAAGGAAGATAAAAGCCGAGGAGCCTTTGGAGAGATATAAGTTTGTATGTGTGGTATGGATTGGTCAGCAGTTAGGCCAAGGTATTCATATCACCAGTAGATGCTTGTGGAATGCCCATTTTGATAACTTTGCCCGAGACACTTTTAGAAATGATCATCTTTTCGCGGAAGCTTCAGTATTCGCTGTTTTTGTGGAATGAATTCATCTTGAACTGGTTCAGTAGCGTTTAACCTTAAATGCCAATTACCTGAAAACTTCATCATTCCTTGTGAATGAGTTTAAAAATGATTGGTGTTTATTTTCGTTTTTTCAGTTAAAAAGCTATCATCAGTGCGCTAAATCGTCTCCTTGTCTTGTCTAAAGATTCAAGTTAATGCCTTCCAATCTATGGCAAACTTTGCTATTTTAGATGCGATTTTAGAAGTTGTGTTTTAGATGCGATTTTAGAAGTTGTGTTTGGCTCATTTTGTTTGCCGGACACAAGCTTCTTCAGATCTGTTTCACAAGTACGAGGAATGGTTCCCTGAAATTAGCCAATTAGGGTCTGCGTTATATTAGATTGTTTTATCATGATAAAATGTAGAAATTGAAATGAAATTCAGCAGTAAATTTGTCCCAGAGAGCTAAACGGAACAACCTATCGGGTACTTATTATGTCAGCTACATGAAGTCGATCGAGTTACAATTCGACAACATCATCTTGTGCTAACACGTGGGGTTTAAATTAATTGGAATAATCTACTAAATTCAATCACAAATTCTCAATGATTCTTTTCATTTTTGAGTAGCTTTGCTGTTTTTTATCAACCCAAAAGGGATGTCTTGAACTAGTGCTTTAGTCGCTTTGTTCGCGTGCTGTTTTAAAACAATTCACCATTTTTCACATACATAATAAATGGAATCCAGCCCTATGATAATTTAAAGGGAGAAAAGAGAGGATGTCAAAGCTAACAATAGAATTGAAACACGATTAAAAAAAATAATGAAATGAAAATATTTTAAAAAAGTAAATAAATAATTTGAGAGCGAGCCAAAGCTGTGTTTAAGAGTGAAATGACATAAATGGTAGAATTTTAAACTACGTTTACCAAGAAAATACTCATAACTATTTAAATAAAATGTGTAGGAGACTCAAACATGACGCTTTTATTTACTATACATGATATGAAAATCTGTATGCGTGAACTAGCTTTTCAGAGACAATCTATTAACAGCTAACTATGGTGTCAGTGTGTAAACTTGCGCGTTTATTTTGCAAGCCTCTCGTCTGTCCGACGAAGTTGATACTATTCATACATTTCAATTCGTCAGCCTGCTAAGAACTATTTCTGATCGCGTGACGGATTAAACCAGCTGATAACAAACTTCTTTTTCTTCGTCCACAACAGGAAAGCTAAAATCTCGAGGAGGTATTTTAAGTCATTGTTTCAATGGCATAATAACTGTTTGTAAGTTATTGTTGTTTGAATATTCGTTATTATGTTTCCAAGTAAATTGTATTCAAATCGACTCGCTTGCAAATTTGCATTCAGAACACGAATTTCGAATCTCGCCCTCTATCGATGCTTTTATAATAAGATACCTGCCAGACTCAGATAGAATAGTTGTTTTCAGAAGTATGTTTAGACGAGAGCGATGAGGAATAACAATGAAATATTTTTAGTTTGCACCCGGGCGCTTCCAAACTTCAGTATAATAAGTTACGAGTTACTCACAGTACACACCGAAAACCGTAGCAACTGCAAATAGGTCGCCATTCCTAAAGTATCCCTCAGCGACATTGTCAAATTTCTGATCCCAAAGACATCGACTGCCGATTCGCATTCCTTGGTTATGAACCTGTCCCATGTGTACAATACAAATAAACTTGTACCGTGAAAATCCAAGGATCTTGACTCGTTGTTTTATTGTATCAGACAGTTTTTTGGTCATTTCCTTGCAAAATACTGCCTCATAGGTTTGGCCGTGAAGATTTTGATCTAACACGTCTTCGATAACTTCTTTGACTTTTGGCTCGGAGAAACGGCTAACCGGTTCTAGTCGGTAACTGTTTTTTGGCGCTTGACTTGGGTGTGTGTAACCATAACGTGACAATACACTGGGAGAACGCGAAGACGGTGGGGATCTGCCGCTTGGAACGTTTAGTCTCGTTGTCGGCTCATCACGGCGGAAATTTCTTGGGAAATCCCAGTGAATGACAGCTGTCCTTCCCGCGTTTTCCCTTCGTGTTCTATCAGCTACTAAAAACTGGGCTCGCTTTTTAATTTTTACGGCGAGTTTCCTGGCCCTTATCATTCCTATCATTGATGGCCCTCCCCCAAGTGAGGAGTTTCTTGAATGTGCCGCAACTTCACCACTCATGTCCGCTTCTTTAAACGACAGACGAACATGCAACTTTCGACGTGTTAATAACAACTTCCCGGAGAAAACACTGCTAATAGCCACGTAAACCAAACATGAATGTTTCTGGGAGACGCAACGTTGTTATAGCGATGTCTAGTGATATTAAATTTACATGGGGTTTAATAATGAGACGAGTAGCTTGCGGCGAATCTGTGAACAAAAACCACGTAAATACATGCTAATAGGTCAACAGATGTAATTGCAAATTGTCCACCGATTGCAACCTCGGGATTTTGCTTCTACCGATTAGTTTAGTCTAGACAAAGGGAGCACTGCAAGCTGTTTAAAACTTAGATTAGTTTCCTTTCGTTTTGCGGTGTATTATGCAAATTCTTTCTCTGTTTTGGAACTCGTAGACACGGCAATACCGGTCAAAAAAGAGCTCTGAGCAGGTGGGCCTTTGTTTCAAAACAAGGCTGTCATTCGTCAGCCAATGAAAGAGGTATTGACATAAACTGAACCGAGCTTGTTACTGTATTACAATGAATTTGACATACACAAGAGCAGGCGTGCCTTCGTTCAACCAAATTAATTTAATGAAAATCTAACGTACCGAGAACAAAATTGGCCTGGCTAGGAAGGAGAGTACGAAAATGAATTTGGAGACGGAGTAACTGAGTCGTTTGAGGCGCACTAAGGGTCGAATCCCCTTCTTCCCATCAAGTTTACTCTTCTCTAGTTTAGAGTTTAACTCTTCTGCGTCATGACAGTAAACAACTCATACACGTCTCACGAGTTCCAGTATTTCAATAATTCACGAGTTCCAGTTTTTCAATAATTCATGAGATGTCTCCTCTATTTATCTAGTTACTTGTAAATTTGAACCAGGCTTTTTTTGAAAAACTTTATTTCACCCGACAATAACTGAATCAAATGGTTACAAATTGACAAAATTCTCGCAATTTCCTTGTTATAAATAAAAACCTACATAAACCCTCCAACTAGTAATATCAACCTCCCCACCTATCAAGGCTACTGCAGTTTCAAGACTTAACAGCAATTTAATTTAAAATGATTAAGCTTCCAATAATTTTACAAGTCATAAATAAACAAATGGACAGAAGCAAAAGCACCGGCATTATGCAATCAATATTTTACAGCCGTAACAAAAGTAAAAATCATGTGATTTACCTTTTGTCAGTGCAAAATTCTTATTAAAGTGTGCTTAAGGTCAATAAAACCTTCGAAAGTGTCTGACTTCCCCACTGATTAAACAATGGCAAGTAAAACAAGATACATATTGACTCAGACCAAACCCGAGTAAAATTAAAGTTCAAAAACAAACCACTGAAAGCATTCATTGACAACCAATCCAATTTCAAAATAAGAAAGCCAGTTGTTAAAATAAGAAACGGCTTTAAAATAAAATGACAAAATATTATTTGAAACTAAAGTTGCATTTCATTACAATGCTTAACCCAACAAATGATAGATAAATAGTTTCTCTGAACATAAGAGTGTGCGTCCAAATCTTACATCAAACAGAGGTTATAATTGTTTGCTTTAATTTCTTGGTCATGTAGTTACATACCACATTTATTCACGATCTCTTTAGCAGTTATTACAATTTCTGCTCAAAGCATTTGAAATTCCAAATTAAGTCTACCAGTTATTCCATCAACACAATTCAAATAAGGTTGAAAAGGCTGAAGTCAACTGTTTTTTTTCTTACAACAAATTGAATGCATTGTATCTGAATTTCTAACTGAAAACCCCTATATGAAGAGGCCATCGATAGGGAAATAATTTATTAAAATGACAAGTTAAATTATTTTACAATTATTAATTAATAAATAAAAAGGGAGTTTCTCCTATAGTTGTGAAATTCACCTTAATAATAAATACACTTTTTCACAATCCATACCAATTAAAAACTGATGCAAATTCCATGTTCCATAGTACCCCCTTTTCATTTCTCAATAATTGTAATATCATTCACAGACTGAAATCATAACTGTGTTCAAGTTAATCTGTTATTAAATGTGTTGATAAAACTGGTATTTAATTAATTTGCCTTAAATGATTCCAAGCAGCTTGAATCAGCTTGCTCTGGTAAGCTATCCATCCTGCTCTAGGCAAATAGATATTTTTGCCAAAGTATTGGAAAGAAAAGTTTATGTTAAAACTGTTCCTACATAGGCAAGGTGTAAAAGTACTAGTAACTCATAAATTCCTGTTTCACAATCAATTGGCAGATTCTCTTTTGTTAAACAGGCAGGAAAGACAGACAAAAAAACCTAGGTAGTGAATAAATAAAAAAGACAACAAAACTACAACCAATTAAACACTTCATTATGTAATAGACAAAAGAGAAACTGCTTGAATTTTATGAAAATGAAAAAATATCCCCATAAGCTTAATAGTAAAATAATGTAATGAGAGGGACTTTGACTGCACAGAAGTCCATTCATTATTTAGCTGTCTAAGTAGGAATTGATGATCTCAGTAAAATGACAATTTGATCAATAATTATAAATAAGTTGAACAGAGGAGCAAAAATTTAAACTTCTGAGAGAGGGAAGGTGGGAGTCTTTAAAAGCTAGTAATCACTGAAGGACAGTAAATACTAACACTGAAATATACCATAGGAGGAAGTTATCCTATTATTGAGAAATACTCCTCTTTATGAATAGATATATTCTGAACAACACATTTCATGAAACCCTTTTGATGAGCATTTCATTCAAGAAGTTTTCCCCATTTGACTCATTTAAATCAAATAACCAACCTACAATCTGCATCTTGGGGGAAAGATGAAGATAGATGCCAGCTAAGGCCTTAACAAATTATGTGGCAGAGCAAAACAGATAAAATGATGGCCACAGCAATACTTTTGTCCAAAATGGCACAACTTAAATAAAGTCATATTACAACTAATGATCAGTCAACATGTTCAGTCAACAGCAGTGATTATTGATATTTTGACATTTTTCTTGGAGTCTCTCAGCCTTACCACCCAGCTTCAGCACAAAATGTGAAGTCCGCCATTCAATTTCACGGCCACAAGCTGCTTGAAGAAAAAATATGAGGAAGGAATACTCTCTAAAAAGCCAAGCCAGAAACAGCTTCCATATTGGTGGCAAGGAATTGTTTGGCTAAAGTGAAAAACAAAAGAATAGGACAAGTTGGTTAATTCTCAATTATTACTTTGAATTTGGCTTAGAAGGGTTCTTAATGATAAATCATCCAACAAAAGTCACAAATAGTACTGTTTCATCTACATTGGGACACATTGTAACTGGGAGCTGAAATGACATGGTTTACAAACAAACATTCAAAGGTTACATATTGTTTGTGAAATTTTCCCTAACCCAGCACTGAGAGTAGATATTCAAGAAGAAAATGATCTAGACCTGGTTATGAAAGGTTCTACTTTTCTAATGTTGGCCTAAGTTAGAAATTATCTCATTGCCCCTACTGTTTAAAACCAACAAAATAATTAAATTGAATCACTAAAAATTTGGCTAGTTTAGTACACTTAAGCATCAGCTGCCACTTTTTAGTGTTCTACTTCTCTGTATTTCAATCTTTTCAGAGTGGTAACTTCAGCTTACAGTTCCTTTTCAAAACAAGAAATTGCTACCTTATTGTCTCCAGCAGCACATACCATGAACTTCACAAGTGCTCTTTCAAACTTCAGCACAACAGTGGCAAATACTTAGTAACCAAACATGTTATACTTGCACCTTATTTAAAACAGGTTTTCTTCATGTGAACATGCTTAAATGAAAATGACGGCACAGGTAAATATCACTATGTAACGACTGCCTATGAAATATCCAGAGGCCAATGTTAATTAATGAGTAAAAGCAGGTTTTACTCAGAAGGTAGAAACTCACCCCTTGAATATATCTAAGTAAGATGTAGTCCAACAAAAATGAGACAGCAAGATGTTCAACAAAAAATAGTATGAAGCTGATTTCCCACAAATGCCACACAGCCCAACATGACATCAAACCAATAATGGGACTCTCTGTAAAAGGTTCAAACACTGCAGGGAAAGGTTCCATTGTCAGACGCAGCCTGGTCCATCTGCAGTATATCAAATTAACTTGATATCAATAACTAGAGAATGTACTTCTCATGGAAACATTGTGGTTCACATTTAAAACTAGTTAAATATTTTTTATACCAGGTTGTTTTTTATTCATAAAATAAAAGTAAAACTAGATTAAAAAATTTTAGAACCAAGAAAGTCTGAACCTTAACACATAAGCCACACCAAGCTAAGAGTAAATAAACAATTCCTGGGAATAAACTTTCCCAAAAACTTTCCAAATTTGTAGTAAATAAAAATGATGTGAAGTGTGTCACTTATTGATCCTTACAGCTGTTATAAGTTAGTATTACCTATAATAATACACAATTTATACATTTTTTGTAATTGTTATACAGTGGTTATAAATTCAGCCTCCTTTAGAAGAGAAAAACTGATACAGTCAGCAATTCTAACTCAGAACTAATTTGGTGCTATGTATCAAACTTAGTTGTTTGAAATAATTGTTTAAAAATATTTTTTTGTTTATTATAAATTAAGATAATCTTCCAACAGATCAAACTGGTTGAGGTCACAAACTTTCACCTTAAAGTCACTCTGAATTATTACACCTACAAAAAAATTAATGATCATGTAGCAAACCTGATCATTCGTTGCTGAAATCTGACAAGAGAGTATGTACTTGGATTCTGTATAGCTGGGTCAGAGCTCAGAACAACTTTCATACCTCTGCAGGGAATAATGTTGTAATAACTGAAAAACTAGAAAGCTTCACATTTAATTCACAACAAACTCAAGCTTGATCTTGAAGGAGTTGGTTCTTAGTCTGTTGCAATAAAATTTGTATGAAAATGCTTTTTGTAAACAACACTATAATACAAACAGGGGGTCTTCTCACAAAAGTTTATTCAATAAGCTTGTTGACAGTCTCTCTCAAACCCAGCATTTGGAGATTAACTGATTATTGTCAGAGCCCTTTTTGATTGATTGTAATTGTAAAATGAAAACCAAAGTTATTGCAACAGCCAACCAGAAAGGTAAATACATTTAAGAGTCTATCAGAACTCAAAGTAAAAACATGTAAAAGCCAAAAGTGCAGCAGGGCAACCAAGTCATGATTGGTCTTAGTTTTGCATCCAATTGATTCAGAGAGAGGTGTCAGTTTTCTTGACCAATCACCGAGTGAAGTCAAGCAAAAACAACACAACACTGGATAACTTTTGCCATTCAATTAAAAATTGCTCTTACTAGTGGGAGAACTTCAATGACTAGATGCACTGATTCTAATTCTTTAATTCTTTTGAGAACCTTACAGCTTGAAAGCTATCCATGAAAACAAAGATACTGAAAGTATGAAAATTCTTGCTGCTTCAGGAAAATGCCCTTTGAGAAAAGATTATTTGCTGCCAAAAGCATTTTAAATGACTAGGTCATTTAGCTTCCTCTATATAAATTCTTTATATGCCAGTAATTCAGTCTCCTCCTAAAAGTTCCTATTCTTCACAACTTAAAGAAGAAATAGCTTTTCATGTGATTTTGCTACTTCAGCCTTTTTATCTTGTCCCTATCATAGTCAAATAGGGAGATGCAGCAAAATCAATTAATGCCGATGTGTTACCTAAATAAAACAAACTATATACAAACACCATGTCATTATCTTGGTTCTGTACTGAGGTCATCTACAGCTTATGAATACTGACCTTTTATATATTGCCTTCGACATAAAGTAATCCTCTGCTATGTAGCAAGAAAACACTTCAAGGCCACCTGCACAAAGTCAAATAAGGCTAAAACTCAAAACCAACAAATGGTATTGAAGATCTCTCATAGGAACATTCTCCCTGTAAAATCTCCTTTGATGATTCAAAAGATAAGCAATCAGGGATCTAGTGTTTGCAAATAATTCATAATCACTGAAAGATATAATCTCAAGTTCGTGTAATTTACCTAGTTCATCCAGAAGTGGCTTGCTGTATAGACTTGACATGCCATTTGCACATAGTAGACCAAAGCAATAAGCTAGCAAGTACACAAATGCATGTTGTGTTCCAAAGTAAACCTGTGGATAAGATTTTAATCACTCATTACAACTAAGCAACAATGTAAAAAAGAAGCAAGTTTACAAAAATATACTAGACACTCTAGAGAGTGTACTGTGGTATAAGTTCACACAGCAAGGAATGGAAAGACTCTCAAACAAGAAGGTGCGCTATAAAAGGAGAGGTGCCTTGGGTACCTCTGGATCATTTGTCAATCAATGGTTGCAGCATACAGACCACTATATTCAAAAGAGCTTGAGCTGCAGCGGATCCAAAGTGAGTGAACAGCAAAAACTCTGATAAGTTTCAATGATATTCTCTCATCACAAAAATAATTTGCTGAGGTTTGTATCTCCTTCTTCCAATTGAAACCATCTTCATTAGTTGTGGTAAATTTGGAATTGGAAATGATTTGCTTTGCCATCACATAATATTACCATGGCATAATTTGCACTTGAGCTGAAAACCAAGGGGCGAAGCCAATCTGTCTATATCGTGCCTTTGTGTTTGAGAGATGACCAGATACAGCGTCAAGTGTGATTGTACTCTTCCTACACCAGACAAACCATATCCTACCTTATCAACACATGCAGCAAAGTCCATACAGTTGGCAACAAAGGGTAACTATTGAACAGAAAAACATGTGACTAAAATCATGACACAATATTGTTAAAGTACACAAAGAATGGCTGGGATGTAGAACAGCTTTCAAGAAAGTATGGTGATATCTTAAGGGGAAAGGGTGCAGTCTGAGAATTTAAAGATGGAAAAAAGTGAATCAATGGCAGCTCTAATTTTTACCAAAGAAAGAAATAGATAACAACAGAAGAGAAGAATATTCTTGACCAGAAATCTGCTGCCCTTAGCTTTTAATTTTGATACCTGGAAATTGCATTTTCAGATTAACCTGATCATGAGCAAAACATGAGTTTGGCAGGTTGCACATTATTGGTATTAAGATCCAAGTTGACATATGAAATACTGTATCTTAATTTTCAAAACATTAAATGTTTGCTAAATAGTGTGTGACAGGCTATACCTTTGCCATAGTTAAAAAGAATAAATGTTAAATCATTTTTGCTCCTGATTAGGAATCTCTTTGAGACTAAAATTTCATCTCCTGACCAAATACTAAAAACACTGGAGGTACTTAATATTCCTTTGATCAGAGAAGAACTGCAAACAGTTAAAAGCCACCTTAACCCATGAGACTACAAGTCTCGATGTGGTAATATTCATTATTATTTTATGATTTTGTTGCTTAGTGTACCTCGTGTAATCTTTATTACCTGATGAACCATTCCTACTCCTGGTCCCATATGAGAAACTAACTCTTGAAGAGTGCCTTGATGAACTAAAGACAGCAGTACCACAACAAAAATATAAGAATTATAATTTAGTATTTCTCAACAGAAAAACAAGTAAAAAATTGAATAACGATATCTAAACTGCAAAAATGAATTACCTTACAATTGATTTGCAATACACAACACTAGTATAAACACAGGGTTAATTTGGAAAAAGACACATTATTGCTTCACCAGAGAAGGAAAGTGCTTTTCCTTAAAATACCCATACTGAATACTGACAGATGACCCTTCTGGACTTCAAAGGGAAAAGGTGAACCAGGGTGCCATCCCTAAAATTATTACAGAAAAGACTCAAGGAAAACTGGAATTTCCAGTGGAGTCAGGTGATAAAGATTAAATGGGAAAAAATCTACTTCTGGGAGATGTTGCTTCCTAAAGCCAAGAAATCATTATTAAGCATTATCTTCAGTATTCAGTTTAAATAAGGCTTTTCCTGAATAAGATGACAAAAAAACCTACCAGGTTATAGAGATTATAGGTGTAATTGCTCATCAGTGTTACTTTAAATACTACTGACAAAAAATACTGTGTTACCTTTAATATTACTGTCACAGATCCATAGCAGGTCATATTTTGCTGCCTTGTAACCTTGGTTCATGTTGTTAATTTTTGGATTCACACCAATTGTCTTTGCAGCTGCAGAGAAAAGCCAAGATGTAAATTGATAGTGAAACTTTATTTCCAACACTGTCCACTTTTCAGCCACATTTGTTGACTTTGTAACTTATAGAAACCTTACATCACTGGAAATGGCAAGTACAATTCTCTGGGATAACCCTAAGGAAAAGATTTAAATCATCAAGATTGGCTCTAAAATCAGCCTCTTCACTTTTGTCCTCTTTTTATATCTTTAGATTGTAACTAAACACCACAACAGACAGAAGCTTGTTTTAGGACCAGACAGCTTATTAAATGTATATATCTTACATAAATAACACACAACACTATTACATAAAAGATATTTGATGATTACACTAAAACCAATGGTTCAATAATCAGGAATAAATTACAAACATGAATGAGATTAAGATACAACTGTCTATGGTGTAGGTGGGAGGGAAACTAAACCTTTCTTAAAGTTAGAAATAAAATTGTTGGTTGTTTGCTTGCTAGAGTACTATTAACACATGCACAGATACCTAAGCTACTTACTAGAGTAATTTTGTGATTAAAACACATTAGCGTGGTGAATAGCCATTGGCTCTACCCAAGTCTTAAGACTTATGTACTAAACAAATTCCTCAATCTTAAAGAAAAGGGAAATTACTAATATGCACCCTGCCTGTACCCACTCCATGCCTCTCAGTCATTGATATCTAGATTCATATTAATAAAGATTAATATTCACAATAATACATGATAATAATATAATAATACTTATTTTTTCTCTTTTGAAGATGAAGAAAGAAAGAAAATTCTTTATGAAAATTGGGACAACTGGTACTATTAGGAAAGAGCTCTAAGCAAGTGCCATTCAAAGTGATATCTGTATAAAACAGACTCCTCCTTGACTTTTATCAGTTTCTTCTTAATAAAAGTTAATTGTGGAAGAGTAGTTAACTATTAAGTTCAAATAGAACAGAGTGAGCAATCAGCACTTTTCAAGGACAAGTGGTTTAAGGTTGATAAAATAGTACCTATATGCTAATATTAATATTTCATCAAGTAAAAAATGGTATCTTTATCTAAGGAAATAAAAAAAAACTCTTTCATCAGGCCTATCTACTTCACATGGATTTAAAGTGTCAAAGGGGCTAAATTTTGTTGTCAGTACCCACTTAATAGAAGTGTAAGCTAGACACAGGTAGATTTGATAGGTACTTAGGCTGATGTCTGTTTAAGAAGTCTTCTTAATTTGGGGCATGATTTACACAAGTTTATTGTATTTTTTTTAAACGGTTCAATGCAAGAAATTTAAAGTTGTTTCTTACAGATGCAACCACTCTTGCCATATTTTATAGTAATACCTAGACCATGAAAAAAAATTTTTTCTTATTATTTGAAGGTATGGGAGCACTATATTTTTTCGGTGACAAAGAACAGCACACAGCTAAATAATTATATATAACTCGCTGCAGGTAGAACAATATTTTTTCAGTAGTTGATTTGAATATTTAATGAGACACAGGGGAGATAAAGTGAAAAATTCTTTAACAGAAAACCAGGGTATAATTTAAAAAAATTTACAACAAAATTATTCCCAAGAGATCAACATACAGCTATTGTCTCTTTGGAAAAACAAAGTAATTAACGGCGTGTCTCAGTGTAGCGATTATGATAGACAACACTGTGGTTTTTGAGCAAACTTCACCTGCTAAAATTTAGAAAAATTATGTATCCTGTTGGAAATTTCGGACTGAGAACTTTAAGACTGCTACATTGTTGTCCTGGGTTTATCCGATTTATAAATTGGTGACGTTGAAAGCAATACGTTCTACCTAAAGGGCTTCACGGTTGAGTTCTCTGATCATTTTTATGCAAATAAAACCAGGGGCCCTCCTTAAAAATGAATTTAAAATATTTTTCAACGTTAAAAGTATCGATTGTCTCCGTTTTCAAAACAGAGATATTTTCGTGCGTAACCTACCCGTAAATAATCTCGAATTCACCAGAGGATATGCTTCCATAAGTTGACGTACAATTTTGACTGCGGGATCCAGTTCATCTTGCACACAAACAAGGATCTCATACTGGAATGAATAAGATTAGTCTGTGTGTTCAGTAAACTTCACTGAACTTAACTTAGGGGCACATATTTCAGTTTGACTAGAGTCTCAACCAACAACCCACATGTTATAATAAAGAAAAACAAATAAGGCTTAAAAAGGGTAACAATAGGATATAGCGATACAGCATTGAGAGTGAAAAAAAACATAGCGCCCAAAATAACACAAATCTTACCTTAGGGTAATTTAGTTCGAAAAAGCCTTGAAGATTTTTTATCAGATTAGGCTCATCTCCGACCAAAGGCTACAAGAGAAAAATAAACTCATGAGCGAATTATTTCTTGGATCGCCAACAGAGCAAAACAGCTCTTGAGTCTCAAAAGTAAGCTCATTTAGCATAGGTATTGGCGGATCAATAGCTGACCAACGCATTATTTAATATAAAGCTATAATGTTTAAAGGATACCTTACCTTCAAGATTGAAACCCCCGGAAGTTCTTTATTATTGACAGCGGGAGTAGATTTATGAAGGTGAATCTTACTAAAACATAGCACATTGACAAATTAGTAAATGTACCAAACAGTACGCGAAGTTGAGCGGAATATCAAATAGCGTGGCTTTGCAAACACTGAAGCAAATGATACTCACGCTGTTGCTATAGATATTAACTGAAATAATGCTAGTACTATCCATAATAATAAAAAAGAGAAGGCTAAGAGATCTGCAGCGCTTGGCGCGTAAATCTCCTCTAAGTCCCCAAACGTGGAAGCCATCTTGAAAATTAACCATACTTTCCGCCTGCGCTCGGGCCGAGAAAGCTTGCTAGCCTCTGATTGGCTCGTTCTTTCAAATCTGTAAAATGGATTGGTTAAAACTTCCCGCCCTTTTTAAGGTTGCAAGAGTACAGTGACGTGGCTTGAGTCGTTCACCCTACCGGAAATGTAAACCAATGTTTATTCACCTTGGAAATCTCTTGGAAGATATCTCTGTTCCGATATAAACAATATCAAGCAATCATTACGGGTGTATTGGAAACCACTTTTACTGCCTTATTATCGTCGTGGACGATATGATTCTCATTCTTCAGCCCAAAATAAATGCCTAGTCTATTTACATGTAGAATCTATCCGCTTGCAAACATCAGTGTCCTGGATAATTCATGATTGACCGAATAGAGTTATGAAACTTTCGATAGAACCGGACAAACGGTATAACTCAGCGTATGCTCTCCATATAAAAAAAGAAAATTTATTCACCTCCTGGCACCTCCTACACCGTTCCCTTCCCGACAGTCAACCTTCTTTCTGGAGGCAGCAAGCAAAGCTTTGGTCAGCGGCTTACAATTGACCAGTGTAACGGTCGTGTAGTAAACGGAAAGCGAAGAAACGAAATTTCATGAAATGAGCATCACAAGTCTTGATATCTTTTTTATTGCGCGTCGGTACAGTTGAATTCCTTAGGATGGATTGGGAAAGCAAGTTTTCTTCCATTGTACGTGAAACTGAGACGAATTTAGCAAGAGTTAGGGTACGAAGGTTTCGTGTTTAGAAAGATTGTCACACATTCCTTCAGTCGCTCGTAACGCTTCTCAAAGCTTCAACGTAGCACAAAAACCCTTCTTCTCCAGTTGAATTCGGACGGAATTTAACGTTCTTCCAAATTTTCTTAAAGCATGTCTGTTTATATCTCAGGATCGCTTAGGTTCTGGTAGAGGCAAACCAAACGCATTCCCCGACAGGTCAAGTGGAAACCATTTTGGCGGTGAGAATATAGTGTTTTCATTGGCTGTTTCGTTTCATTAATATTAATGATTTTTTCAACATAAGTAACATATTGCCATATGTCCCGAAGAGTGATGAAAACATCTGCGAGACTCCGACAAATTTCAATATTTTGCGTTAATTGAGGTAAATCATTGTTTAATCTTTCCATAAATGTTTTTCATAGTAAGTTTCAAGAATCACCCTTGACAGTTAACCCCTCTAAGATCCTAAGATCCAATTAGTTAATCTTCCAACTAACTGCCATACGTTTTATTGCAAATTAGTTTGGAGAATTCCATTTTGAATCTCTATAACACTCAATATTAGCGGGTGAACTTGTTTATTCACAACTAAAAGAAGCACATAATAATTGGCAGTCAAATATAGTTACACAGTATTCTATTTGGGTAGCGTAGAATATGAAAAATTTATTAAAAAAATGTTGAGATTCTCGTCTTGTTTTTTAATTGTTTATTTGTTTATACACTTGATCCAATTTTTCTTTGCAGCCTGTGTCCAAAGATAGTGGGGAGAGGCCTCACATCTTAAAATGTTATAGCATGGACACATACATAAGAATAACTTAAACAATCAATTTCTGGTAACTAAAACCCTTGCCAACAATATCACTGTGCAAACTCAAATCAAATTACTGGTAGATCAGGATAGAACTGAGTCAGTAGATAATGCCATTCTAACACGTCAACAGGCAATCTTCACTCTCAGGCCACCAGAAGTCCTTTTCAATCCTCTGTGGCATGGGACTTACCAAGCAGCTTATACAGTCCTGTGAAAACAGTTGGCATGGCAACCAGTGTTCCATCCAGTCAGGCATCACCTGCTTTGGTGAATGCATTGTTTGAAAGGGTTGAGGAACAAACTGAGGTATATTTTATAACCATAGTGTACTTGCAGCTCTTTTAGATGTTTGAAATAGATAAACAGCAATAGGCCATTTTATAGTTGTGTAGTTGCCAAGCCTTTGATATGGAGTGAGACTAAAGGTGACCTTGTTGTGATAGTATCTAGTTAACATGATAACAAAGTAATTTGCATTTAAAAAGCAGCAAGGTTTGTATCATGGTTTGTATCATAACAAAGTCAACCTTAGCCTTACTCCTGTTCAATGGCTTGGCAATCAAGCACACAACTGTAAATTGGACTATTATTACTGGACAAGACTGCAAATATCACTTTTGAAGAATCAGTCTTTTTTTTTTCTTTGTGATGTTTATTTTATTGATTAGTTGCAATTTACCAGTAGTTACATTGGAAAGGTTAAGATAAACACTTCATACAAAATTAACTTTTGATAGCTTGGTGCTCTAAACACAGTTTTTGTGGCTATAAGCAAAAGGTTAATATTGCTGCCCCTTCTGAGTAGATTAGTTTAAGCTTAATGTGTTGATCAATTCAAAGCTTCAACATACTCCCCTCCAGGCAAACACCCTGCCCCCAGGTTATTTGAACTTTGGAAGATTGGTTTGTTCAAATTCCTTCCCCTGGGGCAAAAATTAGGCTCAAATGCCAAGCACAAGTTTTTCTTGGATGGTTGTCTTAGTGATCGCAACAAATGTTGAGGAATTTAGCAAAGTCTCGCATTAGTTTTTGGTGCTGCTGTTTGGTTTTGCTTGAATGAACATCATTCTACAATGTGAACATTTTCAAGCCATTTGCTCACAAAAATGCACTCTTATTATTTGTAAACTCCTCCATAGTTAAAATTAAACCCAACAAAAAATTACAAAACAATGACCAACTTGGCTTTTGTTCTTGAATTTGAGTAAGACTGAGTATGCTTTAATCTTTCTGTTTGTCTATTGAAGATGGTGAATCAGCTGAGTGATGCAGTTAAAAAGCTTCTGAAAGAAAAAGATGTACATGCTGCAGAAATCAAGAAAATGAAAGGTTGGTTTTAGTTTTGGCAAATTTCTGTTAGCTCGGCCTAATTTAGGTTTTATATGATGTTGCCTTGTACAGTCCAAATTCTCTTAACAGTTTACAAAGATTTGTAAGCAGGCTCATGTGCTGAGAGTAAAGAAAAACTCAACTACATGTGGCTATAACTTGATTGTTTTGTCTGCTAAACTTGCTTCTACTATTCAGATTATGGTCATGAAAGTTTTTAAACCAAGGGAAAAATTTGAACTTCAGTATGTCTTCATGATCTACAAAGGTTTTTCTGAGCTACGTTTTTGTTATTTTCATTTATTTCTGTTCATGACAACAGAAAGAAAAATTTGAAGGACAGAGTTGAATGTAGGAACACTGATTAATACCAAATAGTTAGGATTTATCACTGTTTTCCTTACATGAATTGGTGTTGGTCATGGGTAGTTGATGAAAAATGTATTATTTTGTGTCATGATACTAGTATAGGTAATCACACGATCTTGAGTGAAGTTTGGATTAAAAATGCACAAGTAAATTTTTTCAAAGACTAACAAAATTGCATGAGCCCATAGGGTGAGTGCAATTTGTGGTCTTTGAAAAAATTTGCAAGTGCTTTTTTATTCCAAATTGCAGGAGAAAAATCATATGATTATGTATTAATAATATACATGAAAAATACGAGATAGCTCATCATAATTATGCAGAGGCAAAGTGCATGCATCAAGTGCTAAAATGATTTATTCAAACCATGTGTTTGGTCAAAACAGCTGTGTATGATCAAAACAATAATAAGTTCAAAGTCTGGCTAAACAGTTCAAGGAATTGTTCAGTCTGGTTTGCTACTTCTTTGCACTGAATTGACCCTCTTCTGCATCAAATTACCTGAAAACTGCATTTATCTTAACCAATCAGAACTGAGTAATTTTTTCATGTATCTAATAAAGCCTTTAATCCCCAAGATCTAATTGTTAATTCTCCCCTCTACCTATTACACATTTCTTTATAAATTAAGTCATGAGAACTTGGAGTTTGATCAAGATAACTTCCACTTGGTATGTTTGAGTATTCTCATGACTTGGAAGAAGTTACATGTTAATTGCATCTGAAAGTTACAGAGTTGACAGTAAGAACTGACATTTTTGGGAGGGTGTTTTAATTGGAGTTCCTATTTGTTGATAACAAAGTTGTGATTTTTGTCTCAACCTTTGTCGGAAATTAATTAAAAGTGTTTTTAATTGATTTGGTGATGTAGATGAAATAAACAGACTGAATGATAGGCTCAGAGAAAGAGGAGTGGACCTTGAAACAGAAAGAAAACTAGAACAAGTACGTGTACCCTCTGTTTTGAATTCTATTCAATTTTTATCTAAGGCTGCATCCCTTCTAAAATTATTCCTCTTTTCCTCATATTTCTTTTGGATATGTATCTTGAGTTTACATGATTATTCTATACGTTCTGATGAATGATTTAAATTTAATATATAATATCATTTTAATAAAACTATGTTGAGAAACATAGCTGACTTTCTTGCTCCTAATTGGCAGCATGGGTTTGTTATCAAATTTAATTTTGTAACAATTTCTTGTGTTTCAGTTTAAACGTGATGTATTCAGTCAGTTGGATATGGTACGAAACCAAACTAAGCTGAGCCCAGATGCTGCTGGAAACAATTCTTGTTATAGTAATGACTCAGTGGTCATGAATGAGGCGTAAGTAGGCAAGATACAAAAGAAATTTAACAATATATAATGACTAACTTCTTAGGGTTTGTGTTATTTTAATTGACCTGACTTTCCCTAGAGTCTGAATTTAATTCTAATGTATTGGATAGACTAGCCAACACATTCTGCAAAGAATATCAGCCATCGAAGTTTGTTTCAACTGATAAAGGAATGGTCAAGTACAAAGGAAGACTTGGCTTCAAACAGTACATGCCCATGAAGCCTGTGAAATGGGTGCCTGCTGATGCGATGAATGGTTTTGTAAGCACAATGCAAGTCTACACAGGCAAAAATGATGGTGGCCAGCCGGAAAACGGTCTTGGACATTGTGTCGTTTGCAACCTTGTGAGCAATCTGAAGGGGAAAAATTATCACATCTTTTGCAATAATTTTTTCACTTCAGTTTGACTGGCTAAAGATTGACTGTCCAACAAACTCTATCTTTGTGGAACAACACGTACCAATAGAACTGACTTTCCTAAAGACTTAAAAGCCAACAAGCCCGAAGTGAAATCGCTATGTCGTGGTGAATCTGTCTTTCGTAGGAAAGGGAACATTGTTGCATCCATGTGGAAAGACAAAAAGAGGAAACAAAACCATACACAGAAAACAGAAGGATGGAACCTACATTGAAGTTCCTTCTCTCCTGGTGGTAAAGCCTTACAACCAATACATGGGGGGAGTCGATCACAGTGATCAAATGCGGCAATATTACAATACATCACGACGGGCAAATAAATGGTGGCGGTATCTGTTATGGTTTTGTCTGGATGTAAGCATTGTGAATGCACATATTTAAATGCAAATTGTGGATAACCATCCAAACTTCACACAGCTTCAGTTTTGCATTGAAATGGTGAAGATGCTGATCTGTGACTTCTCATCCTGGCAACATGCCATTCAAGAAGGAACTGTTCAGACTGGACATTGGCCTGTAAAAATGAGTAAGGGAAGATGTAAGAGATGTTTGAAAAGAAAAAAGACAACGTTCTGCGGCATGGGATGTGATTCATGTGGTGAGAGGTTCTGCTTGGATTGTTTCAAGAATCACAGTATGGAAGCCTGACATGGCACGAAATTTAAATGCCTTGAACAATGAATGCTCTTTTGCCTCAGTTATAAAAACACTTTAGAAGACATACCAGTAATTTTGTTTGTGTTCTTTTCAAATTTATCATTTTTGCTGTAAAATATTTTTGCTTTACCTACCTTATATCGAAAAATTACCTAGTGAAACAGCATATATGCTCTCATTCATTGAATCAAAATGATGTTAAGAACAGTTTTGCGTGTTGCATGATTTTGAGGTTTGTTTTGTCAACTTATTTTCTCATATTGGAGATGTTACTTATCTTAAATGAAAACTTCAATCTCTGAAGAATAAACTTTCTTGCATTGCTTAGTCTAAGAAAGAAGAACAGTAAAGGATGATTAAAGTATTACTGATCTTTGTTAGAGTTTAGTGCCTTGCAATGCTAAGAGGTTCAAATGGGTTAGATCTGACCTCATATGTACTATCTGGTTCTCCTAAAATAAGACTTGAAAAGACATAACTGATATCAGCCTCTAACCATACAGTCTTAACCCTTTAACCCCTAAGATTGACTGGCTTTTAATTTCTCCAGTCAGTGTCATCCTTTAATCAAATATAAAGGTCATGCGAATAAAAGAAATGGTTGCCTATTAAGTAGCCCTTGATTGTCAAACAAATTCTCCTTGTCAGTACTTTAAGAAACATGAAGAGAAAAGTGTGGAAAATAATTTTGGATATCAATGTTAGGGTGTAAATGATGAACATTCTTACACTGACTAGTTGATTTACAAAGGCTTCTGACTGATTTCCATAACATAGTAGTAATTATATTATAATCATGCCTGTAATTTAGAATTTTATCCTTATTTTGTAAAACCCTTTACAGGAAAAGAATTATTAAAGAAGAAACAGAGTCTTTACAAAGGAATATTGAGCACCTTAAAACAAGACTGGGTATGAAAAAGCCACAAATAATTGCTTCATTGCACAAGTTTTAACAAAAAATTCATCAAAAATTGTCTTGTCACTTAAAACAACAGTATATGTATTTTTTAATTGTATTTTTATTTTTATATCTAACTCAGTTGTTAATACTAAATTAGCTTACGTTTATATATTTAAAATTGGGGAGACGTTTCATCCTTCTGGTTAGCAAGCAGTATAATAATTGTGGATATGGTGAATGTAGGGGCTTTCAGCTCTGACAAAGTTGTGTGGTGTTCTTGGATGAGACACTTTACTCTCACCAAGCTTCTCTCTACCCAGGAGTATTAATTAATGTGTATAGGAGGTTGTTGTGGTACCTCACAAAATGCCTCAGGAAGGGTGAGGGGTTGCTGTGGACTAGCCTCCTGTTCAGGGGGAGTTGCAATACTCTCAATTACTTCATGTGAAAACCGTGATGAAGCACACACACTTTGAACCACATTTCTGGAGTGCTCAGTCGTGTAATATTTACCTAACCTTCCTTGTATCTTACATTTCTTATCTTTGTTATGAATAAAAACAAAACAGGTAAAATGGAGCTTGAGCTACACTCTAAAGTTGCTGATTCCAGAGACGTTCTTTATAAACAAGAGAGGTTGGACAAAGTAAGTTTCTGAATTTAACACTTGATCGTGTAATGTTGTTAATGTAGTTTTACTTGATTGGTATCTTTGTCCAAATAGGTCAGTTTTCTATGTTGATCTAGGATCCCTATGTTCCACTTCATATATTGTACCACAATAGATTCCTCTTGAATCATTAACTATTATAAACAATAAGTATTCCCTTCCATTGTTTTTGTTTACATTTATAAAGTTTATTTAGTGTTTACATTGGGTTATAAAGTATTGATCAGAAATATTTTTTGTGCAGGCTTTGTCGTCACTGTCAGAGAATCAGCGCTCACAATCAAGAAGCCTAAGCAGCATTGTTGATGAGAGACAATCTGACTCATATGAGATACAGCAACTTAAGTAAGTCATCTTAGGAACATTTGTAAATACACAGTTTGATCCTCTTATGCTTAGGAGTTAATGAAGAAAATATTAATGCTCATTGGTAAATACTCTTGTCAATGAATACCGTGAATTGCTTACTTTAAGTATTGATATAAATATTTGTCTTATTGTTTATTTTGTTTGTTTTGTGATCAGTGATACATGTTTTTGTTTACATGCAGACACCTTGTAAACAAAGTGAGCAATCAATATTCTGAACTAGAAACAGAACTTCAGTCCAGCATCAGGCAATCAGGAGTTTCAAGTAAGACATTTAGAACCCTGTAGAGAAGTCTTGTCAAATTTGAAACTTCCCTAAGTTTTCAAAAGATGATAGAGTAATGTTATCATAGTTTTCAACCTGTTTTGTTTTGAGTATTAAGAGGCAAGTAATCTTCCTGGATAAGATGCCAAAATGTTGTGCTTATTTTGGTGCTTAGCATGGATGTCAGGGAAGGGAGAATTTTTTTTTAATTACTTTCATCATGAAGGTGAGGGACACACAACAGAGTGAGGCTCCAAATTAAGTGTGCCCTTAACCCTTTAACTCCCAAGATCTCATTAGTATAATCCTCTAACTGATATTTTTCTTTATTCTCATCACTTGTCTGCTTGATATTGTATTGATAATGTGAGGAGAAATTCTGTCTTGGTCACTTATGGGAGTTAAAGGGTTAAGAGAGGCACTGTGAGAGTGAAGTGTCTTGCCCAAGAACACAATGCATTGTCCCGGTCAGGTCTTGAACCTGGGCCTCTCTCTGGGCCACTGCACCTCCCAGTTTAAGACAACACAGATCACAGTCATGACTACAAATATACTGAAATATAAGGAGTATGTGGTAAAAATTTCAAGGAACAATTTTAATCCTCAATGTAGGATCCTGGGAATAATTTTCTTTATTTATTCATTTATTTATTCAAGTTTAGTTTTAAATTTCTAATAAATTAGCTATTTGTGGAACCTTGGAAAAAATGTAAATCATTCCAGAAGTTTGAACGGGAAGATTTGCAATGGGCAATAGTTTGAAGTTCAAATTGGGGATCATTTGTAGTCCTGGAAGCATGTGGGGAAGCTGTACAGATTTCATTTTGTGAAATCCTCTTAGCAAGGCACTTTCTGTTTTGTTCACCATACAGGTAGCAACTCCTCTCTGAGACAGGTTCGACCACGCTCAACCAACCAAACCACAATGACCAATGGTGCCTCCAAACCAAAGAAAAAAGCTGTCAAACAGAAATCTAAGGGAGTTTCAGATGATCTTGTCTTATCAAGTAGTAGTGATAGTGATCTAAGTTTGACAACACTTGATGCCAGCAGCCCCAGTGATACAGACCTAACCTCCCTGCAGCTTGACAGATCATATGCAGGTACAGTACCTAGAGGTAGGAATAGCAAAAATAGTTCAGATACTCTAGCAGTCTTGTTTCCACAGTCTTTGTTCCTCTTGATGGGAATGTAGATTGTCACTTTATCAGCACAGTATGGACCTTGTAGTGCCAACTGCATCACCAAGGTCTAACACAAGTGGTAAAGGAAGAGATAGAATCTTTCCAGCCTGGCAGCTTTTTAGACTTTCTCTGAATTTATTAAGTGTCAAAACTGTTTCATACTGGTTATGGGAAGGGAGAGTTCTATTCCAGAAAGAAATATTGTCATCAGTGACAATTTTTCCATTAGTGCCAATCTTCTCCAAATAAAATTTATTTATGCTTGCATAATGTTCATTTCAATGAACCTTTTTGCCTTTGATGTTCTTTTAGATTTTATACTTAAAAAAATACATGCAATAGGGAAAATAACTGTTTTTTTTTTCTTTGTAGGAGGGTCTGGAATTGGAATAGGAAACATTTCTAGTTCATCACTGAGTTCCCTAGATTCTGATGATCTGCTTAAATAACTGTCACATTGAGATCAAAAGGAATATTATGTGATATAATATTTACAATGCTCTCTCCAGTGACACAACTAATTGCACTGTTTTTATTTGTTGTATGCATAAAGTGTTAGCAAAGCAACAGATTGCAGGCAAAAAGACCCATTAATTGTAATATGAACGAGACAAGTACAGTAGTTAGGAGTTTGCTTGATGCCTACAGGCAGAGACTTTTTTGTAACTGATAATGTATTCTTCAATAAATCATTTTTTTACACAGTGGTGAGAATGCAGTTGTTCATGTTGGCTTAGTAGTGAGAGTGCTCGCCTTCCACTGCTGTAGCTTGGGTTCAATTCCCAGATGTGGTGTCACATGTGGGTTGAGTTTGTTGTTGGTTCTTCTTGTTGCTCCATGGGTTTTCCTCCAGTTCTCCAGGCTTCCCTCCTCCACAAAAACCAACATTCCAAATTTTAATTCAACCTAGTATTACCGTATCGTATAATCTAACTGACAGAAAAACACTAGAATCTTACAAACTCAACTACTTCATTAAACAACTAGTGATATTCTTAATAAGGAGTGACTCCTAAAGGCAGTACAGTACTTATGCTCAATAAACTTACTTAAGCCCACTACAGTCTTTATATTGGCTCACCACAGGGCCAAACTCCCAGTTTCCTCCAACTTTTCTTGAACTTAGCAATCTTCCACTGTAGCTCTCTCTCACGGTATAGCTTTCTAAACAGTTGGTCACTCCCAACAACAATAACAACTACTATGTAACTGAGTCTGTATAGACATTTACAAAGTGCTCTTGGACATTCCAGAAGCTTATAAAAAACTATTTTAATGGTATTATGTAATAACTGTGTGACTTGATGAAATGTTCAAGTAAGTTCTATGGTACACATTTTGGCATGACTAAGCAGTCTGGAGATTTCTAGAAGCTTCTATTAAGAACAACAATTACTCATAACACTGGAAACACACAAGAAGAGCCACCTTGTGGAGTGTCCACCGCTAAATTCACATTCCCATTCACACGTTGCATGTTGTTACAGTGGCAAATTTCAATAAGAAATTTGTTTAGGGAAATTATAAGCTATAAAAGCCAGAAAAATGTTAAAAACAATAACTCAATTAAATTTCAAGCAAGATTGTCATACCTGTTAGTGCTCACAATTAACCATAAAAGGGAAGACAACAGTTTAAATGGGAATTTATTCCATACCAATGACTTTGCTTTGCCTAGATAAGTTTTACCATAAAGGTATTTATCTTGATGCTTTTGTTTAAATGGTTTTTAGTATTATTGAACAACTTCAATAGTGAAAACTCATTATCAGTTAGCCCTTTATTCTAAGGGTTCACCTGGCAGTCCCCCTTTTTTAGCATGGGAAATTGATAGCTTTCAGCCAGTGACTCACAATTTCCTTGGTAGTTCCCTTTCCCAGAGTGTAAGTCGGTACTACTGAATTATGTTTGCCATCATGGCCCCAATTTTAGGAGAAATAACCCTAGCATACATTAACCTCATACCACAGAAAGAAGGCTTGCCTCTATTAAGGTCTCGTACATCCTTATGACCACCATACACATACAAAGGGTAGTATAAATTAAAAAATATTCATCAGAGGTTTCAATTCTTTGGTATATTACCTAAAGCAGAGGGTTAATGTGTTCCTTAAAAAGATCCTCAAGTTGTAGTTCCATAAATCTTTCTTTTAGTTGTGAGGCAGATTTGCATTCTTCTTTGTCAAAGTCAGAAATCCTACAAATTTAAAAAGAAAGGTAATATGACTAGTGATGATTATTATATAGCTCTATAACTGAAGAGTAGTGGGCTGTAAGTAAGGGTGGGCCAATGTTACCATGGCAATGAGAGGGAAAGTCAAGAGAAGCAGAATATCAGTCACTTGGAGGAATAATGTGAGGGTTTGTTTTAACAAATCAGTCTAAATATAAACTTTCAGTCTATCCCTCATGAAGAAGCATGCTCCAGAAAAAAGTTTAACTTGTATCTGTACCATATGTATGAATATATAGAGTTATTAAATGGACATTGTTTTCACCATTGATCCCACTATTTGAATCTTGCTTTCCAAATAACGACCCAAGCAATTAGAAATTTTCTTCCACTGTGGTAAAAATTTTACCATTGATTCCACTATTTTGAATCTTGCTTTGCAACCTGGATGCTGACATGATACCTAAAAAGTCTCACTGACTCCTCTTTTTTCCTTCTCTAGTCAATCTGTTCATGAGTTACACAAAAAGGCATTCTTGACTCAAATGATGACTTTTTGTACATAACAACAGTAGCAGCTGTATAAGAAATAAGCATTGTAGTTTTGTGTGTGCAAGTTACTGTCTCTTTTCAAAATTGTGGCATATTCAAACACAATTTGTACATTTTGATTAAAACTTTATAATGGTAACAAAAAAATTGTGTAGTTTTCATAACATTCTTTCCCCTTAAACCAGTCTCATACCTTTTTGGTTCTAATTAAACAAAATTATCTTAAATTTGATGATGAAAAATGCTTGATATACAGTTTTTTCTCTTAAATAGACCTCACAGTTTTGATTCATTGCTCAACACTCTTACTGACCCACTGAATATTGTTCGCATAACACTTGTTAAAGTGGTACATGTTTTAATATTTTTACCTCAAATCGCGTGGAGCTTGTTCTTGCACCAAGACATTCATCATTCTCTCCTTGCATGGTTTTCCAGAAGAGTCAACGTGAACATTGCAAGTTTTATGTTTTCGTAAATATTCTTTGACATCACTAGCATCCCCAGTCAGCAAAAGGAAGATGAAAGCATTTAAGAGGAAGAGTCTTCCAGTTAAATTCAGCTCGTTAATCCAACGTGTTATGGTTTTTATGTAACGATTTTTACTCCGCATGTGGTCTATCTTGAGTAAAATCATGATTTTATCTGCACAGTAGCTACCATTTGTGCACTGTGATGCTGCACTTGTGTTGTCAAAACATAAAAAAGCTTTAGTATTCTCTTGCAGCCACAAAACCAGTTCCATAATCATTGGCTCGGAACTTGAACGGCGAATATCGTTTGCAAACTCCAATAGATTTTTTCGCAAAGAATTCAAGTCTTTCTTCGACATTTCCGCGCATGATAGTGATATTTCTGGCAATTTTTGGGGATACTCATCTGAAATTACAACAGTCATTTCCACAACGATTGAAACAGGACTGTTTCCCTCTGAGAAGTCTCGCCCTACGACACATTTGACGGAAATTTTGAAAGAAATTGGTCCTGAGATTTTCTCAAGGACATCAAATGATGACGGATTCACCAAGCAAAACTCTTTAGGGTTACAAAAAATAGATTTCAGGGCCATAACTTCATCCAACACTTCTGGCGCGAACATGACAGTTCTGTGCCAGGCGTTGCTTTCCTCGCTCTGTAGAAACTGGTAGGGATCCATAAGCAGCGGATAGGTTATGAAATTTTATTGCGGGCTCAATGTTGATGAAAGCTAGAAATGTCGGAAGTGGAAAACGTTACATCGTATAGTTTAACTTCACGCACCCTGACGTTTTCAATCAAGAATGACTGAGAAGAGGTAATGAAAGATTTCTTTTAATTATTAGGATACTGGTTTTATTCGTGGTATATAAGACTGGATGTATGAAAGATGCCAATGTTGTGACCGTTGCTTTGGAAACGATGAGCTTAGTAAATGAAAATAAGTAATCCATGCAAGTCTTGTAACTTTGATGTGAACTCAAATTCTAGCGAATATACAAAGCAGACCTGTGAAATGTTATTGTTTACTTTGATCAGTATCCTAGCTGATGGAACTTCAGCAATCAGCTTTAGTAAGTTTATGCACTAAAATTGTTTGTTTTGCTTTAACCCTTTAACTCCCAGATCAAAGTTGTAATTTTTCTTACAGTCAACCATACAATTCTTATAATGTTAGTTCAGAGAATTTAGTATTGGACCAACTAATTATCCCCTGATTGATAATTTTCTTTATTCTCGTCACTTATCTGGTTGATATTGTATTCATATTGTAGGGAAAAATTCTGTCTCCATTACTCATGGGAGTTGAAGGGTTAACTCTATGACAATTTTCTTGAGTCTCACTATCAAATGGCAATAAGCACATATCAAATTCACCTATCTGCCAGCTGTTAAAACTCTGTATTGCAGGCTCCATACCTCATGTCTGTGTTAACTGCCTTAGCCTTCGGCTTCAGCAGATAACTCAGACCTCAGTTTAGATAATTCATGATATCATGCCCAACCTCATTCAACAGTTGCTTAGTATTAGGGTAGAGATTATATGAAAAACTGTGTTGAGCCACCTTGAGTTCATGATTTACTGTTTTATCAACAAACAACCACTATTAGGTCAGAGAAGACTATCTGGGACTTGGCAGTGGAAGAGAGGAATAAAACTGAAAACCATTCAAATAGAGGTATTTCCAATCTAGATGTATACTGTAAGTGTATTGTCAAGCCTCCATTATATGTATTAATTTTTCTCAAGTTCCTCCAGAAAAAGAATTGGTGTGTCCTCACTTATTTTGTCAGAAACTGTAAGGCCTAAGAAACTGTAGCATTTGGGTGCTAAGTACTGTACTACTTAAGGGAAAGACATTAGTTTTGCTTTTAACTCTTTACACCCCAACATCAGCATACATATTCTCCATACTGTTCCTTATATGTTTCTTAAGGTGTTGACATGGAGAATTTGTTTAACATTTAAGAGCTTCTTAAGTTTGTGATTATTTCCTTTATTCTTGTGACCTCAATGATTGATTTAGGGGTGATACTGTAAGGAGAGATACAATGCTTGTCATTCTTTGGAGTTAAAAGGTGAAGAATCATATGATGGGTCTGAGAATCAATGTTGCTTTTAATAACACTATGAATGCAAGGCAAAAGTAGAAACTAAAGTTAACTAACTATGAAGATGTTATTTTGAAGTTCTCTCTCTTCTGGGTTAAGATCAACAGGATGACTTACAGTTGTCAAGCAGTGATGAATCCAGTATCTTTATCCTGGGAAGTAAAAACTCTGTAAGTTTTCATCAGCTTTGTCACTCAGAAAGGGATTTAAATCACAAAAGACTTAACTTGTGAAATAATATTATTTAAAGAATTCAACATTTTATTTATTTGAGTTTCTTGTTCAACTCCTTTCCAGCAAAAATGTTTGTTTTGCAGTTATTTCTATGGTCATTTTTTGTTGTTCCACACTTTTAGTTAGTCTTGTGTAATTTTGTCCTTTCATCCCTCCATTAAATAGTATGTAATTGTTACCAACCCGTTTGATAATGGTGACATATTGTCATAAAATTGTCATTTTTTGCTGTTACATATTATTGTTCATGAAGTCTTCCTGTAATCACTGTTCAATGCTTATGAATTGTATCAATTTATAGGGTAAAACCTCCATAATTTTGAGATTTCTTGATCGGTGAGTATAATTATTCAAAGATGCTAAACAACCTCACATTGAAAGCCATACATAACAGTGAACTTTTATTCAATCAATAACTTCACTCCCAAGATCTGATATTTAATTCTCCCCTCTAGTAATGGACCTATTCTTGTAAATTATTTGTAAAAATTTGGTGGTAGATCAAAATAACTAACACCTGACAAGTTTGAATTTTCTCATTTCCCTGATTACTGGTTAAAGTAATAGATAGTATTAGAGAGAAGTTACTCATTAATCACCTCTGGGAATTATAGGTTTATTTGTTTTAGAAATGGTGGAAACATTTCGTATAAAGATCAAGAAATTTGACAAAATTTGTTAATAATCTAATTGTAGAGATGAAGCTCCCAAACCAACGACAGCTTTGGATTACACCTTTGGAAGAAGAGCTAAAACTGGACACAATATTGTAAGACTCTGTACACTTAGTTTCAAGACTGTGTGTTTAATATATTAAGATTAATGGATGATTGATTAGTGATTAATGGATTTGGTCTCTCTAGAGGCAAGACTGTTATTTTAATTAATATGTAAGAAGAAGAAAGTTCAGTTGTACCAAAAAAGGGATGGGCAAATTGTTTACAAACTGTTACAGTTTTCAGTAATGAAAAATTTAGTTTTTTTCTTGTTAGTCTAGTTTAACCATTTATTTAACCCCTCACCAGTAGTAAGAAATATGTAACAAATACAAGAAGTACTTCCAGCAGTGAGATGGTTGGAATGCAATATAAAATACAAACAAGCCATTCTGTCCTTCCACCAGCATTTAACAACCTGTACCTTAAAAAAAACCTCTAAGTGTACAAAACTGACAAAGATATCAGATTTTCCAAATAAGAACATGATTGCAAATTGACCCACAAGATGATCTGACTTTACTTGTAGTACAACGCTAAAAGTAGCATAAATCTCAAATTGGTGTCCCTAGTAAATGCAATGTGTTGTGTGGAGCAAATGAATTCAAACAGGTGAAACAGTATGATAAATGCTAATGCATAAGGAGCTGCTTGATTCCAAAGTCTTTTTACCAACATTAAGCAGACTGTACAGAAGTTTATAGTTTGCTTATAATTAGCTGTGTTGAGGCTGTAGATTATGAGACTACCACAAACCCTAGCCACCCTTCATTCATAACTTCCCTTACTCAGTGTTATAATTTGTAATGAGTGGTGTGTAATACCACATTTTTATCAATCTGAACAGGGAAAAGACATAGGTCACATATGGGAACTTGGAGGTGGAACATTCCTTTCCAAATTAATTGAAATTCCTCTGACATCTGTAACTATAAGGTGAGAGCTAACTGTTATTCAAGCTTAACATTTGGACTCCTGAGAATGGCTAGCATCCTATTTCTCCTTACAATATCACCCCTGAGTCACACATCGAGGTCATGAGAATGAAGGAAATGATCACTAACAAGAAGCTCTTGCTTGTTAAACAAATTCTCCTTGTCAGCACTTAAAGAAATATGTAGAGAACAGCATGGAGAATATGCATACTGTTGTTAGGGTGTAATGGTTTATGGCTGATTTACATGCCAGGATAATATGGTTTTTACTCATGATCATCACATGTCATTAGTTTCTTGTATGACAACCATTTACCAGCTTTGCTGAAATATCTAAATCACACCGCCAACAACTCTGATAGTCATACAAAAAACAGGAAATGCTGCATAAAACACTTTTTAAAGTCTTGCAAAACTTGTTAGTAAAAAGATAAAAATGGGCACTGATGAATGGGCTGGGAAAGCTGACAAGATACAGAGGTTTGTAACCTGTAATGGACCAAGATTGCATGCAGGTGGAGTTCCAATGCTTCTACAGTAGATGCTTCTTGTCACAGAATCAGAGATAAGCTCTAAGCAGGTCAACTAGTAGGTTTGATTGCTGACAGACTCTCCACCTACTTAATACAATTGTTCCTGATTCAAATATTGCTGAGGTACAGTATTGGGATACAGCTGCAGTGGTTCCATGTCACTCATCCAATTTTTACCATTTTCATGGACAGGAGTATGGCTGTTGCAATTGTCTTGGACTTGTCTCTTCCAAATGAACTGTGGAACACAATGGAAACACTTCTCTCCCAGGTAAAGAAAGGGTTTGATATTTGTAGAGAGGTGGAATTAACCTCTGTAAGAGAGAGACTGAAATTGCATAATTACCTTTTTTCTGATATGCAGCCAATAATTCCTATGCCATATACTTCAGCTGGTCTTATAAGTGTGCCATTAACATTAACTTAACACATCTTTGTGACCAATATGTGTCCTTCATAAGGTCATCTTTGTTATTAAGTTATCTGCAAGTGCTAAATCAAATACTAAAGTCTAATAGATATACCTTCTTGTATAAGGTATTTACACTCTTCTACTAAGTCTCTCCTTAGTATTCTCCATGGATGTAAATAAATGTGACCAAAAGTTACCCATGCTGAAGGAAACCTTAATTGTTACAAAAGAATAACGAGGAATTTGTTATGATTCTTGAATTGTTTGTTTAGTTCTGAGTTTCTTTTTGCAGGATTTATTTATTATGTTATGGTGTGTGTCCTTAGGTCAAATCTAAAGTGAACAAAGCCCTGGAAGGTTTAGAGAGCAAAGAGCCTGGGTAAGGTACATTTTGCTATATACTGAATGATATTTTGTGTATGCTCTATTACATGATGTTACATATGGGCTGATGTTTCCATAAAAGCTGGTCAGCAGTCACCACTAAGACTTACAGCTGTCTGTTTAGCCTGCAAGCAGCCCTCCTATTTGGGTTTTGCCTTATGACCCTCTTCCATGCATGGAAGCCTTGTTACACCATCGGCATATGCTTATGGAAAAGTTATTGAAAACCCTGCTGCTGATATGGCTGCTATCTTGTTTAGTCTAATGAGGCAACACCTGCATCTACATACCTGCTGATGTGGATGCAATAAAGTGTTTCCACCTGTTTGCTGCTCCTCTCAGAGAAGCAGTCCCTCTTTTCCAGCTTTGTGCATGGATGTATCCAAAACAAATTTGGCTCATATGAAATGGGAGATGCAGTCTAGTTGTTAGGACTGAATCAAAGGTTCAAGTTGTGAGTGGGTGACTGTGCTTGGTTCTTGGGCAAGACACCTTATCCTTACAGTGTCTCTCTCCACCCAAGAGTAGGTATGGGCACTGGCAAACTGTCAGGGAGACATAGGGAAATATGGTGGGGAAGGGGGGTTAACCCCTTAATAGTCACTCCCAGTTGTTACATGGTGCTAATTCTTCCTTTTTGTCATGCCTATAAATTTTTCACCTGCCTTACTACTGCTCTCACTCTAACTCCTGGAGAGGATGCCACATGCTGTAACCCTGTCCCCAGAGGTTTCACAGTTTTTTGACATCCCACTGTCAAGTATTTATACAGTGCAATGTCATTTATTCACTATGAGGAAAACAGGCTTGTCAGAGAACACACTTTGAATAACCTTCAGGGGATCTTTAAAATTAGAATCTGGTGTTAAACCATGAGAAACTGCTTGAAATGTTAATTAATCACGGTTTCTCGTCTTTCAAAGTTCTGTGCAACAGATTAAGAAGCAAGCTTGGAAGAAATTTGGAGAAGAACATCCTGTAAGTGAGAAGAAGTAACTTCTGTTCATTAACACCTTCTGAAAATTTAGCCCAAATTTTTTTACCTTGTTATGGCAATCAGTATTGATACTATTTGGAGTTTGTTAATTCCTGCAATGTGTTGGTGTAATGGTTTATTGTTACAATTTTCAGACATCACCTGCTAGCTTCTATCTCTTATGTCATATTCAATGACATTTAGTTGTTTTTATTGAATAACCAAACTATAATTTGGAGTGAAACTTTTGAATTTTGTAATAACATTAGATCATGTAGTCTGATTGTCCGACTGAAAGTAGTCCTGAGATGGACTGTTGTCAGTGGTGGTAGCTGGCGTTTCTTAAACCTTTGTGGAGGTCATTATTAGTGTTGCGTCTTGAATTTGGAAGCAAAACCAAGGCCTGTACGGTATTTGGACCCATGACCTCTGCGATGCCGGTGCAGTGCTCTACCGACTGAGCTAACAAGTTAACTGGAAGCAGGTCATTTTGTTGGTTCAAAATAAACCCGTGAAGTAATGAATAAATGACTGTTAATATATGATAATCAAATATGTGCATTGTGGTTTAAGAAATGAATTTGGATGCGATCTTCACAGTGATGAACACTACCCACGCAGTGGTGAAAAGTCACTTGATTCTGATTATGTAATCCTTCGATGTTATCGAACCGTCAGTTCCTTCTGTCTTCTTAGGACCACTCTGACGCGGAAGATCAGACTACACGATCAATTTAATTCAATGAACTGATATTTTGAAATCAGAAATGAATCCATTTTTCTGTAGGACAAATCTTCCATCGATCCGTTTCCTATACCTCTGGCCATAATTGGCGGAAAATACGATATTTATCAGGTTCGTAGTCAACCGACCTATCAGGATTTAAGGTTACTTCCCACCTTTAGATGCCGAAAAAATCGATTTTTCTTCTATTTGACTAAACTGAATTCAAACATTTAACCTAACGTCTCCATAAAAAAAAATTCTGAACTCTTTCACACCTTACCGGCTCTTGACACTTCCTTAAATTATATTTTATCGTAATCTGCAGTTATTAAGCTTTCTTCTGATGAATAGTTTGCTAGGATTTTAGTGAAACTAGCGCGCATACGAATTTTTTTTCCCGAAGGACACCCGCGGAGGTGGGAAGTAACCTTAAGGTAGTGAGAGGGGCAGGTTGTGTTCCATCATTGTGTTACTAGTATTGTCTCTTATTTCACTCCATGGGCAGTCTCATGCTATAGAGGGGGTGGGCGGGAGGGAATTTGTGAAATTGGAAGTCACTGTACTCCATATGGATTATTGCTATATCTAGGAACATTCTACAACTTGTGATTCACTGCGATTCAGGTGTAAAAGGGGCCGAACGTGGGCTGTTGGCAATAGACATGCTCCTGGTCGCATCTTTGCGATACTCATGGTGTTGTAGGCAATATGGCAACTGTTAGAGATGTCCTAATACTTTACGCTTCTGCATATAACAGGAAACGCTTGTTCTGTCAGAATGTATACCTTGTAGAGAGGAAATGAAGGTTAATTAAACACTATTATGTAAAGTTTCATTTCGGTATTTTTCGTGAAGTAGGCCCCTTTCACACGATGCGGGATAAAATCGAAAACGGTATTTTTGCTCTGGAAAGGCAATAAAAGGTTTCCTTGCACACTAGAAAACGGATCAAATTCTTCTACACACAGTATAAACATCACCGGTAGCAGAATAACTGTCTCGTCATCCGGTTAAAAGAACTCGAAGGGCTTTTTGGAGACACTCCAATTTGGGTTGAAATTGTATTGGTACTCCCAGGGGAGTCCTTTGTAGCTATCAGTGAATGGTTCGTCAATTTTGTTTTCGCAGGATTTTGATCCCGAGAAACGGAAAATGATAAGTAGAGCACTGCGATTTGTGGCACACAAGAACGGCGCTCATTTGCAGGTTGGTTGAATTGATACTGATTTTTTTTTTGTTTCGCTTAACAAGAAGAACTCAGCTTAAGCTATCCTTAATTTCAGTCAACGCTTCACTTGGGTCCATCAAGATGCACTGGAGAATGAGATACTTTGTATGTTATAATGATGCCTTGAGACTGATAGAGGAGTTCGTTTTCCTTTTAGATCGGGTGGCGACCGAGAAGCTGCCCCTCCCACTAGGCGAAGTCCGTCGCGCTAGTTTGATGTAAGCATGCCGCGCAGAACTCTGGGAGTGAGGCGCACGAAAAGTAGAGTTCCACGCAGCGCACTGATATAATTTTTGTTATTCGCTGATTTTTATTGACTCGCGCGATGGACTTCACCGAACAAGCGAACCTACAGTTAACGTGTACAAATGATTACGCTCCTGTGATTTCAATTGTCTGGTTTGGATTCCAAAGAAGCCTTCATTTTCCTCATCAGTTTTTTAGCACTAAAGCTGAGGGTCTGACGAACCGCACCCGAGGTCTGGTGGGGTCACTGTTGTTCCGCACCCCCCTCAGGTGAGTTTTCCTCCATGCCGTAGTGACTTCATGGCACTTTAATAGTATGCTTCGCATCAAACCAAAACATTTTGAAGAAAAACTATGCCTTTGAGTATAGGAAACTGAACCAAAAATTGACTTAAAAGGGGAACTCTCCATATCTGTAATATCTCGATAGATACTCGGCTTTTTACATGTGGAGGAAGTATGTGCCTTATCTTTTTATTCGAGATCTCTCTGTAGGAATGGAATAGCGGCAATGGAATGTTTAAGGTTCTTCCCATTGAAGTCTCCAAGACTTAAATTTATCTCACTAGTGACAAATGAGACCAAAATTAGTCCTCATGGTCCATCGCTAAACTAGCTGGGGACTGGTACCAAAAGCCAAAAAATTGATGTGGGTTGTAATAGATTGGGGAATTAATTCTACGAGCATCCAAGGCTAATTAAGATAAAAAAAAAATTGACTAAATTGGAAAGTTAATTGCAGTTTATCATTTTTAGAAATCGCTCAGGTAAGAGAGGCTGTGCCATCAACCTTTTAAAACTCTTTTCACTGCGGATTTTGAAATGGACACGACCCCTGTGACGCTTAAATTTTAAATGGTTTTAAACGTTCGTTGAAATTATCCTATTTTGTAAAATATAGGAAGTTTTGTGACCTTATTATTCTTTTACAGTAAGGTGGTATCAGTGGATCATAACAAACCCATCATTGTTCCGGCTGGACAGGACTCTTTTTCGCAAATAGGTGAAAAATGTTGTTTATTTTTTTTACCTTCTGGTCGCTTCAGTATTGTCGTTAGTGTCATTATTTTGTTTTGTCTCTTAAATTGCACGATGTTGCACGAAAAAAAGAGAACTTTAAAGCGATTTTGTGTACCAGCGGGTACATCCTTATAAGATGTTTTTCTTTGCATTTAGGATCACCTCCAGTTGTAAATCAAGACATGGGAAAAATGCACAGCAGGTAAATACCATGATTTGTCATCCTTAGATTTCTTCCGTGTTGATCAGATATTCGCCCACTTTGCTTATCTTAGTGTAATGATGTGAATTATTCAAGAATTAAATCAGTTACAAAACATCGATTTGATACATTTTTAGTCGATCAGCTAGTATGTAGACCAAGTTATCCAACCTGTTTTAGATTGTGCAATGCGTGGAAAACATTGAGATATAAAACGAAAGTCGACAAAATTAAATGGTTTTTCAAGGAGGAACTACATAAGCCAGCAGTTTGTAACAAGTGCTGCAATCTTAGCGTCAAAACAATCCTTGGTTGAAATGGTCACATAAGTATCATAGATTAATCATCTCTTGACTAACCTGGCGAAAATTTTCTCCGGGTAGTCTTTTATCTGATTGGTTGAACACGGAATGGACGAGTTTCACAAAAGAAATTCCAAATAGAGAGCCAGTCAACCCAGCAAATCCTTTTTTGAATTTCCAGCATTTGTATACATCCAAGTTTAGTTTACGCTTTTAGTGCTCTAGGTAATTTTATTGTGATAAAAAATAAATTAATAAATGGGCGTCAAAAAAAGCCACAGGAATTTTCCTGTCTGGTGAAACTTGTATCTGATTGCTCGGTAAGAGTCATCTCTCGGATTTATGAATACTTTTTGAGTTGTTTGCTTTGTATTTTAGGGATCAGTACGAGCTTTGGAAGGCTGCCTACGCCACGTTTTTTCCTCCCGAGGTAAAACATTTGTTGTTTAAAACTGAAATCTATTGCGATTTGCTTTTGAGTACAGCGCTTGATAAAACGTCTTTATATAAGTTTGTTCAGGGCTATGATTAACATTCTGTCTGACTTAAGAAATCCCAAGGGCGGAACACAAGCGAAGACCCATCTAAAGATCCGCAGTATGCTGAACCAGCGGTCGACACCATGAGGAAACAGAAAGATGAGGTAAATTAATGCAGATTTCCATTAATCAAAACTGGACGGTTGGATCCGGCGTCTTGCTCTGAGAACTTATAAAGATGTTCTGGTCAAACTGGCCTTGTCCTTCGTGAGTAAGGCCTCTAAGTTTCGCATTCCTGTGCAGAGTAATCTTAAATGTTATCGGGAAATTTACTGGACCATTAAGTGGTTAATAATGTTGAAAATGTTGCCAAACAACACCCACACGTTCTCAGTCACCGGCAAGAACCAATTAACCAGTTTTGCCAGACCTTTACCCTTTGACCCCCAAGAGTGACCAGCATCTAATTTCTCCTCACATTATCATTCGTGAATTACTCATTCAAGTCACGAGATTAAAGGAAATGATCATCAACTGAAGAAGCTCGTTATTTTTAAACGAACTTTCCTTTTCAGCACCTCAGGAAATGTAAGGAGAGCAATGTGGACAAAATACATACTGATGTTAGGGTGTAATAGGCTAAAAGTAAAAAGCACCCATCAAATTTACCTTGACCTTGTCTCGGTTGTAAAGTACGTTTCAAACCAGTTGTTTATTTATTTACTTTTAATTTGTGCAGGAACTAGAAAGATACCGGAAGTTGGCCATGAGAAAAGTGAGAGATGCTGCCAGAGGGACTGGAGGAGAGAAACACTCACGCTAGCTTAACAACAACAGCAACAACAATGAAGAAAGCTTAAACAATGGAGCAAATTCCTATTAGAGCGCTTTTCGACTCTAAAACCAAAGTGATTACAACGGCCAATCAGAAGAAAGGAAAATACAATAAGAGCCAATGAGGACTCACAGTATAAACGACCAAATCGCCTAAGGCGCGGGAAAATGCGGGCGACAACGTCTTGATTCGTTTTTGTTTTCCATTTGATTAGCTAAGTGAGTGGTGCAATTTTTCTGGACCAATCACAGAGCGAAGTAAAGCAAAACCAATGTAATCTGAGATTACTTTCGACACTTGCTTTCGAAATTGCACTAATAGTCTCACTTTCGACACTTAGTCGACGAATGCTTTAAATGTCAAACGCGATCCATGATTTCTTGGATTTTACTTTTCTTCGATCTGGGGTTTCTTTAGGAAACTTGCGCTATCTTTTCAGCATATCAAAACCCATCACAACTGAGGATTTAGGCAAGTTTGGTTGTTATTAGTTTGAGTTCTGGCCCCTTGTGGCATTTCATTGTATTCTGTTGGGCCGTTGTGATTACTTGGGTTTTGCTTCCACGACACTGATCCGAACTCCCTAATGTCGACGACCACTCCGTATTTACAAAACATTTATTGGAAAAATTTTAAGAGCGTTGTAAACAAGGAAATAACTGTAAATTAATGCTGCTTGTATAAAACAGTGCTACCCAGGAATTTGATTCGTTCTCTTCTCTGGAAAGTTTATTTCACATATTAGCAGTATCACGTGTCGTGAACTCATTGAATATGACAAACTCTTTCTTGTGACACTTCGTCTGGTGTGACATGAAATACGAGAAATGAAAGGCAAAAGGAAGAGGAAATCAAAACTAGAGAAGGTCGAACCCGACGTCACACTTTCTGACTGACGTTCGATTTATGTGGGTTTGTCATAGACAAGAAAACCAGGGATGAGCACATCGAACCGAGGCTAATTGGGGACATTCTACTATCTTTGTTTTACTTCCACCAGAAAAGCTTTTAAAGTTGTTTTCCGCCCGTTTTTTTAAACAGGAGATATAAAGTAATCGACTGTGGTGAGACGTCAAATTAAGGTTAGCCTAGTACCCAGACGGACGTCTCCGCTGAAAATCAGTCGGCGCCTAGGGAGGGAAGTGGTTACATGTAAGGCACAGTGTTCCTTCCGCTTCTTCCCCCTCCCCCCACTTCTTTTTTTTTCTTTCCGTGGACGCTCGCGCTTCGTGCTCGTTTTCCAGAGTGTCTACCAAACTATAGAGAACGAGATTAAGTCAAGGGCACGCTTTAGTCACTGTAAAGCTCTAAGTGGTGGCAGCTGAGATAGTTTTGATAAAGTCGTACCTCTGTTGCCGCATTGTATACTGGCGTGAACTCGTCTTTACAAACTGTTTCAGATTTTCAAAAAGTAATGTAGCTACACATTGCACACATTGTCTAGAGTAGGTGAAATGTCTTTTTTCCGCCCTCGTTATCGTTTTCAGAGGATTTGGCCACTTTGATTTATTTCATACTGTTTGGATCAGATTTTTCTTTCATCTGTATTAGCTCGGCTTAGTCATCGCTGCGGGATTGACTTGGCCACGCCCACCGGATGGGAGTCTCAGGGATATCCTTTATGGGGATCGACCCTTTGCAAGACACTTTCGACCGGTCTTTAGGCCAAATGCACTACAAGAATGTTTGCAGGCGTGATAATACTCTGAGCATCAGTAATATGAGGGTTGGGAAGAGACAACGGTGGGCTGAGGTGGGTTGCTCAGTGTACTCAAGCATAAGAGGCAACGGAGGCTGGGAAGAGAGAGAAACTTTAGAACCTGGTCGAAGAGAAGATAATCACACATCAAGGTCCATATCTGCATTCACTGTCATAGAGAAAAAGTAAAATTCTAACCGCCCGGTAAACTACATATACAAAGCAACAATAATTGCTACTATGGAGAGCTAACAATCTTAGAAACAGCTGTTTTCTTCCGTGGTCTGGTCCCATTAACCACTTCTCTTGAAAACAAAGCCTAAAGCGTTATTGTCTCAAGTAAGGTTTCTATTTAATGGTATGTGTTGTGTTCAGAATGGCCAAAAATATTTGTTAGTCTCGCACCTACTTGACTGCTTTTACGGTGAAGTTCTGCCTCTGTTTTTCCTTGCCTGAAGGCTTTAGTGCCATGACTTTGTCGCCTTGAGTGTCAAACATGTAACACGAATTAAAGTTTTCATTTTCCGACCGCGCTGCAGACTTCCCAGATCACTGATCATTTTCGGTAAGATTTCCGCGATATTACCTCTTTACATTAACGACTTGGGATATTTTTTATCACTTTGTATTACATTGTTAACTACATAAATCGTAAACTTTGTTAAAAGTTCCAGGTTTTTAATTTCCAATCCCACGAAATCAGGCCAACTGATCGAAATATTATTCTTTTCATATGGTCAGGACATCACATTTGCCTATCATTTACAGCAAAAAATAACTTTTCTCCTTATCCTGAAAAATTTTACAAAATCTGTTTCCCTCGGTCGCGAAAACGACAAATTTCGATCGATGTTTTAAATTGAAAGTGTCCAGAAGAGACTGCGTGAAGCGCCGTTGCCAATAACAGCTTGTTTAGTTCATTCAATCACGCAATTTGGACGTCAGTTCGTTAGAATAATCTGCCTGCAGGATCAAGTAGACATTTACAGTGAAATAAATGTTTGTTTTGTATGGTTGAATTTTTTCATTAGTATCGGTTAAAAGACCGCCCAGCGCGATTTAATGAAACGGATACCTTCAATAATTTAGTATTTACAATTAAGCGCAAATACTTAACTAACAACGTTGTTTTAAATAAAACAATCTCCACGTGTAATTTACGTCTTAGAGCTGATAACGTCAAGAAAGAACTTACTTTACGGGAAGTTTGTTTAGAAGATAAAGGCTCACTAATCTGTATTCATTTCAAGGAAGAAAGGTTCTCGAATAACCCATTTTACGATAGTTAAATCAAATCTAATCTAAAAGGCTATGGACGTTTACTTTTTCTAGCCCTCTTCAGAGTGCCATAAAATCTGTTTGACTTCTTTCTTGACGCTGGAATTGGAGAAGTTACAAAAACATTGCGACACCTCACATAAAGCGTTCAAACGATCACAAAGGAAACCCAATCGAGGGATCAGTGTTTCCATGGTAACACCCGGGACTTTCGTAGCCTTTGTTCACCGTCACAACAGAACTACCGCCCGCTCATGACGACCACTCTATCCTCTCTCGCAATGGCGGTGAACAGGATGTTACAGCCATGACGGTTTCCAACACTATGGCCGATTCTTCCTCTAGGGAGCCTAATGAGGAAGGAGAACGGAAACAATCAATATCACACCATCGGGAAAAGAGTCTAACTCCTTACGAACGACTGACACACGATTTAGCTCACGACGAACGCTATCTGAAAGAAATAACTCTCGGCAAACGAATTGGATTTTATCGCATTCGAGGAGAGTTAGGAAGCGGAAACTTCTGTCAGGTCAAAATGGGAATACATTCACTCACAAGAGGTTAGTTTAGGCGATCAAAATATCTTTGAATGTAATTTCGCTCGCGTGCGATGCGGAACTCACTTAGACACTTTTCTTGCAGACAAGGTTGCTATCAAGATTTTAGACAAGACAAAGTTGGATCAGAAAACTCAACGATTGTTATCAAGAGAAATTTCTTCTATGGAAAAGCTTCATCATCCCAATATTATCAGACTTTACGAAGTAATCGAAACGCTCTCGAAGCTATACATTGTGATGGAATACGCTGCTGGTGGCGAATTGTTCGCTCGAATTTCGAATGAGGGTAAACTACATGAACGAACAGCTCGCCGAATATATGCTCAAGTGACATCCGCTGTTGAACATATGGTGAGTCGGCAATTTGTATTCATTTCTTTAATTATGAACAGCTTTTGATGAAACAACCTTAATAGCGACAACAAACCGCCCGACTACTCGAAAATCGCTTCCTGCTGAAAAGGTATTTGCCATCGAAAACCCGAGGTAAGCTTACACGGTTCGTCTAATTGAATTATGTAAGAAAACTGATCGTTCCTTCTCGTGGTGATTTGAGCAGTGTTATGATAAACATAATAGTGTTGAATAATTAACGTTAAGTTTAGTTGCAATGTTGCCAATGATGTTCTTGAAATATTTTTCTTTTCCTATTTTTTGTAGCATGATAATAACATCATTCATCGCGATCTCAAAGCAGAGAACGTGTTCATTGCGGGTCCGAATCTTGTAAAAGTTGGCGATTTTGGGTTTAGTACTTTGTCGACAAAGGATAGCACACTGAATACCTTCTGCGGCTCGCCACCCTATGCTGCTCCAGAGTTGTTCAAGGATGAACATTACATCGGTGTTTATGTCGACCTGTGGGCTTTAGGAATACTTCTATATTTCATGGTAACTGGCGTTATGCCGTTTCGAGCGGAGACTGTCGGAAAGCTGAAGAAATGTATTTTGGATGGAACTTATTATTTGCCGGAGTTTTTGTCCGATCGCTGTAAATTTCTCATAAGGAACATTTTAAGACCTGTTCCCACAGACAGATTTACTATGGAAGAGATAAAGCATTCCGCTTGGCTAGAAGGAGAATCTTTTCCACGGCCGGACACCAAATATAGTCTGCGACCTCCAGAGGACAAGTTAAGTGAGTTATCTGAGGATGAAAGGGACGCACTAAACACGATGAAAGAACTTGGTATTTCTTCTGATCTATATGCAAACTGCAGAGATTCAAGAGACAGTATAACAGGGACCTATAGAGTGATACTGCATCGAATTGCGAAAAAAAAAATAGAGCTTATGCGAAAAACGTCAACTTTGAGTAGTTATAGTAACAACAATCACCTCATGACAGACTCTCGACCACAGAAGGCTGAAAACAACGAGAGAAATGCGAAAGCACAACCTAAATCCAAATTTTGTATAATCCTGTAGTGATCCTAGACACAAAATTGTACTACAGGCGCGAACTTAGCTTATAATTATCGAGGTACTGAAATCTTGAATTCTTAATTTTTAATTTTGAAATTTAAACCTATTACTATTGTTGCGCTGGGCAGATTTGAACGGATTTCATCTTTGATATTCCATTGTGTGTTTCATGCAGGTTCGTGAATTATCATTGTTTATCACAGATTTACTCTTGAGTGGTGTTTGCATACAGTTTTCACACATTTTTACACAAACATTTGTACATAAACATATCATTTGTGAGGCTCTCTTGAAAGAAATCGAGACATGCAAACACTGCATACATAAATCATTTGTTTGGTTACGTTTCTAAATTGTGACAGGAGACCATCAGTTGTAATATATTATCATGAGTGCAAGGGATATAAAAATTTTCTTTGCAAAATGCTTTAACTGACATAAAAAGAACCAATCATTTGAAATTATCATAAACTCAATTGAATGAGCAAAAACTTACTGGATCAATTTGTGAGGTATTAAATTAAAACCTCAAAGGACTGAGTTGTGAATATTTAATTTAGATTTTCTCATCTTGTATTGTTCTTCCATTAGTTAACAGTCTCATGCAGTCGTATTCAAGTTGCATAATCTTTCTCAATATTATTGCCTTGTATTGTAACCAATCAGATGGTTATAAGCTCATAGACTATGTTAATTATTTATTTGTCCTTACACACACTAATAATTGTAAATTTTTAACCATGTTAACAACAAATGCCCTCTCTGTTCTCATGACCACATTCAATGATAACGTATGTTCAAGAAACTTGAACATGACATTTTTCAGACATGCTCAAATTTAATATATGTCCCCAAAGGCAAGTAATCAAATTGCCATTTAATATTGACTTCCGCAAAGTCCAATATACTAATAATTTAAACATGACATTGGCAGTTTTGCGTAGATGTAAAATAACTGTAGATTATTCAACACCATTTGTATATAAGACAGAGTGATCTTTGCAGAAAAAAAGTGCCCCAAAATTTGTAGATATTAAATTTTTCCAAAGGTTGGAGCATATTTTTGCAAAGTAAGTTTGCATTTATTCTATTTAAGTCCAGCATCCTTCTGGTATGAAAAGGACAATAAAATATATTTTTTCATGGAAGGCTTGATGCTTATGATTTTGTTTTATGCACACAACATAAAGCAATTTTTGACTTAAATAAAACTAAAGTGATCCCAAATGGTTATTTGAGCAAAGACCAGCAGTACAGGGAACAATGCAAACTCATAGTAAATTGATGAATTGTGCCTTAGTGCAGGAAAGCACATCTGTGACGTAAGTTCTTCAGACAAATCACAAGAGAAATGAAGCAAATCCAATAGCATTCCATATTACTCTCAACACTTGACTGAAAATTGGTCTATATTATTGCCTTGTCATGTTCCTGTTGTCCACCTTTCAAGTGGACTTCACTATATGATCCCATTGGAATATAGATTGCATATACAAGACTCAAGTTCAGCCAAGTGAGATGCATTTAATTTGAGGCGTATTAATGTCACAGTGAAAATTATGGCATGATTGATAGCTTTTGTAGATATTAAGTAAAACCCTTAACCTTATGATAACATCCAGGCTTAATTGAATTTCCAAACACCTTGTGTAAAAAGCCAACTAATTAATGTGAATTCATCATTGGAGGTGTTTATCAAGAAAATAGAGTGCCTTTTCATCCTTGCTCTTGCTGGAGTTATGATTTTGTGTCTTTTGGCTAGACATTATACTCTCATTCTGCAAAGCACATGACAAAAATAGTTTAGGTTTGAACTCCGGCAAAGTGGCCCATACACCTGCAGTTTATCCCAGTTTCCGCATGAAGGGACCAGGAGAGTTACCACTCCCCCCTGAGCAGATACCTGTCCATAAGAGGGTTTTAACCCCCAGCATTTTATCAAGCTTCCCTGACAGTCTGCTGGTGCCCATTTGCCCCCCTGGGCAGAGAGAGCTAGGGGTCTGTCAGAGTAAAGTGTTGAGTCCAAGAGCAAAACACAATGACCACTGACTATTACGCCATTGCATGCTGGCCATACATCAATCAGTACCACCAAACTGCCTGGAAAACCTGGCTTGCATCTGGTCCGGAGGAAGTAGTAGTACCACCTAGTGGGAGATAGAAATGATAATAGGCTGTGGTGGTATGGGCCGGAGAAGGCTTGTCTTTTGCAGGAGGGGGAAACTCCCTTATCTAGTATGTGTTGTGTAATAAGATACGATTCTTCATGGTCTTAAAATTCAAAAAGGGAATACAACTTCCCAATCCGGAATCTAGTACATCAGTTATCATCTCTTCAAATATCGTGGAGTATTAGCACTGGTTGACCTGTGATAAGAAGTGCTTATTCATCTTTGTGAAGACTTCATTGGCGTTGAGGACATGGGAAAACAACAGCATTTAGACTGACTCAGACACTTTTTACATTTGCCTTTCATTCCTGCTTCTGAGGTTTTGGGGGTTTTTCTCTATCAGCCTACAGCTACTGGACAAAGACAACATGAAAGCTAATGTCATTGGAATCTGTAAAATGAGAAGTTTTACCAGATTGCTGTGCTGATCATGTTATTTGGGTTCAAGTATTTCCTCTAGTGAACATAGTTCATTGGGAGGAAAGACGGTTTTTAGCTAAAACCGTGGTCCCCAAAAATTTTTCTCACCTTGCCCAAAAAAATGTTCAAATTTTCCCTGTTCCTGTTCGTATGTCCGGCCAAGCCTTTATGGTCTTAGGCCCCCTTATAGCCGCTAACAATGGCTTATAAATACTGGCGTTTAGTGTTAACTTGTAAAACTCCCTGAAGAAGTCTACGACAGTTGACGAAAAGCGTCGTCAGAGAATAAAGAAGTGTTACAGCTACTGTTCGCAGAGTGCCTCTCACTAGTTTAGTTTTAAAAAAATTTAAAAAATATTTTAAAAATAAGCAAAAAACTTAAAAAAAAAAAAAGGAAAAGGAAAGGAAAAAAATTACTGCTCAATTAAAGACTTGGATATCAAGACAAAAAGAACAAAAAGGTCCTCAATGCGTACACATATGGGTTTCGAATCGTGAAGTTTGCATGTATGGATTAAATGACACATGTTTTCACAAAAGCATTAATTTCAAGAAACAATTTCATCTGTTATTTTGGATTTGATTACTGACGGTTGGCTGTTCTTCCAATGCTAGTTTGTTTCTGTCTTTTCCACGTTTGTTTGACATCGACTGAATCGCTTGGCCTGATATTTCAGTCCTTACCAATTTATCTCCTAGGAAATTTAAGCCTTAATCAAAGTGTTCCCTTTTGGGAAAGGCCATATTCGAGACTACGCACAGGGTAAAATGTACTTTCTCTGCTCGACCTCCCTACGCCTACCCCCTCACTACCTCTCCTCCCCGCCCCCTTAACTCGACGAAATGTTAATCGAACTTGACAAGGAAATCAAGGAAAACCAGAAGAAACAATCGAAAAATCACTGGAGGGAGAAGAGCACTGCAGGGAGAAGACCTCATGGCTGTATTTGAACGGCTTAAAAGATTGCATGACAATTCACTTTCTTTTAAGAAGGGATTTGGGCATGGTTTTCTTTTTTTTAGTGATTGTTACTATAGTTACGTGAAAAGTACAATAGAAGGGTGAACACGTCAATCAACTTACTTTGTTTTTGTTCTTTTTGGCTTTGTTTGTTTGGTTGCCTTTGTTTTCTTGGTGGTCAACCTTGAATATGCTGGCTTTTCGGTGATGTGCAATTTTTTTCAGGATACAGTTAATTAAAAAGAAAAGCAAATGTAATAGAATGTACCATTACTAAAACTTATTGCGAAAATGTTTTGTAGTTTTGTTGTAAGATTCTCTACATTCTGAATTTCCTTTCAGTGGACAGCAGAGATGCATCTCAACTCGTGAATAAAAATCGTTCGTGCGCACTTTCCATGGAATTAATCTCTACGTGTTAGTGGCTTTATTATGGCCGGTTGTGATATAACACTGGGTAATCTCGTATTATCAACTGAGTTGCTACCGCAATTTGGCTTCCGTAACGACTTAAAAAGCTCACGTCTCGAGCGTTAGCCCTACGTAAGGGCGAATTTACGTTATCAACTCAGTTGATTATACTTAATTATACTGTTACACTCTCCCACCGACGCAGCGCCACCGTTTCTTTAGAAACTTACCCCCTTTAATTTATTAATGATATATCACGTCCGACAACCTGGTGACTTCATGAAATGCTCCTACGTACAGACTAATGAAATTACGAATTACGCCGTTATCTTAACGCCGATTTTTATCAAAATGGCCTACACTAAATTTAGAAAAATACCAATACGCTACAGATCTATGTTTTGGTTCCGCTTTTATTTTCTCTTCCGCCCCTTTATCATCTTTAGTAACAGAATTTGGCCCATGGTTTATAAATCTAAGGCTTAATTTCGACGCGCACTTATACCGAGCATTTAAGAAGTTAATTTCGCAGTGAAGATGGAACTTCAAGGTACGAGATGGAGCGTATGTATCGATATATAACTTGCATACATAATGACACTAAGTATGCTGATGATAATGCTAATAAAAATAATGATAATAATCACAATAATTATGATAATAAGACGAAGAAGAAGAAAAACGGTATTAAAAGAACTCTGTAGTCAAAATGTATTCCATCGTAAAATTAAAAAATCGTTAATTACAAGTTTCTAAACTCTTCGAACAGTCACGATGAAACATCGGGTAAAAAAAACCAAACAAACAAACAAACAGACTAACTCCTGCAACGTTGACGTTTGATCTAAAATCATCCAAGACTTCATTTCCGTCGTACAATTGCGTTCTAGAAACTATTATCATGAAAACAGATCTCAAAATTTCAAACGAGGAACCTGAGCCATGTGATCACTACGGCATAGGGCTCGTTCTTCTATGACACAAAAACGATGATAATGAAGATGATCACAACGATGTTAATAATGATAGAAATTGTAAATGACAACGACGATGATGACGATAATATTGACAACAACAACAGCAGTAATAGTGACGATAACGGTGATGATGATAATAGTTATGACAATAACACATATTATGAACAACTAACCGAATCTTTGCGACGTGGTCACTAAGTCAAATTCGAGAGGTTACTTAGCATTCAAAATGGCGCTCTTTTGATTACCAAATCCATTTCACATATTTGATATTATTTGGGTTTTTCTTTACTCTTCCCTCTCGTTGTCCTGTTCTAGAGGAAAAGAATGGAAAAGCATAGAACTACCTCCCCAATTCAAGTGAGTGCAAAGCCGATCCTTCAACAAAAGGTAAGACATAGTGTGAAAAGAAGGTAATGATATTTTTAGTCATCGGAAGAAATTCAATATGAAAACATTGATCATGTTGAAGATTTTGTTAGCGCTGTATGTGCAGGGCGTGAAATTGCGACTAATACAGGTGCCAATGCGACTAAATTTTTCACTTTGGCGACCAAATCCTGAAAATTGGTCACCAAATTGGCGACTAGAATGTTTCCTTACTTAGAGATATAGTGAATTAAAAAGATTTGCAAAGATAAATCCACAGCAAACTTCCTCATTAAGTTTGTGTCCCAAACGCAGCACATCATCCATCCTAGTGTCCACTTTGTAGCAAGTTAAAGATCTTTTCCCTAACTTAATTTCTAGAACGATGACAGCGTGAAAAAAAGGTTTTGTTTGTCTTTGAAAATGGCGACCAACTTAGTAGCTGTCAGAAAAAAAATTGATTTCACGCCCTGATGTGTCATGTTCAACTGTAGTGATTTCATATTGATCTCCTAGTCTAAATTGCTTTTCTCTCGAATTTTTACTAACGATGCATTTGTTTCATGTTACGTTCAAAATTATCGAAGGGGAGAGATATTTCTTCGTTTCAGCGGCCATATGGTCAAGTTTTTCACATCTCTCTTAAATCGTAATGTTCAATATTGTTCTTGAAGGCGGAAAATTTCCTTGTAACCCCATACCATACTAACACAAATCAGTAATTCCATAGCCCCATTGTCTTCACCATTGTTTTCTTTATCTCAAAACAGTATGTAATGGAGAATAATTAGAAAGTTAGGGACTTTGCAGAAATCTTGCTTGGAAGGCTTGAATTATTCCAGAAATTTGAGTCAACAAGTCTTGCCTTTTTTATGTTTATTAAATCATAATTATGCCAGACAAACGAAAATCTCAGTCATGACAAATTATTGTTGGCTGCAGTGAACATCAATGTAAATCAGGGGTATTTGATCCTAGGTGCAACTACCTGGGGTGTCTACTTTGGCTGGCTAGCTCTTTAGATAGATAATCCCTCCTTTGGCTGGGAAATTACTACAGCCCAACCATAAGTCCTAATCCCATGCCAAGGTACTATCTGAGCTGACCAGAGGATCCCAGCAAGGGGTAGTCATAGCCATGAGGTTTTCACAGGCCTTGGACTGGGATTCTTGAATATACTTACTACATGAATGCTGACAAACACTTGTACACAATCGCTACAATGCTTTAAATGGATTTTGAAACTTTCTACATATAGCTGTACAACAATATTATCACATCTTTGGATAGACTTTTGCAACATTACTATGTTTTGATGATTTGTAAATTTTTAAGCAGTGTAATGTTATTGGAAAAATTCTCAATGTAGAGCGCTTTAGAATCAAGTAATTTTTACATGCAGTAGTACTGACAGTGAATGCAGCTTTAAATGAATAGTTTGAAAATTGTTCAGGTTGGAGTGATTCCTCATTCCACTGGTTCAGGAGCTTTGCCAAGTGTGAGCAATGGTAGCAACTACAAAGTACGAGTACCAAGGTAAGAAACTAGCCAAGTTTCTAATCCTGCAGCTTTAAACCTTTTACATCCTAGCATCAGCATGCAAGTTCTCCATACTGTTTTTTGTATATTTCTTATCAATGGTACTTACAAGGAGGAATTTGTCTATCAATCAAAAACTTCTTGAGTTCACAACCATTTTCTGTATTCTCATGACCTTCCTGTTTGATTCAGCAATGATACTGTTGGGAGAAATCAAAAGTTATCACTCTTTGGAGTTAACCCTTTAACTCCCAGATCAAATATGTAATTCTCCTTACTGTCAACCATACAATTCTTATAATGCTAGTTCAGATAATTTAGTATTGGATCAAATAATTATTCCCAAATTGATATTTTTCTTTATTCTCATCACTTATCTGGTTGATATTGTATTGATATTGTAAGGAGAAATTCTGTCTTGGTCACTCATGGGAGTTAAAGGGTCAAAGGGTTGAATGGGATGTGTACTCCAAAACACCAATTCTTTTCATGCTTTGTTACGTATTCCATAGAGTATGTATCACAGCAGCTTGCAATAAGTACAGTTAATAAGATTATTTTGAGTCCAATTTGGTGTTAATCAGCATGAGTAAATTTTTCAAAAATTTCCAAGTTCAATTCATAGTCTTTAAAAAATTTACTAGTGCTTATTACACCAAATTGCAAGAGAAATCATGTTATTACCTGTTGATAATATATATAAAAAGATGTCTTAGAAATTCAAGAAAGACAAAATTTTGAGAGCATCCATGCATCATTTGTAATTTGCACTTTTGTGACAACTTTGAATTTGTGTTTCATGAGAATGCACTTGTTTTCAGCCAATCAGAAGTTCATAATTTTTTTGATACATTATTACATTGAAAACATGCACTTACTTCTTTAAGTTCTTTGTTTTTGTTGGCTCGCAAACAAGTCTGCTGACTAGTAATAAGAATAAACTACTTACTGGTAATACATTTTTACCTAATATGTAACCTTATCATTCAAAAATTTTCTTGCCAATGTGTTAAAAATTTAACCCTTTGAACCTAAGAAATGATTAACTTGTAACTTCTCCTGGTGATTCAAATATGTTTTCTTGCAAACAGGTTATGAGAAAAAAGAGCTTATCAGCTAGAGGATGTTATGTTGAAGTGACACAAAATTTCTAATTAATGAGGAACTGTATGAACTATATGGTAGTCAGTGGCGAGAACGACCAATTGGATTTTTAACTCTCAAATGATATTGCACTTTCTGCCTGCCATGTTAACTGAAGAGGGCTTCTGCCCTAACAGTAGAACTTGCATTTTACTTAAGCTTAGAGAAATGGAAAAATGGAAATAGGCCGTTATTTCTATCCCTAGGCCATACCTTTCAGAACTGATGTTTGCAGAGAAATGTTTGTACATGGTTTTTTGCACGATATGAAAGGTCATTATAAAGTTAATAACTTAATTTTCTGTTTTCCATCAATTCTTGCTGACTATGCTTATTTTCAAAGGTAACATAATTGTAAGGAAACTGTCTAATCAATCCACATTGACTTATTTTGTCAGGCACCTGGCAAAGAAATATTCAGTCATGCGTTTTCAGAGTACAAAAGTAGACTTCTCATCAATCACAAAGGTACAGTTTTCTTTCAGAGAATGAATGTAAACTTCAGATGATAATTTTATTTTTTGAGGATAATAAAACCTGCTATAATTTGATCAGACATTATTTACTGATGAAGTGTATCATTTGACCAGAAATAAACACACATACTGGCTGTGAGAATAAATGGGAAACTCAAATACTGCTGAAATTAAGCAATTTTAGAAAATTTTAAATCAACAAGGAGAACTATTCAATAATGAGACATAAAAAAAGACATGAGCCTTTATTCAAAATATGATTTAGTTACAGGTCAAGATAAAGGAAAAAATTCAATTAAAAGTTTACAATTTAATTCAATTAGGAAAGGAGAGGAAAATTACAAGAGGTGCTAAGACAATGCCTCAGGGATCTTGAAATTCCAAAATTTTGTACAATGAACAACTCAGAACTGGATCATCAAGTTATTTATGAATCTTCTAGGCTCAGATGTCTCGCCAAACAGATGCAATTGAAGAGAGAGAAAGTGAAAATCTGCCAACTTTTGGAGCTGGTAGTGAATTTGGCAGAGAAAGACGTGAAGAAGCACGCAAGAAACGTTTTGGTTTCGTCCCAAAACCCAAGAACCCTGAAGCAGCGCCATGGAATTTGAGGCTTGGGGGCAAAAGTGGGAGAAGGTAAATTAAGTAATTTATATATCCACTGAGCTTAGTCAGACCCTTATGCTTAGAGGAGACCAAAATTACATGTAACAATTTATTTCCTGAGAAAAAAATATTTATAACAGAAAGTATGAAACCTTGTAGAAGTAGGGCTTGCTCAAAATTTGAAGTCAATGCAGTTCATATTGTTGGAAAAATAAAGAGATTAGACTGATTTCTTTAATTTGCAAATTTCTAGCAACGTCCATCTCAGTGTGATTTTTTCAAGTTGGTATTGAACACTCAATTTTTTTGGATGAAACTTTGTAAGAGCATAAAACAAATCAAGGTTGCTTGCATGCTGGTGCATGTACAAATCTCCTGATTGTGTATTTGGATGTTTTATTTTAAATTATAAATATATAGTAATTTTAATTTTTAGCTGCCTTGTCAGAGATAATTTGTAGCGATCTGGCATTAGAAATTAGAACCCTTAGGTTGACCTATGGTTTCAAAATGCATTTTCCATGTACAATATAGACCTCCATCCTTTCTTAAGACTCGTATTAATATTGAGCATGTGTTTTCAAGAAGCTATGTTGGATTTCAAAGTTGTGCAGCAGCTGTTGCTAATACCTTGTTAAAACAAAACTGTTGGTTTGATCATTTTAAATTTCATAAAAAATGTAAGAAAATGGTAGTTTTTGTATATCAGTATCAGGCTTACATGGGATGACTGAGCGTCAATGGAAATAAAATCTGGTAAATTACTTACATGAGAACATAACTCTTGTTAAGACCAAATTCCTGCAAACATGAAGCTGAAGTCTGGTCATGTGTTAAGGTTTCTATTACTTTAGATTTTGAATTTTAAAAGTTACTTTGAAACTATTGCAGGTTTACTGGTCGAAAGGAAGCAGGGATTAATGAGAATTCATCATATTACATATTGACTCAGTGTGAAGATGGTGCATTTGAGGCTGTGCCAGTGAACAACTGGTATAATTTTACTGCTGACATAAAATATCAGACTCTAACAGCAGATGAAGCTGAGGAAGAGTTTGGACGCAGAGAAAAGACAGTCAATTATTTTTCATTGATGGTAAAAAAAAGACTGATGGACAACAAAGAAGACTCAGAAGAAGGTGATGAGATTAAAATGGACAAAACTGCAAAAATAGCCAGTAGGACAGGAAATCTGGTAAGATATACTGTGGTATACATTACCTGCAGGGTTAACAGAGATTTATAAAAAACATTTATTTGCCATAATCACATGACACAATTCAATTATTGTGTGTAAGGTAACTGATATATCCTCATAGGAATATTTTGTACCTGATTGGTCATTGAAAAATGTGCAGATAGGCATGTGGGTACATTAAAAGAATTCATTTTTTTACTCTTTTGCAAATAAAGCTTCGAAGATATTACAGTAATTATTTTAAATTGGTTAAATAAATATGTTTACAAACAGTAAAGAAGGTTGGTGTGACTTATTATTGTATCAAAACACCAATTCAAATAAAACATGTTTTTGAGCATTTTTTAAAATACATAGGAGTGTTTTGATTATTGTGCACTGGGGAAGCACAAAGAAGTGTTGGTAACAGACTGTTGAGAAATATGATTAACAGAGAGTCACATGAAGTGCTGATGCCTTTGGTGTTTTATGGCCACTTGTGATGTTCTGAGAGGTTTTCAGTTCCAACTCACCTACAGCCCCTGTAATTACTAAAAACTTTCAAACAACACTAGTGCCCATGAATAAAAAAATATAGTTGTGTTTGCATGATTCCTAAAGCCTTGCATTGGTGAGTTTGATATAAAGAGAAAACTACAAAGGACAAATCTAAGAGTTTCACAGAACATTCAGGGATATTTTACACTTTAAGACTACATTTAAGTCTCATGGTGTTCTGTCAGCTGCTAAATTAAATCCTGTGAGTTGGATTGTTGAAGTTTGTTTATCTTTTGCAGATCATTCATGATGATGAAAGAGATTTATCTTTGTCAGAAGAAGAGGATGATGGTGATGATGATGAAGAGGAAGGTCAGAGAAAAAACAAAAACAAGGAAGGTAAACATTCCACTTAAATGGTCACAAACATTTGTCTGTGAAAACTCCCAAGCCCATCATTATATAACTTTTTTCCAAAGATAAGCCCTTTCCCCCACCCCCATGTAGGCCCATTGTTTGAAAGAGCCCCCAAAAAAAAAAAAAAAAAAAAAACAAAACAAAACAAAACAAAACAAAACAAAACAAAAACAACAAAAAAGAAAGAAACAAAAAAAAAAATCCCAACCCTTTAACCTCTTAAAATTGACCAGCATTTAGTTTCTCCTTACAATATTATCCCTGAATCACATAATTCTTAAGGTCACAATAATAAAGGAATGTTCAGCAAGTAAAGAAACTCTTGATTGTTAAACAAATTCTCTTTGTCAGCACCTCAAGAAATGTCTAGAGAAGAGTATGGGAAAAATGCATTTTGATGTAATGGTGTAAAGGGTTAAATGAGTCATATTCAATAACATTCTAATTCCTTTCATGTTGTGTAAGGTATTCCATAAGGTACTAATCACAAAAATGATAGAAATCACACACTTCTCTCAGCTCATTAATTTTTTTTGGCTCACAAGCCAATCTGCTATGAAGGAATATGTATGGAAATTAACTACTTAGAAAATACTGCATTTTACCAGTAATCTAACCATTCAAAAATTACTTGTAAATGTGTTAGTATGGAGGATATATATACTGATGTTAGAGTGTAAAGGGATAAGTGACCAGCTCCTTCTTTTGACCTCATGCAGTTATGATATAACCTTTAGATGGCAGAAATTGATGAAGAGTAAAACTTTGTTTTTCATTGTCTCGTGAAATACTTTGTAAAGTGGAAAACCTTGTGAAGTTAGAACTGAGACTTAAGTCTGATCTTGTTTTGCTCCTTCTTCAAATTTTTGAATTTCTTTGTGGTGAAAGAAATTGTTTCATTATCAGCTTTTTCTCTAATCATTTTAGTTCTGCTTTTCATCCCTCCCGAGATACAAATCCTGAAATAAAGACCACCTAAGAATGTTGACTATACATCAGAAGCCAAGGGCTTCAATGATTAAGATTACAATAAAAGCCCTGTTTATTAACAGCTAGTTGAGGAAGTGGAGGTGGCTAGTGGTCGTCTGAAGTGAATCACGGTCAGATCGCACCATGGTTAGATCGCTCCAACCAAAAGTTAGATCGCTCCACTCGAACGTTAGATCGCTCCATCAAATAAGTAACCTCGCTCCTAACATAAGTTACTTCGCTCCATGTAGAAAACTAATGTAAAGATAGCAAAACTAAGGTATCTAGATTGATAGTTCATCGAATGACGTGCATGTCTTACCAAGAATCGATTGATATCGCTCGCGTTCGCTTGAAATAAATCCGAGCTTCGCAGAAAGAAAAAATTAAAGCCTCATGTTAGGGACTCACGAAGTGTAATCTACTTTATTAATTAAAGATTGCGGATATCAGTTTCCTTAAAATCAAACAGCAAAAAAGGCCATACTGGACGGTATTGGTATTTGAATGGTCTTTTTCAATACACTTCAAACCATAACGTTATAATTTATTCCACGATCATTTATTACATTATCGCTATACGTCATACATCGGTAGTTCGGTGAATACGATGTACTCGAAAACTTTAAAGATCATTGGCAAGTAATACTTCACATTACAACATGGAGCGAAGTAACTTATGTTGGTAGCGCAGTAACTTATTTGATGGAGCGATCTAACTTTTGAGTGGAGCGATCTAAGTTTTTGTTGGAGCGATCTAACTGGGGGCGATCTAACCATGGTGCGATCGAACCGGATACCCGTCTGTAGTATTACAAGTTAGAGTAAGTTCAGGGTGGGACATACAGTAATTAGTCTTATTTTGTTTATCCTTTTATCCTGGGTTTGTCTGCTTTAAATAGATAAACAAGACAAGAAAGTCAAACATAAAGGTGGACAGAAGCAGCAAAAGAAAATGAAAAAGGGTTCAGATGCTGACAGTGATGCGTCTTCTGAGGAAGATGGATACCTAGATTCTAAAGAGGTTGACTATCTGTCTGATAGTTCTTCTTCTTCTGAGGGTGAGATTTTTCGTACAGACTACTTTTGATATTATCATATACACTTAATAACAATAGGGGTATGTATCTCGCACCAATCAGATTGCTGTATGAGGGTATGTATCTCGCACCAATCATATCACAGCATTTGGATATCGTGCATATGCTGTGCGCAAAGAATGACATCAATCAGGAATTTTGGGATCAATTGATAAGTGTAATGGTGTGTGGCTTTCGTAAGAGCCTCGTCGATTGAGGTCGAGATTTATCGGGGTATGAAAGGTTCACATTTAACTTTTTGTATCATTTTAAGTTAAAACGTGTTTTTTTCCGCTCCTTTACTCACAACTCACAAGCCAAACAACTTACACTGAAAAAAATGTCCAAAGTCCAATCAGAACATTGCACTACATGAACATTAGGCAATGTTTCACGTGCTTGAATTGTATTCCATCAATCAAATTCCATTTTGCCACATTAAACTTCGCTCCGTCGCGTGTCACTTCCTTATAAACAACCTGCATTTGATCACGTATTCTAACCGCATTATCTAACGTAGTCATCGTCATAACCAATATAAAAGTTGAGTTTATGTCATTGTTGATGAGTCAGTTTCTTCATCCCATTTTGAGAGTGTAGTGAGACTCACGTTATGTTTTCAGGGATGATAAGTCAATTTGTAGGTATCAGTAAAATGAGGTAAATGTTTCGCTGCTTTGTTTATGAGTTTTTTTCAATGTTGCAAATGAGCCTTATGACAAGCGTTTTCTGATGTATAAAATTGTGCTGTTTTTTTATGTTCACAGAATTCTCAATAAAGTATGTTTGCTTTTTACAGAAGCAGTTAAGAATATTGAAGTGACTAAACCCAAAGCTGAAGATGACCTAAATGCAGAGGAGACATCTAGTGACGAGGACGACGATTTGACACAAGAAGGACATGAACTGAAAGACATGTTGGATCGAGAGGAAGGAAGAGAGTCTTGGGATGAAGAAGAAGAAGATCCTGACCAGGATGAAATCAAAGGCACTTCTGCTCTCTTTTTACAAGGTTGGATAAAACGTTCAGCAACATTTATTGCTTAGTGAGGTACCACTGAAACCATGTATGTATACAGGCGTTTGCGTTACTGATAAGCCAACACTAAGATCCCCTCGACAACTTATTTCACCAGGTGATAAGAAAAGAAAGAAGAAGTCTGGCAGTGGTTCCAGTACATCATCCAACAGTCGATCATCCACCCCCACTACTGCTGTGGACGGTGCCGCCAACACCATTGCTGCTGCTGTTAGTAAGCTTAGTCAGGATCGACCAGGAACACCCTGTGAGTAAAGTTCATACTTTCCCTATACTCTCCATGTAATCCATATGCTGCCAAACATCACATGAATACACTGATAAGCCGTCAGTGGATCTTCATGGTTTTCAAGAGCTTTCAGAGAGCTTTCTGGAGAGGGGCTATCAGAGGGGGGGGAGGGGGAGAGGGGGAAGGGCTTACAAGGTCCTATCAAAAAACTCATGAAGAATCACAGTGTTAGTCATAATTTTTCTGCTCAGTACGAACTTTTAAAACTTACTATGATTAAAACGGAAATGAAAGCAGGCTTTTAACTGCGAGTATTTATTGTTCTGAAGAAACATTACTTACAGTTTTTTATTATAACATTATTTTGCCTATATTGTTTTTATTTTAGAGTTCTTTTTTTTTTAATGGTGAGGGAAGAGGAGGAAGGCCCCACAAGATAGAGGGGGGTTATTTTATTCACAAACTTGAAGATCTAGAAGGGAAGGTATTTTGTGAAAGGGACTGTGCAGATTTTTTTGGACCAACAGTTACTATTTTTTCAACACCATTCTTGCGGGTCTTAGAATTCCCCACTGCCTTAAAAACGACACGTCGCGCGATTTGCTGTGTTCTCTGTGGTGACGTTTCAAATAACCTTAAGCGTGAAATAATTCTTGACTTTTATGTCAGGAATTAAGATCGCGCTTTGGAAGTCGGAATCACTCACACTGACGACTGACCCGAAACCTTTCATTTCATGTCCCCATGTGTTTTGTATATCTACCCGGAATGTTTCCTTGCGTAACCTTCAATTCAACTTGCGATGCAGTCTGAGCGAGCCGAGCTATAAAAGGGTCTAGCCTTTGAGTAAATTAGACGCTGTTTTAGTCATACTCATTCTCTTATTTAAATAACAGCAAAATCCAGAAAGCGCCCTGCAAGCTCAGCCAAAAAAGGCGCCACCGGTGAGGAGGGAAACCCGCCGTCCAAAAAGCCTCGTGTATCCCCACCACCTTCAGCGGGCACGGGAAGTGGTTCAAGAACAAATACCCCAACATCGACCGGTAGTGAGGATGGCCCTCAGGGGATCACTGAGGATGCCGTAAGGAGGTACCTTACACGAAAACCCATGACGAGCAAGGACTTACTGCAGAAGTTTAAAACAAAGAGAACAGGGTTATCTAATGACGAAACTGTTAAGAAGATTGCAGCTATCGTGAAGAAGTTACATCCAGACCAAAAAACCATTAAAGGAATACTCTACCTGTCACTTAAACCATTAAGTTAGGTATAAACTGCAAAACTTGACAAAGTAATGGCGCCTGTGTAACATAATGTGAAGTAACTATTAGTCTGGCACAAATAACACACTCTTTGTCGTCAAAAAAAATTGAAGTAAAGAAAAGGAATATAAGAAGTCTGACTTACGGATTTTCTCAGGGCGGTCACAGGTAGTAGACCATTTTAAGAGTGGATATGCCACTTTCCGACTTTGTCGCTAAATTTATTAATATTTCAGCTGTATTATGCATTTATGGGATTAATTTAGCTTCTAGAATAGGCGCTATTGATTTCGTTTTCACGGTTAGGCGGGGACAAAATGTAAGGCGAGATGTGTGCGAACCACGTTCGAATCACGCGCGCCTTGCCTCGACTGACTTATGGAAATAATATCGCCTGTTCTACATCTTATGATGGACTGGTCCAGCTTAACTGGTCTGATTATTAACCGAATTCTGACTGATGAAAAGCGCCTCCAGAGTAGGTAGCTTCTTTTCTTTTAAAATCGTTGATTACCCCAACATCGGTATGTCTACTCCAAACTGCCCTCCGTACATTTCGCAAGGTGCTGACAAGGAGAATCTGTTGAACAATCATGAGCTTTAGATGGTGATCATTTCCTGTATTTTTGTGACCTCGATATCTGATTCAGAGGTGAATTTGTAAGAAGAAATTAGATGTTAGTCACTCTTTGTGGTCAAAGGGTCAAAACAAATGCGAAACTACATCTGATACCGAATCATCAAGATTACCTTGAGAAACACGATGAAGAGAATTTAGGAACATGTTCCGTTTCGATCTACTGCCCTTCAGAAATATAAGCACCTGGTTTTACTTCCCTTGCTGGCTAAACTTACCTTGAGTGAAAATTTTGACTTGTTTAGGTTTGTTATACCAAATCGTTTCTTGTTCCCCTGAAAGTCATTAAATTCCTTAAGTTTATCATCCCTTGCCGTCTGGACACGAGGATGGCTCCCTTTTGTCAACCTCTCACCTTCATCTTTAAAGGACCATGTAGTTGTAAAGCGTCTGTTTTGCGTCCCACACCACATCCTGTAAGAATTACTTAGACGCAGCTTAGTATTAGCGACTGCTCACTTTTTATCGCCGGGGAAAAGGGGGAGGGGTTGGGACGGAGGATTTTGATAAAATGATGAATGATCTTAATCCACTGCAAGGCTGTGTGATATATTTAGAACCCTCACCCCCTTTGCTGGCAGCTAAATAGCACTTAATTTTCTTTAGTCCTTCACCTACACTCTACTAGCGACAAATGGTCCCCACACCGTTCTCATGTGATCTTTCCGCCAACATCCTCGCCCCTTCGTCTCACCCCACTCAGACGATTAATGGTGGCTGGAATTAATGATTGGTCCCCGGTAAACTTTAATTGTTCAATCCAAGGTGCTAGATTTAATAATGTTATGGAGTGAGAAGAGTTACTTATTTACCTTCTTTTGGTGACGTAATTATGGGCCGATCAATTCGAAACTTCAGCAGCAGCACCATTAACTATTGCGAGACTGTGCTAAATTCTACAACATTTGTTAGTCACCTAAAGAATCGCTCAATATTTGGTGGACCAAATTTGGCCCGAGGTGGCGGGAATTTGAGCGAGGCAATCTTCAAAAGTTCAAATGCTCAGGGGGGGTTGCCCGCGAGGGATGTTAGCTTCGAATGTACAGTGGACGAAATGATCGGCAGTGTTGCGTGATCACGTGAAGGTGCATACTATGTGACCTTTCCCAAGGGGTGTTAGGTTACGAAATAATAATTAGTTTGTGGGATATTTGCATAGCAATCTGTTTGGCCAGAGTCGTATGCGAGAGACTTACCATTATGGCGAGGAAACTGATTGAAACTCTCTTTACATACAGCTTCGCTACATATTATGGGCTGATGATGTTCTTTGCAGTCTTATGGCAGATGATACGTCGACTTGCAATCCCTCCTCGAGCAAAGCGAAGAGAAACCCGTAAGTGGGTCGGCCCAATGTTTGTCGGCCACGTAGTGAATTTTTCCTGCGTTCATTTTACACCATACAAGCATAGTTCTTATGCATTACAATGGGTAGACTCGTCTAAAGAAAGCGTTCTCATGCCTCTTCTCCCTTCCCTCTTCAGCCTGTCTCTTTTTGGGACAATATATCCCACTGAATATTGCTTCTATCTCCAGAGAAGTATCTGTAGACAGCCGTGTTTGCTTGTGAAGGTCAAAGGCTCCATCGTAAGGATTCCAGCGAGTTGTTTTCTGTGTTGTGGGATATCAAAAAGAAATACTGATGCAAATGAGAGCTAGTTGTCTGTGAAAGTCCACCATCTGAACTGGACTGATTTTCAAAGTAAAAGTAATATTGGACTATATCTGGGTTAGCTACCTTCTAAGACTTATACTCATAGCTTTTGGAAAATAGAAGGAATTCTCCTTGTAAGGATTTTTTTGATGATGTAGAAACAAATTTTGGTGATTCTAAAGGAATTTTAAACCTAAGATATCGGGTGAAGTGAAGGTTTGCACACTTTAAATAAATGGCAGTCCATGACTGCATGAGCCTGCTGTTGTATGGTTTTAGAGTGTTTCAGTAAAAAAGCAATGTGGTATAAAATGCAGAGGGGCTAATACACAGCCCTTGTTGATGCAAAACTTGCTAAAAAAGGAGGACTTGGCCAGAACAGAGTCTTTACACTGGTCCATTGACAGGCCAGGGACAGGACAGGCAATTAAAAGAATAGTAAAACCTGTTAAATGTGCATCCCATATAATTTTATAGTAAACTTTGCCACTTTGCACACTGCATACCTAGGACAATGGAATTGAAGGTATAAGGTTTTAGCCCTTGCCACTTTCACTTTTTGGTTGTCTTTCTTTTTCTTTTCTTTTTCCTTTTCCTTTTTATCCTTTTGATTTGCATTTTTCTTCAAAGGATGTGTTAGATATGTTCAGAGTAAAATGCCACAAGCCTTTTTTAATTAGGGCTATTAAAATAACGATATTGATGTACATGTAAGACTGTTGTATGTTCAAATTGATAACAAGTCAACAAGTTGAAATGCAGAGGTGAGACTCTGAACAAACATAGAACTAAACCTATCAAATCAAAATGACTCTAAAAAAACCCATGTCAGATTTGTTCAACAATGGCCAGAGTTGGAGCTGAACCAGATTGCACAAGTCAAGAGACAAGAGACGTTACAACTGTCTTACAATAGTCCACCATTTTGAAAACTATAAAGAGTTTAGGGGAAGGTTTATGGACTTACACCATTACCAACCATTATGTAGTGCCTACAGCCTTGTGTATTGTATATGCACAGTTTTTCATGTGTCTTTGGTATATTGATGAGAATTGATTTTCTTCTTTTTCTGTATTGTCAGCTCCAGTATGCCTTCTAAACCCTGAACTTGGAACTCACCACTTTCTAAGAACAGCTTCAAACATAAAAATTCACTATGTGGCCAAAGGTGATCCACAAAAACCACTTATGCTCTGCCTTCATGGCTTCCCTGAGGTGTGTCAATGATAAAACATGTATGAGTTACTCTATTAGAGGGAGGGGTGGGAGGGGGGGAGAGAGTGTAACACAGAGAGTTTTATTGTATCACTTGATGTAAACAAACCAACTCTTCCTTGAATGGGGATATAAAATGGTAGATTTTCTTAACAGCTAACCAGCTGAATAGGATTGGGTTGGTCTAGAAAAAAGGAACCACTTTGTTTTCACCCAAAACTAGTTAAATAATTTTTTATCTGATTTCCAAACTGTTCCTTATAAAGTGCCCTGTTATGCATCATTTATTTCTTTGTGGTGTTTAGAGTTGTGCTGATGAAATATTGTCTTAAGTATTTTGTGTTACAAACACTTATTTTTGAAATGTACAATACATGTAGATATGTAAACTACTGGTCCTCTATAGGAACAGTGTCCATTTTCTTGCTACAGTATACATGTTTTTTGATGTATGTATTATGTTGTGTTGTATTTCTTGGCTTGCACCTGCAGTTTTGGTATTCATGGCGATATCAGTTGAAAGCTTTCAGTGATGAGTATAGGGTGGTTGCAGTAGATATGAGGTAAATTGAGAAGATTGTCATCAAATAATTTCATTCCATGTGATTTTTAACTTGTGACTAGTATTTGATTTAGGAGAAGTTAACTACTGCAGTATCAAACAAATGCTTGTTAAATAATTTTTTTCAACTGGCTACCACCCTGTTGACAATGTATACATGCCAAATACACCAAGTTTTCTTTTTTTTACACTGTTGAATAAGATATGGACTCAAGGTCTCTTTTTATTATTGCACAATAATGATAATGATAATAATAATTATAGTCAATTGTTTGATTTTGACAACATATTTGCAAATATCTAGAGGGTATATAAGAGTTGCTTAAACCTCTAGTTTTTAATTCAGTTTTGGAAGATTGAAGCCTTGTAGGTCCAGAAAACAGCTGAAATGTGTTAGGTATGATAATAGTACTCTGTTTTTTTCTTTTAGGGGTTATGGACTTAGTGATCATCCAGTAGGAAAGGACAAATACAAGGGTTCATACTTGGTGAATGATGTCAAAGAAGTGGTAAGTTGAAATTTTGAATTAATGGTGGTAATTTTATGTAACAATTATGTTGATAATAGAGAAGGATATTTTTTTTGGTCTTGTCACGAGTGTGGATAAAGAAAAAATTCTCAGTCCCCATGAGGAATCGCACCTCAGACCTTTGGATTCCATGTTCCAATGCTTTAACCGCTGCACCATGGAAACTCCATGGTGAGCGAGGTCTATTTTGAAATTCATGACACATGTCCTGTACACTGCTAGGATTGGCAATTTGTAGAATAGTAGTTTTCTGTAAATGTTGTTGAATAGTAGCAACACAGCAGCCTGGAAAATGTAATATGTTGTGCAAATTGCTGTTGTCCTCTGAAATAATAATATCATGTTAATAATGTTGACTATAATAGTGATTATGATGATGATATTGATTACAATTATAGACAAAAGGAAAGTCAATGCACATATATTGCTAACAAAGATAAATTTTAGAGTAAAAAGATATTTATGTCCTTTTTTGGTAAAGTGAAGTTGGTTTGTGCTTTTTTGTGGGGGTCTGTATCCAAAAGCTTCCTGTTAGATGTCTTTCTTATGCTTGTTTGATGATGTAACAAGTTGATGGTAACTATGAAAGCATGTTACTCACATGTTTCCTAGTGACTCTGAGGTGCACTTAATCTTCACAGTTCTTGCAGCATAGTTTTGTTATAATTAGTCTATGTGATGATTGCCTTAAATAGCCCTTTTGGATTCATTTTATTACCAGTTAAACCAGCCAGGGGTATTTCTTTCCCCTTCGCTTGTGTGTTGGTGATGGTTAACACTTCATCCCTACACCCTCCTACACATGACACGCCCGTCCCCTTTTACCATAACAGGGTACTGTTACTGACCTAATTTAAAGACAAACTTGTGTGTAATCATGTATTTGTGTTGTTCACGTATGCATTGATATTTGTATCCACAGATTGAGGGACTGGGCTACAGTTCATGTGTGTTGCTTGCCCATGATTGGGGAGGTGCCATTGCATGGTAAAAAAATTCTTATTTTATGGCTCATTTGAAAGAATAGTAATTTTCTGTAAATGTTGTTGAATAATAGCAACACATGAGCCTGGAAAATGTAGTATATTATCCAAATTGCTGTTTTCCATTGAAATAATTGTTAAGTCTGGCTGTGACAGCCTAAAGGTGCAGTGACAAATTTTGTCCTGTAGCCCTAAGAGGGGTTGTTTTCTCACAACAATTTCAATACTTATCTAGTGAAAATAAGGGGAGAAGATACATGGATATCAGCTGACTAGTATTGTCATGGGAAAACATGATAAAGAAAAAAAAATTTTGTCCAATGTAGTTTTAAAGGAAATGTCTGGAGGTTGGAAGGGAGAATTTGAATTTATTTCAGGGAGGTAACATGGAAGGGACTAAGTCTTAATCAGCTATGGGTCTTTTCAGAGTATTTCTTCTTTGTTATAGATTTTTGATTGTGCATTGATCAATTTGAAGCTTCAAGAACATGCTCATTAGCTGGGGAAAGTGAACTCTTACCTTTAAACACCTCCATGTCTGAAGATGAAACACTTGTACTCCTGTGGAAAGACTTGATACTTTTGGGTCAAATTTCCTACCTCACCCAGGCAAGGTTCAAATTCCCTACCCACTCCCCTACTTCACTGAACAAATGTAACCTGTTTTTCTTTCTTTTAGGAGGTTCACCCACATTCACCCTGAGTTTGTTGACCGGCTGATTCTGTGCAACATTCCACACCCAGCGTATGTGTTGCTTAAGTTTTAGCTATAAAAAGATCATCCGCTTTCCACTTTCCATCTCTATTACAGTCTGTATTGTTATTTAAATGTAACTGTTATTAGATTGTTGGAAATGTTTGCTGGGCATGACAAACATGAGTGGGTCATTGGGGCTAGCAACCTAAGAGCACTCAAATGTGTACTGTTGTATTTATTTTCTTAATTTGACTCTCTTTGCTTTATTATTCATTCAATAGCCATGGTTTAACCCTTTAGCTCCAGCCAAGATCTGTTTATTAATTCTCCCTTTTAGCTGCTACACATTTCCTTATAAATGAGTTATGAGAATATGGTGTTGGATCAAGATAAATCTAATACCTTGGCTAACAAGGTTGTGCGTTCTTTCCTGTTTGCTGGATAGTGTATAGTTATTATAAGGAGAAGTTACATGTTTATCTCTACTGGGATTCTCAAGGTTTTAAAAAAATATCAATTGTCATTTCTTTCCATTATTATTTATTCAGATGCTTTGCAAAGTGTTTGAAGTCATCTAAGAAGCAATTCCGTGCTTCCTGGGTAAGAGACTATTTGTTTTATTACAATCCAAAACTGATTTTCAATACAAGTTATATTATCGGTGCTTACCATAACAACACTTATGAAACAGAACTTAAAATTACACTACATTGTCTTGAAGTGCAATAAATTATATAATATCACAAAAAAAGAACATTTGAATAGTTTCAAATAATAGGAAATATTAATAAACAGTTTCTTCTCTTTCTTAACTGTGTTGAAAAACCAGTGCACATCAGTGAATGAAAGAAGAGGAAGGAGAAGGAGAAGTGAAGGAGCTTTTATTACCATATACGTCCTTTCACTCTCAATTTATAAAAAGCAATTCTCTTCACTTTCCACCTTACATTTCCTATACTTTTAGCTTTGAGAATTAATTTTGGTGTTTGATAAAAAAATATCCCTAATTTGATATTTTCCTTTCCTCTTTTTGCCTTTCTGCTTGAAAATGTATTGATATTTTAAGGCTAAATTTCTTTTTGGTCACTCCTGGGAGTGAAAGGGTTGAATGTTTTCCTTTACAAGATGACAGCTATGGAAGATCAGTGCTCAGATATCCACTCAACCCAAATTCTCCCCTTTGGCTACTGTGAATTTCTTGTTGATTTATTTGACATAATTTTGTTTAATTTCAATGTATCACCTTCTGGCTAATAAGTTAGTATGTTGTCATGTATGGTTATTGTTTGGTTAAGTTGGATCCCTTGCTATTATCTTTGTGAGTGAAAGGTTTAAAATAGTTAACAACTATTCATCAAAGTGGAGGCAGCTAGCAGTGAGGTAAATATCCATTGCTAACCACCAAACTGAGGTGAATAGTTGTTGTACTATATACTAAAACGGAAAAAGTATGGCCCAAAAGGTGATTTTGACTGATTTATTCCTGCAAGTTTTTCAAATGTGAATGGTGAATAACTATTTACCAAAGTGGAGGTGAATAATTTTTTCAGAATATACCACACAAAAACAAAAAAAAAACCAGTTTATTTCTGTCATGATACCAAAAATTGGTTGGAAATTAAATTTTTTGACATGTGATTTTGTCTCTTCAGCTGCTTGGAGATGAATAGTACTTGCAATTCACTTCCACACCAATCACTTTTGCACCAGTCACTTCTGCACTAATCACTTCTGCATCAATCACTTCTGCATCAATCACTTTGGCATCAATCACTTCTACACCAATCACTTCCACACCTATCACTTCTGCATCTATCAGTACTGCTACATGTGAAAAGCACTATTCACCTGTGTTTAAAAACAAACTTTATTTCCAAAGTGAACAAAAGTGTCGTCAGCATGCTCTATTGCTCTATGATATTTAACAAATAGATTCCAAGTTGCTGTGCGTCTGTTCAGTAATAGATCACAGATGACGTCAAAATGTGGTAAGAAGTGGCACACGAGGCGCAGCCAAGAGTGTCACTGATGTTCTTACCACATTTTTACGTCCTCTGTGGTCTATTACTGAACAGACGCAGGGTAACTTGGAATCTATTTGTTTTATGTAATAAAGAATTAAAAAAAGTTTTAATAATGACGTCATCTATTACGTCTGTCCTCCAATAGATCATTAGTGAGAACCAATTAGAATGCGTGCATAACTGAGCTTATTATATAATTTGTTTCACCTTTGAGGATTTTCGTATCTGCTCACATTTTAATAACATAAATTAGGGCACCTGGTATGTTTACAAACCTTTGTTTGGTTCTTCTGTTGCTACTTGCCGGCTCGCTTGTTCCGAAATTTCACTTTCAATTATCGAAAAAAAGCTAAAAAGAAGTCCTGGAAAAGATCGAACATAGTACAATTTGGCAGATGGCGTGACAGCTTTAGCTCAGCTCTATGCCCTATACTCTCATGGAGCACGCTCTTTCAACTAATGACAGCGCGCATTATATCCGAACTTTATTATAATATACACTAAAAGCAGATTTTGACAGAATCAGCCTCATGTCACACCCTAATGCACTTTTGTACAAAAGTCAAAGGTTCTACTTTTTGATGATTTTGTTTTCTTTTGCAGTACATGTTTTTCTTTCAATTGCCTTACCTTCCAGAGTACGTGCTAGAGATGGATGACTTCAAAGTTTTTGACGAAGGTTTTGGGGTAATGATAGTTGCATTTAACTTAAGTTGTTGAAACTTAAATGTTTGATTATGCCTATGATGATCAGCATTATCTTGATATTATCTCTTTTTAGTTTCTCTTTTTAGCTCTTAAAAGTTTAGTTGCATGCTTAAGTGTCTGGTGATAAGGCTATGGAATACAATATGATAACAACAGCAAATAGGGTTCCTCGTTTGTTGTAACCTTGTATGAGAAATGGACTTAACAAGATGGTGATATTGTTAGCATGATGATGTAGTCACTTGTGATGTTAACTGTAATCCATATGGAATGTGACTAAATCATGAGGCAAAAAAATATTATTTCATAATTTTGGTATTTTGCTTTTACCAATAACCGCAGCCTGTTTTACCTAAGAATGAATGGCCTTCTATCCTGGACAGAAAGTTTTGTACTTTAAAGATCCATTTTTGAAGAATCTACTGTCTCCATCACACCCCCCTTGTTAAAGCCTGAAGTACTTTTACTCAAGGTTTATTACAGTAGTTTTTATTCCAGGGGGGGTGCTTTAGGGGAAGTTTTACAAACTGCAACTGGAATTTTTTCTTTATTTTGTTAACAGAAAGGCAAAAATTTCCACGAAGAAGATGTAGAGGCATACAAATATTCTATGTGTCAGTCTGGGTGCAGTGGTCCTGTAAATTACTACAGGGCTGCATTTTCACACAGAGATTTGCCTCCCACAACCTTTCAAACCAAGATCAAGGCTCCTACCCTTGTGGTTTGGGTAAGTCAGAAATAAAAATCCAACCTTGTAGCGTTGGTAGGGAGTTTAAAAAGTTATGATGGCCACACGTCAACCGTCTTTGAAATGGTCGACTTAAAACTGATCTGGGATTTTCTTAGTAGATTTGCGTGAGGCTTCATGTGTTTATTGCGTAAAATGGCGCTAGCATTTTACAACCTGGATACAGGGCCTTTGTTCTGCTCTTAAAATATTTTGTTTCACCATATTCTCTCTCTGCCGAGGGGGCTCTGGGAAAACACATTCGCAATTGCACTTCCAAGAAACCCCACCCCACTCCTGGTGATCTCTTGGTTTGTAAAAGTTTGTCTCCGATCTGCAATCACAGAGGTTTTTTTTCTTTTCTTACTCACCTACTATGCCAAATCGAGATATTACTGCCTCTGTTTTCAAATGCGAAAGAATTTTAAATTTTCCGCAACATTGTGGATTTTGTGTGAATTTTATGTACGTGACTATAAGGTTTTCTCAGTTGATTGATTTCTCGCACGAAACTTGAAAAATGAACAAGTGTATTTACATACAAATCAAAGATTCAGGACTTGAACGGAATTGAACCCTGAGCATCCTTGATGTTCTGACAAAAATGGAATGTATGGGAGTATTTACTAGGAACTGAACAGTGAAGGTAAAAAAAGTATTTTTTCTGGAGAAAAATAATTACTTCTTGATATAAGGCGTTTTTCGTCCAAGACTAGTTCCCTAGTGTGATTCTTAATCGTAAAATTGTGTTGTTCATCTTAGAAAGCTAACAGGACCTTGGATTGATTGAATTTAATACCGTTATTATTATTGTTTCAATGTCAGCTTGTTTTTTAAAGGAGCACCTTGATTTCCTTTGCATTTTAGGGAACAGGAGATGCGTTTCTAATGGTGGAAACGTTGAAAGGAACAGAAGATTTTGTGGAAGACTTGACCATCAAGTAAGGTGTTAATTTTTCAGTGATGATCCGGAGGTTTCAAAAATAACCTGCGCTAGACCGCCGCCCTATAAGACCTCTTACCACCGTCTGTGAAGCTTCCAAGAAGATGCCCAGAATGCTGGAAATTACCTTTCCGTGATTTTAGGGTTTTTCATGTAACATGTTTGATAGCCTGACATTTGAACTTTTAAAATTGTAAACAGTTCGAGTCAGTCAGTTTCCTAATGTGATTACAATATGTTCACCCAACAGTGATAGCGAAAACATCTTTTTTTGCTCTGAGGCAACACTAAAACGTGTTGGTGACCTACCGAAACTAAAATGTCAAAATAATTTACTCTCGTCAGCTGAATAGGTTGTGAAAATAGACAAATTCACCTGTGAAACAGCGTCATCTTGATAAAACGCCATTCGCTTCTTCTCAATTTCAACAGATACGTTGACGGAGCAACTCACTGGGTCCAAATCGATGAATATGAGGACGTGAACAAACACATTCGTGAGTTTCTCAATGTCCATCCTCTGGAATCTTTACAGAAACCAGATTAAGAGAAGACGTGAACATATCAGGGTGCCTTTTCGTTGATAACCTCTGTTCCGAAGAAGAAAGTGGATTTCTGTCAAAACTTTCGAAGAAATAAGTGTTCTGTTCTTAGAAAATAGAGTGGAAATAACTGATAACTTGGTGTCATTTGGTAGTTCTCACAATCATCATCGGGATCTTGAAGTTTGTAATATTTAGAGAAATTTGCCCTTATGGATGATATGAATAGTATTCCATATATTTTACGTAGGGTTTCTTACAAGGGAAGCAGTGTTAGATCACATAACAATTATCAAATAGATGATAATGAAAGTATATGAAAATATATGACTTTCATATATTCTTAACCGTTTATCAATTAGATGATGTAGAAAGATGTTAGAGATTCGTCCAGCCTACTGTTGGATGCTCACTACTAACGGAGCTACTTAGAAACCCCTGGTGAACTGGGCTCGAGCTAGGCCATTTCTAGAATGGACGATGTTTTTGTTTTGAAGTTGTTAGTTTTCAGGAATGTGGTATGATAAAAACTCGAAGGCTTAAGTAGAGAGGGTTTGTGTGCAGTTTCCTTCGACATTTAAATGAATATAAATCAAAGTATTTTCACTGCACACATGGCTAAAGAAAACTCGGAGAGGAAAACTTGTAGGAGTACGGTTTTATCATGCAACACCTTAATAAATGTCTTTGTCTAGTCGCCTAGAATCATAGATATTATTGATTGCAAGCTTTGAGAGGGTGGACCATCAAAGAAAAAAATTATCTCCGAAAAACTTTGAAGGAATAGTCGCTTATTTTTATGCGACCAAAGAGTAATCGCCGCGTGGTCGTTCGCCTTTCCACGCGCTTGAGACTGTGACTGTGACTGACCCCAGAGAAATGAGTCATTTTTGCTTCCCCTATTAGTGAGAAAAAGAATGATAGTATAATAATAACAATAAAAATAAATAAAACTAAAAGAATAACGACAGTAAACAAACAAACAAACAAACAGATGATTAAATCTCCCGAAATCCCCTCCTTCCATTGCCCCTCCCTTACCTCCAGGTGATGTGTACCTGTGTTCTGATTGGCTATTGTGACCTTTAGTGTTGATTCCGACCGAAGAGCACTCTGATTTTCAAAGAAGTGAAATACGCCTTATGGAATTAATTGAGAAGTGAAATCATCCTTTTTCAACGTGTTAGCTGACTAGATATTTCTTAGTTCGTTTTGCCACTGCAGCATAGAGAGGAAGCAGTGGCCTATAGCTGTTGGCAGAAAGGTTGTAAGAGAAAAAGTGGATGCGACCACTTCGAAAGGACTTTTCATGTCACGGTTTCTTGAGTCAAGATTTCAGGGAAATTTGAGAAAATATCACTGACAGGAAAAGGCAAAGCAAGTTGGATATTCTAATTTGGTAAGACTGACTTTAAATTCTAAACTTGATAACAAAGAGAACAAACTGACCCGATTGCAGTATTTACGTGTAGGTCGGCATTCATCCCCAGTTCATTAGATCTTTTGTTCATATTTATTTGTTAAACCACAGGCAGTCCAAACTCACGTCTCGAGAAAAAGTCAACGATTGACTCATGAACGCGTCACGCGTTGTGTGACTCGGTGTTAAGTTACGAGAGGAACCGTTGAACACGTTATAAGGAATAGTATGGGGAACGAAATATGGTCGATTTACAACGATAAATATTTCGAAATATGAATATTTTACACGTAAAATCAATAACAATTACTCACATCCTGTGTGTCCGTTGTAGTTTCTGGTGATCTACCTGAATTTCCAAGTTCGCCTGTCTCTGGCTATGTTTTGAACAAGCAAACTGGACACGGCCGCGGAAGAAACTTGGGTACGAGGTTAATTACAGTCGATGCAACACCGAGTCACACAACGCGTGACGCGTTCATGAATTAATCGTTGGCTTTTTCTCGAGACGTGAGCTTGGGCAGCTTGTAGTCAAAGGTACATATTTTTGTTGCCACACAGCTGCATGCGACAAACGTATGGCGAGTAAACTTATCGAGACGTTATTTATCTACAGCCTGGCTTCATTTTATGGGCTTTTGGCATCCTTCGCAGTCTTATGGCAGATAATACGTCGATTTGGAATCCCTCCCCGAGCAAAGCGGAGAGACACCCGTAAGTGAATCAACCCAATTTTGTTATCACTCATCTTAAGTGAAATTGTCCTTCGTTTACTTAATAGCCTGTTAATAGGTATTTGTCAGTTAGAGAGTTAGAACCCAAGCGTACTATATACACAATGTATTTTCAAATGTATATGAAACGTGGTTAATAACGAAGGTTATTCCTTCCCCTACCCTTCCCATCTTAGTACTGGAGCAATCCCAGTTATTGTCGCCTTTTTTTTCTTGAATAATTTCCTGTTATTTTGATTGAGTGAAAAGAAATATACGCCTCAATATAATTGAAGGAACAAAAACGGCGTGCAATAATTTAAATACCCGCTCTTGTTACATCTATTTATGTTATTATTTTAGATATATGTCTGTAGATAGCCATGACAGCTTGGTAAGGTCTAAAGAACCTATAATCGATCAGGGATACACGATTACAGCATGTTGTTCTTTGTAGTGCTATGGAAAGTGGGACATCCGAGGAAGATCTTAATGCAAGTTAGATTAGCTGTCTGTGGAAGTCCACGATCCGGACTGAATTTGTTTCCCACCAAAAAGGGCTTTATCGCGACTATCTGTCTTTCAAGACTTGGACCTATCAATAATTTGCATGATAATTTCTCATGTAGAACAGAATTTCCAACGTAGGTTTTTTGTGATTCTCTGATTATGATTTATGAAAACAAAATACAACTAAAAGTAGAAGAGAGATAATAAGTCATTAGATTTCCCCAGTGGGTAGGGGAGGAAAATTTGTTTTGTTTGCCTGCCCTGAAACACTGAAATTCAAGGAAATTTTGCATTGGTGTCTCATTGGGTTTTAAGTCAAAATTCTCTGACAAATATCGCAAGGCAGACAAGAAATTCAAGAGAACATGTTAGTTATCAGCCTCTATTACTGTAAGCCATATCCTTCAATATTTTGTTTGAACTATCTGTAGTTGGATAAAGATGTAAGCTATAATTAGTTGTTCTAACTGGTTGTGTTAAACTGTTTTAAGTTTATTGTATTGTTAATTTTTAAGCAATTGATTATTTAGTATTTCAATGAGTTTGCTTTCCTTATTTTTTGTGTCCTCAGCTCCAGTATGCCTTCTAAACCCTGAACTTGGAACCCACCACTTTCTAAGAACAGCTTCAAACATAAAAATTCATTATGTGGCCAAAGGTGATCCACAAAAACCACTCATGCTCTGCCTTCATGGCTTCCCTGAGGTGTGTTCATAATCACTTTATAGACATGTTACCTTTCGGGGGTATCTCTTAGAGTTACATAGTATCATTAATAACATATAACATGCAAATCTTTCTTTCTAACTGATGAATTGCTGAATGAGATTGTGTTGACCCACAAAATATTCCATACCATTCTCTCTCAAACAATATATATTTGATCAAGAATGAGTTTTTCATTTGATTTTCAAACCTCTCATGTTAATTTTTTAAGTTAGACACTATGCATCAGTTATTTACAGTCTCTTTAGTGTATGATATACAAATATGATTGCTTAGAATAAACTGTAGGTGTGTTAACTTACTGGTCAGGTACTGTACAAGACAATTTTTCATTTCTGTGCGGCAGTTTACATCTTCTCTTTCTTAATAAGCATTATTATTATTTGGCATGATAGTCCTGAGGTAAATTAGAGCATTCTAATGGGCTCTTACTTGGTACAAATTTTGCAAAACAAATCATTTCTACAGAAACAGTCTTAAGCTGTGAATTTTTGCTGTGAAAGTCAGAAAATTCAAATCAACAAGTTTGGTCTGAGTGCTGTGTAATAAATTACTTTCCAACTTCGCTTGCTCAAGTCATGCTGGGGAATATTGGCCCTTGCTTGTTTTAGTACAGACCTTGCTGTGCTCAGTCTGCACTGCCATGATCATGGCAGTGCAGACTGAGCAGTGCGGCCCTCATGCTCAGTTGGGAAGAAGTTATTTTTTTTGTTTTGAACTTGTAGTTTTGGTATTCATGGCGATATCAGTTGAAAGCTTTCAGTGATGACTACAGGGTGGTTGCAGTAGATTTGAGGTAGATTGTAAAAATTGTTTATGAATTAAAGTAAAAATTATAATCAATAATGATGTTTTGATGTTCATGTGATTGCAAATTTATAAAATAATTTGATCAAAGGGAAGTGAACACCAGCAGTATCGAGCAGATGCCTGGTGATTTTGTTGTAACAGGTTTCTTTGTGAACAATATATACTTGTATAAAGAACTTTTTTTTGTTGTGCAGGTCTATATGATATTGTGATATTGTTACAACAATGATGATGATAATTATGTTGCCAAATATATTATTCAATAGTTTTAATGACCCGCCAAAATTTTTCTCAGACTGGGTGGGTTGTTCAACTTGTTTAAACCTCAGTATTTTGTGACCTAAAATCTGTATATAGTTTCCAGAAGAGGAAAAGCAGGCAAGCAATCATTTTCTGACTATCACCTGATGTCTTAAGGCTTGATGATGGAAAAAATGAGAGCAAAATGGCAAATTTGTTTCAAAGTTAAACAAAGGTTGCCAATGATTTTTTATGGAAATGTTTATTTCACTTAATAAGCTATTAATAATGAACAAGTCTATCACATTTTTATTTTGTAACTGCCATGTTGCCAAATTGATGACATGAGCTTCTAACTAGTCACCCAAATTTTATCTACTTGTTAAGGAGACAAAACAATTGCAGTTTGAAATGCTGTTGCTTCCAGTCCTTTTTACTCCCAAGATCTTAATACTTTTTCAACTAACTGGCAGCTATACAGTGGCTGTAGTTGTACTTTAAAAAATTAGTGCTAAGTTAAATAATATCTACAGTTGATATTCTCTGTAACTTATTACTTGTCTGCTAAAGGGGAAATTAGTTTTTAGTCATTCTAATGGTGAGCCCCCCACAGCAAAAAATTCTTTTACTTGGATTTTTATTGTAATTGCTGTAGAAAATTTTTTTGTTCTCAGTTATGGTTGATTAAGGCCTAGTAGGGCTATACAATTACCAGATGTGCTGAGTGCGCCTTTACAGTGGCACTAAATGCCTTCTCTCATTTAGGGGCTATGGAGAAAGTGATCATCCAATAGGAAAGGACCAGTACAAGGGCTCATACTTAGTGAATGATGTCAAAGAAGTGGTATGTTGAAATTTAGGATTTATGGTAATATTGAATGATGATGACAATGACTAACAGTGATATTAATAATTGTAATGATAATAATAATGTTGATGAAGGTAGGAAAGTTCATCACCCAAATTGCCAACAAATGTCAATTTTAAATGGTTTGGAGCTTTGAAAAAGCTATTCATGTCCTTAGCTGGAAAGATACAATTAGATTGAATCTGCTCAGGGAGTTTGTTTATGACAGCTTGCTTTCAAGTTAGGCTATCTACTTATGGCTCAGAAAGTTTTCTGTATTAAGGTATCACAAAAGGAAAATTAGGGTCTTCTTTCAAACTGATTAAAAACAGCACAAGAATTATTTGTGCTGTATCCCTGTAAAAGTATAAATTTTCTTTAAGCTTAGTAAACACTAGTTCTATAATTTAGACCATTTTTAAATGTTAAAACAGAATGGGAGGGTATTTTTTTCACGCTGAGACATTTTACAAGACAAGATTATTTGTCGATGCATTTTCATGAAAACCTTTGTTTTTATCTGAATGTGATCTGCACATATTGAACAAAAAAGCATGTCTGGAATTTGTATTTTAAGGCTCTCTAGTTTTTTAGAATGATTTTTAACTTCATAGTAGCACTTTTTCATGAGGTTTTCAATGTAGACACTTTATCTCAAAATGTAAGGAAAAACCCAGACACCTTTTTTGGGTTCATTACATGTCTGACATTCTCTCCAAATCTTACTGAAATTGTCTGAAATTTTTTGCAACCCAACACCTTTGGCAATTCAAATAGAAAAAAGATTCTGGCCTCTGCATTTCTTGAGTGTAGTAGAAACCCCTAACACTAGTAGTCAATAATATTTCTGCTATGATGTGAACTGCGAGACTTTCCTTTTTCCAGGATGGCAAGAGAGACTTTTAAAGAGGTTTTTGGTCATGTTAACAGCGTGATAAAAACACTTGAATAACAAGGAAAATGTCTTTAGCTTTTTGAGAGAACTTATTAAATGAGTGATTTCATTACTGTACAAAACTCGGCAGTGTGTCATGGTAATTCAGTAATGGTTTTGTAATTGATAATTAGGTGACAAAAAGAAGTTTACAATTAAGAGTAAAAAAGATACCTAAATGAAATTTTCAAAAATTAATAGATCTCTATTTTATTAACTTTAGATATGGAACTTTCAGGAAATTTATAGAATATGACCTTTTTTCCTTCCATGATACCTTAATGTAATGAAATACTTGTATCGGCTTTGACTTGTGACTTTGAAGAGTAATAAACATTTTCTGTCTTCACTGCATAGGTTTGGTGTTATATGTCAGTGTGGCATTTCCTTTAATTAGCCCTTTGTTTCATACACTTTATTACCAGTTTAAAGGAGTTTTTTGGTGGTGTCAGAACTCTATATCTTTACACTTAACTACACTTGGCACCTTGCACTCATGATTTTTTCACATTCTAGCTTTACAGTAAGAGGGTATTGTTATTTGCTGAATTGACTGAATGTGTATAATTATGTCTATGTGATATTCATGTATGCATGGAAATTTGTATTTTCAGATTGAGGGTCTGGGATACAGTTCATGTGTGTTGCTTGCTCATGATTGGGGAGGTGCCATTGCATGGTAAAGAATTCTTATTTTTTTGAGTTATTTAAAGAAAAAAGTTATATAAAATATGTTGGTGGACGTAAGTTACCCATTTTGCCTTGATATATGGGTTAAACTCAGGATAAAGGTTTTTTTTTTTTAATGGAACAATCTGTTGCCTAGCCTACAATAGCAGTGACACATTTACTGGTAACCCATTGACTCCTGGAAGTGTGAAAGATTTACCTTCTCCTAATAGTTTAATACTTGCCCAAAGAAAAGGGGGAGAGAATTACTTTCAGTTCACAAGAGGTCTTGTAGAAAAACACCAAATTAACAAATTAACTACAATTTTCCATTGTCTATAACCTTATTGATCACAGAAATGAGATAAATGATGTTCAAAAATATAGTGTACCAAGTAGTTTCTATGTGATTACCAAGTGTTGCATTACACATTTTGCCATTTATATCTATAACCTTATTGACAATGGCTCTTTGCTCATTTAAGAGGAAATGTGTCAAAGCTAGAAAGGAGATTTTGAATCTTGGTAGTATAAGGGCAATTTTTGCAACAGAGCTTGTCAAATCTAGCCTTTCCTGTGGCTCCATAGATTTTCGGGTTTTTGAGTGATGTCCATGATTTGTTTGTCTCCTTGACATTAATTTTCATGAAATTGTTGTTGTTAGTATGGGTGACTTATGGACATTTAATTGATGTTTTACACCCCAACATCAGTATGCATATTCTCCATACTGTTCTCTATACATATCCTAGTATGCTGTTGAGCAGAATTTTTAACAATCAAGACATTCTTTAGTTGGTGATTATTTCCTTTACTCTTGTTACTTTAATGTTTGATTCAGGGATGATATTGTAAGGAGAAATTAGATGTTTATCATTCTGAAGGGTTGAAGGGTTAATCCTGACATTACTTACTCTCCCAGCAGTGTCCATAGAAATAGTATTCGACTTAAATCATCTCCAGAATGTATGCACAACTTAATAACAAAAAGTAAATTAATTGTGTTTATTTCTTTCAGGAATTTCACCCATATTCACCCTGAATTTGTTGACCGGCTGATTGTGTGCAACATTCCACACCCAATGTATGCATCATTAAAGTTCTAGCAAGAAATAGTCATCCAGTTATAAAAAAAATATTGGCATTAACTATTTTTTTAACTGTATCTGTTATGAATAGAAATGCATCATTATGTAGGAAATTTTTGCCAAAAGAATGACCTGCCAGAGTGGGTCATTAGGGCCAGCAACCAAACAGTCTGTCCCTTGAGATTTTGTACCGTTTTATTTATTTCCTGATATGACTCTTGTTTCTTAAATATTCACAGAACAGTTATGGCTTAAACACAATAATATCAACATTCATGTCTCAGACACAAAAATATCAACAGTCACTTATTTCCATCATTATTTATTCAGATGCTTTTCAAAGTGCTTGAAGACATCTAAAAAACAATTCCGTGCTTCCTGGGTGAGATACTATTTATTTTTCTTTACAATCCAAGCATGACTTGGTAGTTTTAATATTACCTACCATATCAGAACCACTCAGAGCACAAACATATGATATCCTTGCCCTGTAGGTGCGAGGGAAATTACTAGCAATGAGCTAAAGTCTGCTCGTGTTATTGGTTAAACCACCCAATAATTGACTTATTTCTCACTAGTATTCCCCTGTCGAGTATTTTGGCTCCTGGTCTTCGAAATACATCCTACGGCCTTACCTTAGCATTGTATCAACCTAAAAGCGGGCGTCAGTGACAAAGACAAACCAAACGAAACTTATGAATTCTATTTATGACAAGCAAAAACATCTCACATGCTTAAAATTTCGTTGCTTTAAAAATTCCAGCATTAGCAAGGGAAAAATCAGAGTTTTAGTAGTTCAGTGTGAACAAAATTTTCACTACTTTCATCTGGATTTTTGTCCTATTTTGTAACGTAATACTATGGCACAGTTTACGTGTTCCATTGCCCTAATGATTATGGTAAAATGGGGTAATAGGAGATGATGAATGCAGATATTGACAGAAATCAGCGTGGTACCCAGTGTAAAACTTGCAATTTAGTAAGTTAAAACGTTTTCCGATCTGTTTTTATTTCTTTTGCAGTACATGTTCTTCTTTCAATTGCCTTACCTTCCAGAGTACTTCCTAGAGATGGACGACTTTAAAGTTTACGATGAGGTTTTTAAGGTAATGATAAATACATTTAACTAGGATTGTTAAAACTTTAATAGTGGAGATAATCAATAGTGACCAACACTTACTTGCTTTTTTTTGGTTATCGTCCTTGCTGTGAGGGTTTTTTTCTGGCCTCTCGCGGTTTTCTTCTCTGCATAAAGACCAACGTGCGAAATTCCTCCTGGAAAACAGTGGATGAAGAGCCAATCAATAAAATATAGAAGTGGATAAGAGATAGAAAAGTATTTTTTACAACTTTATTTTGGATGCCTATCGAACTTACGATTGGTTCATTTGTACCACGTGGCACAAGATACTCTTCATTGATTGGCTATCCTTTAGTACCCCCGTATAGTACTATCAAAAATTCTCAATTAAGGAATTTCCCATAATGGATATAAAACACGCGTCACCAAACCCAAAATCCAAGTTTATCAAACTAATTCTTATCCCTGGGTGTTTCTTTATGTGAAGTTTCGCAAACCACAACCGTCATCTATTTTTTTAGTCTACGGTGCCCAAGGCAACGTAGACTACATGTTGTCGTGCCCTTAGGTCCGTCCGTGAACATTCCCATCATTCGTAACGGCCTTACACATGCAAACGTTGTTACAGTAACGCGTACGGGGAAGTGGCTGAAACAAATTTTCGAGTTGTTGCTATGTTCCGAAATTCACTTCATCCATCACTCAATCACTCCTTTCCACTTCATCTTTCCAATCCTGTCAGCCTTTTTGGTAAGTCCGTTAGCTTATAGGGCTTTCGTATGTTCAGTTCGAATTCCTGCGTGGGGCTGAGCTGATCGCTAGAAATTGGTCAAAATTTGAACAGTCTGCCGAGAGATAGTGTGTATTTAACCTAAAGCTAAGATTTGAGACTAAAATATTCTACTGATGGATGAAAACTCGATTGAAATTAAGGTAATTAAGGCATAAGGTCTCAACCAAGGCTTAAACAAATCGTGCGCATACGTCAGAGCGCTGACGAAGAGATAACGCTCGAAGCGTTAGCTTTAAAACTCTCTACGGTGGCCAATTTACGTTATCAACTCGTTGTTAATACTAAATTACCCTGTTTAAATGTAATTTGAGACTGACAATTTTTTTCGGTAAGTGGATCAAATTTATCAAGATACAAAGTAAATTCAGTGGCTTGGGTATTTCATCCCTCATAATTTATTTTGATAATTTTTTTATTTTTGTGGACCCACAGCCACTTTGACTTATACATTTGTTCACATCGTTTGCATGTGGGTGCTTTTCTCTCAGAAGAACCAAATTTCATTAGAGGAGTGGTAGTTTTGATTTTAGTTGCAGAATCGTTAACTTTTATCACAATATTCAATGACTTATTTACTGAGCGCTATGCCTAGCTCGGGCAGTTTTTTTTTCCGGCCGGTTTTAAGTAGCAGTTTTCGACGAATTGGTAACATGTCATGGCTGAACCACTGGTTTCATGAGTCACGATACCTTCGATTGCTTTCAGCTATATCACCTTAGCTCTGCAAAATGAATCCTTTATGGGTGTGCCCTGTACTTAAGGGACCTTTTTCAACTAGAAGCGTCGCTTTAAGTTTGAAAAAAGTCCACTTATAGAGAAATGAGCCTTGTAAGAGGATGTCTGAGCTTCGAAAGAGGATATTTTTGACCCAGTATGAAAGCAAAGAGAACCTTAGAATCGTGCACCCATTGGGTGTCCATTTTTTATATTGCTCATCAGAATGTCAAAAACTTCACTGAAGAAGATGTAGAAGCTTACAAGTATGCTTTGTGTCAGTCTGGGTGTACTGGTCCCTTGAACTACTACAGGGCTGCGTTTTCTTACCAAGATTTACCTCCTGGGTACTGGCGCACCAAGATCAAGGCTCCAACCCTTGTGGTTTGGGTGAGTGATAAAAATCCAACCTGTCAGTTAATAATTGCTTGCGATCACTTGCGAAGATTCAACTAATAGCCTTACATTTTTAACATATTTTTGGGCGTGTTTTCTGATCTTCAGTGGAAAAATGTCTTTTTGCTCACATCTTTTGCAATAATTTAGAATTGTCTTCCATTGTTTCCAAATGCAAAACAACAGGAAATATACCAATACAATGGATTATATGATTCACATGAGTTGCATGTTCGTAACTAGGAGACTTAAGCGGTGAATTTCCCATTGAAACATCCTGAAAAATAACTAAGCGGATAAACACATAAATTTATGAGTAAATGAAAAATTAAGGTTAAGAGGACCGAACCCGTAGCCTGGACTCATTCAAGGACGTTAATGACATTACGTCCTCAGCCAGTTTGTTTCACATATTTGCAGAAGTGTATCTGAAGGAACGAAGACCATAAGTGGTTCTGTTAACGTATGGAGTAACAAGTTTCCTTGATCCTCGTAGGTTGCGTCCAGTATTTCTCATTTGAAAAAGACCACGTATGTACTTCGGCATCGTTTCAAACGGGATTGCCTTAAAAACTGTTTTAATCATGTCTTGGCACCTGATACTATACAGATCACTAGAATTAAATTTGCTCAGTAGCTCCTGGTAGTGCAGAGACTTCTCTTCCAGAACAATCCTGAGCGCCCTTTTGTTAACATTCTCTAATTTGTGTCTATTCGAAGCCCCGCAAAAGTGCCAACTGCTGAGCAATATCTAAAATATGAGACAATAAAGGCCTTACAAAGTTTACATTTCACATCTGTCAGTGCTATTTTTCTAAAGCGAATCACAGACTAGTTCTCAGATGTGATTCTTCACCACATAACTGACACTGTGATTTAACCGTAATAGTAAAATTTTTCGTTGTCCATCGTAGATAGCTGACAGTACCGTGGACTGATTAAACTTTTCCATATTGTTAATGTTGTGACATCAGCTGGACATAAAAATGATCGCCATAATTATCTTTGCATTACAGGGAAAAGAAGACATGGCTCTGTTGATGGAAACGTTGACAGGAACCGATAATTTTGTGGAAGACTTGACGATCAAGTAAGTCTTTGGATGAGGGTCTGGATAGGGTTGTATCTCTGATGGTTGTTGGTTAAAAATTAGCCGTTTTAGTGGTAGAGACTTCATTTTTCGGCCATTTGACGGTTGACGCCGATTAAGTTTCCGCATGTTGATTTATCATGAAAAATTAAGACGGAAATAAGGTTGTCATTCATCGCAAAAGGATGCGATTCCGCGAGTACTAAAATAAATCATTTAAAAAAAGATTTATAAGGTGTAAGAAACGTTAGTGTTAATGCTATGGCCGTCCAAAACATGGCCTCAGTGCTGGCTGTTTTCTGTACGCATACGCCATTGAAGTTGTTGATGAGGAATATCTGAGAGATAGTATAATTGTCCCGGTGATTAGTGGGTATTGTTAAATTATCCCCTCGACTTCGTCTCGGGGATTATTCAGCAATGTTCATTTCGTCTTCGGCGAATAATTCTAAAACATAAACTGAACGTCATATTGCTGTGAAAAAAAATTGCAGGAGAGAAAACTTAGGCTAGATGGAAATTTTTCATTAATAATGGGCTTCCATTCATCAGAATATGTTAAGTTATACCACTTACGTATGTATTGAGTGGGAGTTTTAAAATTTGTCATATAAACACCAGTGAAATAAAAAATGAGGTTTCGCGCGAAAACATGATATCTTCACACGCAAAGATGACCTGTTATCTTCACACGTAGAAAGATCGCAGTTGCTATGGTTACATATAATTCTTTAACATTATTTTATCTCTGCGCGGCCATGCTATATCCTGTAGGTATATTTGTACTTAACGAAATAAAAATGAAGAAAGATAAAAAATTGTTTAGTAAGAAAAACGCAGCTCAAGCTTAAGAATTCCTCTCAATTTTAACAGATACGTTGACGGAGCAACTCACTGGGTCCAAGTCGATGGATGCGAGGACGTGAACAAACACATTCGTGAGTTTCTCAATGTCCATCCACAGGAATCTTTACAGAAACCAGATTAGAACGAGACAAGGACTGCTCAGTGCGCCTTTCAGTTGATTTCTCTGCTACTGAAGAAAACGAGTGTCTGCCAAAATTTTCAAGGACATAAAAGTCTGCTCTTGGTTTTAGAGAGGAGAGTAGAACGAGAGGATTTGGTAATTCCCATTACCATCATCATCAAGATTCTCAAGATTGACATTAAATTAGACAACATTTTCCTTTTAGTTAATGATTGTTCTCTAGTTTTTGTTCGTTGTGTTTGAGGCTGATAGTTTTCAATAGTGTGAAATGGATTTGTCTCGTATGTGTCATTTTCAATGCTCCATAAAATTAAAGTAAAGGAACATGTAATCAAAGATTGGTGAGGATTCTTATTTACTCATCATTCAGAGATCTGAATTATATCGTCTTGTGACAAATTTATCCGGTGAACCCTTATATATTTTACTAGTTCGTGTCGACGCAAACAGCATGTAAAGCTAGAAATGTGTATATACATTTAAACCCTGATGTCTTTTTGGCCTGCTACGTGCACTGTTCTCATTGGAGGTTTGGTCAATCTATGAATTACTGACGCTGAATTACTTGCCACTGCAGTGGACAGATATCGTAGAGTTTAAGGATAGAAATTCCGAACTGGCCTGAATTTTTATTTCAGGCCTTATTTTCACCACTGCTTTCGTAGTCTTCATCACTGGGAAGATCGCTTTCATATTCATTCTGAACCCGCAGTTTACATATATGATTTTAATACTATTCACAGACGTTTATTCATCTCTTAACGGGTTTCTCACGAACCAACATAATGACCAGCTCCCAGTTGGCTTGTTAGCTCAGTTGATAGAGCACTGCATTGGTATCGCCGAGGTCATGGGTTCAAATCCCGTACAAGCCTGAATTTTTTTCAGACCTTATTTTCACTACTGCTTAGTAATGTTCATTACCGCGAAGATCGCTTTCATATATATTCATCTCTTAATCCGCAGTTTACGCATATGATTTTCATATCCACAGTCCTTTATACTTCGTTGGCAGTTTCCTCAGACTACTTCATGAAAAGTCTGCCCGTTGGTAGAATCGGAAATCGAACGAGTGAGCGCGGTGAACGAGTGAGATTTCTGATACAAACCGACGAGTGCGTAAATACCATACGGACAGACTTTCCATGGTTTATTATGTACAGAGATTCAATTCTTGCTTAATGACAATTCATTTTTCGACAGACTCAAGTCAGTCTCATAAATCGATCATAAAAGGTGTAAACCATATAAATTGCCTTTCCAATAGGAACGGTGCAAAACTACCGACAGTAAATGATTGATATCGATATAAAACTTCCCTCCCTCAATCTATTTACAAAAATGACGCTATCGACATTGTTGATCCTAGCAGTATGCAGGACGCGTGTCAAATGAACTTCATAATAGACCTCGTTCACCGTTGAGTCTCTGCGGCTCAGTGGTAGAGCATAGGAGAGCGGAATCCGAAGGTCTGAGGTTCGATTCCTCATTGGGACTTTTTCCTTTGTCTTACGCTCGCGACAAGACGAAAAAATATCTTTCTCTATTTCTTTACCGAGCTTAAAACTTACCATCTCTCTAATTTTTTTTAATATCAATATACTTCTCAATTCTTGAAACAAGGCAGCTTAAGGTTGAGGGTTCATAATCTGTCTTTTCGTTTAACGGAGCAGATGAACTCAAGATACATCATTGAGGTCCTCTTTCTTTCCGTCACGAAAATTATTTGAACGGTTTTGAATCTCACACCTTTCTTTTGCTTCTACACCAGTTCCTTTTGTACCAGCGGATTAATTACAGTAGATGATTTCAAGCCACTGAGAAATAAAATGCCATGCAGCTTAAGTTCTGTCGAAAAGCTTTACTTAAAGGAGAATGAAACAACAAACAAAACGTTCGAGCACTGTAAAAGGCAATTCAACAGTTGCCTAAAAAGATCACCATTAGAAACGAAAGATGAAAAATAAGATAATTATGGTTTAAAAAATCGGAATGCTATCCAAAACTAAATCAAAAGTTCCAAGGAAGGAAATATTCTGCTCCCTAGCTAGTAAGAAAGGGGTTACCTCTGAAGGAATTGTGGTACTGCGTTGTTGGGGATGATAACAAGATAATCTGATTTTCTCAACTGAGCTGATAATGTAATCAGCCACCATTAGAGCGAAAGACGGAGGGCTAACGTTCGAAACGTCAGCTCTTTACGGAGACCAATTTACATTATGAACTCAGATGATAGAACCAATTATCTAGTTCGAGAATTGTTCTTTGTTTGTCAACTCCACAAGTACACATACAAAAAAGACCTTTCCTGAGCCAAAAAATCCATTTCGTTCAAAATATTGAAAGTTGTTTGGATTACGGAATTTGAAATTAATAAGTTAAGTTGATTTTATCAACCGAACTGATGGTATGAATTGGCCACCGTGAAGTGTTTAGCTCTAAGGCTCCAAACGTCAGCTTTAGAATCTCTTTAAGGTGGCCACATTATCTTATAGTGATCTCCAGTCAGTTCGTTTAGAAACCTGCGCCTCCTAGAAATAAAAAAGTTATGTTACAGGCTGTGTTGCTCCTTCATATCAGTACAAGTTTAAGATTTATCGAGGGCTTTAATTCCGGCTTAACTTTTTGGCTGATTAAGTTCATGTATTAGACAGTTATTACAGGAGTTCAGAAGTTTTCACCGCGATAAAGGACTATCTTCATTCCTACCAACGCTACTAGTTACCAGCATTTGCCTCCGTAAAACAGCCCGCGTTGGGCCCACAACGTAACTCGTCGTGCATGCTAAAAGTTGCATTCTGTTGGTACGCAGCGACTTGTGTAAACCGTCACGACTAAATTTATCCTTGCCTAAAGGGTTACCAAATTTGCTAAGCTATGGAACTACGCTGCGCGTTCTTCCCTACTAGCCCTCAAAAGGTAAATTGAAGACTGTCTTGAAATTTTAGGCCCCGTCTCTATAAGACTAAAAGAGAGCTTTGATTAGTACGATAAGAATGTTTTACCGTAACTAACCTAAATTCCAGTGAAAAACTGCCAAAAACATCAAAACTGTGTACTATGTTCGGGAACTTTCCGTATGCAGAGGCTAACAATCTTGTTGACTTCGTCCAAACTAAACCACACTTCAACAATAAATGATAGTTTGGACAAACTCTGATTCCTGAAGTGATCTTTGTGCTTGCGGCTCGGATTCTTGTTTTCACCCCATTCTTTGAGGCAGACGTGTATGGTCTTTGTCTTACACGCCAGTTGTTCACTCTCTACCAGGTGCGTTGATAGATCTTTTCTTCTTTATCGTTGCTTTTTTTTATTTTTTTATCGCGCCTGTTTAAATACTTAAATGTATTGAAAAAGAGAAAACTTTTTAACATCTAAAATGTGTCTTGTATTTCTAAGTATTCTTCGGGAGACGAATAGAGAAAATTTTGAAGAATAGTTATAGATCACAATGTTTTACGTAAAATTATCATTAAATTCATCAACCTGAACTTGCAAAAACATGAGACGGACCGCCTTAGCTTGGAAAAAAGGATAACGTACCAAAACCTTAGCACAAAACCTTTCAATAACAGGACATTGTTTTTTGCAGTCATTTGTCCTGTCTTGGTTCCACGCTCGTGACAAGACGTAAACATCTTTCTCTATTTCTTTACCTAGCTCAAAACTTACCATCTCTCTTATTTCTATCTACAAAAATTACGTTGTCGACATTGCTGATCCTAGCAGTATGCAGGCTGCGTTTCATATGAACTTTGTAATAGACCTCGCTCACCGTGGTGTCTCTGTGGCTCAGTGGTTAGAGCATCGGAGCGCGGAATCCGCAGGTCTGAGGTTCGATTCCTCATGCATGGGGACTTGGAATTTTTTCTTTGTCCCACGCTCGTGATAAGACGAAACATCTTTCTCTATTCAATGATCGTTATGTCTTCTTCATATTAAGCGCCTTTGAACCTTTGAAAATCATAGAACCGATGCCTATGTGAGCTTTTAATTACTGAAAGTTAAACCAGCATCAAATCCATGATATAGAGTCCGTGATCCGTATCAGCAGTCCACACAACCATTTGAAGATGCAGCACGTGACTTAATAATTTTTGCAATGTTGAAAAACCGTGGTGCTATGAAACATATTTTTTTTAATTCAAAACTGCTGGAAAATCAAGGAAATTCGAAGAGCGGTAAAGGAAACCTATTTTACTCTCGTTTCTTGACTCAAACATGGTACGCATACATGTATGTGAAACAAAAATAAATGCGTTAAACACATCGTACTCCATAGATCGTTGGAAAGTGTTCAATACGTCAACTCGAAATTTCAGATAACATGGAAGTAAATGTAACTGCCGCGACAATGGTTACCACGGTTACTTTGCTGGAGAATTATCGCATTAGGATCCCAAGCATCATTGAAAATGAGGAAAGAGATCTGGATAGTATTGTTTTGTTAAGCTGATAAAGATAAAGTACTTCACGGTCATTAGTAACGTACTACTTGAGACGCCTAAAATAGACCTTTGTATCACCATGATAAAAGCTCCTTGAATGGTCTACACTGAACAATACATGTAGAATTCTTCTTCTTATATTTTCTGAATCACGACATCTATATATTTATTGGAATAACATTTCGGTATTTTTCATCATCTGCTTTCATAGTATTTTGATATTTCCCTGGATTATAAACGATAATTCAGCAATCTATTAGAAATGTTTCTCAGTTTTCGTAGACTTTCTAAGAAAGTTTAGCGGCTTTGTTCATTAAGCCGGTCAACTCAAGTCGACTTCATTTCGGCAGAGTGGTCCTATTAGGTTTTAAGATGATTCGGTTTTTATCAACTGAGCTGATAAAGTGAATTGGCCACCGTAGAGAGTTTCTAAAGCTGACGTTGCGAGCGTTAGCCCTCTGTCAAAGTAAGGTCAACTAGCTTTTAGTAAATATCATTAGACGCCCTGTGTAATTTCAGCGTATTATGAATATATACTCAAAATTCAAAAAGTAGACATGAATTAGAAACTTTTCATCATGGCATGCCTCACCCTTCAAAAGTCACTACGAACAAAATATAACTGGTCAGTCTCTAGAAAAGAGGACTTATCGAGAACCAAAATTTTAACTTTTCTTTCTAAAATTTTAAATAGACCTTGTTAAGAGGAAAGTAGTTTTGATGCAAATACAACCTCTGGCTAGACCTTGATTAACTCTAGAGATATCGACAATTGGAAAATTAACAAAAGCTCTGTCCTTTTGTTATTAGTAAATGAAAAAGGAGGCGCCAATAGAACCAACCTCGTTCATTTATATATTCACACAAATATTTTTACGAGAGAAGTTGTTTCGATGCAAATGCGACCTCTGGCGAGAACTTGGTCAATTATGAGCGTTATTGTATAAAAAAAAGTGATCAATTGTTTCGTTAGATATTGACAATTGGCAAATTGACAAAAGCTTTGTCCTTCTTTATTGAAAATGGAGTGGAGGCTCGAGTAGAACCAATCTTTGTTCAGTTGTATATTCCCAAAACATGAAAATGCTATCTTAGGCATTACTTGAAATCAATGAGATAAACATATTGCTCTGTTTTCTAAACATCTGCAAGGAAAATTATTTGAGAAAATGGTTTAAAAGTTTTTTGCCGTTTTACAGCCAACGGTTAACCTCATTGAAATTCTCGACTGGTGCTCGTCCCAAATACAAAATTAGTATAGTCTAATTTCCCAGTTGTGGAAAAAAATTCGCTAGAATTTAAGGAAGATTCAGCAAACGCCTTATTTTTCTTAATCAGTATGATTATATGTAACTTTCATTATAGCACGTGACCATATAGAATAACACGAGTCAGATAAAAAATGCATACCCAAGGCCCTTAAGTAAACCACTAAAGTACATGATGACTAACTCTTATTGAGCCTAAAGAATATTATTGATGAATATAACCATGAACCTCAAATAACTCTATCCTAAATAAAGGTTTTTGTTGTTTTTTTTCTTTGTACCCCCACAATATTCTCGTCCATTTAATAACTATTTTCAAATGCAAATGCAACCTCTGACTAGACCTTGGTCAATTATGAGCATTATTGCATAAAAAAGTGATCAATTAATTCTAGACATATAGAAAATTAGCATTGGAAAATTAACAAAGCTTTGTCCTTATGTTATTAGTAAATGAAAAAGAGGTACGAGTAGAACCAACTTCGTTGAATTGTTTATTTACACGAAATGAGAATTCTATCTCAGATATTATTTGAAATCAATGAGATAAACACACGGCTCATTTTTCTAAACGTCTGAAAAGAAAATTATTTAAAAATTAATGCAGAAACACAAAATGTCGTCACTGAGACAAAGGTTGGCCCAAATTAAAAAAAAAAACAACCAAAAACAAAAACAAAAAACAAATGTAAATGAAAAGATTATTCTACATGTCAATTGAAATAACGTTCAATTTTGTAAATTGTTAAAGCTCAGAACTGTGCTTTGTGAAATAAGGACTATTATTTTTCGTTGTTTCGTCAGTTATTAGAATCTAACATTTTGGTTTTTAAAGACCTCTTGGTTACTAGGGTTGGGTATTACCTTACCTTTCAACGTTGAACTTTCTGCAGATAAAACGAAATAAATGATTTAACGGGACAACTAGAAAAACAAGAACAGTGATGAAAAACAACGAAGCGCGAAATACAAAGGCAATGAAATTAACATTATATTTTTCGTTTTGCTTTGGATGTTGTTCTGAGTAGGTAATTAAAAGGTATGACTTTACCACTTGAATGGATTAAAAGGCTCTTTCCAATTTATGAAGCATTGTTAGAATAACTGAAAGAATTCAAAGGATTTTCTGCTTAAAGGCTGTTTGATCTACGCATTAGGCACATTAGCTTCTACCTTTGAGAGCGACTAGGTCAGCTATCTGAGAGGGGAAGGTGAGTTTAACAGTAATTTTCACGAGCTTTACCTTTTAACATGTACTCTGACGACTTTCAATTCATCCAGGCTCACTACTTTTAAAAAGATATAGGACAATATTTCAAAACATTCTTGTAAAATAAGAAACTACACCTAAACAGGAATCTTTTGTACATTCATTTTCAGGGTGGGGAAAGGAAAAGGGTTGCACTGCACTGCACTTCTTATCCCCTCAGCCAAAGAAACAGAGCTAACGTAGAGTTTTTTAACATCCCATTTAGGACAGGATAATCTTATTATTTATACGAAAAGATCGAGAAAAATTATAGATGTGAATAATGAAGAAAATAGGATTCACCAACGATTTTGTTCTTCTAGAATAGAATCAGACATTACGAACTCTCAGAAGTTTCATGGACGAAGTTTACAATGAGTTTTTAAGACCGCGTTATTAGCAGGAGGATAATTTGCAGTTTAAAATTTAAACCATAATTTCGCTGATATTTTTTTTTTAATCTTACAAACAGACATTTTCTATGATGAACAGGTTACACCTAGGTATCAAACATCGACCATTTCCTAAAGGGGGTATTATTTTGAGTGCAAATTCTTTTGGAGAAGATATACAAAATTGCAGACCCGGGAGACATGACCCGAAAAAGATCGAAAAAGAGATGGCCAATTTCTGAAAAATTAAAAACAGTTAATTTTCGTAGGTCCTAAGCGTCACTTAGTTGTATAGACGCTGGAAAATAACTTCTGTAAGGTTAAGATATGGAACACCTGTTAAATAAAAGCCAGTCTTTATACCATCTAGTTTTTTTATTTAAGTTAATTTGTTCCGTGTCCATTTAGGTGCTTTTGTTCAAGACTGTTGCATTTCTCGGTTATCGAATGTGTTATCGTCGGGATTCAAATCGAAAAACTTAAATGAAATGGGCCAAGATATAGAGGAGTTCGCCCTCATCAAGGGAAAAATTGGGACAGAGCTGTTCCATTGCTTTTTTCTTGCTTTCACTTAGTTTAATTATGCATAAAAACAGCTGATGTAACCTCACTCCGATGTTTCTTTGTCTTGAAATACGCAACAGTTTTAAACTTTCAGCTCTCGAATTTTCAAATAAACTTTTGGAAAGCAGTAAAAGGCGGTGCGCGAGAAGATTCATCATATTAAGGAGCAAAATTGATATCATCGTGCAAACGTGTACAGTGTTGTTAACGTATAAGACAAAATATGAAGGTCAAAGTATCTTATAAATTAGCGTATTAATAGTTAAAAAGCAGTGATAACAACGAAGTAAAAGATTTACTCTGATGTTTCTACGGCCAAACGTTTAATTGCGATGTGCTCGCGTGCTTCAGCCAGTTCATGTTGTCATGTTAAAGTCTCCTCTTCTTGCTAATCCCGAAAAAAGTTGCGCTTGATTTTTCCTCGCTAACGTAAACGGGAAGGTGTTACTTAACTGCGTCAAAACTAGATATTTCCTGAGCTATTCAAAATCAGTTCTCTGTGTTTTTATTTTTTTGAATAATTAAACAGAGCAAAATTGCATGCATAGAAGAGTGCAAAACTTGGTGTCCATGGCTACGCACAGTTGTTATTCATTGAAAGGACAAACATTTTTGAAAGATATTTCTTACCTCATGATTCTGAATGTTTTATCAGACCCTACAATAAATACTTCAAGGAGTGTATTTTCTGGATAAAATCTTTCTTTTACTTTTTATCGAGAGAAATCTCCTTTTACGCTTAAGATTTCTGGAAAACAGAAAAAAATGCCAAAATAACAAAAATTACATTAGCGATTACCACATGAATAGAAATATACGCAGTCTTATCAGGCGATACGTGAATGAATGGCAGAATGAGAAGACGGACAACTGTACTACGAGACGCTGAGCTGGTAAAGTACGTTGAACTTCGAGAATAATAGAATGATAAAAAATAATTAGCAAATTTTCATCTTTTGAGTCCAGCTGCACAGGCGGTGCCTGGAATGGATAAATGTAGTCCGCATGTTTGCCTTATTACCTTGTACCTGGGTACTTACCATAAAAACTCCAAATTGATCAGCATTATATTTTTTGAAACGTGTAATCTGAATTTTATCACTCATTTTGATTAGTATGTGCATACTTTCGCGAGTATATTTCTACTTCTTGTAATCAAATCTTGTGATCAAATTCAGATTCCCGTCGAAAATAACACTGTCATGCTCTCTTGAAAGCTATTTTTTGCTTTTGGAGAAAATGTTTCCGGCTCTTTGTTGTTGCGTATTGGTAACAAGCTGCTGCGTATACATTTTGAATTTATCTACGAAATAAAGCGTTGCTTGCCACGCTTTGCGAGTACAAAACAAGCTTGCGTTGACGCTAAGATTTTAATAAAACGATAAGTAAAATTTTAAAAAAAATTCCTTAATGCGACTAAATAAAAAGTCTTGACGGTGTGGCTGTTCTGTCGAGCAGAATTTATATGCCGCCAAGAGTTCTTGCAACCTTGAAAAAAATGGATCGCACGAAATTTTTCTCTTTTATAAAATATATATTTGTTTGTTGTCTATTTGCAGAGTTGAATTTCATTAAACATGCAACATTTGTGGGTTCTCTTACCTATCGCATTGGGTGTATGTTTAGGTAAGAATATCTGGCTATTTTCATCTCTCCATCCTAGCTTCTATCTCTTACAGCAGGTTATGATTTTTGATGATGACCATAAACTTAATCTATTTTTCTTTTTCAGGCGTGGTATCTGTAACAGGAGGTTCGTTAATATTTTTATTTGATAATCTAGTTACCGATACTGATATTAATCTACATTGGCTAGTTTAAGGGTTGCTTATGGTTCAATGGAGATAATATTTAGAATATAGCATAATCCCTGATGATGGTATGGAGCGCTTTTGATTGATTTTCGTTAAAAAAAAAATCAAAGTAATCACAACGGCCAGGTAGTGATTCGTTTTAGTTTTGCATCTGATTGGTTGAGATTGGCCCGAGTTTTTTTTTTTATACCAATCGACAGAGCAAAGTGAAGCACTGAACAAAGCACACCGGGGTAGTTTCGATACTCAATTGAAAATTACTCCAATATCTGTGAATTTCGATTGTGGCCCAACTTTATTTTTCCCCGCAAGGTACAATGTAACAAGTGACAGTAAGTGTTTCTTCAACATTGTTTCCAGTTAAGATCCTAGAAGTACAATCATAGATCCATGGATGGGCATCCTATAGTCAAACAGCCTAAGCCTTAAAAGCCTCAATATTTAGTCACTAATAAGTTAAACACTCATTTTTATTCCTAAAATAAGATGATAGGTGCCGCAAACAGAATATGGATGTAGCGATTTTCGGTGACATATCAAGGAGTATGAGGAAGCAACACCGCAAACAGATGATCAGCTTTATTGAAGGGTTACTTGACAAAACTCTTGTTTCCGCCGACGGAAATCATGTTGCTCTTGGCACATTTGGAGATTCTGCTGATGTTGCTATCATGTTTAACGAAGAGGTATTCCAAGATACAAGCAATCTGAAGGAGGCTGCAAAAGCAATGTTCATGGTTAGGCCAAAGTTAGTTGGAACTCGTACAGATCTTGCTTTGGACCTGGCTAGCAAGAAAGTGTTTACAGCAGCTGGAGGGGACAGACCCGAAGCCAAGAACATCTTACTTGTCGTAACTGATGGAAAACCTTACATCAGAAAGAAAGACAAGAAACCATTTATTCCTTTTGAAACGTCAACGAAAGCGTTGGAGGTAATAAAGAGACGGATTTATACCGGGAAAAAAATACTCATTTTATAGAGTTCTCTTGGATGATATGGCCTTTCCGCTCAAATAAAAAAATAACAGTCTCGTAACTTCATATACTGTGAATTTATAAGAAGTCTTTTTCGGTCAAACGAGGTGTTTAAGTTTTTTTACCGTTCTGGTACGTTTGGTGGAGAAAAGAAAAAATGTGAATATTTTTAGGTTATCTTGTTTTTATTTCCACAATGAGATCTCACGTAAAGTATGTATCAAACTAACTGACTGTCTACTTAACTGTGAGACTGCATGTTTGTTTTGTATTAGGCTGAAGGTGTTCTCGTCGTCGTTGTTGGGGTTGGTCCAGCTGTGGAAAATGAAAAGGAGAAAATGGAAGAGGTTGCTGGTGAAAAAGGCATTGCTCTTTTGGTCCCGAGCTTTGACATACTAAGCGATCATTTAGACGAGGTCTTAGAACTTTATTGTGGTAAGTTCAGGTTGCAACACATTATATCACTAGTAACCGATAATTTCAATGTTGACGATAAGAGAGCATAATATGTAGATACCATATCGTAAGAACCGAACTTATGGCTTTATAAACATCAGTGGATTCTAATAAGTCCTAATTTCAAAGTGTTGGTCTTCAAGAATTCCTAGCTATTTGGCGTAAATGAATACTTATGGGGCTTCACCTCATAGGCGCTAAACCCTACATTATTGTGTTCACGGCCGCTTAAACTGTTAGATTTTAGCCCCCTCCAATAAAAAACAATTGACTTGACTTTGTTCAAAATAGAGTTATTAATGAAAGGAACGTTTAACTGCACCATCAATTAGATATACAACCCACGAATTCATCACTAATGGAGAACAAAACAACGAATTCAGGACTTCTTTCCTTTAAGAAGACCTAAGTCAGACTGAATTAGAATTTTTTGGAAAACAACAGTTTTATGCTGTATCTCAGGCGCAGGATCTTTTTTCTTTCATTTGTTTTGTTTATTTTTTCCAATATCACGATCACATTAATATTCACGGCTAAACGATTTTTATCCAAGAGACAGTTTCACTTCTATCAAATTTTCTTTCAATAATAATAAGAACCTGTACCAATCCCCTGCCAAGGTGTGCAGATGAGTGAACATTTTTTTTCTTTTTGGTGGTTTAGCAATTGACGGCAAGTACACCGAGTGGAAGGAGTCTGACTGCAGTGTGACGTGTGGAGGAGGAGTAATGACACTTACAAGAACCTGTACCAATCCTCCGCCGTCTAATGGTGGAAAGGACTGCAGTGAACTGGGACCGGCTGAAAAGACACTTGCATGCAACGAACAAGAATGCCGTAAGCTGATATAGCAATTAATTAATGTCTTTAAGCGATGGGTATACTTTCTTCAATGTACTTTGTGATAAGATCCATCTTCAATTACTTCATAATTTGCATAAGTTGCGGATTTGTAAGCAATACTTTTTACACGAGGCGTGATTGGGCGATTGTTTTTCCCTTGTGAATCATGATTTAATTTTATTTGAATTTATGAATAGTGATTAGAGATGATAAGATCTTTTCATGTCTGCTTGAACGAAATTTTTTAAGTTAAACGTCACCCGCGAATTAGAAGCTGAATCAAACGTGATTCGGGAACCATTTTGTTTTGCACGATAAATTTCCGGCCTTTATATTGTTATGAAAATTTACGTATTGTTCTCGAACGGCTCTGGTGAGCTTTTGACTCGGGATGGACTTAATACTCATCAAAAAAAGTTCTAAAAAGGACCACTAATAGTTCTTGAACAAATAAGATAAGACATTACGTCATTTTTTTGTCGCGTAAGACTGGTCGGCAAGAATAGAAAAAAGCAAAGTATTAATTCAACGTGAATATCTTGAATTTCGCGTGAACGTGACAGAGTTTTGAACATTACTTGTAATGTGTGAAAAGGCGAAATAGTATTTCGTGACTGAGTTTCTCAAAGGGGTATAGGGGTGGAGGGTCCCATATTGGTTGGACGAAAAAGGTACACAAACTCCTCGGTTTGAGTCGCTGTTTTAGTCTCGATTTCTGACTCCGAATCTATTGTTGAATCGCATTCAAATTTAATATCTTTTACTTTCTGCCCTTGCTCAATCATTTTCTGTTTCAGTTATCTTCTTCTCTTGCTTTCTGACGCTCGAGCTCTTTATCGTTTGCGAGTTCCCTCATTGCTCTTAGAACCCTATCTCTGTAGTCTAGTTTGGCCGCTTATCTCAAACTGGACAAGCGTTTTTTTCCTGAAGGACGTTTGTTGTGGCTAAGATGTAGGTATGATGTCCAGCCGGGATCCGTTCTTTTTAAAATTGAAAAACATTCTGTTTTAATGGTTTAGCAATTGATGGCAAATACACCGAATGGAAGGAGTCTGAGTGCAGTGCGACTTGATGACAACTACATTAAGTGGACTTAAGTGGAGCACTTACTTAAGGACAAAGAGATTTGATTCTAAAACCAAGTTATCAATTCCATGTTTATGGCAGGTTGTGCATAAGGGTGAAAAGTATTTCTTTTCTATGGTTTAGCAATTGATGGCGGATACACCGAATGGAAGGAGTCAGAGTGCAGTGCGACATGTGGAGGAGGAGTAATAACTAAAACAAGAACTTGTACCAATCCTGCTCCACAACACGGTGGAAAGGACTGCAGTGAACTGGGACCAGCTGAAATGACACTTTCCTGCAACGAGCAAGAATGCCGTAAGCTGATATAGAAATTTGTGTCTTTAAGCGACGATTATACTTTCTTTAATGTACATCACTAAATGATGTTTTAATGGTTTAGCAATTGATGGCGGATACACTGAATGGGAGGAGTCTGAGTGCAGTGCGACATGTGGAGGAGGAGTAATAACTAAAACAAGAACTTGCACCAATCCTGCTCCACAACACGGTGGAAAGGACTGTAGTGAACTGGGACCAGCTGAAATGACACTTTCCTGCAACGAGCAAGAATGCCGTAAGCTGATATAGAAATTTGTGTCTTTAAGCGACGATTATGCTTTCTTTAATGTACATCACTAAATGATGTTTTAATGGTTTAGCAATTGATGGCGGATACACTGAATGGGAGGAGTCTGAGTGCAGTGCGACATGTGGAGGAGGAGTAATAACTAAAACAAGAACTTGCACCAATCCTGCTCCACAACACGGTGGAAAGGACTGCAGTGAACTGGGACCAGCTGAAATAACACTTTCATGCAACGAAGAATCATGCGGTGAGCACAAACAATCATTTTTCAACCACATCCTTAAGCTCTTGAGAAGGCTAAGAGAAAGCGATAGCAAAGTACAACGAATAAAAGTGCTGAAATAAGATTTGCTGCCCTGGTTCTAGGCAATGTATGGTAACTGAAAATTCACGTTACAGGTCAATTAAAAACTTTTGAAGAGTTTTTTTTTCTTCACGGTTTAGCAATTGATGGCAACTACAGTGGACCTGTGAGCACTTAATTAAGGACAAATAGATTTGATTCTAAAACCAAGTTATCAATTCCATTTTTATGGCAGGTTGTGCATAAGGGTGAAAAGTATTTCTTTTTTATGATTTAGCAATTGATGGCGGATACACCGAATGGCAGGAGTCTGAGTGCAGTGCGACATGTGGAGGAGGAGTAATAACTAAAACAAGAACTTGTACCAATCCTGCTCCACAACACGGTGGAAAGGACTGCAGTGAACTGGGACCAGCTGAAATGACACTTTCCTGCAACGAACAACCTTGCCGTAAGTATCTGTAGTGTGAAGTTATCTGGATGTTTTGCAGCGATAGTTGTCATCAGTACTGCACTCTGTTTTGAGGAACCTGAAGCAGTAAGAGCATTTGTGTCTTTAGGCGACGATTATGCTTTCTTTAATGTACATCACTAAAGATGTTTTTATGGTTTAGCAATTGATGGCGGATACACCGAATGGGAGGAGTCTGAGTGCAGTGCGACATGTGGAGGAGGAGTAATAACTAAAACAAGAACTTGCACCAATCCTGCTCCACAACACGGTGGAAAGGACTGCAGTGAACTGGGACCAGCTGAAATGACACTTTCATGTAACGAACAACTTTGCCGTAAGTATCTGTAGTGTGAAGTTATCTGGATGTTTTGCAGCGATAGTTGTCATCAGTACTGCACTCTGTTTTGAGGAACCTGAAGCAGTAAGAGCATTGAAGAAAATTATTAACAAACTGGGACACAGACTGCGTTATATGATTGTTTACACAAGTGGATCGCGAGACTGACGATAAATATAAAATACATGGTTTTAACTTTTAAATTGATTGCTCGTTGCACCAGTCCTGCCTAGGCATGCATGTCCTAATTCTTGTTTTTTCTACCCTGGAAACTTCAAAGCTCATTTAAAAACATAAATTTTATGCTTTAATGAATGCTGTGAAAATTTAGTGAAATTGGAACCATGAAATGAATTTCTCAGTAATCTAGTTCCTTGTTGCCGAATATATATATTTTTAAACTTTTATTACTATATTAGCCATAACCCATTATTCTTAATTATTCAGGAGGTATTAAATGAACAACGTAATGTCCTTTCTTTCAAAATATAATGGGATATTTGTCTGAGAAATGCGAGTTATAGGGAAGGGATGATGTAGAAAGTCGGAAGCAATGTAAAAGGCTTTTTATTCTAAAAGTATCGCGAATTGTATGGAGAATACAGACAGACGAATCGGTACATTTTGCACTACCTTTAAACACTGTGTATAAAGATAAATCGTCTCTTCTCGACACGTAAGAAAATATAACTAGACAAAATTTTCTATTGAACGGAAATGGCCGGAGAATCTTCGCCGAAGCCATGAAATCCATAATCATATACTGGGCCGTTAGTACACGCGGTCATGCATCATGAACTCTTAAAAGGACTTATGACATTTACTCTGATGACCTATGTCCTAGCTCGAAATTATAAAGGGACACTGCGGAGGTTTGAAAACGATAGCCTTTAGATTTCAAATTCACCAAGCTATCTAATGAAACGGATTCCACAACACTTCTCACCTTTAGTCAAACTTCAATGCGTGAAAACATTTAGTTAAGATAAAGACGTAACACAGAAATATTGGAAAAGATCCCTTGATAAGCCTCTCATTTCAATGAAGAAATAAAAATATATCGATATCGAATAATGGGTAACTATCATTGTCAGTACCTTATAAGACTAGAAATAATGACTTGTAGCAATGTTCTGATGTTGCTCCATGACTCAGATATCACTGCTGGCATTTTACATCTTTCTTCAAGTTGTTTCACTTTTTCATCTCTACAGCTCCTCCGTGCACAGCTGGACTTGACGTTGTAATCGTTCTCGACAAATCCCAGAGTGTTAAATTAGGTAATCTGGCAAAGGTTATCACCTTCTTGGGTAAACTGGTTGAAAGCTTCCACCCTGCTCCTGACGCAGATCACTTCGGCCTTATTACCTTTAACAAAAAGGCACAACTGTCTTTCACACTTGGCAACTCACAATATCACGATAAGGACGCCCTATTACAGAAAATAGCCGAAGAACCAATGGTCCTACAGTATCAAACTCGCACCGATATGGCTCTCCTTATGGCGAGGGACGAGATGTTTACTGAGGCAGGAGGAGACAGACCAGACAAACCAAATATCATGATTGTACTCACAGATGGAAAGCCAACTAATCCAAACGAAGACTTTGACTTCAAGGCATTTTCTAAAGAGATATCGAAAGATTTCAAGGTGAGTATAAAATAGTTACATCGAGGCTTGATAGATGCGAACATAGGGTTAAGACAAATAAAAATGTAAACCTAATGAGTGGAATTTTTCAATTCTTTTGAACTGAAAGCCAGGACATTGACTTCAAAGCATTTCTGAAGAAATGAATAAAAATTTCAAGTTAGATATGAAGTAGTTAAAAAAAAGTTTTAACAGCGACAGCTGCTGTTTCAACGAGTCATTTCACTAAGAACTAGAGCCCTAGTTGGGTTCCCTGTGTTGTGTTCGTGGTAATTTGTTGAGATGAATTGGCATTTTATCCTGCCCGCTTTAGGTTGCAACAACCTGGAGAAGTTCTAGCAGTAATGGACCCTTAAAACTAACTTAATCCTTCTCCAATCAAAAGTGACTCATGTGTCAGAGATTCTCTTCTTACAGGAAAAGAAAGTCAACATTGTAGCAGTGGGTATCGGTCCGGGAGTGGAGGAAGCCACTTTGCACGATATCGCTGGCGCTGGTCCTGTGGTTCAGGTGGAGGCGTTCGATAAACTTGATGAAATGATGAAAAAAATCAAGGCATCAGCATGTTCGGGTAAGTTATCGTGCATATACTTCATTCACTCTCACTTTTGAATCCATCCGGCTTTCTCAGAGAGAAAAATGGATTCCCTTCAAGTACGTTATGGTCAAATTTATTATTATTTATATTACTATTACAGCTATTACCATCACTGCTATAATTATCACTATAACTGTTATTATTTTTGTCCTGATAACTCTGGTTATTAGCTCTACTATGCTTAAGAGAAACAAGAACAAAGAGACGTATTCTAAATACTCAAGAGAATAATTTCTATTTAGATTAAGTGTCGGCTGGAATGGTATAGTTTTGTACATATTTTTATTCATCTCATGGTATAGAGCAATTACGAATTAGAAACTCGTTTCTTTTTTAAATAACATTTCATCTTTTATCATGTTATATTTAACAAAGAAGACACTTTTCTTTTCATAAAATTCCATAATGTCAAACAGTTCTCTATTTTTTTAATAATGTAGTTCGTAAGTAGGATTGTAGGACTTTAACGTATGTTTTTAAAATTAAAAAAAATTATCAGTATTTATAATTATTTCCATACAGTGATGCTTACGGAGAAACTTTTCTCACATGCGATTGTCACAAAATCAAGCTTTTGTGTTCATTTTGATTTGTAGGATAAAGAGGCTGGTTTTTCAAGACATGCCGTATATTTGGAATAAAACAAATGGGGGTAGACTACGTATGAAGTAGCAAAAATTTACGGAAGTATTGTGTATGCATTACATACCGAAAATAAACTATTTTAAAGAAGGAACCGCTGTCTTTGCCCATTTGCAATAAAATGACCGCGGAGCATCCTTCTCTACTCGCTCTTTCCCAGTTCTTTCTCTCTTACGCTCACTTTCCATTCTCCGTTATCTTAAAGAAAGCCACTGGGGGAAAGAAATCGTCGTTTTTCTCATCTAAATTGATTTTTAGAATGAAATTCGTCAGCATAAATGGCAATGAAATATTCAGGGTGGAAAAAATTGAAACAGATAAGGCTGGTGACCGAAGATTGTAAATGATGTAATGTTTTAATACAACTATTTTAAATAGAATTGAACTATTTCAAATAGAATTGAAAGAGAACGGGAAAAAAATACGCTTATAATAAATGGAGATCTTCGTGTATGGAAATTGCATTGGGAAAAATGCTATGTCGATGAAAATCGTAGAAAAGATGTTCATCAGAATTGCTCTTGAGAATTAATGTGTTTCTAGTTGAGAACTAGAAGTCTACTTCCGATAAGTCTCAAACTCAAACTGTTGTTTACTCCAAATACGCGCCAATTGGAACTAAAATCGATTCCCCTGGATTTCCGCCCTCTCTTTCTGCAATTTGACTCCGGCTGCTAATTCGAAGCAGTTTTCTTTCCCAATAAGGACATTTTTCTAAGTCACCTTAACCTTGAAAATTCTAAACGTGCCCGTCAGTATGTGACAAGTGAAAACAAAAAGTACGGTTGTCAAAACATTGAATTTGTTTTGATGAAGCCATATATTCTTTGTTTTATTTTTTGGGGAATTACGGAAACCGCCATAGAGTCCACTGAGTCAAATCTGCCAGTCAAGTGTACCATCAACTAAAATGCATTGTATCTCAATAAAGCTTATCTACTGAAATTCTTTTTTAAAATGTTCCATTGTAACTGAATTGTTCATATTGATTACTACGTATGAATAAGAAATAGAGTGTGTGCATCTTTTATCCTTCTTTCTGACCATGTCTTCCCTGGAAGCCCTCCTCAGGTCTTTTATTCTGCTTTAACTCACTAATGCTTGCATCTTAATATTTTCTTAGTTTCAATGCCAATCTTGAACTTTGTTTTCAATTTCATTTTTGAAAAAGCAACCGAGAATGATAATAAAGAATTATGCGTTTCACAGACGTGAATTACTATCATTGTTCATGATATGACAAAATTTCAATAACACGAACTTCCCTCGAGTCGCAGCTGTTTTAATTACATTGTATCATCACCCTTATGATAGAGTTAGAGTTAACGGGAATCGACACCATACCTGGTTCGCACAACTCCTGTGTAAGGCAGTGTGAGTTCTGTACCTCTGCGAATACTTAACACCCTTGTAAAGACCATGACATGGATGCGTAACAGTAATTTCCCAAATCTTAATCTCTCTAAGGCTTTTCAACGAAAGAAGTATAAAGATTTAACAAAGCCTTAAAGCGGAACTAAAGTTAGTTTATTTTCCAACCCTTCAATTTATGAAACTCCTCAGCTCTGGCGGCTAAAGAGTTTATTCAATAAAGTTTACGATAGGTCATTAATCATGTAGAAGGGAACTGGAAACAAAATATTTTTAGCCGTAAAAAAGCGGGCTTTCCTTTCTTTTTTAACAATTTATGAATTCAGCAGAAAATTAAACTGTTGTGTTTTTCAAACGCGAAACGACTCCACTTCAAGAAAAGACGTGTAATATACAATGACTAAACTGTAACTGACAAGAAAATTACAACACACTATTTTCAACGAAAACGAATAGTAATAGATTCCTGATAGTTCTGGGTTACGTAACTCCTTTAAGATTTAAAACACAAAAATCGAGCTCTTTTAACAACAAAATGCCCTAGTAATGGCTGTTACCTTGGTAGTGGCTGTTACCTTGGTGATGGCTGTTATCTTGGTGATGGCTGTTATGTTGGTAATGGCTGTTACCTTAGTGATAGCTGTTATCTTGGTGATGGCTGTTATGTTTGTAATGGCTGTTATGTTGGTGATGGCTGTTATGTTGGTAATGGCTGTTATGTTGGTAATGGCTGTTATGTGATGGTTGGTAATGGCTATTATGTTGGTTATGGCTGTTATGTTGGTGATGGCTGTTATGTTGGTAATGGCTGTTATGTTGGTGATGGCTGTTATGTTGGTGATGGCTGTTTATGTTGGTAATGGCTGTTATGTTGGTGATGGCTGTTATGTTGGTGATGGCTGTTATGTTGGTAATGGCTGTTTATGTTGTTATGTTGGTAATGGCTGTTATGTTGGTGATGTTATGTTTTGTTGGTAATGGCTGTTATGTTGGTAATGGCTGTTATGTTGGTGATGGCTGTTATGTTGGTGATGGCTGTTATGTTGGTAATGGCTGTTATGTTGGTGATGGCTGTTATGTTGGTAATGGCTGTTATGTTGGTAATGGCTGTTATGTTGGTGATGGTTGCTCTCTTGGTGATGGCTGTTATGTTGGTAATGGCTGTTATGTTGGTTATGGCTGTTATGTTGGTGATGGCTGTTATGTTGGTAATGGCTGTTATGTTGGTAATGGCTGTTATGTTGGTGATGGTTGCTCTGTTGGTGATGGCTGTTATGTTGGTAATGGCTGTTATGTTGGTGATGGCTGTTATGTTGGTTGGTGATGGCTGTTATGTTGGTAATATGGCTGTTATGTTGGTGATGGCTGTTATGTTGGTGATGGCTGTTATGTTGGTGATGGCTGTTTGATGGCTCTTGTTGATGGCTGTTATGTTGGTAATGGCTGTTATGTTGGTGATGGCTGTTATGTTGGTAATGGCTGTTATGTTGGTAATGGCTGTTATGTTGGTTATGTTGATGGCTTTGTTATGTTGGTAATGGCTGTTATGTTTGGTAATGGCTGTTATGTTGGTGATGGCTGTTATGTTGGTGATGGCTGTTATGTTGGTGATGGCTGTTATGTTGGTAATGGCTGTTATGTTGGTGATGGCTGTTATGTTGGTGATGGCTGTTATGTTGGTGATGGCTGTTATGTTGGTGATGGCTGTTATGTTGGTGATGGCTGTTATGTTGGTGATGGCTGTTATGTTGGTGATGGCTGTTATGTTGGTGATGGCTGTTATGTTGGTGATGGCTGTTATGTTGGTGATGGCTGTTATGTTGGTGATGGCTGTTATGTTGGTGATGGCTGTTATGTTGGTAATGGCTGTTATGTTGGTGATGGCTGTTATGTTGGTGATGGCTGTTATGTTGGTAATGGCTGTTATGTTTGGATGGCTGTTATGTTGGGCTGTTATGGCTGTTATGTTGGTTGGTAATGGTAATGGCTGTTATGTTGGTGATGGCTGTTATGTTGGTAATGGCTGTTATGTTGGTAATGGCTGTTATGTTGGTGATGGCTGTTATGTTGGTGATGGCTGTTATGTTGGTAATGGCTGTTATGTTGGTGATGGCTGTTATGTTGGTAATGGCTGTTATGTTGGTAATGGCTGTTATGTTGGTAATGGCTGTTATGTTGGTAATGGCTGTTATGTTGGTAATGGCTGTTATGTTGGTAATGGCTGTTATGTTGGTGATGGCTGTTATGTTGGTAATGGCTGTTATGTTGGTAATGGCTGTTATGTTGGTAATGGCTGTTATGTTGGTGATGGCTGTTATGTTGGTGATGGCTGTTATGTTGGTGATGGCTGTTATGTTGGTGATGGCTGTTATGTTGGTAATGGCTGTTATGTTGGTAATGGCTGTTATGTTGGTAATGGCTGTTATGTTGGTAGTGGCTGTTATGTTGGTGATGGCTGCTCTCTTGGTGATGGCTGTTATGTTGGTAATGGCTGTTATGCTGGTAATGGCTGTGCTCTTAGTAATGGCTGTTCTCTTAGCAGTGGCTTTTCTCCTGGCAAATAGCTGTTACCTCGGTAATGGCTGTTATCACTGAGTGGATCCTAATTTCACAGCATCGGGCGGCTGAAAAGGAGGGAGAGAAAAGAGCAAGAATAGTCCGGGATACTTATCAGCTTTGATAACCTCTTGACGTCACAACATGGCGACCATTTAAGAAATCGAAGATGTTCGCTGTTTACTCGTTACTAATTGTTGTATGTACCAATAATTCTATTGGAAATTAGTGAATAGATACTGATCTTCGCTTTTACTCAAGATGGTGGTCATCGAGGAGTGATAGAGGCGACGTATCGGGCACAAAAGTATCAAGACAGTTGAAAACAGTTGAAATGACACTTTTGATCGAGGTATGTCTTCCAACTTTCCCTCAAAGTTTAGGTTAGTAAATGAATTTTTCCGAAGGTAAAAAATTATGGAGCTGTTCTTGAGCTAATTTCGATGCAGCTGTTAGTTATTGTGATGCAAACTACAGGAAAAAAGAGCATGGAGTGATCTTGATTTACGTCTAATTTAGTCACCAACCGCCATTTTGTGTTTTCGACGATAAACTTTTAATCTTTCTGTTTATCATTTGAACATTGTTGTCTAATTTACGATTTATTACCACTATGCCATACTAAGTTTTTAAAGAAACCTTTTTAAAACAACGATGGTTCCTTTCATTGTGCTGTTATTGTCCCGAAGAGAACCTTCTTAAACAAAACCAAACTAGTTCTTTGTTCAATGAACAAAGGGGGTAAGTTGCTAAAGAAACTGTGGTGCTGCTTCGGTGGTAGAGTATAACAGGGTATTATCAGCTAAGTTGATAACGTAAATTGGCCACCTTAAATAGATTAAAAGCTGACGTTTCGAATGTTAGCCCTTCGCCATCGTTCTGACGAGGGGCTGACGCTCGAAACGTCAGTTCTTTGTCAAACGAGAGCCCGCTGTCATCGAGTGTTGTGCTTCGTTTGAGGGTTGACCTTAGTTTTGCTTTTAGTCGCTTCATACTAAGGATAAGCTTCAGCTAGATGGGTAACTTGGCTCGAGTAAAGATTTAACTTTATCTTACCACAAGTCAGGAAATGGTCAGGAAAAAAAGTTTCTTCAAGGTTAGGGAAAAATCAGGGAATTTCACTCTAAGTCAGGAAAAATTTATTTATCAGAGAAGTTAGAGAAAATTGGATTATTCTTTTAACCAATACACTAGTAGGTTTTAATAGACATGAAATGTGTAAAAGGGTTTGCCATCTATTCATTAACCTGACAGAGTGGCGCGAAAGGCGAGTGACGTGTCAGCAGCTGTCGGTGATATCAGACACACGTGAAAAGTTATCGTATTTTTTCACGTGCGTTATTCAGGGCTGGAAATTCTTGTATAACACCACAGTTTCGTGTTAGTTATCGTGCTCAATACGATAACTCGCTATTGCAATGCACTCACAAGTGAGCTATTGAGTTGAACAGTCGAAGGGAAATTCCATATGTACACTCGCTTATGTATATTTTCTGTTTATCACACGACATGTTTCAACCATTACTTGAAATCAAAGAGAGAATCATACTGCTCTTTTTTCTAGACTTCCGGGAGGAAAATTATCTGAAAACTTTTGAAAAAATAGTAAAGGTTAATGCAAAATCATAAAATGTCGTGAATAAGACAAAGGGATGACCCATATTTAAAAGAAACAAGCTAAATATTAATTTATCAGTGTTTTTCATACGGTAAGTATTTTTTGCACAAAAATTGATCTACATTTCAGTTGAAATAACGTTTAATTTTAAAGGGTCGTTAAAGATTAGAAGTATGCTATGTGAAATAGGAATATTTTTATGTTTTTTAGTCGGTTGTTAGAATCTAATTTTTTGGTTTTTGAAAAGACCTCCTGGTTACTAGGGTCGGGTATTACCTTAACTTTTCAATGTCGAACTTTCTGCAAATAAAACGAAGTAAAACTATTTAACGGGACAAATAGAAAAACAAGAATAGTGATTAAAAACGAAGAAACGCACATTACAAAGGTAATGATATCAACATTGTTTTTTTCATTTTGATCACCTGCTTTGGACGTTGCTTTGAGTTGGTAATTAGCAGCTATGGATTAAAAGGCACTTACCAATTCACGAGGCTTTGTTTGAAAAGTTGAAATAATTCATAGGCTGTTCTACTAAAAGGCTGTTTAATCTACACACTAAGTACACGACGTTCCACTTTTCAGAGCGAGAGCATTACTGAAAAAGATTAGGTCGGCTATCTGAGAGAGAAAGGTGAGTTTAATAGTAACTTTCACAAGCTTAACCTTTTAACATGCACCCTTACGACTTTCACCTTATCCAGGTTCATTACATTTAAAAAGATAAAGGACAAATGTTTTTAAACCATTCTTGTGAAATGGGAAACTACCCTTAACTAAGAGATCTTCTGGACAGCCATTTTCAGGGGGGGGGAAAAGGAAAAGGGTTGCATTGAACTTATTATCCCATCAGCGAAGGAAACAGAGCTAACGTAACGTTTTTTAACATTCCATTTAGGACAGGATAATCCTAGTATTTATACGGAAAGATTGAAAATCGTAAATGTTATTAATGCAGAAAATAAGATTCAGTTAAAATTCTTGGAACCAAATGTTCATTAACAGTTTTTATTAGCCTAGAATGGAGTCAGATATTACGACTCTCGGAAGTTTCATGGACAAACGTTACAACGAGTTTTTAAGACTGCGTTATAAGCCAGAGGATAATTTTAATTTGAAAATCTAAGCCATAATGTCGCTGATATTTTTACTTGAATCCTTCAAACAAGCATTTTCTGGGATGAACAGGTTACACCTAGGTATCAAAAATTGACCATTTTCTAAGAGGCGAATTATTTTGAGTGCAAATTCTTTTGAAGAAGATAAACAAAATTGCAGACCTGGGCAGCATAACCCGAAAAAATCGAAAAGAGAGAACCAATTTAATTGTCTTAAAGTGCGTAACGGTTTTTAACCTTTCCGCTCTCGAATTTTGAAAGGTGGTGTGCGGGAAGTTCCATCTAATTTGATAACAACAAAATTTTTGTCATCGTCCAAACGTGTACCTTTTTTTTAGTGTACCAGACACAATTTGAATGTTCCCAAGGTGAACTGAGTTTTAAAAAGTAATGATTATAGTGAAGTGAAAGATTCTCTCTCATGTTATTACGGCCAAACGTTTGATTCCGATGTGCCCACGTGCTTCAGCCAGTTGAGGATGCCATGTTAGAGTGTCTTTTTCCTTGCTAATCACAAAAAAAGAAAAATTTTCTGACTAAACTTGATATTCTTAGAGTGAAAAAATAAAGCAAAAACACTGTGAAACACTGTGTAGACAATGTGTTCACAGTTAAACTCTTTCAGGCTTGATTTTTCCTTGTTCATACAAACGAGAGGAAAGTAATAAGCGAATTCCTAAGCTATTCAAAATCAGACATCTTTGCCCGATAGAATCAGTTCCTAGTTGGTTTTCTGAATAATTAAACAGAGCAAAATTACTTGCATAAAAGAGAGCTATACACAGTTTTTATTCATAGAATTGACAAAAATGTTTTGAAAGGTATTTCATACCTCATGTTCTGAACTTTTTGCTCTTATAATTCGTGAAAAATAGAAAAAATGCTAAAATACCAAACATTTATTATTATAATTACTCTGGCGACCACATTAATAGATTATACGTGGTCTTTTTGAATGGCTCAATGAGAAGGCGAATAGTTGTCCTTGACTACAGGAAGCTGAGCTGGTGAAGTATGTGGAACTAGGAGAAATATAGATGAGGAATAACTGGCAAATTTTCACCCTTTTTTGAACAGTTACGAAGGCGGAGTCTGGAATGGATTTATGAAACCCACATTTTTGCCCGATTACCTTGTACCCGCGTACTTACCATTACTGAAAATCTCTGTATCGTAAATTAAATAAGCATTTTTGAAGCCTTATGTTTTCTTCACGCTCTTCATGAAAGAGTTTTGTCGTCTAAATTTGATTGCTGATTAGTATGCACATTCCTCCACGACTATATTTCTGCTTCTTTTAATCAATTTTTATAACTCAAAAACTACATTGAGGGTTAATGATTCATGCCAAATATAAATTCATGCCAAGTCACGTTCATTGGTCAAAGTAAGATTCCCGTCGAAAATTAGGAGACAAAGAAACTGTGTTGTACTCTCATTAAAATTATACTTTTCTATTGGAGAAGATGTTTTCAGCTCTTTGTTGTTGGGTATTGGAAACAAGCTGCATAGTCCTGATGTGAAACAACTGACCCCGCTACGTATACCATTTTGAATTCATCTCCAAAATTAAACATTGCTGGGTATACTTTGCGGGTAAAAAACACGCTGGCGCTGACGCTGATAAAATTAAATAATATCTTAACAATTGTTCAAGATATGCAACAAATAAAAAGTCCTGACGATGCAGCTGTTCTGTAGAGTAACACGTACGAAACGCCAAGAGTACTTGCAACCTTTTTGACGAAACTGAACTGTAGAAATTTTTCCTCTCTATAAACTATATATCTGTTGGTTTTCTTTTTGCAGATCTTAATTTCATTAAAAATGCAACATCTATGGATTCTCGTACCTATCGCATTGGGTGTATGTTTAGGTAAGAATATCTGGCTTTTTTGATCCCTCCTTCCTATATTCGATCTCCTACAGCGGTTTGTGATTTTAAGTTTAGAGAATGACCATTAACATAATCTGTTTTTCTTTTTCAGGCGTGGTATCTGTAACAGCAGGTTCGTTAATTGTTTTATTTTATAATCTAGTTACCGATGAATAAGGTACAGTACTAATATTAATCTAAATTGGGAAAATATGGGAAAAAAACGCATGACTCACTCGACTTTGTTAGTTTGAGGGTCGCTTAAGGTGCGCTGGCGATAATCTTAAGAAAATAGAATAGTCCCTATTGATGATATGGGGACTACTACGCTTTTTGATTAATTCTCGTAAAAACTGACCAAAACTATAGTAATTAGAGCGGCCAATCAGAAGAAAGGAATATACCTTTAAGACACAATAAGAGCACAAAATTCACCAGCTGAATTGCCTGAGGCGCGGGAAAACGTGAGCGACCAGACCGTAATTGGTTTCAGTTTTACATCTGATTGGTTGAGAGAGTGGTGCGGTTTTGTGGGACGATTGTATGGGCGAGGTAAAGCAAAAACAAAGCAATCCCGGACTGTTTGCTCTAAGAACTGTGATTTGATTATGGACATCCTAAAGTCAAACAGCCTAAGCGGTGCAAAATTGCTAATCTCAAGCCTTAAAAGCCTCAATATTTACTCGCTGATGAGTTTAAACACTGATTTCTATTCTTAAAATTAGATAACCAGTGCCACCAACAGAATATGGATGTAGCGATTTTTGGTGACATATCAAAGAGTATGAAGAAGCAACAACGAAGAAAGCTGGTGAACTTTATTGAAGAGTTACTTGACTCAACTCTCGTTTCTGCTGATGGAAATCATGTTGCTCTTGGCACGTTTGCAAAAACTGCTGATATTCATAACAAGCTTAATAATGAAGAATACTACGATGCAGGCAAATTGAGGAAGGCTGTAAAAGAAATCTTCATGGTTAGGCCAAAGAAATTTGGAACTCGTACAGATCTTGCTTTGGACCTGGCTGCCAGAGAAGTGTTTACAGCAGCTGGAGGGGACAGACCCAAAGCCAAGAACGTCTTAATTATAGTAACTGATGGAAAACCTCATATCCCAAAGAGAGACAAGAAAACGTTCATTCCTTTTGAAACATCAACGAAGGCGCGGGAGGTAAGTTATGAGATTTTATATCGGAAAGCAAATACCAATTTGTAGATGACATGACTTTTTCACTAAAGTTAATCATGTAAATTCCGCGACTTTATTATTCTTGGTCAAACCAGGTCCTGAAGTTAGTTAGCCTTCTAGTACATTTGGTAGAGAGGTGAAGAATTAATTTAAAAAAAAAAATTTTTTAAGGTTATCTTGCACTCATTTTCACGATAAGACCTTAAGTAACCTACATATCAAACTAACTAACTGCCCAACTAACTCTGAGCCTGTCTGTTTTGTATTAGGCCAAAGATGTTTTCGTTGCCGTTGTTGGGGTTGGCAAAATTGTGGCAAGGCAAGAGAATAAAATGGCAGAGATTGCTGGTGAAAAAGGCAGAGTTCTTTTGTTCCCGAGCTATAAAAAACTAAGCGAAAATTTAGACGAAGTGTTAGAAGTTTACTGTGGTAAGCTCAACTTTTAACATATCACGGTTAAGCTGAAAATAAGAAAGCATAACAAGTACATACGGTATCATTGGAAAGGACCTATGGCTTTATAAACATCGGTCGATTTCAATAGGTTCCAATTCAAAAATCCAGGTCTTTACAAATTCCTTTTTATTGAGCTGCAACGATTATTTCGTAATCCTTGTATAACACCGTAGTTTATATGATAAAATGATTTTGTTGACTTTGATTCTAAGACTAATTTACTGATTTCATGGTTACAACAAGTTGTGCAGAGGAGTGAACATTTTTTCGTTTTGGTGGTTTAGCAATTGACGGCAAGTACACCGAATGGAAGGAGTCTGAGTGCAGTGTGACGTGTGGAGGAGGAGTAATGACACTTACAAGAACCTGTACCAATCCTCCGCCGTCTAAGGGTGGAAAGGACTGCAGTGAACTGGGACCGGCTGAAAAGACACTTGCATGCAACGAACAAGAATGCCGTAAGCTGATATAGCAATTTATGTCTTTAAGGAATATGCGTACCTTCTTCAATGTACATCATGATAAGATCCATCTTCGATTATTTCATAATTTACATAACCTGCGGATTTGTGGGCACTTAATTAAGCAAGTCCCCTATACTTTTTACTCGAAGCATGATTGGGCGATTTTTATTCGTGAACCGTGATGAGAGATAAAAAGATCTTTTCATGTCTGTTTGAACGCATTAATGACCCGTGAATTAGAAGCTGAATTAAACGTGATTCGGGAACAATTTTGTTCTGCATGATAAATTTCCGGCTATGATATGGTTATGAAAATTTACGTATTGTTCTAGAACATTGTTCTTTTTTCTGTAACAGCAAGAAAAAGCTTTCCCATAATATACGATAAGATTATTTTTGCTGTAATTGATTCTAAAGCCAAGTTCATGGCAGGTTGTGCATAAGGGTGAAAAGTATTTCTTTTTTATGGTTTAGCAATTGATGGCAAATACACCGAATGGCAGGAGTCAGAATGCACTGAAACATGCGGAGGAGGAGTAAAAACATTTGCAAGAACCTGTACCAATCCTCCGCCGTCTAATGGTGGAAAGGACTGCAGTAAACTGGGACCTTCTGAGAAAACAGAATCATGCAACACACAGGAATACCGTGAGTATTTGTAAGAGCAATTGTCGGAGTAATTGTCTGTACATTTACTTTTCTTTTAATTGAGTATCACCGAGTGTTGTTCTAATCCTGGCTGTAATCCCCTCTATAGCGATCTTTAACCTCGCTTTATGTTGCTTTAGATAGATTTCATGATTTAGATTTCATTATTTATCATTTACTTCGTCACGATAAAGATGCCTTACAAACAAAAAATAGCCGAAGAACCAATGGTCCTACAGCATCAAACTCGCACCGATATGGCTCTCCTTATGGCGAGGGACGAGATGTTTACTGAGGCAGGAGGAGACAGACCAGACAAACCAAATGTCATGATTGTACTCACAGATGGAAAGCCAACTAATCCAGACAAAGACTTTGACTTCAAGGCATTTTCTAAAGAGATATCGAAAGATTTCAAGGTGAGTATAAAATAGTTACGTCGAAGCTTGATTGATGAGAACATAGGGTTAAGACAAATAAAAATGTGAACCTAATGAGTGGAATTTTTCAATTCTTTTGAACTAAAAGCTAGAACATTGACTTCAAAACATTTTCTGAAGAAATAAATAAAAATTTCAAGGTGGGTGTGAAGTAGTTAAAAAAAAAAAGTTTGATCAATGACAGCTGATGTTTCAACGAGTCATTCCACTGAGAACTAGAGCCCTAGTTGGGTCCCTTGTGTTGTGTTCGTTGTCATTTGTTGAGATGAATTAGCATTGCATCCTGCTCACCTTATGATGCAGAATAAGTTCTAGCAGTAATGGACCCTTAAAACTAACTTAATCCTTCTCCAATCAAAAGTGACTCATGTGTCAGAGATTCTCTTCTTACAGGAAAAGAAAGTCAACATTGTAGCAGTGGGCATCGTTCCAGGAGTGGAAGAAGCCACTTTGCACGATATCGCTGGCACAGGTCCTGTGGTTCAGGTGGAGGCGTTCGATAAGCTTGATGAAATGATGAAAAAAATCAAGGGATCGGCTTGTTCGGGTAAGTTATCATTGCAAAAACCTCAGTCGCTCTTACTTTTGAATCCACCTGGCCTTCTCAGAGAGAAAAATGGATCCCGTTTAAGTACTTTATGGTTATATTTACCATCATTACTGTTAGTATTACTGCTATCAAAATTATTGTTGTTACTTTTGTTTTTATCATTAAAACTCTGGTTGTTAGCCTTTATAAGCTCTAATCTACTTACATTGATGCTTACGGAAAAAATTTTCTCACATACGAGCGTCACAAAAAAAAACAACAATTCGTGTCATTTTCTAGGATAAAGGGGCTGGTTTTTCAAGTTCTCTATACTTTTAGCAATGTAGTTTGTAGGCAGGGTTGTAGGACTTTAATGCAGTGTTTTTTAAAATTAAAAAAAATCAATATTTATAATTATTGTCATACAGTGATGCTTACGGGGAAACTTTTCTCATGTGCGAGTGTCACAAAATTAAGCTTTTGTCTTCATTTTGCAGAATAAAGAGGTTGGTTTTTCAAGACATGCCGTATCTTTGGATCAAAACAAATAGGGTAGACTATGAATGTAGCAGCAACAATTTACGGAATTATTGTGTTGGCCTACCATACTGAAAATAAACTATCTTAAAGGGGGAACCTCTGTCTTTGCCCATTTCTTAAAGAAAGCCCCTGGTGGAGAGAAATCGTCCTTTCATCATCCAAACTGATTCGTAGAAATAAAAATTTGTCGGCATAAATGGAGATGAAGTATTTTGTGTGGAAAAAAAATTGAAACAGATATCAGTTATTTTAAATGTGGACTTTTTGAGCGTCGCCATGTTGAATCTCCTAACTCTCCAAGGTACGTTACAACGATCTCCGTGTTATCCCCTGTGGACCACTGTGGACAAAATGCCATTGTTTAATGATAATAGCGGCAACCGAATGACGTAATTTAATCCAAAATGGCGCCTGCTGAGAAAGTCAGACATCGATATTGCTTTTATTTGTTTCCAGTTTCAAATATCTGGTTCCTGGATCCCATGTTTTCGCCAAAATCATTGAAATGACATTTCCATCTATTTAATGCCAACTCATTCTACCAGTGGAGGTTTCCTTTTTGATCCTGTCTCTTACAATTTAAACTCAATACTTCATCTTCTTGCCCACTTGCTCATCCACGCCCGCGCGCGGTATAAGGAATTCTTCTCGAGCTTGCAAACTGCACTGGACAAGTAGCCTAGCCTACATAGCTTTTCATCCGCTCTTATCGGTCGTTAGGCGTTTACCAGTTGGTAATGGACGCTCGATTATGAGGTCACAAACAAATTTTCTCCGCTTTATGGATTTCTAAATTTTCTTAGTACTGGTGCTAAGTAAAGTCTTTAAACTATTAAGATATTCACGATTCTAAATTAAATTTCATTTTGGATTTTGCGACAAAAACAATCACCGTTCATGAAAACAATCCATGATGATACCATTTAAAATTAATAAGTCTAATCTAACCCTATTTGAATGCTAAAAAATCCAAAATCTTATTGACCTGCAGCTGGTTTGGAAAAACCTCAATGTCTTTTTCCTGCTACCATTATTCTACATATTTAAAACCAGTGACAATACCAAATCTCTTTCCAAATTTCATCTATTTTTGGCATCTTTATTTATCTTTATTTCATCTTCCTAGCATTTTAAGCATTTTAAGTATCAAAGCAAAGCAATTCCAAAAGCAAGCTTTGATTAACCTGAAATCTGAGAAGAATAATTTCTACACTAGTAATCTGACACATTGTAGGCAAACCCTATAACTGACTAACCTTATCTGATGAGAGAATGAAAGGCTACGAAGGAAATAAGTTAGCACAATTCAATTTTGTCTTCTAGCATTCTGTGATCTTTTTCCTAACAAATGGTAAAGTTTATAATAACGGTAAAGTTTATATTTAGCGACCACTTTTCTCCTGAATCGATCTACATCTGTTGATTCTTGCTCTTTTTATATTTCAAGCTTATTTTCACACAAACCCTGTTAAAATGATTCTTCCGGTTGACATAGTTTTAACCATGACTATTTTTGCTTTGCAAGTTAACTAGAAATTGTATTGTTTTCGAATAAAAACTAACTGGTATGATCTTCTGCCCAAGGCGTGGGCTGGTTATTCTCTGCTTGCTGGCTTCACATTTATTAGCCCAAGTGAAGACCGTGTAATGCCGAAGCATGCGCCCGTGGTACGCTGTACCAAGCCCTGGCATTCGATTATGCGTAATGGCTAGATTTTTGCTGCCCGCAATGCAGTTTTTTGTGCATGCTTTAATAGAGCAACTTGTACGCACGGACGGAGAGGCGTGCGATAGCGCAGCACTGCGTGATCTTTTCCTCGAAACCCAACAATCACAACTTTTAAATCCTAGCCATTCACAGCTAGGCACGATGCTTCATAAGGTGACACCTATCCAGTTGACCTTCAAGGCATCGCTTGATAAAGACTAGCTGAATGCTACATCAAGTTTGTCAATCGTCGTGAAACGCTCTCAGTTTCAATAGCGCTCTTTTTTTTTTTTTACAGTGACACGACGAGATAGCATTATGTAGGTGATTAGAACTTTTGAGGATTTCCTTGAAACTTTGCAGGTGAGTTAACCTTGATCAGGTTCTCTTCTGGATACTTTTTTTTGATAATTTTGTTTTATCAACTGAGTTGATAATACGAATTGACCACTGTAAAGAGTTACTAAAGCTGGCGTTTTGAGCAGAGCTGATGGAAGAATTGTACATGGGTTTTGTTTGGTTTATATACAAAAAAATGGAGTTACGCTATTGGTGGGAACATGGCAACGTGAAAAAAGAGAGCCGATTTGAAGGACACTTGAAGGCCGCAGACTATCATATGTTGCTAAGAACGATTTGGGAGATTAAAAGTGTCTAGCAATTGGTTTGAATTCCTTTCTACGCCACGAATGTGTTCTCGGAATCGGTCGCCTCGTCGTCTTCCTTTTTCGCCGATGTATAACTTTTTGTAACACGTTGTACAAGTTGTGCAGTGGATGACGTTGGCTGTATTACGCCATTCTGAAACAACTGACTTTTGTTATCGCAACAGTAAAAGAATCATGTTACGAATTAAGTAAATAAAAAGTGCTTAGTTTTCCGTTACATATACCCAATTTAGTGTGTTTTTCAGTGGATCTGGTAGTCTAAAGTTGCTGACGAATTCATTACCTATATTTGTCGGAGCTAGGTTATGAGCTGGGAGCATGGTTACAAGCTTAAAACATGGCTTCGTTCAGCTAGTTAGAAGGCATGAAATTAAATAACCGTACACCAGTTTTTACCAAAAGCATAAATAAAGTTCTCTTAAGTAAAATGATAAACATCATGAACAAAGTACTTTTACTGGGATGAATTTTATTTATCCATCTGTGAGTATCATCAATATCATCTGCAGATAAAGAATGTCTTGAAAGTAAAACTACAATAGCCCTGCACCATTATACCCCTCTTGATGGGCGTCATGTTCTGCTTGTCAAACGTCTTTAGCCTGAAAAGTTAGTAAAAACAGCTCTGTTTAATTCACTCAAGGAAAGCTAGAACCGAAAAAATCCACAGAAGCAATTGTATTTTATGCAGTGATTCCGGCTGATAACAATGATATATGAATTCTATTCCAGACCTAATCGTTTGCCCTTGCTCAACGTGCACAGTCAGGCATAAGAATGTGCTATATTCTATGTATTACATCACGTCAAAATACTCACGACATACAAATGTTATGAAAAATGGCCTGTGCTAAGCGTTAAGTAATTAAAACGGAGCGAAATGATAAATGGTATGATAGAAGCGGCAGAGTCAAAAAAGGGAGGAAGGTCTGGGTCGGTTCAGCTAACCCGGAACGGTTCGGGTAACCCAGAAATGAAAGAAAAAATTGACATTATCCAGTACTAAGCCCGCGAAATAAGCCGCGGAGTTTAAAAAGGAGGGATGTCTGGGTCGGTTCGGGTAACCCGGAAATGAAAGAAAAGATTTAGTTCATCCAGTTCTAAGCCCGCGAAAGAAGCGGCTTAATTAAAAAAGGAAGGGAGGTTTGGGTCGGTTCGGGACGGTTCGGGTAACCCGGACAAGTAAGAAGAAATTTGCTTTATCCAGTACTAAGCTCGCGAAAGAAGCAGCAGAGTTAAAAAGGGAGGGATTTCTGGATCGGTTCGGGTAACCCCTGAAATGAAAGAAAAAAATTTAGTTTATCCAGTACTAAGCCCGCGATAGAAGCAGCGAATTGAAAAATGGAAAAATGCTTGAGTCGGGTTACACGAACCCTCAAAAAGCTCCTCAACGTGATTAAAATGGGCATCAGTTTGTCGTGGGATTTTGCCGACAAATGATTCAATTTAGGCGTCTAAATACTCACCGGAACAAGCCAATCCTTTGATTGTGTCCAACATTTCGTCCAGCATACTGAAGTCTTCTACTTGCACCACTGGGTTACCTTCACCCGCAATTTCCCGTAAGGTTCCCTCCTTCACACCTGAACCAATCCCGACAGCAACAACACTGACGTCTTTCGCCTAAAACGAAGACCAAAATATGAAGTTTATCATCAGCTATTGTTACAACTCCAGTTGATTGAAAACCGCGCTTTGTGATTCCGAGAAATCGGTGTTTTATTCTTTGGTGAAATGTATGTGGCTTATTTGAGCTGTTTCCGCGTCCGAAGTCAAATTTCTCAGCATATTTGAAGTTAATTTTCGAAAGAAAAACCGCAGTGGTGTAGGGATTCAAGTCGTTAATCAAAGCCTGACATAACTCGTTTGTCAAAACTAAAGCAATCAATGTTACCTTCGGTACTTGATTTCTCTACGTCCTAATTAGTTAAGTGAAAGAGCGAAGCAAAGGGGAGCACTTCAATTGTGTGTACTCAACAAAGTATTGCAAGTTTGTATATGAAGTATATTCATTCGTCTCACAATAAAACCTCTTCTGTTGTAGATCGCGACGTTACGATTTCATGCTAGTTTTCTTTAAGCGATAATGTCGACTGGGCACGCCTCGCCATATGAACTGTTCTGCTAAGCTTTGATTGTCTGGCATTATTCAACTGTGTTGGGCTTCTTGAAGAACTGGTCTCGCAGCGGCCTTATGTCGCAAAGCTTTCCTGTAGTTGTGTTCTTTAATCGTCGCCAGCCATGCTTGTGGGATTTGGACTACGCTGTCCCTATTGGTGTTGTTAGGGTGAACTCTTTTATGAAGAGTCTCTTTTAACCATGGTTGTGTAATAATGACGATAACGATCAATATGCTTTACTTCGTCCAAGAGCAGGCAGAGTCCGATGTGGGCGTTCTCTGTCACGGGGGAGGTTTATGTCCAAGGGAGTCCGATACCCCTGTTATGCTTCTTGATCCTCTCTCATTGAGGTCCAAGTGCCGATTTAAACTTTGCTAGACTCAGAGAGAATCCTAAAAACCACGCTATCTTGTTTAGATGAGTCAACCACATCCAACAGCCGTTTTATGCATGATCGTAACGTAGTCTCCGAATTGAAAACGGCGCGTATTCCTTATAGATGTAGGCAGAGGGGAAGTTGTTCAGAAAGACCTGTGACATCTGACAAATCTGCCGTAGATTTGAACTCGATGGAGGCTAAACAAGAAGGCGTTGTTTACAGGATTCTTCAGTATCACTTGAAGAGAACTCACAGTTCACAGTCAGTTACAGTTGAAACGAAACGCTGCAATCCCTGCTGGAAGTGACTACGTCGTGAGATGAATGACTATACTTTACATACAAGAGAATTCACCACTATGAATAACCGCATCCTAAGTTTAAAAATCTGTCTTCACTGACTCTGACGAAACCTTCTGAAAACAGTGTTCACACCCTAACGCTCCATTTCAGTTAAAGTTCTCGATGGAATTCAAATCAGTGTAGCCGGTGATGGTAGATATTACGCAGATTGACATATTCTACGTTTTATATGAAACAACCTGTTAACGTATCACAAAAAAAGAGAAAAATACTTCCTTATTTATTACAGGTTTTTCGCGAAATAAATCAATGTTGCTCTTTTTCAGTTGTGATTTCAATGCTTTGTCGTACCTCTCGTACTCCTCTTATTATCAATGTCTTAACTTTCAGTTCAAATGGATTGAAAAATTAAACTCAATAAGTTCAAGTTCCCATTGTTTTACCCTTCCGTTCTTATCAATCAAGCCTCAACCTAGCTTATTTACACTCGCCTTGAAATCCTTCGATATCTCTTTAGCAAATGCCTTGAAATCAAAGCTTTTTTGGATGAGTTGGTTTTCCATCTGTGAGTACAATCATGACATTTGGTTTGTCTGGTCTGTCTCCTCCTGCTTTGGTAAACAACTCGTCGTCCGCCATTTTCAGAGCCAGATCTGTTCGAGTCTTTAAATCCAGTTTAATTGGTTCCTCTGCTATTTTCTTCAAGAGCGCATCCTTCTCGTAAAATTGTGAGTCAGAAAACTTAAACACCATTTGGGCCTTTTTGTTAAACGTGATAAAACCGAAGTGATCTACGTCAGGTGCAGGGTTGAAGTTTTTAACGAGGTTACCCTAAGAACTCGATGACTTTTTTAAGATTGGGTATCTTTACACTCTTGGATTTGTCAAGAACAATTCCAACGTCAAGTCCCGCTGTGCATGGGGGAGCTGTGAGAGATATTGAGGAATTTGTGATCAAAGCATCATAAAGCATTTTCAACATTCTAGAATCATACCGGTCAGATCAGTTTGAATAGCTTTATTTCAATTTATACGACGGGTCCTCTGACGGATAACTTTTACCCGGATGGGCCCACGAATTACTTATCTTTTTAGTTGATTTTGTGCTAGTCTCTCATCCGCTCGAAGAATCACTCTTTCATGGACTCGTGGATTGCTTATGTAGACTTTGCGTACGATACATACCTAATAGAAACTTTAACTGTATTGCCAGAATGCGAATTAATTAATCGACCAAATTCGCTTGATATGACACCGCGAAAACTGTTATGTTTTCTGCAGGTTACTTAGCGTTTACAGCAAACGTTTATCTTGAAAGTATGTGAGTGATTGTAGTTCAGTGAAAAGAATAAAAAATGACAAAAAAAGTACACTGCGTTCTAAAAGAAACTTTCCAAAACTTGAATTATTTTCTGGAGTAGTTTTCATCTCGACATAAAAAATGTTTCAAGTGCATTCAAAGCTATTCTTAACCACGTAAATGATAGTCTTTACATCGACTAATGCTCTCAAAAAGATTAGGACCAACAAATATTATTTCCATAATACTTACGGCATTTTTGTTCGTTACATGGAGCTGTCTTTTTAGCTGGTCCCAGTTCACTACAGTCCTTTCCATCGCTAGATGGCGGAGGATTGGTGCAGGTTCGTGTAAATGTCTTCACTCCTCCTCCACAAGTCTTACTGCACTCAGACTCAGATCATTCAGTGCATCCTCCGTTGATAGCTTCGAAAGAAAAAATGTCCCGTCGTAGAATTTGTTTCTTGGTGGTCCATGTAAGTGTGTGCTTTTTTTCCAAAGGAAAAGCTAAGCATATCCTCAGCGGTCTCAAAGAATTGTTTTAATATCCACATACAATGGATGTTTCCCTATGTTCTACCTAAGCTGGTCTTAAAATCACACTTCCAGGCGTTGCAACGACTAATTTTTCTCAAGAAAATAGTTTTAAAAATACTTACGGCACTTTTGTTCGTTACATGGAACTGTCTTTTCAGTTGGTCCTAGTTCACTGCAGTCCTTTCCACCGTTAGATGGCAGGGGATTGGTGCAGGTTCTTGTAAGTGTCTTCACTCCTCCTCCACACGTCACACTGCACTTTGACTCAGACCATTCTGTGTATCCCCCGTTAACAGCTGTATAGTGGGAAAAGAAAGATCAACCTTTAGTAAATGAGAATGGTCACTTTTCAGAACACAGTAACACATGAATCCTAGCTTCAGCCTGCATGATGAGTACATCTTATAAAATAAGGAAGAACATAAAATTGTTACTTAAAACTTACAGCATTTTTGTTCGTTACACGGAACAGTCTTTTCTGGTGGCCCAAGCAAACTGCAGTCCTTTCCACCGTTAGATGGCGGGGGATTGGTGCAGGTTCTTGTAAGTGTCTTCACTCCTCCTCCACACGTCACACTGCACTTTGACTCAGACCAATCTGTGTATCCCCCGTCCACAGCTTTGATGAAGAAATATGATCCGAATCGAATGAATAAATAAATTGAACATTATCGGAATTAATGCCTTCGTGAGGATTTTTTTATCAAACATCGATCAAAATTCTAGACACCTAATAGATGGGATGGAGACCAATGGAACTTACTGCATGTAGCTTTTAAGTGGCTTTCCACACTATTGCTTGAGGAAAAAAAAAGTGGCGTAGGAACTTCGCAGACGAATCTACAATTTAGGTAATTCCATATAGGAGTACACTATACGTCTTAAGAGAAGGCTAGGTAGAACGTTAGCTGTTTCTGAGGGTATTCTTAATCTCTAGGTTAACTGGTGACGACCAACAGACGAAAAACAGTTACAAAGATACTTACGGCCTTTTTTTTCGTTACATGGAGCTGTCTTTTCAGCTGGTCCAAGTTCACGGCAGTCCTTTCCACCGTTAGATGGCAGGGGATTGGTGCAGGTTCTTGTAAGTGTCTTCACTCCTCCTCCGCACGTCACGCTGCGTTTCGACTCAGACCAATCAGTGTATCCTCCGTCGACAGCTTAGAGGGAGAAAATGATCCTTATCTGAAATTGTTTCTCCGGGTCCATATAAGCATTCCTTTCGATAAAAAGCGTAGAAAATCTCCACGCTCTTAATAACTTTTTTTAATCTCAACTTACAGTGGATATTTCTAAAACTTCAACCTATGCTAGTCTTAGAATCCAATTACTAATTCTCTCCGAAGATGAAGAAAAGCAGGTAATGCTAATCTTAAAATCACATTTCCAGGCGTTGCAATAACTAATTTTTCTCAAGAAAATGGTTTTAAAAGTACTTACGGCATTTTTGTTAGTTACATGGTGCTGTCGTTTCAGCTGGTCCAAGTTCACTGCAGTCCTTTCCACCACTAGATGGCGGAGGATTGGTACAGGTTCTTGTAAGTGTCTTCACTCCTCCTCCACACGTCACACTGCACTCAGACTCAGACCAATCAGTGTATTCTCCGTTAACAGCTTTGAGGGAGATATATTAGCCGTATCAGATGAATAAACAAATCCAATAGTCTCGGAACAAATTTCCAATACTTACATGTGGATTTTACAAAGCATCTGTCAAAATACTTTTGAACTAGCACATAAGGAGGAAGCAAAAGGAGCTTACCGCATGTAGCTTTTAGGAGATCGTCGACACTATTGATAAGTGCGTCGAAATTTCCGTAAACCAAAACTGTTCCCTTCTTGCCGGCTATCTTTTTCATATCTTCCTTGCTTTTGTACGGCTCCTTGCTAACTCCGATTACAACTATTTTCACGTTTTTTTTCTGAATAGGAAGAGGTTAAAAATCCATTTTAATTCATAAATTGAATTCAATACATCATATAATATATTTTAAAGCAATTGAATCCAATGGTTTTTAATCTCAGTGTGCTTGAATTAGTTTTCATTTGAAACGCAAGGGTTTTTTGTGCTTTCACCACCACGCAGGCATCCCCAGGTAAACGAAAATTTGAAGAGCTCCTTCCTCTTAAGGGTTGGACTTGGCACATTTTAACAGCCCCTCTGCCCTCAAAGTATTGTTACCACGTAACTCTCCTTCTTTGAATTTCACATGGTCAGACTGGAACAATCGTATTCAATAGTCATAGAGATTCTGCTTTTCGTGGTATTTTCAGTGCCAACAAACAGGAACAAAAATGATTGACACCCATTTTTATTTTTTTGGCTGCCAAGAGAAGGTTGCCATTCGACAGTATGATTCATCGCACGAGAGTTATTTTCCCTACTGGTAAATTGGACGTTTATTAATTGTTTGTGGAGAAAATTGTTTGTGGAGAAAATTGTGACTATCCATGGGGAATCGCGCTTAGTCACTTACCTCAAAATGGGTAATATCGTTAAGGAATTTTTTAAACGTGCTCTGAAACTATTTTATAAACGTTAGAGTCGTTGATAACCACCCGTTAAAACGCTTAGCTTATCCGTGAACAAAGCTCGATAAAAGTTGACTCAGCCGTTCAATGAAATGAGTATCCGTTAGGCGGGTAACGATCCGTTAAGAAAATTTGATCTTGCTTTAGCGGGCTGCGTAATGCATTTGTTATTCATTGTAAGGGAGAGAGTATTCCCTATCACGCACATTAAGTGAATCAGTACACACTGTGACGATGTTGTTATTAAACAGATAAACGTCTGGGTGAACTGTTGCTCATTTCATTTATTTGTTCCGTCTTGAAGTATAACGGCCTGAAAAAGAAACGCCCCACGGCCACATAGAAGTTACATTTTGGCAATTTTAAAATCACCTCGAAAAGAGTGAATATAAGAAGGCAGAGGGAAACATGCAGGGCTATCATTTATTATCAAAGCTCCAATCATTAGATTATACAATTCAAGAGTTTTCATTGGCTTAGCCATCATGGGTCATGAGCCATTTTGCCATGCACGCATATGAAGACGAGTTTAATCGGAAGTGTTTTTGTACCTTGTCACATTTCGTTAGTCCTTAAAAAATAAATTTGGGATGATTTATTTATGTTTTGGGGCGTTTTAAATAAGACAATTATTCCACTCGCGGTTATTGAATGTGAGATAATTTCAGCCAACTCGGACCTACGGGCCTCATCTCATATTCAACAGGCGCCCGTGGAAAGTTTATCTAAATGATATTTCATGCTGAAATTGGCAAGGCAGTGGGTAACAATCCTCGGCCATCCGGGGATACCATTTATTACCAGAGGATTAACACTTATCTAAATGAAACATCTCACTGAAATTGTTCGTTTGAGGGCTTCACCTGTGTACTGCCTTTGCATGATTCAATCCAAGGAAGACAAAGGGTAATTTATCCAGGTGAAAATTTAACTAAATACTCGAAGCTGTCTTTGTCTCCAAATCCAAAGTCGGTGTCTTACAGATTTACCGTATCAAAGTTGAAAAAAGGTTTAGCTGTGTTACCCCCAAAGCTTTCGTGGTTTCCCAAAAAGGAACCATCTTTCTGTCATCCCATTTGCCAATCCATGGCTTTCCGTCAGTGAAGTTGAGCATGAGGTTCTGAGCATCAGGCCTATCCCCTCCGTCTGGGGTGAACAGTCTGTTAAGGGCTACTCTCAGGACAAGATCAGTGCGCGTACCTGCTTTACCGGGAACAACTTTGAATTCCTGGTTAACTTTTTCCTTTAAGTTTTTGGCATTGTAGTATCTGCTTTCTTTAAAGTATGTCTTAATTGAGGCGTACGATCTAAAAGTGGCAATTGCAAAATGATTTCCTTCGGCAGAGACGCCCTTCTTGTCCACCAACGACTTAACCAGGTCGACCAACTTATTACGGTGGCTGTTCTCCATGCTCTTCGATATGTCACCAACAACGGCGATGTCCATTATCTGGTCAAGACATTCATCTATTTATGGATAAAAATGAGAGAAATTTGTGTTTTGACTCCTGCAACGAATGCAAGATTGTGATGGATAAATAAATTTTGACAATTCCTCACTCTAAGGCAAACCAGGCAAACCTGTCGCAACTGCAACTGGCCTGAAAACAACTAAGTACGTTAAATAAGCTGTCTATGACCTTCTCTGCAAACCCATACTTTACTTTCAAGTGTTTTGTATCGGCCTGTTGATTCAAGGTTTTTTTTTTTTTTTTTTTGAAAATTATTTTCCAGTTCATGGCCAATTTCATCTTGTGCAGTCATCTCCTGGAATACTCATTGAATGCTTTTATTCAGGATCGCATCGATTGGCGCCACCTTACCAGTGTGTAACGAGGTAGGAAAATGAATGTCTGAAGAATTTGATGAGAAATTCTCTACTCGCTTTTACATATGGACAGTTCGGTTCAGCTCATCGCCCAGTTTGCGATCAAAACGATATTATTTTATTTTTTATTCTCCTGGTAGCAGTGAAACTTTCTCTTAAGACTTGATAGATGGATTGTAGAAAAGGTTTAATATAAAAGAGTAACATTAATATTGCGAAGTGAAATGCTTAAATCTGCACTAAAAGTTAAAACAAAAGAAAATTTAAAATTAAAAATTCTTCGTGACAATTCAATTAGACATGAGTTTAAGCCACAGATCATCAAGCTGAGATTCTAAAATCCCCCTTTTTCTCATGTTATGGAAAATTAGGCACTTCTGACTAATTATTGTATATATTTTTTCAATGGAAAGATTATGAAAGGAAAAGAAAGTTTACATTACGAACAACAAGAGCGAACCGCACTAAATATGAACGTACCTTCTGTCTTAAAAACGCCAACTCTGTTTTCTCTTTATCTTCGAAACAAGAGCCTTGGATTCGATCTTGTAATGATTGTCTCAACGTAGCTAAGCGCTTTTAAAACGCTTATGGATAATTGGAAGGCTCAAGCAAATAATCAAGAATGACCTTAATTTGTTCTTGGTATTCAACTTGGTGAATTCGCTGGTAATGAGTAATGGTTATCGTCTGTCTGAAGTGTTATCGCCTGTCTAGACCTTTTTTCCAAAAGGAAACTAATAGTATGCAGTCAAACCGTCGTGAACCGTGTCGCATGTAACTAAACTGTGATGCAAGCGACCGCAGCTCGCATGTAATCTATATATATGGGGAAGGGAAAACTTTTTTCTTTTTCATTAGCCGCTCGTTATATATCTGTGCTTATGCCTGCTTATGTGCTAATTTAGAGCTAATTCAGTAAATTTGTAAAGTGAAGAAAAAGTTTTTGATGTTCTCTGAATATTGCTCGTATTCTTGCAGACCAACCGATGAGGATAATCGTGATTTTCAGCCATTTGAGAATTATTTATATATACCCTGTAACAGCTGTGGGCATTTCCAGGAGTTAACTTATACAAGTTCTATTTGTCTATAAGATGAAATGCATGTGCAGCACCGCAAGTTAAATTTGATTAGCCTTGAACAGTGCACTTATTGTTTCTTGTTGTCCTACGGTAGCACCACGTATCCATACCAAGTAACTTTAAAAATGAAAAACGTTCGCTGATCCACGGGATCATTAGGGATGCCTGATGGTGCTGTTAATCGGCGAAAGATTGGAAACACGTTTTCGTACAGTATTTACGACCCCACCTCAAACCGATACATAGTGATGTGCACACTGAACAAATAAGTATTTACTGGCCTGGTAAAGTTAGATTCATCAAAGGCTTTTTAAAGTGAGCTCGGGGATAACAACGTGAAGAAAGCTCTTTTAAAAATCCTTTACAATAGCCTACGTTTTATTCCTTTAGGAAGGCTAAAAAATTTGCCTTATGTTCTAAAAGGCTAATATTGTTTGATGGTTAATTATTACCATTATTTTCGGTTTTATTGCATCATTTCGGCGATGGTATCATAAAAATTCCCTATCATTAGTAGACGATACAGAGCATTTTCAAAAATGCATAAGGTTACCGTAGCAACATTTCTGGCCTCTTGAAAAATTCCCATATTCAGCTATATGTGCCTTCGGCTCTGAACCGATTTCAACTTTTATCGCAAGTCTATTCAGCTGCTAAGATTAATTTCTCTGAAAGATTGAAAATATTAATCGTCCAGGTTTAGAGCCACCCCGGTCACCGGCGAAATGCACTACACATTTTCTTGTTTATTTGAAGAAAGATTAATTTCTATTTTGAATTCAATGTTAAAAAACTAGGGTCACTAAAAAAAAAAAAAAAAAAAAAAAAAAAACAGTAAAGCTTTATATGGGCCACTTTACGCAAGAAATTTTAACAACATGTCTTAATTTTTCAGATCGCAAAGGAAAACTGATTGTCTTTAGATCATAACAATACAAGTGCTGTTAATCAAGAGAATTTCAAAATGCAAAGTAAAATTTCAATTATCTTTTGTTACTGCTCCTGTTCATACATCCTTAGTCAGATAAGGTACTGTTAATTTTGTGTTCTACTTTCTACTTTCGAACGACACTTTTCCCCTAAGTGAAAGCTTAGTAATAAGTCATTAAATCAAAAAACGTTATTTGATAATCTATATGAATAGCCAGGCTTAAAGTGGGAGCTTACTGCGCATTCTCTAGTGGGACTCTGATAACTTTGTTGAAGAGTTTTCTCTCTCCCTCCGCATAGCTCATCTAAAATATAGTGGATCAATGAATTTCCACTTGAAAGAAAAAAAGGGCTTTTCAAAGGACGAAGCGTTGTTGCGATGAATAAGTTTGCCGATTGATTGTTTTTATCGATGCGAATGTTTGTTAGCAGGCATTGCAAATGTGTACGTGTATCCACTTGTACTTTGCAAACACATGCGCAGTATGTTACAATATTGACAGTCAAATTCATGCTCTGCCAAAGCTCAACTTGTGGATGAACGCCTTGTGGCTGGCGGGTGGTTGAGATTCCAAAACAGCGGGTCTGGGAGCTGTTGCAAAAGCCTTAAGGCTAGGTTTTCTCTAGGAGACAGGCATCGCCTGCCTTAACGCTGTTTGTAACTTACAATGTCATACCTCGGCCATAGGGCTAACATTCCATGGCTGGAGGATCTTTAAGTTTAGGGGAGGAAACTGACCTTGCAAAAACCTGATGGCTAGGTTTTCGCTTTAAGGCGGGAATCACTCGTCGTCAAGCCTAAGCAGACCAGCCATTGGCACATGCAAGGATAGGTAAGCAGTCAAGGAGGATTTGCTTTTTGCATAAAGTGGACAGCTTTTCAGCATGTTGTTGCTTTGGAATGTGTCTAATGATTCACTGTCGAACTCATGCCCTTCGGCATGCAGCTCTGCTATTGGTCTATATCACTATGGTTGGGGGTGGGGCGGAGAGAATTTTCAGTTTTGAGATGTGTTTGCTTGGAAATCGACTTTGAGTTTGCTGTTTTGTTAGTTGTGTTTTGGTGAATTCACGCTGTATTATATGTATATCATTAGCAATAAAGGCATTTTCCATCTTGAGCATCTAAACTGGGGGAATTCGAGGAATTGTACAAAACCGGCAAGCAGTCAAGGTTTTGCACTACTTTCGGGAATCCTCCCTACGCTGCGAGTGTTTGCTTGAGACAAAGAAATAAATATTTTTTTACTTACTCTCATCAAAACAAACTTATTGACCAATGAAAGCGTGCGTACAATCGTAAATATTTCATAATTACAACGCTCTTTGAAAAATGAGCCATTTACTTTTGAACGCCAGCAAGTCACAGCTGAGCCCATTGGTTCATGAGGTGGATCTTATCGCCTGGTAAAGAATACCAGTATGCTAAAATGAGTTGGTTAATTTGTTGTGACACACTGCTCGTTTAAATAGCGCTCTTTCTGTTCTCTGGTATTTCCTAATAGCGGAGTGCGCATACCTCATACCTAAAAAAATAGCCAAGAAAATATGTGTTGGAGGCTGGGCAAAACTTAATTTTGGTCACTTCAAAGATTTACATGAAACGTTTCAGGTTCTATTCAAGATACTTGGTATTAAGGCTCATTTTGTCTGTTTCCACGAGGTTCATGTTTGAGCCTAGCGATTCGGAAGTTAAGCCGATATTCCGCCTTCCACTTGAGGTCAGAGTTACGATACGTGCCGGTAACACTGGTATTAGGAATTATGAAGATCTTTCTTTTAATTACAACGAAAAACATGACAAACAAAGTACTGATATTGGGGTGGCCTTTATTTATCCCATTATTTATCCCATTATCATCAACATCATCATGAACATCATCTGCAGATAAAGAATGTTGTGTAAGAACTACCACAGCAACCCTGCACCGTTGCACCCTTCTTGACGGACTTCATTTCCTGCATATCAAGCGTCTTTATTCTAAAAAATTAAGCAAATACAGCTCTGTTTAATTTGCTAAATTTGCTAAAGGGAAGCTTAAACTGAGGAAGCTGAAGAACTAAAATGTTTCCTGCCGTGATTTCGGCTTATAACAATAATATATTCTATCTCGGCCCTATACTGAATGGACTCAGTCAGACCTAAGCATCACTCTTCATTGCAAATAAAAATGCCTTCTGTGTTATTAATCGAATCACGTCCAAATGCTTAACGCGTTGAATTTTTTGAAAATGTCATGCATTAATCCAGCAGCTATCACACTACTCCCTTCGGCCTAAAATGGCTAAGGGAACTATTCCATCAACAAATACGTTGACAACATTAAATTACTCAATACCTTCTCGGACCACTTAGTGTATCTTCTGTCAACAACTTTAAAATGATCCGTACTAAATAAATAAACATTAACAACATTCTTTGAATAAACTTTAAAAACTTACTTATGGATTTTTGCTGAGAATCGATCACAATACCAAACAACTAATAGATAAACTGGAATAAAAGGAACTTACCACATGTAGCTTTTAGGATATCGTCCAGACTATTGATTAGTGCGTCGAAACTGCCGAACACCAGAACTTTTCCCTTTTTGCCAGCTATCTTTTTCATGTCTGCTTCACTGTTGGCCAAGCCGTTGCCAACTCCGATTACAATTATGTTCACATTTTTCGCCTGAATGATAAAAGAAGGAGAGGATGAGGTTAAATAGAGTTATTTGTATTCATTAATGTTAATCTCAGTGTGCTCAAACTAGTCTCAGTTTAGAAAAAAAATCCTTTTTTTCACTCTTACCACATGACAGGTATCACTATTCCTAGAGCCATGAAAATTTTCCTTTTTGGAATTAAATCAGTTATGCTGGGGCTTAAGTATTTCACTGGTTAAAATATTATAGTTTCATGTTGTGCCTTTTTTTTTTCGTGGAAATAGAAAGGAAAAAAAACCGGTTGAATCCCAATTCTTTTTTCTTCGACCAGAAGGGAGAGCAATTTGAAGGGAAATTCATCAGACGGGGCTGTCATCTTTACATGATATTACTTCACATTTATTTTTCAAGGAGAGAGTTGTGATCATCCGTGGGGAGATGCGCCGAAACACTTATCTTTTAAGACCGTTTAAGCGGGCAATAGCGCTATGCATCTGCTAATACTCCACGTTAAATTCGAGATGCGTCGACATCCGCCCATTAGAAAGGTTAGCTTATCTGTAAACACAAATTGAGTAAACTGCAGCTTATTTCAACAATCTGCCCAGTGATTACCATACCACTTTCATTCCGTGCAAATGTGCAAAGAAGTTCATTTTGAGGCCATAAAACACACTACTTCCACTTCGAAATCGATTTTATCACTTCACCATAAGGGTGATTTTGACGAGGCGGTGGTGAATTATCTTCGCCATGCGGGCCCTCATTTATTATCTGCGCATTTAATCTGTCTACATGATATATCATTCTTGCCTCTTTCCTTTTAGGTCTCTCCCTTGTACTGCCACTGATCGATTCAGGCCCAGGGAAATCAAGGGTTAGTTCCAGGCGTAGATATAATCAAAACTTAAATTCATTACATCCCAACTGTCTTTGTCTCCAACCCGAAAGTCAATACTTAGCCGATAAACCGTATGAAAGTTAAATAAGGTTTTAGCGATAGTACCTCCAACGCTTCTGTGGAATCCTCAAAGGGAATCATCTTTCTGTCATCCCATTTACCGATCCATGGCCTTCCGTCAGTGAAGATGAGCATGAGGTTCTGAGCATCGGGCCTATCCCCTGCCGCTGGGATGAACAAGTTTTTTAAGGCGAGATTCAGGACAAGATCAGTGCGCGTGCCTGCTTTACCTGGATTTTGTCTGAATTCCTTGTTGATTTTGTCTTTTACGCTTTTTGCACTGTAGTATTTGTTGTCCTTAAAGTCGGTCTTAATTGAGGCTTGCGATCCAAAAGTGACAATTGCAATGTGATTTCCTTCAGCAGAGACGCCCTTCTTGTCCACCAACGATTTAACCAGGTTAATCAATTTATCACGATGGCCCTTCTTCATGCTTTTCGATATATCACCAACAATGGCGATATCCATTTTCTGTGCAAGACAATCGCCTACTTTTGAGAAAAAACGAGAAAAATTGGCATTTTTACTCAAATTTATGATCGCTGTTGACACTTCCTTTGTCTTAGGCAAGCAAAAACAGTCACAGTTGCAAACTGGGTGGACTGAAAACAGCTAAATACGTCAAACACCCAGGACTCAGTCGTGTAGTACAAGTAGTTGCTGTCACCGGGAATGACCTACTGTTTGGATAGCTATACCAAGAGAGAAAGCTAATGTAGGAGGAGATTTGGAAAAAACTGTGAGTTTCTGTCAGTGGTGAGCTAAGATTTAGAATGTAGTGGGCTTAAGTAAGTTCTTGGAGGGGAATTATTGGATTCACTCCTGTATAAAAATATCACACGTCGTTTAATAAAATAGTTAAGTAAATAGAAGTATAGTGTTCTTTCTTTCGATTGGATTGTACCGTAGCAAGAGCCTTAGCAGTTTTCGAGGGTAGTTTTAATCTGTACATAAAATGGATGTTTCGAAAAGGATCACAATTTTAATCTTTTTCATAAATAATTTTATAAAAAAGATAAGGACCAACAAAAAACGTTACAAAGATACTTACGACATTTTTCTTGGATGCATGGAACTGTGTCTTCAGCTGGTCCCAATTCACTGCAGTCCTTTCCACCGTTCGATGCCGGGGGATTGGTGCAAGTTCGTGTTCGTGTCTTTATTCCTTCTCCACACGTCACACTGCACTCAGATTCAGACCACTCAGTGTATCCTCCATCAACAACTACGAAGGAAAGAATAATCCATACCAAATGAATGAACAAATCAAGCATTCTTGGAGTAAATTGTGGAATCTTGCATATGGATTTTTACTGAGAACCGATCAAAATACTAGAGAACCAATAGATAAGACGGAAACAAAAGGAACTTACGGCATGTAGCTTCAAGGATGTCGTCCACGCTATTGATTAGTGCTTCAAAACTGCCAAACACCAGAACCGTTCCCTTGGAGCCAGCTATCTTTTTCATGTCTTTTTCTCTGTTTTCCAGCTTCTCGCCAACTCCGATTACAATTATGTGCACATTTTTAGCCTGAATGGTAAAAAATTGAAAATCTGTTTAAAACCATTGATTCTAATGGCGCTGTACTTGAATCAGTCTTCTTTTGAAACAAAAGACTTCTTTGCGCTTTTATCACCTGGCAGACGTCACTTGGTAAACTCTTTCCCCTTAGGGCTTGAGATTGGCACCTTTGATCAACTCCCCTAGTAGCAAAGTATTATTCTGAGCCACACCTAATTTTTCCGTTTTCATTTATTAATTTAATAAATAAGTTTAACGATAAATTTTTTATCATTAATTTAATACAGTCAGAGTGGAAAATAATTATTTACTGGGTGCGAGCAAAAGAGCATATGATTTTGATGACCTTTTCCATCACACGGGACTTACTTTTCCTTTTGCTAACATATGACGATTATTTCCATTTATTATTCATAGAAGGAGTTGTGATCATCGATGGGAAAACGGAAAACAAGGCAGTGAGCAACAGTTATCTACTATTCAGAGCTCCTATTTATTATCTGAGCAGTAAAACCTACTGAATAAAGCTTCGTTCTGAAATCTTCCCTGACGAAGGCTCTACTTGTGCACTGCCTCTAAGCGATTCAATCAAAGGGATATAAAGTTTCTATAGCTAGGTGAAAATGTAATATCATATTGAAGGCTGTCTTCGTCTCTTAACCTAGAGTCGATATCGAGAATTGACAAATTAACCAGATTTAAGTTAAATAAGGGTTTAGCGATAGTACCTCCAAAGCTTTTGTGGAATCCTCAAAGGGAATCAGTTTTCTTTTATCCCACTTTCCAATCCAGGGCTCTCCATCAGTGAGGATTAGCATGAGGTTCTGAGCATTGGGCCTATCCCCTGCTGCTGGAGTGAACAATTTGGTTCGGGCGAGATCTAAGACAAGATCAGTGCGCGTTCCCGTTTTATATGGAACCTCTTTGAAGTCCTTCTTGACTTTGTTCTTCACGCTTTTTGCATTGTAGTATCTGCTGTCTTTAAAGTCAGTCTTTAATGAGGCGTGCGGTCCAAAAGTGGCAATTGCAATGTGATTTCCTTCAGAAGAGACGCCCTTCTTGTCCACCAGCGAACTAACCAGGCTAATCAATTTATCACGATGGTCCTTCTTCATGCTCTTCGATATATCACCAATAATGGCGATATCCATTTTCTGTGAAAGACAATCGCCTATTTATGGAAAAAATGAGAGAAATTGGCGTTTTTACGCAAATCTATGATTGCTTTATGTTGACACTTCCTTTGTCTTAGCCAAGCAAAAACAGTCACAGTTGCAAACTGAGTGGACTGCAAACGACTAAGTACGTCAAACAAGTTGGCTGTAGCCAAAATGCGAATCTTTCTCTCTGAAACGATGTTTCTTTTACAAGTTTTACCTTGAACTGTGGGCGATGATTGAAAACAGTTCTTCAGTTCATGGCTAACCCTATCAGGTATAATATACATCTCGAAAATCTTGTTAAGTCCTGGTGTGGAATGTTCCTTGAGTGCATTCTAGCTAAGCAAAGGTTTGACTCCAAATATTCGTTTTATAGATTTCATTCCTGAAATCTGAGCTGAGATCTGTGATCTAGGATATGTAGCCTGTGATATGGTTTGGCTAAGGAAAATGACTTGTTTTGCTTACAAGATTTGTTAGCTCACAGGAAAACGTGTGATTGGAACACAAATTTTTCACTCTCGAGCGAGAACATTGTCTATACTAAACGACTGTGAATATATGACTTTCCTATATTCACAGTCGTTTATTCACCGCTTCACGGGTTTATTTGGAACCAACGTAATGACCAGCTTCCAGTTGGCCTGTACGCTTAGTTGGTAGAGCACTGGAACGGTATAGCAGAGGTCATGGGTTCAAATCCCGTGCAGACCCAAAATTTTTCCGGCCTTATTTTCACTACTGCTGAAGTAGCGTTCATCACTGCGAAGATTGCTTTCATATTCACGTGGTCTATACTACAATATCGGTACAATGGCGCATTCTAACGCAGCTCCGCGCAGATAGGATAGAAAACTAGATAGAACGTCTTGTAATTTACATTCTGTTTGGATCACATCGCACTCCTGATTGAAAGCGTTATTATATAACTAGTTTATCTGTTGTTTAAGTCATGAGAGCGGCGCCACCTTGATTCTTGAAGACTGGGTCTCGCAGAGACAGCAAGTAAATTTAGAATATGAAAAAGATGTACAAACCTTTGGCCAGAGATATTTCTGTAAAGAGGAACACAATTGGAGACGCGTTAGTCATCTTTAACACCAGAATATTATGAACTGTTGGATTTTTTGTTTTTATTCTCATCATAATTTGTAGATTTTCTTACCCAAAGAGAGGCTGAATGCGACAATGATGAAAACCCACAGAGTTCTCATGTTTTATTCACCTGAAATCTGGAAACAATAAAAAAAAGAGTATGACGACATATATCTGCGAGTAGATTGGATATGTACTGTTTGGGAATAGTTGTTGATTTTAAAAATAAACCCACTCACTCATGAAGGTGGGTAAACCCCAGGCTGTAATAAGAAATGTGACATACTACAGATATGTTTCGTTTTCGTTGGGTTTGGGAGCTCACAGCAAATTCGATACAACAAAGAAATTTAGTTGACTTGGGGATAGAAAGGTACACCCACAATTAAGATTTTTTATGTTCCTGTCGAAAGGCTCGAGAACTGGTTACCCTCTTAGCGTTTTCAAATTGGGGAGCTGAATAGTTTTAGATCTTTTCCACTCTACTGGAATCCAAGAGGAACATAAGCCTTAATATAGTATATGAAAACAGATTTGAGAAAAAGAATAATTTCGCAGGAGGCATTTTTCCTTTTTATATCTCTGATATTGACTCTTGGGAGGATAAATTGTCATAATCCTTAACTTGTTTGAGGAACAGCACCTTATCCCCAGCTGATATCAGAAAATGACTGCTCTATTGCTAATGATACTCTAATGCCCATATTTTTTTTACTGTTCGTTGCTTGTGTAAAGTCATTTTTCAACGAAGGGCTTTACCATCAATCAAACTGTCTGGCCTAACCAGTCCATTGAAAGACGATTTCAGTTAGTAAACATTTCTTTTCTGTTAGATTCTTTCGAAAAGGCTCAAGGAACTCCTGAAGAGAGACATTTTCACAAGGCACCTTCGGATTTTTCATACCATGTCAAAAGGCACACCCTTAACAAGTCTACTGAAAACCATAAAGACAAGCATATCAGAATAATATTGAGCAAAGCATTTTTTCCGAAAAGAAGTCTCAGTTGTTTTAAAGAAAGACATTTTCAAGTAGGGTTTACGATAAGAACGATCAATAGAGTGGCGCGTTTAAGATGAGCTTACCTCCTGTCTATGGAACGTTAATTTGCGTTTCTGGTTTCTTCTTAACGAGAGCCAAGTGATCGATCTCCTAATGGTTATCTCTGCACGGCTAAGCTCTTTTATAGCAACTCTTATAGATAATTGGAAGGCTTTTAAGCAAATAATCAAAAATAACCCTAAATTGTGCTATTCACCTTGGTGAATACGCTGGTAATGACATATTATGGCCTTTCTCGTCTCGTCTCGTCTGATGTGGCTCGCTGAAGTTTCGAGTGCATACCATTAGACTTCTTTTCTTAAAGAAAACCAGCACCATGCATTCAGAAGTATCTATAATATGATACAAAGGATACTTCTCATCCCCAGCCCCGAGTTACGCAAACTATGACCGCAGACCTCATGAAATTTACGTCTATCGCAATGAAATAACCTTTTTTTATGATTAGCTGCTCATTAGACATCTCGTACTTATCGCCTCTAGTTTTCAGTGTTATTGCTCCAGTTCAGCGATGGTATCCTAAAAGTTCCTTCTCATAAGTAGATAATGCAAGTCTTTTCAAAAACGGATTACGTTTCCTAAATTTAGCTAGGCGTTCCTTCGGCTCAAAACCAAGTTTTAATTGTATCGGCTTTGTCATACATACAATTTCAATCAGCTTATTGATATTACTCTTTCTACAAAGTTTGAAAATATGAATCTTCTTGGTATAAAGCCACCTTGGTGATCGGGAAATGTAGAACGGATTTTCACTGACATTTACAGAAGAATGTATTGTAAAAATTGTAATTTAAAACAAACCAATTGACCGAGACGAAACAACGCGTCATACCAGCCACGAAGAATTTTTTGTCACGTATTTGACAATTTTTTAATTGTAACCCGTGAGCGTGCAGTAGGAAATCCTTCTGTGATAGAGAGTCAGACTGTTAAGATCTTTAATTAGGAATGGAACTTTGAGCGCGTTGCTCAACGAGTTTGCTTGACTGTTCCGAAAAGTATCTGACGAGTCTCTTCGCCGAGACGGAACGCCGCGTCACACCTGCCACGAAGATTTTTTCACAAGTACTTGACAAATGTTTTATTGTAAAAAAAAGTTCCCAAAAACAAACCAAGCTGGGTCATTTTAAGCAAGAAATGTTGACATAATACCTTACTCTTATTAGATCGCAAATGAAAAGTGATTCTCTTGATATCATGGCAATATTATAGCTGTTAATCAAAAACCTTTTTTCAAAATGCAAAAATAAATTTAAAATTTTTCTTTGTTATTTCTCCTATTCATACAAACGAGCCTTGGTCAGATTAGGTATTGTTAATTTTTAGTTCTTTTTATCATTTGGTTTTAAAAAGACGTCTTTATGTCAGTAATCTATAAAATTAGCCAGGCTTAACGTTGGAGCTTTAGATAATTAATGTTTGTTGCCGTTCTCTCTGATAGGATTCTGCAAAGGATGCTGTAGAGTTTTATCTCTCCCCTAGATAGCTTATGTCAATAAAAACTAACGCCACCGAAATTTCTCTAACGGAGTTGCAATTTAATAGAGCTGAGTCTTAATTCTGTGCTTTCAAAAGATATAACGTTGCTACGATGACCCAGTTGAACGGAAATATGATATGAGAATTTTAGGCCATAATTGAGCCACTGTAACCAAGGAATGATAAGAACGTTCCTGTATTGTTTAGATCGCAAACAAAGAATGATTATATACTTGCATCTTATTTCATCATGGCAATACAACTATCAAATGCCAGCTACTCCAGCAAATTTTCAAAATGCGAGGACGAATTCCAATGTATTGATTATATTTTTCTATCATTACGAATGATCCATGTCTCAATAGGTATTGTTGATATCAGGTTCACTCGTGGACAAATCCAGCCTTTTCTAAACACATCTAAATCTTCAAAATCATCTAAACTCGAGGAAAATATGCAAACCCGAGAAGCGGTAAAAGGCTTACAAAACTTTCAACCCTGCAAGAGTTAAGAAAACACAGAGTAAAAACGGAAAAAAATTTCCTATTGCTTTTATACAATATTTCTCATGATGCACAGAACGCACGTTTACATTAATAATCCTTTTTATCATAAAGGAATGAGAGGGTTGTGTTCTCATCTGGGCTGAGCGACAGTGATGGTTAATGATTGAAGTGCTTCCTAATATGACAGTGGAGGTCACGGCTCCAACAATTTACAGTGGACCCTCAACTACTACATAACATCACTTTGATGAACAGTCTTTCTTTCCTTCTTTTTTTAATATCAACTTGTTGATCATATTCTTCCTCCTGATTACTTGTTTTCATCGCAATTCATGAAAAACATGTAACGATGATTTTAACCTACTTTTTTTACAGGTTTTCTACGACCTTCTTATCCCATATTACTATACGGCTATAGTCTTTCAAGTCATTCTTTTTGATGATCTATTTCCCGTTACCCTTTGTCATATTTCTCGATTTCTATTCAGTGATGATGCCGATGGTTGCATAAATGTTGCTTCGCTATGTTCCGATCTTTTTGCAAGTTATTTGATTATTTTTTGTCTCTGTTAAACCCCGGCTTCTAGAAGTCAATTGTAATGAATTTTTCTTCTGTATTTTAATCCACTTTTCTTCGGCTTGCTATTTGCAAGGACATTTATTACGAGAATTTTTGGCTCTGTACAAACAGGAGCAACATTGACGTGGCACTGCGGATGAGCCGCGGTGCAGCCGGACGCGCATGCTTAAATTACTATTTTTGTATGTGGGGTCGGTGGGTGGGTAAAGAGGCTCGTGTACGTAGAGCTGTACACGTAAGATACACAACAGCACTGAAACGTGGTTTTACGTTGGTTTTACGCGGTATACAATTTTCAAATTTCTTGTTGAAAAAAAATTGGTTGTAATATAGTACTTGTTTGAAGAACTTATTTAGTTTTCTACTTCATTTATGCCCTTTGCATCAATACTTTTTGAAAAATATATTTTTTTATTCTTTCAGTTACTACTGTTTTCAACAAAGGTGATAAAAGACTAGGACATGTCAATAAGCTATGTTCTGACACATAAAGATGTTAAGGGTAAATTTGAGCCGAGGAAAGTAGAATTAATTCGAGTTAAGGGGAGCTCGAGCTAACCGACTTCGAGTCAGGTGATATGGGGTGAGTTCGGTTTAGCAAGGTTCTACTCAACCTATTTTAGAAAATCGTCGGAAATATTAGAAAAAAATTGTATTTTGTATATTTTGCGCTTGTGTTTTGAAACTTTTATCTTCAAAAATTTGACATCTTGAAGTTCGGATAAAGAAATTGAAAAAATTGTTGTCCCTTTCTAACCTGAGATGTTAAATGTATTGCTTAAGTTTCATTTTATTTGATTTCTGGCTGCTTCTATAAATTTAATTTTAATTAGGTCCCTTTTAAGCTTTGTGTGAGCTTCGTAATTATTTCATGGTCATTTTATTACAAATGAACAGGACAAAAGTTTCCTTTTTGACAAAGTTTATTTTCAGTATCATTTGCATCCATAAGAATTCTGTTGGCTTGTACGGTTCATGTATGCATGTCCGTCTCGAAATACCAACCTCGCTATCCTGGAAAAGAATCAAAGAAGGTTGCTACGTTGGAATGAGAGAGAAGTTAACAGACAGAAACTCAATTAAATTACTTTGTTTCGGTGTGTGCAAACATTTGAACGTTACGTAAGCAACCGACCATAATTTTTTTTTTCTTGGTGGTGGAGAGGGGAAGAAGTCTTAGAATTTTCACCCTTTTTTTCTCTCTGTAGACAGTTTTTCTCTCCTTAATTTGTTTTGTTTTTAAGCAATTGTGTTTTTAATGTCGTTATTCCCCACACCGTCAATTCAATAATGGCCGGTTCCTTAGTATCCGCCTCGAAAATGTACCCGAACAAGCAGATCCCTTGATTTTTTGGATCGTTTCATCAAGCTTATCGAAGTTTTCCACCTGAATCACAGGTCCTGTGCCAGCGATATCGTGTAGAGTGGCTTCCTCCACTCCTGGACCGATACCCACTGCTACAATGTTGACTTTCTTTTTCTGTAAAATGAAAAAATGTACGGCATCAACTGTTTTTCATTATCTGTTGCCATAAAATATCTTTGTAATTCGGCTTCAATTGCATGAGACAGCTATTAACCATTACGGGTTAGGTTGAGATTGTGCCTAAGCCCTATAGATTTTCGTCGGGTTTTCCTGATAGTTTCCAATGGGATAGTTTTAATTTTCTGTCCGCAGGAAGTCGTGCAGTGTAAGATTTGAGTTTTCTTTTTCTTTCAACACAGATGCCCCTGCCAAAGTTTAAACCCGACTTTAACCGGAATGCAGGGCAATGCGTATTCCCTGCTTTTGATTGGAATCCTTCAGAAATTGCTGTATAGATAATAATCGATTCCGCAGCTGATCTACTGATTAATAAATCGCAGGTGAAATGGGAAGTATTCAACGAAAGAAACTAGCGCATTGCATCTAGTACCTTAACACGAAAGAATATTGAAAATGAACGTTACACCTCAACTAGAAATTGGCGCATGATATTTCTCAATATACAACAAACCACATTAAAGGTATAATAACGCTTAATTAATAACCCGATAACGTGATTTTACACTCACCGTGAAATCCTCGGATATTATGTTGGCAAATGCTTTAAAATCAAAGTCATTTTTCGGATGAGTTGGTTTTCCATCTGTAAGTACAATCATGACATTTGGTTTGTCTGGTCTGTCTCCTCCTCCCTCAGTAAACATCTCGTCCCTCGCCATAATAAGAGCCAGATCGGTGCGAGTTTGATACTTTAAGACCATTGGTTCGTTGGCTATTTTCTGTAGCAAGGCGTCTTTATCATGATATCGTGAATCACCGAGTTTGAAAGACATTTGTGCTTTTTTGTTAAAGGTAATAAGGCCAAAGTGATCTGCCTCAGGTGAAGGGTCGAAGTTTTTAACCAGATTGCCCAAAAAGGTGATGACCGTTTTCAGATTACCTAATTTAACGCTCTGGGATTTGTCGAGAACGATTGCAATATCAAGTCCAGCTGTGCATGGAGGTACTGTGGAGATTAAAAGTAAAATAACTTGAGGAAAGACGTCAAATTCCATAAGTGATATCTGAGTCGTAAAGCAACATCAAAACATTATTACAAGCCTTTCGTTGTACAGCCAGTGATATTTCTAAGATATCTTTAATTTTTTATTCTTTTGTAACTTAATTTCACAGCACATTGCAGTGTGACCTAAGGTAAAAAGTGATGTTTGAGCGGCTTAATCAGATAATTTTAAGTCTAAGGACTCTTTGTTTCAATTCTCGACAGTGTCCCAAAACAAATTTTTTCCTTTGCATTCCCAAGTCTAAGCCGCTTGCAAATAACCAAGTGGACTGAGTATACAAAAGGTTTTCCATTCGATTTCAGGTTTCCTGGCTTTGGTACACATGTTTGGGTCATTGCTGGTAAATAAAAACTTTTTGTAATCTCATATTCCGGCGTGTGCTCTTGAAGAACGTAAAGGTGAATAAGCATCTTAAACAATACTTAAAGGTAGTGCCGTGTCGTCTGAAAAGTATAGGTAATTGATGAATTTTCTTGGATGTCTTGTGCCTTTTCCGGGTTATAGAAGAAACTTATCAAGAAATGGTCTAATCTTGCAGCTCGGCTTTAAGCGTCAAGCAGTAATCGTATTGTTTTTGGCATTGCTGAGGGACTTAGGCCGAAGCTACGTGGTAGAGCTCGTGTCTGATCAGGAGATTATTAATGTGAAAATTTTGCTGCGAGGGAGAGGTGGTTGGCGTGAATTTGCCCAATATCAATATCTACTATTGTACCTTTGCGAAGAACTGACCATCGATAAGCACATCATGGATCAGACTAAGGGTTCAAAATTTTGAGAACTTTTTCTAACGCGCACCTGTTTGGAATGTAGTGTTCACTCTTTAGGGCCAATACGCCTTAGATTAGCAGAAGTCTAAGAATTGTATTGACGAATAAACTGATGAATACAATTTTTTTTCGTTTTGCAGAAGGGATGTGTCTTGACCGTGTTGGCATATACTGATACGTAGATCTCGTAGTCAGTCACTTTGATAAAAAGAGAAGGGGAAACAGAAAACTGTTGTAAAATTACTCACGGCATTCTTGTGTGTTGCACGGAACTGTCTTTTTCGCTGGTCCCAGTTCACTGCAGTCTTTTCCAAGGTTAGATGGAGGGGGATTGGTGCAGGTTCTTGTATACGTCTTTACTCCTCCTCCACACGTCTTACTACACTTTGACTCAGACCAATCAGTGTATCCTCCATTAATAGCTTTTAAAAAGAAACATGATACTAAATTGAATTTGTTTCTTGTGGTGCATGCCCTATTTGTTATACGTAAAAGCTCAGCAAAGCTTCAACACTCTAAACTTTTTAATCTCGATCTACATTGGATATTTCTATAGGTTCTGCATTAGCTTTTCGTAAACACTTGAATCAAAGTTTCACGCCTTGTGATGCTTTAACCCCTCAAAAACAGGATCAATCGAAAATTGCTGCAAAAAAAAACTTACGGCATCTTTGTTCGTTACGTAGAACTGTCTTTTTAGCTGGCCTTAGTTTAATGTAAACGAAAGGTTAGCAAAGCTTCAGCTGCCTTAAATAATTGTTTTTATCTGCGCCTACAAGAAACATTTCTATAAGTGAACCTAAACTTCGTCTCAACCATCTAAAACATATCTAGTTGCAAGCTTGTGATGATCAATTCCATTAAACAGATAAGTTAAGGCAGAAAGTTGTGAAATGAATGCTTACGACATTTCTGTTCGTTACATGGGACTGTCTTTTTAGCTGGTCCAAGTTCACTGCAGTCCTTTCCACCGTTAGATGGCGGGGGATTTGTGCAGGTTCTTGTAAATGTCCTCACTCCTCCTCCACACGTCATACTGCACTTTGACTCAGACCAATCTGTGTACCCCCCGTCAACAGCTGTATAGTGGAAAAGAAAGATCAACCTTTACTAAACGAGAATGGTCACTTTTCAGAACTCTGTAACACATGAATACTAGCTTCCGCCAGCATGATGGGACTAAATCTTATAAAAAGGGAAGAACAGAAAATTGCTACCAAAAAAAACTTACAGCATTTTTGTTCGTTACATGGAACAGTCTTTTTAGCTGGTCCAAGCTGACTGCAGTCCTTCCCACCGTTAGATGCCGGGGGGTTGGTGCAGCTTCTTGTAAGTGTCTTCACTCCTCCTCCACACGTCACACTGCACTTCGACTCAGACCAATCTGTGTATCCCCCATCAACAGCTTTGATAGAGAACAATAATCCAAAATTTAAATTTGTTTTTCTGTGGTCCAGAATTAGCGAAAGCTTAGAAAAGCTTTAGCTGTTTTAAAGTATTCTTTTTCTCTTTTTACCTACAAGGAATATTACTATAAGTGCACCTAAACTTCGTCTTGACCATCGAAATCATATCTAGTTCCAAGCTTATGGTCATCAAGAAAGAAACATCAATCTTTACTAAATGAGAATGATCGTTTTCGACGTAAGGGTCAGGAAAGAAATCAGCAAAGAGACACATTTAAAGGAAACCACTGATAAACTTACGGCATGTAGCTTGCAGGATCTGGTTCAGACTTTTGATGAGTGCGTCGAAGCTGCCATACAGAAGAACTTTTCCCTTTTTGCCAGCTATCCATTTCATTTGTTCTTTTCTTTTGTATAAGTCCTTACCAACTCCAATAACAACTATGCTCACACCTCTGGCCTGGTCAGGTGAAAGTTCAAAACATCAATCAGAATAATGTAGGGGTTTTTCTTCGGCATTTCTCTTCGCTCACCAGTGCATGAATTAGTTTTGTTTTCACAGTCGCCTCCATGATATTTTACTTTGGTGTTCTTGGGTGTGGGGAAAGGTATTGAATTCTGTAAAACTACAGACTGATACAATTAAAAAGGTAATTTTAAACACACTTGCTGCATGTAAGTAACAACAGTCTAGCTATATTACCTCCAGAGCATTTGTTGACGGTCCAAAAGGAGTCCGTTTTCTCTTATCCCATTCGCCAATGAACGGTGCTCCATCAGTAAAGACGAACAAGATATTCTTAGCGTCAGGCCTGTCTCCTTTTTCTTTGGTAAATATATTTAACGCGTTTTTCATGGCGAGATCAGTGCGTGTTCCCGCTAACTTTGGAACAAAATTAAAACGGGCTTTAACCATGTCCTTTAAGTTTTTTGGGTTGTGGTATCTTCCTGAATTCAAGTAGAAGTGAATTGGAACATATGATCCAAAAGTGCCAAGAGCATAGTGATTTCCTGCAGCAGAAACCCCTAGTTTGTTCACCAATGAATAAACCAGTTGTCTTAACTTATTTCGGTGGTCCTTGTTCATGCTCTTGGACACGTCACCGAGAATGGCGATATCCATTTTCTGATCAAGACATCCACCTATAAACGATCATAGAATATTAAGTTTATGTCTTAACAAGAAATACCTTTATTTTAAATTCTTTTTAGAAAGCTATCTTTAAACGATAAGCTTATTCAATCCATCAGTAGAGAGATGGAGAGAATTTATTGCTCTTTAGAATGAGAAATATTTTTATTTTAAAGAATCAGAATTACGCAGTCATTTGAAAAAATTTTATATTTTTTTTTTCCTAGATTTCAACTCGATTTTTCAGCGGTATTTTCCCAATAAATGTTAAACTGCTGTATAATCCCAAAAGCATTTTTATTCAATCTTTTTAAGGATCCCTATCGTTAACAGTACTCAAATACTGACGAAGTCATCTTGGTAAAGTAAAATGATCATCATTATCATTACAATAAATTATTCGAACTTAATTGCGTTCGATTCTTCAATGTCTATGCAAACCACAAAGGCGACGGCAACGAAAATGAGGCAAAAAAAAGATGCTTATTGCAGAATAATGGCTCAGAAAGTGCGTTTTAAAACTTTATGCATTTCTAAACCGTCCTCTGCAAAACAACAGCGCGAAATTACCAAATGTGCGTGGACTGAAAAAGGTAACCCTGACGGAAATTGTTTAAGCTTCCATTTGGAACTCAACGCCGCCCACGGTAAAATTTCCGCACAGCTCCATACTATTGTAAAACAAGTCTGTTTTCCCAATGGCAATGTATTGTTTTTGTCATTGTTTTCTCTATCCAAGAACTGAATGCACAATGTATTGTGGGGCTGTGCGGAAATTTTACCCCGCTCACTTACATTGCGCTGAAGTTGAGTTTAACGTAAGAGACGGTAAACTCATACAGCCATTCGCCAAATTCTAACTAAATCATAAATGAATTTGTCATCTACATCTTCCATGGTGTTGCCATTCTGACTCCTTAAGGTCTCTAATGAATGGTAGTGAAAGACGACGAAGTCGAAATAATGAAGGTTAATCCATTCTGCTAACTTTTGTTCATCTGAATGATTTATGCATGCAAAATGTCTACGGGCAATACGTATCAGAACTGATTCACTTTTTGCTCAATTTAACTTTGAAGGAAAAATGGATGAGACTTTTAACAGACGAAATATATTCGTTTTAATAAGTTAGAGATAAATTCGTCATCACCATTCGCTTAGAACAAAAAAAAAAAATTACGCATACAGACCTTCTACGGAAGATTTCTCTGTGGAGAGGATTTAGACGAAGAAACATGTTAGACAAGAGACCCATACAGGCACAATGTTATCAATTTAAACGATTCAAAATAATTAAGTCTAATAACTTTGTGCATGTGCTAACGTTCTGATTTTGTTTTTTACCTAAAGATACGCTGAATGCCACGACGATGACAAGCCACAGGAACTTCATATTAAAACCACTCAAACTCTGCAAAAAAAAAGCAAAGAAGTGTGACTTTAGCAAAGAGACCTACAAGAGGACATTAAAAGCTTAAGGGCCCGCAAAACTTAAAATGAATGACGTGTATGAAACTGCCTGAGATAAAATAAATTTCATTAACGGAATTAGAAGAGGACGATTATGTTTTAAGAGCAGAGTGTTCGTAAAGGAATTAGTTTCTGCATGTACAACTTTAAATTGGCTCAAGTCAAAAAGGGTTCCTTTAAAATGGCGACCTTTTACTTTCCTTGTACACGATAATTTTCTCCTTCTCTGGACACACGGCACCTTCTTGGTGTTGGAGACAAAGGGCACGTTACAATAGAACACCGCCTCCTTAACCTATTTTATTGTTTTCCGGTTCTTTTGTCTTTTTGTTCTCTCTTGTTTTACGTAAGCTGTCAAGCAAGAGCTTTTTACTCTCGCAAACATCCATGCTTACTAACTTTTAAACGATTGAAAAAAAAAAACTAAATAATTTGAAAAAGAAATTCTTAGAAGAAGTCCTCCTTTGAAATTATCTCCAATCATGTTCTCCTTTCTTTGAATAGAAATTTTGCAAGTATTTTAGCGTATTGACTTGACTTAGCGCCCCCATCTCGGTAAAAACATTCACTCTCTCTCCTATAAGTGTTCCCTTAGAATTTGTTTTTGTTAATAAGCACCTATATTCCAATATGAGCCTCTTTTCTATTTCAGTAATATCACCATCGGAGCACATGTACATTGAGATCAACCCTGGTTCATCTTCACTTAAGTGTTCACTTAGAGCCTCATTACAAATTAAAAACAACGGTCAACGTGTCAGTCTCTCAACTATTATGCCTACGTCAGCACGCAGTTCCTTCGAACGAATGACCCGTCTTCAAATTTTGCGGCAATTGCTTGGCTGTTTGTTTTAACCAGGAAGAATAACAATTACGTTTTTCATTATATTTTAGCCTTTTCAATGAAACATTAACACTTCTTTTCGCACACTCTGCTATATCTTTAAAACGTAAAATGTGCGCCCTGCTCCTAATGAACGCTTACCATTGGGTTACCATAGGTAAATAAGCGCCCCGGGCATTACATCGAATGAATACGTTAAGCCCAAAGAAGGCAAGTACCAAAAGGCACACGACTTCTGCCTTTTGCCATCATGTTCGAGCATAAGTTTCTTCTCTGTTTTGGTATTATTGACAAAGACTGCATTCAAAATGCAAGGCCAAAAGCTGATAGCACACTCATGTATTACCAGAGAACTTATAGCATGGTGTGAGAAAGGAAAGAAACAAAGGGTGAAAATGGACATAAAAACCAAAAGAAAACTGAAATTTGGGAAAAGTATTGGAAACCAAACAACTGTGCTAAAAAACGTTGCAGCAATGCCTGTCGCACGTACTGATATACCCTTCACCTACAGGAAAGTCAGAGCCAAAGTGCTTAGTGCTAGAGGTCAACCACTTGGCTATGATACTCTCATTAGTTTCCTCTTTGCATTAATAGTACTACAAGTGGCTTTTGGAGTGAGAATTTTAAGTGTAAAATAATGTAAATGATGGTAACAAAGGACGAAAAGAGTTTCCCGAACAACAAACTCACCTTTGGCCTTCTATCAGGAGTTTCCTCTTGGAACGGCAGACTATCGATTGCGAAGGCTCGCAAAAGCAGCTTTTATAGGCAAGAATTATAATTATCTTATAAAAATTTTTTCATTGTTCTACTCTTGATAATAGCTACTAATCAAGCAATTTTTTTCAAATTCAAAAGGCAATATTAGAATTTCCTTATTATTGGTTTTATTCCTACAAACAAGCCAATTGTTTGACACGTGGCGTAGCTCTACTTTCTGCTGATAAAACACGCACATCCTACAATTCCTTTATTTGCTCTGACGAAGGGCTACCCCCGAAACGTTAACTTTAGAAACTCTTTACATTGACCAATTCACGTTATCAGCTCAGTTGATTAAACCATATTATCTTGTTATACTTCACCACCGATGCTGCACAAAAGTTTCTTTAGAAACTTACCCCTTTTTTTCATTTTTTGGATATCTATTTACAGTGATTATTTTTGTTTGATTAAAGATAGTACCTTTTTTAGGGTTGCCATGTCTTTCCCAGAGAGAAGCTAACGAGAAATTAATCCACGTTGATAACTAGCTCAAGAGTCATCGGAGGAAAATATTGCCATCAGCTGCTGAATCGTTGTTTATTAGAATTCAAAGCCAGGAATTGATTGCTTACGTTTGTGTTGAAAATTTTGGAAATTTTAAAATTGTATGACTTTAAAATTATTGAACAATACTTTCCAGGACATATTGACACTTGAAATTAATATCAATTGTTCGAAAAATGAAGCAAAATCTCTCAAATTTCTTGCATTAACGAATCCCGCATGGTATATTTCCTTTCCTTGAATTGTTGTTTACTAGAATCTGCAACCAGAAAAACGTGCGTAGGTTAATTTTAAAAATTCTGAAAATTGTACGATTTCAAAAAAAATATACTATTGTAAAACACAGTTTTGGAACATATCAACACAACATTTACCGATTTAAGGAAGAGTCCCCATCGTCGAAACGAGTATTATTTAGTATATTCTCTTTTCATTTTGAGCTCCAAAAAGTTTATCTCAATCGGGATGAAACGTGAGAGAAATCTTAAAAGTTTTGAAACCTCGCGACTAAACTCGACGGAAGCTTTCAGCCGAAGTGATACATAATGATTTTTACTCTGGTAGCTCCTTAGGAATTAGGTAGGACTTGCGCGCACGTTGTGTTATAATATTATATATTTTTTCATTCCATTGTACCGTATTCTATGCCATAATATACATTGCTCTGTACTGTACTATACTATACCGTACTATTATAACTATTATTTGCTATATCATACTGAGACTTGCACTAAAAAAGCGCCACATAAATTTTCTTTCACAAGGTGGTCGAAGAAGCTGAGAGCCAATCAAATAGCGAATATCACATAATTCACCAATGTGGAGAGCGTTACGTCCAATCAGTGTAGGAACCCCATTTGTTTAATTTGAAAACAACGTGTTAAGTGTTAAACACCACAATGCTTATCGTTTTTAACAAGAAATTAATGCTGAAAGAGAAGGAGAACTTATCACAATTGCTTTATTTTATTTTCCTAGTTTGCCCTCAGGAGGGTAAAGTTACACATGTCCATCGAGGTCATAAAAAATTTCTTCATAAAAATAAATGATGCAAACAAAATTCTGTCTCAGCGTGTTTGTAAAGAACTTACATATTCACAGCATTATTCCCAACCGTTGCATTTTAATCAGTAAACAACAAAACCAAGATAAGAAGGAAAATTATATTTTCACGGCTCGACCTTGAACCGCCTTGTGGGAATTTCTCACATCAAAGCTATAACAACAAGTCTGTGGATAATTCAAAGTTAAAAAAGTGTTCAATCACTTATGTTGCGTTGATGCATCTTGTCTTTTCTATGCTTCCATTTGCTAGCCAACAAATAAGTATGACCGTTTTTACAAACATCACGATACCACTCTTTGTTGAGCATATATTTTGTCTTCGATATTCGGATAGCGTCTTTTCTTTCCTCATCAGTATTATATTTTATCTGTACACCTCTTTTTCTCTTTTCATGTTTTCCCAAATACTATGCATACTAGATTGTGCTATATTTTTTGTGTATTTTTTGGTGCATTTAAACGTTGACAAAGTTCCATGTATATGTTTTGGTAAATTTTGTAAGTCCTTCATTGGTATTCAGCTATTGAAATCATCACTGTATCCCTTCCACTTTAAAAAAGCTTGTTTCCTTCTGTAATCTCCCCGAATAACTTTATCAATTCTGAACAAACCTTGGTTTGGTTTTAACAATTCTTCAGTATAGAAACTTACGTTAATTTTTTCACCATTCAAGTCTCTTATTTTGAAAGTGATTGGAGCAGTGTTTTAGATTTTATCAACTATAAATATATCTCTTTTGTTCAGATTGGAGTGTATCCTTTTATCGAATGCCTTCTTCTATACTTCGATAATCGATCCTTATCGCCTGCTTTGAATTTTGGTTTGGATAATAGCTGCTCCATATCATCATATAGATTGAAGTAAACAGTTCCTTCCTTCTTCTTTGTGCTTACTTCCACTGGTGTCATTTTAATGCTTGAGTGCTTTGTGTCATTATAATGTTTCAATATTTCAGGTAGTATGTCTAAATACTGTGTATTACCTTGAATTGTAAACTGTTTCCACATTCTCTGTTTTATTTGCTATTCCATCCTTTAACAACATTGGATTTTGTTCATATTGAGATGTTTATTATAGAACTCCTTACTACTATACCCTATTAGTAACTTACAGTTTATCTCAAAATTGACTGAGCGCGCCGTCTTTGATCAGCTACAAACTCACACGTTGGACCACGCCTTATATCCCTTACTACAATCTGCCTACAGAAAATCGCACAGCACTGAGACAGCATTAATAAAAATTCAGAATGACATCTTGATGAAAATGGACCGTCAGCAAATAACTCTATTTGTATTACTCGATCTCAGTGCCGCGTTCGACACCATAGACCATCAAGTACTATTAAATCGCCTTAGGTTGAGTTTTGGGATACGTGGATATGCTTTAGAGTGGATCGCGTCGTATCTTTCTGACAGGACACAATGTGTTTCTGTTGAAAATAACTTCTCTCAGAGTCTTTATCTGTCCTGTGGTGTACCCCAAGGATCATGCCTCGGTCCGCTGTTATTCATAATGTATGCGAGCAAGTTCTTTGAGATCATCAAAGGCCATCTTCCTCGGACACACGCCTATGCAGATAACACTCAACTGTATTTATCTTTTAAGCCTGACACTACATCTTCTCAAAGCAACGCAGTGGACGCTATGGAACGCTATATCAGCGCCATCAGATGTTGGATGGTTAAAGACAAGCTTAAATTAAATGATAGTAAGACAGAACTTATACTAATCGAAACGAGACAACAGCTCGCTAAAGTTGACATCAAGGGGTTGGTCGTTGGTGACGCTACTATCAGTCCTGAGACTGCCGTTAAAAACCTTGGATCGTGGTTTGATGAAAACATGAACATGGGCTGTCATATCAACAAGATGTGTAAGACCTTTTCATTTCACCTGTATAACATCAGACGCATCAGAAAGTATTTATCTAAAGACTCCACACAAACACTCGTTCATGCATTCATCACCGCACGTATTGATTACTGCAATGGTTTGCTGCATGGTCTACCAGCCGCACGTCTCAACAAGTTGCAACGTATTCAGAACAGTGCCGCCCAACTTGTTTGTTCCCTTTCTCGTTTTTTTCATATAACTTCTACTTTGTTTTCCTTGCATTGGTTACCTGTCTGTTTCAGAATTGAATTTAAATTACTTATTTTACGTTCAAGGCTATCCACGGGCTGGCACCTCAGTACATTACGGATCTAATTAACGTTAAGCAGCAATTCGGACGTATGATGTTACGATCTCAGTCTGAACTACAATTATTGCCACCCAGGATCATAACTAAGAAAACTTTAGGTGATAGATCATTTATGGCATCTGCTCCTAAACTTTGGAACGGATTGCCATCAAATATAAGAGCAGTAAATGATCTTAATTGTTTTAAAACACATCTCTTTAGACAGGCATTTTCTTGTTTGCTTTTATAGTTCGTTTCTAATTAGTCAAATTGTATATTCTTAGCCTTTTACAGTTCGTTTTCATATTTTATTTTGCTTAGTCTTATTGTTTAGTGCATTAGATCATATCCACATGTATTTTTAGCTATATAAGTAATACATTATTATTATTATTATTATAATTATTATTCAACCCATAGATATTGTGGTTGTCTGCCTTCTTTAAAGATGTTCTTAAATGCTTCAATTACAGTTTCAACTTACTTATCCTTTAAAGGTTTTATCCATCCATATATACTGAACACATCAATAACCATAAGCAGATATTTATACCCTTTACTGAATTGTTGCAAATCAACAAGGTCTGCACTCCATATTTCATCTATGTGATGCAAAATAACACGCCTTCGAGTAAAATCCCTCTTTAAAGGATTGTGTAATTCTTCTGCTAATTGTTTTTGCCAACTTATTTCTTTACTCGACGGCCTTTTCCGTGTTTTGAAACACCTAAACCAAGTTCAGGTGTTTCTTATCGATCATATTTCTCGCTAATCAATGACCTCATTAGCGATCTTCGTAGGGCACATTGTCTAGTGCCTAGTGTCTAGTCATTGTCTAGTGCCTTAACCATTTTTCTTTCTGCTTTATTCTTCTATTTTCTATCATCTTTAAAAACGGTATAATTGATTTCATGTTGCATTGCTATTGTATCTGCTTTGCCTGCTGGATGGTCATAAATTTCGAGAGTTTCATCCGTTATTGGATTGTATTTTCCTTGCGAATCTAAATCGGTATAAGGCCCTGTATAACGATTTCCCGGCAATGTCCGAACAGATTTAGGTTTTGGTAGCTTGCCAATAGCTTTATGAATATCCAGGGACCCACCAAACGGATATATGTATTTGGGTCTTTCAGCATAGCCTTTTTCCAAAGCCCATTTTGACAGACTTCCCTTATATCCATTTCTTTTGCCTTTTTCACATTCTCTTTTATATTCAGCAACACTTTTTTCAGCATCAATTCCTGTCTTTTTTGTAAGTTACTTGTTTGCTTTTGGAGTTATTTTTTTCATTAAAAAAAATAAAAAATAAAAATTATGTTAGCGTACAGAGAATGGTACGTTGCTCGCACCAATCAGATCGTTTAGGGTATGTATCTCGCACCAATCAAAGCGTCGCTTTTGTTCTTTGGTTTGAGAGGTGTTCAAATTTCAACGAAGCAATGGAGGATTCGGAGAGAGCGGTTCGGTAAAATGGAATAAACTTTTAGCATGAGAAATGTTGGCTTTTCTGTGTTTTTAACGTGTATTTTACTGCGCCTCATGAGAAATGCGATACTACTGGCAGATGAAAGAAATCAGATTACCTATAGTAAACGTGTTACTCGTACTTTGAAAATGGTTGATAGTTGTTCGAGAGAAAATGGAGTTCTATGCACTGCAGCACGATCATGATTACTGTTCCTTCACGACGAGAGTGAGTGGAAAAATTTTGAATCAAGTATGCTTGAGGTGTTGATGAAGTGCACCAAAAATATTTGATTTTAACAGTTCTTTAACGGCAAGCTGTGTTGCAAGATTCATGATTTGTTGAGTGTGCCGATTATATTTTTCTGGATTGGTTTGCTCGGTGCTATCTCTAGATGAATATCTCATCAAAATTAACTATGGACGATTTTGTGTATGTTTTCGATGCCTGGAGAAACTGATCTTGTGGAGTCGTTTGTGTTTGGCCGAGGACAAATTCAGATATCATCGTTCGCATGTTTATTTGATTTTGTTATCTGGAGTGAATGATTTACGGAGGTAAGTTAACATAATGTGATCTTCTAACGTCGAAAATATATCTAGTCGAAGGAAAAGTTTTGGTCTCGGTCCGCATTTTTGTCAACAAAATTAAAACACTGCTTAAAAAGATAATAATAAGGACCACGTGAAAAGCTGTCAATTGTTTCTCGAATGTTGCGCGTGTTAAATATTCAACAGTGACACCTCGTTTACATTTACATCTACAAAAAATCTATACAGACATCACACCAACAACTCGCGCGCAAAGTGAGAAGACAAAATGAAGGCTTGAAATTATATTACGATCGATTTTTATCAATAAATGGGCCAGGAATATTCCAAAATAGTGCAAATAATCGTGAAAGCTGATCGCGGAAAAGCGATTGCATGACGCTCGGTAAGATGTAAGATGTCATGTTATCACATACCAGACGAAAAAACTCTTTAGATTCTCAGTCTACATTTTGTACCTAGTCAACATTTTGTATCCGGTCTGCAGTCTGCATTTTGTACCAACAGGTATCTGTGGCACCAATACAGTTTATTTTTGGTAACAGTTATTCGCACAACACACACAATCTACCACAAAATACCTGTTTGTGAGTTAATTCGACATTTTCATTCTTTTCCGCGTTAATACTCTTCTTTCCTCTTGTAAGAATGTAGACATCAATTACAATGTTTCAAGTAATCAACCCACCCCCCCCCAAAAATAACAAATGAATAAAGGGGGTAAGTTTCTAAAGAAACTGTGGTGCTGCGTCGGTGGGAGAGTATAGCAGGTAATTTAGTGTTAACAACTGAGTTGAAAACGTAAATTGGCCACTGTAAAGAGTAAAAAAGCTGACGTTTCGAGCGTTGGCCCTTCGTTTATCGCTCTCACGAAGGGCTAACGCTCAAAACGTCAGCTTTTTTACTCTTTACGGTGGCCAATTTACCACGGTTTTCAACTCAGTTGTTAACACTAAATTACACAAAAAAATAACTCTTGCATGCATAGCATGCCTATGTTTGTCTCTTTTCAACCTCGGCGACTAAAATCAATTTTAATTCATTTTTCTTCTGCTTGCTGTTTGTAAACAGGAGCAACGTTAACGTGGGACTATGGATGTGCCGCCATGCAGCCGGACGTGCGTGCTTAAACTTATATTTTGTATGTGGGGTCGGACTGTGGTAGGGTGGCTCGTGTACATAGAGCTGTACACCTAACATACACATAAACATTAAAACGGGGTTTTACGTTCGTTTAACATTGTATACAATTTAAACAAAACTTGCTATGGTATAGTACTTGTTTAAAGAATTAATTTAGTTTTCTACTTCTTATATGCCCTTTCCATCCATGCTTTCGAAAAAAAAATAGTTCGCTGCCTCATGTCAATAAGCTATGTTCTGACACTTTGACGGTTATCGACCTGAATTTTGTACATAAAGATGTTAAGGGTAAGTTTGAGCCGAGGAAAGCAGAATTAATTCAAGTTAGGGGAGCTCGAGCTAACCGACTTCGACTTAGGTGATAGGGGGTCAGTTCGGTTTAGCAAGGTTCTACTCAATAAATTTACCTATTTTAGAAAATCGTCGGAAATATTCATGATATTAGAAAAAAATTGTATTTTGTATATTTTGTGCTTGTGTTTTGAAACTTTTATCTTCAAAAATTCGACATCTTGAAGTTCGGATAAAGAAATTAAAAAAATTGTTGTCCCTTTCTAACCTGAGACGTTAAATGTATAACTTATTTAATTTTATTTGATTTCTGGCTGCTTCTATAAATTTAATTTGAATCAGGTCCCTTTTAAGCTTTGTGTGAGCTTCGTAATTATTTCATGGTCATTTTATTACAAATGAACAGGACAAAAGTTTCCTTTTTGACAAAGTTTATTTTCAGTATCATTTGCATCCATAAGAATTCTGTTGGCTTGTACGGTTCATGTACGCATGTCCGTCTCGAAATACCAACCTCGCTATCCTGGAAAAGAATCAAAGAAGGTTGCTACGTTGGAATGAGAGAGAACATAAAAGACGGAAAATCAATCAAATTACTTTGTTTCTGTGTATGCAAACATTTTTACATTGACCTTGGCATTTTGTAACAAAGAAACTTTTTATGTAGACCTCATAAAAATAAAAAGCAGGGAGAGGAAGGTACTTGAATATTGTAGACGTATTTTATAATGTTGGATTACTGAGACACTAATAAGTATTGCGTAGGAAGATAATCAACAGTTAAGAATCGTAGAAAAGTCAAAAGCTTTTGTTTCTTTTTTTTTTTTAATTAAAGTGATTTTTTTGTTTCATATGTTCCCAACCACAGTTCTCCAAGCTATTTCTGCAAAATACGAAAATTCAATGGTCATAATCAAAAGACTGTCATAGATAAAAAACTCCAGGCTACATCTCTTCATCTTTCCTAAAGGCGATCTGATGAATGAAAATTTGAACGTTACGTAAATAACCGACCATTGTTTTTTTCTTAGTGGTGGAGGGGGGAAGAAGTTCAAGAATTTTCACCCTTTTTTCCTCTCTGTAGACAGCTTTTCTATCCTTACTTTGTTGCGTTTTTAAGAAATTTGTGTTTTTAATATCGTTATTCCCCACACCGTCAACTCAATAATGACCGGTTCCTTAATATCCGCCTCGAAACTTTACTCGCACAAGCAGATCCCATGATTTTTTGGATCATTTCATCAAGCTTATCGAAGTTTTCCACCTGAATCACAGCAGCTGTGCCAGCGATATCATGCAAAGTGTCTTCCTCCACTCCAGGACCAATACACACTGCTAAAATGTCGAGTTTCCTTTTCAGTTAAAATGAAAAATTTACGGCATGAGCTGTTTTTTATTATCTGTTGCTATGAAATGTCTTTGTAATTCGGCTTCAATTGCATGAGACAGCTACTAACCCTTACAAGTAAGGTTAAGATTGTAGCCAAGCCTTGTGCATTTTCGTCGGGTTTCCTGATAATTTCCAATTTCCAAGTTTTAATTTTCTGTCCGCAGGAAGTCGTGTAGTGTAAGATTTAAGTTTCCTTCTCAAGAACCCAACATAGATGCCCTTACCAAAGTTTAAACCCGACTTAAACCAGAATGCAGGGCAATGTGTATTCCCTGCTTTCGATTAGAATCCTTCAGATCCGCTGATCAGTAAATCGCTGGTGAAATGGGAAGTATTCAATGAAAGAAACTAGAGCATTGCATGTAACATTTCAGCACGAAAGACCATTGAAAATAAACGTCACACCTCAACTCGAAATTGGCGCATGAAATTTGTCAGTATACAACAAACCACATTAAAGGTAGAATAACACTTAATTGATAACCCGAAATGTGATTTTACACTCGCCATGAAATCTTCGGATATTATGTTGGCAAAATCAAAGACTTTTTTCGGATGAGTTGGTTTCCATCTGTAAGTACAATCATGACATTTGGTTCGTCTGGTCTGTCTCCTCCTGCCTCAGTAAACATCTCGTCCCTCGCCATAATAAGAGCCAGATCGGTGCGAGTTTGATACTGTAAGACCATTGGTTCGTTGGCCATTTTCTGTAGCAAGGCGTCTTTATCATGATATCGCGAATCGCCGAGTTTGAAAGACATTTGTGCATTTTTGTTAAAGGTAATAAGGCCGAAGTGATCTGTTTCAGTTGAAGGTTGAAGTTTTTAACCAGATTACCCAAGAAGGTAATGACCGTTTTCAAATTACCTAATTCAAAGCTCTGGGATTTGTCGAGAACGATTGCAATATTAAGTCCAACTATGATATCTGAGTCGTAAAGCAACATCAAAACATTCTTACAAGCCCATCGCTGTACAGCTAGTGATATTTCTACGGCATCTTTAATTTTATTCTTTGGTAACTTAATTTCATAGCACATTACAGTCTGACCAAAGGTAAAGAGTGATATGTGAGCGGCTTAATCACATAATTTTAAGTCTAAGGACTCTTTGTTCCAATTCTCTACAGTGCCCCAAAACAAATTTTTTCCTTTGCATTTCCAAGTTTAGGCCGCTTGCAAATAACCAGGTGGACTGAGTATACAAAAGGTTCTCTATACGATTTTAGGTTTCCTGGCTTTGGTACACATGCGTCAATGCTGGTTAATAAAAAACTTTTTTTTAAATCTCACATTGCGATGTGTGCTCTTGAAGAACTTATAGAGGTGAATGAGCATCTTAAACAATGCTTAAAGGTGGTGCCGTGTCGTCTGAAAAGTATAGGTAATTGATGAATTTTCTTGGATGTCTTGTGCCTTTTCCGGGTTATAGAAGAAACGTATCAAGAAATGGTCTATTCTTGCAGCTCGGCCTTAAGCATCAAGCAGTAGTCGTCTCGTTTTTTCCGAATGATTACCTGTTATTTTAGTCTATACAGCCTATACAGACCAATGCTGGGTTAATGGAGATACGTTTTATAAAGGCAGCTTAGCACAAATGAACGAAATTTAGTTGTGGATTGTTAGTCTAAAACATTTGGCTCCGGTTGTTCGTAGGGTTGATAACGCTTTCCATCATTTAAACAACTAGGGGCCTGATGCACCACCTCCGTAGATTTTGAAGGTCATCAAGAATGCCATACGCAGTGGGCTGCAAGTAACTGTAACAAAAACCCCTTAGGGAGATAGCTATCAGTTATTTTCGTTTGCCCTTCAATATTATTTACTCCACCTTGAGGGCTCTCACATTTGTGATTGAAGGCATACTTCCATATTAAAACAGATGGAAGCATTGGAAGTGATTAGCAATTTGGAGGATTTCCACGAAACTTTGCAGGTGAGTGAACCTTGATCAGGTTCTCTTTTAGATACTTTACATTGATACTTTTGTTTTATTAACTGAGTTGATAATGTAACTTGACCACTGTAAAGAGTTTCTGAAGCTGACGTTTCGAGCAGAGCTGATGGAGGAATTGTGCATGGTTTGTGTGTGGTTTAGATACAAAAAAATGGAGTTACGTTATTGGTGGGAACATGGCGACGTGAAAAACTTAAGAATAAATGAGTTGAATAAAAAGGGGATAAAGGGAGCCGATTTGAAAGACACTTGAAATTTTGTTCAAGAGTTTTGCAGCCTACCTTATATTCTAACAGTGGGCAAAGGCCGCAGATTGCTATATGTTGCTGATAATGATTTGGGAGATTAAAGTGCCTACCGATTGGTTCGAATTCCTTTCTACGCCACGAATGTGTTCTCGGAATCGGTCGCCTCGTCATCTTCCTGTTTCGCCGATGTATAACTATTTGCAACACCTTACACAGGGTATGCAGTAGATGGCGTTGGCTGTATTACGCCATTCTGAAACAATTGACTTTTGTTATCGCTACCGTAAAAGAATCATGTTACAAATTTAGTAAATAAAAGTTGTTTAATTTTCTGTTACATATACTCAATTCAGTATCTTTTTCAGTGGATCTGGTAGTCTAAAGTTTTCTATACTTTCTTTACTTGTAAGCTCTGAGGCAAACTCTTTTTATCCTGCTTTTGGTTTACTGTTTGCTCACAGAGGTTTTATTTTCAATTTGCTGACGAATTCATTACCCATATTTGTCGGAGCTAGGGTATGAAGTGGGAGCATGGTTACAAGCTTAAAACATGGCTTCGTTCAGCTAGTTGGAAGACATGAAATGACAAAAAACTACGCTCCAGTTTTTACAAAAAGGAATTATAAATAAAGTTCTCTTAAGTAAAATGATGAACATCACAAACAAAGTACTTTTACTGGAATGGCTTTTATTTATCCATCTCTGAGTATCATCAATATCATCTGCAGATAAAGAATGTCTTGAAAGTAAAACTACAATAGCCCTGCACCATTATACCCCTCTTGATGGGCGTCATGTTCTGCTTGTCAAACGTCTTTAACCTGAAAAGTAAGCAAAAACAGCTCTGTTTAATTCACTTAAGTTAGAACCGAAAGAAGCCACACAAGCAATTGTGTTTCATGCAGTGATTCCGCCTGATAACAATGATATATTAATTATATTTTAGCCCTCTTCGTTTGCTTCTACTCAGGCATAAGATTTCTGTATATTCTATTTATTGCATCACGTCAAAATACTCACGAGATACAAATGTTATGAAAAATAGCTTGTGTTAGGCGTTAAGTAATTAAAACGTAGCGAAATGATAAGCGGTACGATAGAAGCAGCGGAGTCAAAAACAGTTTGGGTAACCTGGAAAATGAGAGAAAAAAGTTTAGTTTATCCAGTACTAAGCCCGCGAAAGAAGCGGCGGAGTTAAAAAGGGAGGGATTTCTGGGTCGGTTCGGGTAATCCCTGAAATGAAAGAAAAAATCTAGTTTATCCAGTGCTAAGCCCGCGATAGAAGCAGCGAATTTAAAAAGGGAAAAGGGTTTGGATCGGGTCACGCGAACCGACACAAACCTCTCCCAGAAATGGAAAAATGATATATATTTTATCCAGTTTTGAACCCGTCGTTTGTAAACCTATTTAACGTATTTAGGCCACATCGTTTAGGATTAACTCTTTTAATTGTGATTTTTGAAGAAAAAAGAAAAAAAAACAAATCTCTACTACATCATGCCAAACAGTTTGAAAGAAAAATTTTGATCATTATAACCTCTCAAAGATTTATTTGCTGCAGAATATCGAAACCACCACACTAGCGTAGAAAGGTAGTTTTTACTGAATTTTAAAAGAAAAAGTAAGGTTCTTAGTGAATAAGACGACTATAACCTACTTTAACTACGATTGCGTTAATTCATAATAAGAAAGCTAAGTTGCAAAAGTCAAGTTAGCGGCCATTGCTAACTTTTGTGGCCTTCAGCCCAAAAAGTTTTAGAGAAGTAATTACGGTGAAACAAAATTATGTCGCCTTGAACTCCTCAACGTGATTAAAATGGGCATCAGTTTGTCGTGGGATTTTGTCGACAGATGATTCAATTTAGGCGTCTAAATACTCACCGGAACAGGCCGATCCTTTGATTTTGTTCAACATTTCGACCAGCATACTGAAGTCGTCTTCTTGCACCACTGGGTTACCTTCACCTGCAATTTCCTGCAAGGTTCCCTCCCTTATATCTGAACCAATCCCGACAGCAACAACGCTGACGTCTTTCGCCTAAAACGAAGACCAAAATACGAAGTTTATCATTAGTTATTGTTACAACTCTAGTTGATTGTAAACCGCGCTTTGTGCCTCCGAGAAATTGGTGTTTTATTCTTTGGTGTGATGTATGTGTGGGTTGTTTGAGCTGTCCCCGCGTTTGCAGTCAAATTTTTTCAGCGTATTTGAAGTTAATTTCCTGAAACAAAACCACCGTGTTATAGGGACTTAAATCATTAATCAAAGCCTGACATAACTCGCTTGTCAAAACTAAAGCAACCAATGTTACCTTAGGTATTTGATTTCTCTATGTCTTAATTAGTAATGCAAAAGAGCGAAGGAAAAGGGAGCACTTCAATTGTGTGTACTCAGCAAAGTATTGCAAGTTTGTATATGAAGTATAATCATTTGTCTCACAATGAAATCTCTTCTGTTGTAGATCGCGACGTTTCGATTTCATGCTCGTTTTCTTCAAGCGATAATGTCGACTAGGCACGCCTCGCCATATGAACCGTTCTGCTCAGCTTTGATTGACTAGCATTATTCAACCGTGTTGGGCGTCTTGAAGAACTGGTCTCGCAGTGATCTGATATCGCAAAGCTTTCCTGTAGTTGTGTTCTTTAATCGTCGCCAGCCATGCTTGTGGGATTTGGACTACACTGTCCCTATTGGTGTTGTCAGGGTGAACTCTTTTATGAAAAGTCTCTTTTAACCACGGTTGTGTAATAATGAAGATAACGATCAATATGCTTTACTTTGTCCCAGAGCGGGCAGAGTCCGATGTGGGCGTTCTCTGTAACGGGGGAGGTTTGTGTCCAGGGGAGTCCGATACCACTGTTATACTTGTTGATCCTCTCCCATAAAATTCTTGCCGATTTAAGCTTTGCCAGACTCACAGAGAATCCTATGAACCACGTTATCTTGTTTAGATGAGTCAACCACACCCAACAGCCGTTTTATGCATGATCGTAACGTAGTCTCCGACTTGAAAAGGGCCCGTATTCCTGGTGGCTGTAGGCAGAGGGGAAGTTGTTCGGAAAGACCTTTGACATCTAGCAAATCTATCGTAGATTTGAACTCGGTGGGGGCTAAACAAGAAGGCGTTATTTACAGGATTTTTCAGCGCCACTTGAAGAGAACTCACAGTCAGTTACAGTCGAAACGCTGCAATCCCTACTGAAAGTGACTACGTCGTGAGATGAATGACTATACTTTACACAGAAGTGAATTCACCACTATGAATAACCGCATCCTAAGCTTAAAAATTTATCTTCATTGACTCTGGCGAAACCTTCTAAAAATAGTGTTCACATTCTAACGCTCCAATTCAGTTAAAGTTCTCGATGGAATTCAAATCAATATAGCTGGTGGTGGTAGATATTGCGCAGATTGACATATTGTACCGTTCTTATATGAAACTACCTGTTAACGTACGACAAAAAAAGAGAACAATGCTTCCTTATTTATTACAGGTTTTTCGCGAAATAAATCAATGTTGCTCTTTTTCAGTTGTGATTTCAATGCTTTGTCATACCTCTCGAACTTCTTTTATCATCGATGTCTTAACTTTCAGTTCAAATGGATTGAAAAATTAAACTCAATAAGTTTAAATTCCCATTGTTTTACCCTTCCGTTCTTATTAATCAAGCCTCGACATAGCTACTTTACACTCGCCTTGAAATCTTCCGATATATCTTTAGCAAATGCCTTGAAATCAAAGTCTTTTTTCGGATGAGTTGGCTTTCCATCTGTGAGTACAATCATGACATTTGGTTTGTCTGGCCTGTCTCCTCCTGCTTCGGTAAACAACTCGTCGTCCGCCATTTTCAAAGCCAGATCTGTTCGAGTCTTTATTTTCAGTTGAATTGGTTCCTCTGCTATTTTCTTCAAGAGCGCATCCTTCTTGTGAAATTGTGAGTCAGCAAATTTAAACACCATTCGGGCCTTTCCGTTAAACGTGATAAAACCGAAGTGATCAGCGTCAGGTGTAGGGTTGAAGTTTTTAACTAGGTTACCTAAGAACTCGATGCCTTTTTTGAGATTGGGTATCCTTATACTCTTGGATTTGTCGAGAACAATTCCAACGTCGAGTCCTGCTGTACATGGAGGAGCTGTGGGAGATATTGGGAAATTTGCAATTAAAGCATCATAAAGCATTTTCAACATTCTAGAATCATACCGATCAGATCCGTTTGAATAGCTTTATTTCAATTTATATGACGGGTCCATTGATGGATAACTTTTACCCAGATGGGCTCACGAATTACCTATCTTTTTAGTTGATTTTGTTTTAGTCCCTCACCGCTCGAAGAATCACTCTTTCATAAACTCGTGGATTGCTTATGTAGACTTTGCGTACGATAAATATCTAATAGAAACTTTAACTGTATTGCCAGAATGCGAGTTAATTAATCGACCAAATTCGCTTGATATGCCACCGCTAAAACTGTAATGTTTTCTGCAGGTTACTCAGTGTTTACAGCAAACGTTTATCTCGAAAGCATGTGAGTGATTGCAGTTCAGTGAAAAGAATGAAAAATGACGGAGTCGCGGTCTGGTCTGCAATTTAGTTAATTCCGTAGAAAAGTACACTATGCGTCCTAAAAGAAACTTTCCAATGCTTGAATTATTTTCTAAAGCAGTTTTCATCTCTACGTAAAAAAAAAAAAATTTCAAATGCATTCAAAGTCATTCTTAAACACGTAAATCAATAGTCTTTGCATCGACTAATTCTCTCAAAAAGATTAGGACCAACAAAAACTATTTCCATAATACTTACGGCATTTCTGTTCGTTACATGGAGATGTCTTTTTAGCTGGTCCCAGTTCACTGCAGTCCTTTCCAAAGAATTGTTTTAATATCCACAAACAATGGATGTTTCCCTATATTCTACCTAAGCTGGTCTTAAAATCACACCTCCAGGCGTTGCAGTGACTAATTTTTCTCAAGAAAATGATTTAAAAACACTTACGGCACTTTTGTTCGTTACATGGAACTGTCTTTTTTGCTGGCCCAAGCAAACTGCAGTCCTTTCCACCGTTAGATGGCGGGGGATTTGTGCAGGTTCTTGTAAGCGTCTTCACTCCTCCGCCACACGTCACACTGCACTTCGACTCAGACCAATCTGTGTATCCCCCGTCAACAGCTTTAATAGAGAACAATGATCCAAAATTTAAATCTGTTTTTCTGTGATCCATTTTAGAGAAAACCATTTGTCGTAATGTAAGCGATAGCTTAGAAAAGCCTTAGCTGTTTTAAAGTATTCCTTTTCTCTTTTTACCTACAAGGAATATTACTATAAGTGCACCTAAACTTCGTCTTGACCATCGAAATCATATCTAGTTGCAAGCTTATGATCATAAATTCTATCAAAAAGATAAATTAAGGCAGAAAGTTACTAAATGAATACTTACGACATTTCTGTTCGTTACATGGAACTGTCTTTTTTGCTGGCCCAAGAAACCTGCAGTCCTTTCCACCGTTAGATGGCGGGGGATTTGTGCAGGTTCTTGTAAGTATCTTCACTCCTCCTCCGCACGTCACAGTGCACTTCGACCCAGACCAATCTGTGTATCCCCCGTCAACCGCTGTTTAGTGGAAAAGAAAGATCAATTTTTATTAAATGAGATTGGTCACTTTTCGACATAAGGGTCAGGAAAGAAATCAGCAAAGAGACGCATTTAAAGGAAACCACTGATAAACTTACGGCATGTAGCTTGCAGGATCTGGTTCAGACTTTTGATGAGTGCGTCGAAGCTGCCATACAGAAGAACTTTTCCCTTTTTGCCAGCTATCCATTTCATTTGTTCTTTTCTTTTGTATAAGTCCTTACCAACTCCAATAACAACTATGCTCACACCTCTGGCCTGGTCAGGTGAAAGTTCAAAACATCAATCAGAATAATGTAGGGGTTTTGCTTCGGCATTTCTCTTCGCTCACCAGTACATGAATTAGTTTTGTTTTCACAGTTTTCCATGATATTTTACTTTGGTGTTCTTGGGTGTGGGGAAAGGTATTAAATTCTGTAAAACTACAGACTGATACAATTAAAAAGGTAATTTTAAACACACTTGCTGCATGTAAGTGATAACAGTCAAGCTATATTACCTCCAGAGCATTTGTTGACGGTCCAAAAGGAGTCCGTTTTCTCTTATCCCATTTGCCAATGTACGGTTCTCCATCAGTAAAGACGAACAAGATATTCTTAGCGTCAGGCCTGTCTCCTTTTTCTTTGGTAAATATATTTAACGCGTTTTTCATGGCGAGATCAGTGCGTGTTCCCACTAACTTTGGAACAAAATTAAAACGGGCTTTAACCATGTCCTTTAAGTTTTTTGAGTTGTGGTATCTTCCTGAATTCAAGTAGAAGTGAATTGGAGCATATGCTCCAAAAGTGCCAAGAGCATAGTGATTTCCTGCAGCAGAAACCCTTAGTTTGTTCACCAATGAATAAACCAGTAGTGTTAACTTATTTCGGTGGTACTTGTTCATGCTCCTAGACACGTCACCGAGAATGGCGATGTCCATTTTCTGATCAAGACATCCACCTATAAACGATCGTAGAATATTAAGTTTATGTCTTAACAACAGAGGTTCTAGCTGTGATATAAACCCTCAAATGGCCCTTTTCGTTATATAATCCGTCGCTGTAATTACAGATTAAAAAGGTGGAGCATATTTCTTTTTCAGTGAGCCAACTCATGAGGTGGAGGTAACGCATCAGTCATTTGAAAAAATTTTAAGGTTTTTTTTAATTAAGTTTTGAACTTGATTTTTCAGCGGTATTTTCCCAATCAATGCTAAACTGCTTTACAATCCCAAATGCATTTTTGTTCAATCTTTTTCTTAGGATCCCTAGTGTTAACAGTACTCAAATACTGACGACGTCATCTTGGTAAAGTAAAATGATCATCATTATCACGACAATAAATCATTCGAACGTAATTGCGTTCGATTCTTCAATGTCTATGCAAACCACGAAGGCGACGGCAACGAAAATGAGGCAAAACCAAAGAGGTTTCTGGCAGAATAATGGCTCAGAAAGTGCGTTTTAAAACTTTATGCATTCCTAAACAGTCCTCTGCAAAACAACAGCGTGAAATTACCCGGTAAAATTTCCGCACAGCCCCATACTATTGTAAAACAAGTCTGTTTTCCCAATGGCAATGTATTGTTTTTGTCATTGTTTTCTCTGTCCAAGAACTGAATGCATAATTTAGGATGGGGATGTGCGGAAATTTTACCTCGCTCACTAACGTTGCGCTGAAGTTGAGTTTAACGTAAGAGACGGTAAACTCATACAGCCATTCGCCAAATTCTAAATAAATCATAAATTAATTTGTCATCTACATTTTTCATGGCGTTGCCATTCTGACTTTTTAAGGTCCCCAATGGGTGGTAATACAAGACAACAAAGTCAAAAGAATGAAGGTTAATCCATTCTGCTAACTTTTGTTCATCAGAGTGATTTATGCATCAATTAATAAAGCTGACTGCGCATTAATTCGAAACGTCTACAAGCAATACGCATCGGAACTGAATCACTTTTTGCTCAACTTAACTTTGAAGGAAAAATGGACTTTTCACGGACGGAATATATTCTTTCTAATAAGTTAGGGGTAAATTCGTCAATACCATTCGCTTAGAACGGAAATTAGAAAAAAAATAAACGTATACAGACCTTCTACAGATGATTTCTCTGTGGAGAGGAATTAGACATAAAAACATGTTAGACAAGAGACCCAAACGATTAAAAATAATTAAGTCTAATAACTTTGTGCATGTGCAAATATTCTTTTTTGTTTGTTACCTAAAGATACGCTTAATGCCACGACGATGACAAGCCACAAGGTCTTCATATTAAAATCACCCAAAATCTGCAAACAAAAAAGTAAAGAGGAGAGATAGTAGCAAAGAGACCTTCGAAAACACATTAAAAACTCAAGGGCTCGCGAAACTTGAAATGAATGACATGTATGAAACTGCCCGAAGGTGAAATAAACGTAATTAGAAGCGGATAATTATATTTTAAGAGCAGAGTGTTCGAAAAGGAATTAGTTTAATATATTAAAGTTCACATGGCAACCAGGTGGACAATCAGACATAGTTTGACGCTACTCTGGTTTGCAGATTTAATGAATGTAACCGAAGAAGTTGCGATTCATAGACCTAACGTTTCGCATACAACATTAAATTGGCTCAAGTCAAAAGGGGTTCCTTTAAGATGGCGACCTTGTACTTCCTTGTGCACGATAATTTTCTCTCCCTCTGGACACAACGCACCTTCTTGGTGAAGGAGACAAACGGGCAGGTAACTAAGACAGGTGTCAATTTATCGGTTTCTTCCATTTGGTAGTTCTTAAACAGCAAGGGCTACTGTGGTGAAATGTATTTGAACATGTTCCTCCCAAACAGCAACATGACTTTGCAGTTATAAATAGTATGAGCATGGCAGTTAAATCAACAGCTAACCTTGAAATTATCTGCAATTATGTTCTCCTTTCTTTGAAGAAAAAATTTTTAGAAGTATCTTAGTGTAATGGCTCGATTTAGCGCCCCCATCCCAGTAAACACACACACACACTCTCTCTCTCTCTCTCTCTCTCTCTCTCTCTCTCTCTCTCTCTCTCTCTCTCTCTCTCTCTCTCTCTCTCTCTCTCTCTCTCTCTCTCTCTCTCTCTCTCTCTCTCTCTCTCTCTCTCTCTCTCTCTCTCTCTCTCTCTCTCTCTCTCTCTCTCTCCTATAAGTGTACTCTTAAAATTTGTTTTTGTTAGTAAGCACCTCTTTTTCAATATGAGCCCTATCCTATTTCAGTATTATAATACAGTTCGGATATAACGCGCGCTGTCATTGGTTGAAAGAGCGTGCTCTATGAGAGTATAGAGCATAGAACTGAGCTAAAGCTGTCACGCCATCTGCCAATTGTACTATGTTCGACCTTTTCCGGGACTTCTTTTTAGCTTTTTCCCGATAATTGAAAGTCAAATTTCGGAACTGAAGCGAGCCGGCAAGTAGCAACAGAAGAATCAAACAAAGGTTTGTAAACATACCAGGCGCCGTAATTTACGTTATTAAAACGTGAGCAGATACGAAAATCCTCAAAGGAAAAAACAAAATAAACATTCCGAGTTTTAAAGATTTTCACGCTCAGTTAAATTGCAAGCTTACGTACGGTAATAAAAATCAAACACAGCCAACACTCGTGTAGTATATAAAGTTCAGTGTTCAAAAACAAAACAGAACAAAACAGAAATGATGAAAAATATAACCAAACTGGCATAATTGTTAAAGTTCATACTAATCATAAGGGTGTCTGAGCGAATATGATCATGCTAAGTTCATCGCGGCTCGCTCATCATGGCGATCTCCGGTCATCACAGTAAAGCAAGCCTCAGAAACTACATCGGCCGCCCTTTGAGTGAAAAAATAAGAGTATGCTCTGATATCCTTTCCGATACGTTGAGTGGCAATTCACATCAGTCACTGCAGCCGAGTTTTGCGGCGCTGTCATCACGAGCGATCTTCATGTTCCGGTGAATTCGGCTGTCTTTCATTCAGAAAACACTCGCCCTGAACAGCTTGTTTTCTACCTTGTCATGTGGAAAAAACTCGCGTGTTTTGAGCCATAATTCGGCTGAATTTCACTGAACATTTCACTTCGAGATTCTGTATTAGAGACTTAAAAACTTCAGGCAAAAGTGTTAAATTCGACTTGCCGAACTATTTTAGTTTGTAAACTATCGTAGAATGTGAACTTTGATGGTTTTTGAACTTTGATGGTTTGACACTTTTGACAGCTTTAGTCTTGTACAGCCAATCAGATTATTTGAACAATTCTAACAAGGATTCTGATTGGCTTATTGTAGCGTGCTTTATGAGAGTATAGAGCATGCTGATGACATTGTTGCTCGCTTTGGAAATAAAGTTTGTTTTGAAAATTGAAAGTAATGCTTGGGTAATTTAACGGATTCTTTATTATAAAATAAATAGAGAAGCCTTGACTGTGCTCTGTTTTGTTATAAAGCACTTAGGAAGTGGCTAGAGCACTCAAGAAGTGGGAAGAAACACTCGCTTTTATTTGTTATATGATACTGAGATTTGCACTTAATAAGCGCCAAAAAAATTTACTTTGTCAAGCTGGTCGAAGAAGCCGAGAGACAATCAAATGACGGCTTTTAACATAGTTCACGAATGAGGAGAGCGATACGTCCAATCAGGGTAGGAGCCGTGTATGATGCTTATTTACGAGTGAACTCTATCAAGGCAATACTTATTCAACCTTCACTGGCAGCGCTTCGCTTTTCAAACCGTTGGAAAAATTTACAATATTCGCTCTAAGGCCTGCTTATCAAAGCAAATTACTTTCAAAGGACGACTAGGGAAACAGTTGTGTCTTATCAAACTTATGTGCAAATCAAAAACGCGGAAGAGTGAACAAATCGAGATCTGAAACTGCTCAAAAAATTATTGCGAAAATAAAAAAGGACTAGGAAATTAGACTAGCATCTCGGAGTTCACGCGCTCTATTTAACAAAAAGACTGAGAAGATTGGGAACCCTCAGACTGATATGCCTTGTGTAGTGTATTGAGAACATAGTGCTTGTAGTAATGCTAGTAATATCACTGTGGGATTACTGAATGATGTGAAATTACTTAAATCAAGTAACACGATTGTACCAGCTTATTAGAAAATTGACTCCTCTAATTAAATACACAACACCTTGTTTCAACAGATTATTGAGGGTATTTTGATATTTTTCACTTTCTGTCGGTAGGTGCATGATTACTTTCGCCAATGCAATTCATGTGGATTACCAATTTCATTATATATTTATTATATAAATAATATATTATATATTTATATATTTGCTAAATAAGCTGTTTAGTTTACAACTACGCAATGCATGTTTTGTAGTTGCTGCGGGGTAACTCTAGAAACAGAAATTGAATTGTGAATCGTATATATAGCTAACGCCGCCAGGCAAAACAAGGAAAATACTCGCTTCCTCTCTTCTTTTGGTTTTGCCGTGTGGAAATGGAAAATAAACGGAAAAAAAAAGAAAATAGTTGCACAACATTGTTTTCTTTGGCTGTTTACTATTACTAATAATGAAGGTCAGGCTTTCTTTTCAAGCGTGTTGGGTCAGAATTTTGTTTGAAGCAATCTGGATTTATTAGCCTTCTCATCGAGCATCCATTACTTGTTTTAGGCTAAAAGCATCATTTGAGATCTGGGTGCGAACATAGCACGGGCTTAAAAGTAGCAACATGCGAAACAAACATGACAGCTCGATACCATCGAGAAAGATTGCCAAAAGGCGACAGATTCGAAAGTCTACGCATGCTCAGATACCGATCTTAGCTAAGATCTATTCAATTACGTAATGCTTGGCAACAAAGGAAATAGGGATCTTTCGAGTAAGATCTATCATAAACATATTTGTGCCCTTCCTAGTGCTTGTTAAGAGAAAAAAATTCATAAGACCAAATTTGAGATGGAGGTAGAAGTCACAAAATTGCAAATAACG